TGCGCTGTCACCGCGCCGTAGTGATATCGATCATCCCTTAGACGCGAGACAAGCCTGCTTCTCGGGTGCCACCTGTGTTGTGCACGTCTTCAACTATAAAGCGACTCCAGCCCATCTATTCTCCCTCACACATACATGGTATAACAGCATATTTACTGCCCGGAGGTGGCCGTCCACAGCGCCATGCCCACGCGGCAAAATATATGCATGCAATATTAAATGACGTCATGCAGTCTTGGGCTGGATATTCGGCGGATGCACGCCAATGACTTGTAGATAAGTCTTTGTACTAATACATATTGATGAACTTGGAATTGAACTTCATGATTCCGGACTGACGTGTGTCATTGCAGTGGGACACAGCGCTGGGTATATCCGAGTCACTCACGCCCCAGGTGACATCGTCGTCGTTCTACAGCCCAGCATTACTCAACTAAAGCTTTGAACTTTGCAGGACACGATGTCGTAGTCCTATTGTAGACACTTCGTGGCAATTCTCGAACCCCCTCCCACTCCCCGCTACCGACTACGGTAAGCCTTCTTTCCACTAGCGTGGCACTCGTTCCTCCCTAAGCGGCAAACAAAGCCAACTTTCTCACTCCATCAACCAACACTCTGTTTTTAATCTCGTGACATGCCTCGCGCGCCGCCTCCATCTTCCCCGCCTCCATCTCCCCCGCCTCCCTTTCCGCCGCCCTCCCCTCCACCCGCAATCACGATGAGCACCCCGCCGCCCCCGCCAACCGACCTACTGGGGCACCAGGATTCCCCCGCCGCATCATCATCCACCGACCCCGACCCCGACCACGGCATTACCCCCCTCTTCTCCTACCGCGACGCCGAGCGACAATACTACCGCCGGTCGCAGCCGGAGATGCGGCTATACTACGACCCACCACCGTACTCGAAGCCACGGACCGCACGGGACCTCAACCTCGACTACGGCCACCGGCTCACGGCGCTGCAGATGAGCACCATCGCGTACATCCTGCACATGCGTGCGCAGTGCCGCGCAGTGCAGGGCGAGGGCCGGTACCCTGAGATCGACGATCGCCTGAAGGCCCTTGGAGTCGTGTTGAGGGAGGAAAGGAGGCAGTTGCAGCTCGCGGTGGCGCTCGTTGAGAAGTATGGGTTTGGTTTTGAGGGGGCCGAGGATGAGGATGAGGACGAGGACGAGGATGAGGGAGAGGAGGGCGAGGAAGAGGAGGGCGGGAAAATTGATGGTGGGATGGATACGGAGCGGAGCGATGTTCAGTCCGTGGAGATGAGTGCGAAGTCAGACAGTGAAGCTTCCAGCTCGGAGTGGGGTGGTATCGGGGAAGCTTCCAATGCTGACAGCGATTTTTCCATGGCGGCGGATGCGGGGTCGGACGGCGAAGCTTCTACCTCAGAGTGGAGTGGCATCCACGATACTTCCAACGCGGAGCCGGGCAGTAACGGCGAGACTTCCAATGTCGACAGCGATGTTTGCATGGTCGAGGATGCAGAGTCGGGCGGCGAACCTTCCAGCGCGGAGGGGAGTGGCCACGGTAAAGCCTCCACCGCGGATGGGAGTGACAACGGCAAAGCCTGCTCCGCGGATGGGAGTGGCGACGGCAAAGCCTGCTCCGCGGATGGGAGTGACAACGGCAAGACTTTCTGGGTCGAACGGGATCGTGAGTCCGTGGCGGCGAATGCGGGGTCTGACGACGAAATGTCCACCTTGGCGCGGAGCGGTATCGACGCAACCTCCAATGCCGACAGCGATTTTTCCATGGCGGCGGAAGGGGATGCAGAGTCTGACGGCGAGAGTTCCACTTCCTCCAGGAATGGGTCGATGGCGGCGAACGCCGGCTCGGTCTGCGAACACCGTGTGTCCAGCGCGAGGTCGGACCCAGACGAGGATGAATACATCTACGCGCACTGGGTAGGAATAGACAGGAGCGTACTATACAAGCACTTCCCGCACTGGCGGGACGTCGACCTCTACCCGCGCGCTGTGCGTACCGCCGCACCAGACTTCCACCAGCAAGGAGTGCCGGTCGAGCAGGTTGTCCGCATGAACTTCGGAAACATTGCGAGACGCCAGTATGGTTTCGACTACTTCTCGAGGGGTGGCGCGGGATATGTCAGGCTGTTCCGTACGATGGAGGTGGTGGACGTAATGGAGGAGGAGTATGCTTCTGAGCTGTCGCAGTGATGTGGTGTACTTCGTAGTGTTGCCGTGATGATCGGGGTGATACGTTTTTTTTCTCGCGGATGATGCATAGATGGATAGGGGAGTGTACTCTGTTTTCTACTGCGATTCGCTACGTTTGCGAGAGGTTTCGTTAGGAATACCATAGCAATGATATCTTGTAGTGAAACTGTCCTCGACGCCACGTGTGACGCCGAAGATAGAACTTCAATCACATGCCTTCCGTGACTTCCATATCAGCACGTGCGCGTGCGCAGCTCACCGTTTGCGGCCACTTTCGCCGCTACATATGGCAGCTGGCGTCTGGCACCGTTGATGATCTTCGATAGAGCGTTTCATGTTTGCAAGGGGGAACTTGGAAGGCTATCTATTAACTATCCGGAATCCGAGTATCAGGGAACAGGGATCCCCGGCAGCTGACGCTTTTGTTTTGTTTAGCCAGGCGGCTGCAGATAAAGTTATGTAAATTTAAAGCCGGACTGTAAAGATCATTATATAGGCGTCTCGAAATTATATATGAATTGAACACAGACCCGCATTCGCCCACCCCCATGCAAGGTCGTCCACCATTAAAGTCCCGCCACCCGCCCAATTCATCTACTGATACGTATAGCAATTCACGCCCTCCGCATATCCCTCAGGCGTAGAGCCGCGCGTATCCAACACTTGCGCCGTCTTCACCGTCAGCCTTTCACCAGCCAACGGGCCGAGGTCGAGCTTAAAGTCGAGCGTGACGTTCCCGGCGGGGGCATCGGACCACATGGTGGCAAACAAGGGCAGCCTTGGGGAGATGGGGTTTCCAACGGCGAAAAGGTTTGCCGGGGGGTTCTGCTGCTGCCATTTCCACCAGATCCGGTCGATGTTGGCGTGGAAGACGTAGAATAAAGGGTCGCTGGGTGAGATCCAGGTATCGATCATCTGGGAGGGGTTAGTGACTGGCGGGATTCCTGATGAAGGATGGAAGCATGAGGGGAAAGAGAACTTACGTCGCCTTCAATCGTCAGATGCCCCGAGTTGTGGATGCCGAAATCGCCCGTCCAGTCGAGATTCCCCTCGAGCGAGACAGCAAACTCCTCGAAGTTAGGTTTCGCGAGGACGTCTGCCACGCGGCTCGGCTTCTGCCACAGCTGCGCGGGCTCACGGATGATATTGCGCTTGATGCACCGCTCGTGGTACGAGCTGTCGTTGTTATTTCCGAGGTGGATGACTTCATCCTTGAACACGCCGTTCTTTATGCAGCCGCCACCGGTGTAGTTGAACACCGGCATGTCCGGTAGTCGCGATTGCGTCGCGTTGGCGTCGTACGCGCCGTTACCGCCGAAGGAGAGCTCGCCGTTGAGGACGGGAGAGGCGAGGATGTCTTGGTAGTCTTTCGATTGGTCCCAATACCTGTATCAGTCAGCATGGCCCAGCAGCGGATAGAATTCGGGGGTTATACGGAACACCTCCGAAGTACAGGCACTCCTCTCGCAGAGCGCGCTCGTACTCGTAGAGGAAGAGCCGATGCCACGGCAGAAACTGTCCGACGTAGTGAATCTTGGGCATCACACGCTGGTGTGTCCAGATGAAGTCTGCAAGCCGTGTTAGCCACCGCGGTTTCACCCCGAGGACCTCTGGGGCTCCCATCACTGACCTTCCCACCGCGTCGTGATCCCGGTAGCATAGATGCTCAGCGTCGGCTGCTTGTGCATCATGCATTTTACCGCCAGAAGGTAGTTCGCTTTCTCGAGGTTGTTCAAAGTCCGCCTGCGCGATCGTCAGTCGTGTCGGTCTAGGATCAGGAAACACTCGCTGCGTACCATTCTTTGCGGATAATCGGATCGCGGCATTGTCCTCCGCGCTTCTCGAGAGCAGGCTCCGTTCCTGTCGTCGGGAGTGCAGATGAAACGGCAAGAAAGCCGGTGACGAGCATGGAGATGACGGTGGTGAAGTGCATGGTGGTGATCGGTGCCTGGATAATTTGGAGCCACAAACCAGCGGGGTCACTTGGCTATAATATACGACGAGAGCGCGGGAGCGGAATGACGCGCAGGATCATTTCCTCGCCCCAGCACCCGGGTCAATGCGGCCCTCCCCTGAAGGTATTTTCGTCGTAACCGGTGTTCCGGACCATGTCGATATAGATCTTGCGTGGGGATCCTGCCTATTCCAGAGATGCAATTGCAAAAGATGAAGCGTATGTTCGTTCACGTCGCGTCGTGTCGTTATCGGGAAGGAGGATTGACTACAATCCATGGGGAAGGATGCGGTACTGTGGCGTCGTTCTATCGCATAATCAGTAACACTCTAGTATGAACCCAGTCGTGACGAAAGGAACACCCACTCTTGCGACGGCGGTCATTCGTAGACACCGATCACACTTCTCGAATTTGCCATCGGTCAGGACCATGGAACTTCAAATGACACTCTTTGGAATACGGGTGAGCATGCCAGTAACAGGTATTCCGATGCTTGGATACGCTCACCGAATAGCGAATGGTATGCGGCTGGCGTGATCCGGACGGATGCCGTTGCTGGGGGCGGCCGAAGTTGTTGCTATGTAGTCGATGCTATGTAGAGTAATACGATCACGTAGCTTTGAGCCGTGTGGAGAAGCTCGCATCCCCCGCACACAAGGGACGAGAGTTAGTGCCATCGCTACGGCAACGTGTCTAGCCTAGAAGGGAAGGATGCTTGTGATCTCTCCGCGCCAACTGCAGTCAAGGGTCGGAATGTTCTTTTTTCTCGCTTAAAAGTTAAAAGCGGATCTCACCGTCGGGACTCGGCTTTATTGCAGTCTCAGAATAATCGGCTTGATGCTCGGTGTCCGGAGGGAACTGTGCGGATGCTGGTAACCGACAATGGGGTAACTACGGTAACCCCGCGTTTTACGCGAACACATGCCCACAGTTGTCCGGGGCTTGGATGTCAACCGTGATGAGTGTCATGTCACGCATCACAACGTAACCGAGAAGCCAAAATCGTGACTGTACATTCAATTTCGTGCCATGTGCTGAGGCTGGCCCTCCGTTCGATTTCCTACCGCACCAAGTAACTACTAGGGTAGGAGAATACAATTGTCATTCCGCGATAGGGGCGCATGAACCATGATGCGATACTGACCCGGGGAGTGTCGGAGACCTCAGTCGGCATCCCTAGAACCCCACAACTCCCGCGTCTATTTTCTAGAAAGGCGCACCAACTAAAGCATACAATCTGCCGTGCATCTCGCGCCATGCAAACCGCAAGCGAGATTGGCCACTTGAGTAGCATTCTCTCTATGTGCAAAGTTGGTCGAGTCCTGCAAGGAGCGGCGACGTGGCTTGAGGCTACAACTCGGAACTCCTCGAAGCAACAATCGTACATTCATGGGAGGAAATTGCGTCGGGCGCGGTTCTGCAGGATATGCACGACGTACCCATGTGCATGTAGGTGGGCGCTTCGGGAGCGGCCTAGAGGTCCTAGTAGGAACATCGCTCCATCGGCATGTGCCTTTTTCAACGTGGTGGCTTGTGGGGGCGTCGCGTGGTGGCGTTTGATGCGTGCAGCGCCCTCACAAAGGTGATATTTATGCGCCGTGCGCCACGTTTATGCCGAGAAGTTTCGCGTGTGGACAGGGGGTATTTAGCCGCCTGGACCCGTCCAACGTCAATCTGTGCTAAATATCGGATTTCCCCCTTCGCTCTGGCGTCCCGGATGACGGAAGAACATTCGCATCAACCCGCGATGTTCGCAGCACGGTCTAAGTTTAACTGTTAGTTCGCGGTCACGCGCATTCAGGAGAGACAACATTTGCTAACCATCGGCCATGCCGATTTCGAGTGAGAGTGTTTTATGTGTGGAATGCTGCGAGGGGTAGTTGCACATTAGGCTTTGCCGGTATGAGCATCGGCATTCTTTGCTCATCCATCGGCAAAGCTTTGACTTCGTTACCTCCAACTCCGCGGCTTGGGAGCGCAGATCTATTCACCAACTTAGTCTCCCGCCCTTACCGATACTCATTGCTTCGTTTCCGACCGGACCGCTCCTCGTCGATCCATTCCAGCTTTAGTTGCGGGGTCGCCGGCAACGCATATGTGGAGACCAAGGAGCCCCAATAGACAGTACCAATGCGGGGAAATTTAATCCCGCGACGATGCGGATTGCATAATGCCCCTCGGGATGTTCAGAGCACAGGGGAGCCGGTGGGGGCGGTAGATATTAGAAGTAAAAATAAATCAACAACCATTTGGTGCTTGGAGAGTAGTATGGTTTGGGGTAAGTCAGATGGAGTAGTAGTAGTGTATGGCGCGCTGGTGGTACTTCTTCCGCCAGATTCGTCAAATTCATCATTCGCCAAAACATTCACCACACACGCATCCGCGGACTCGCCTGTACTAGGCTCTAGCTAGGCGAGTAATGGTGCAGACCTTTTTCTTTTCTTGTTAACCCAGACTGTGGACAGGAAATATGGGGGTGGTCATGTCAGAGAAAGTAAACCAAATCTACGAAGCGAGACGCCGCCATTTTTCTGACAAAGAAGCCTATCAATCTTTGCGCCTGTGAGCAGCGGCTGTTGGCGTTCCTAAGCAGCTTTTGCTGCGAGTTCATCAAATAATGCACGGTGGGAAATGTTTAGATACTATTATCCATGCACTTCAACAGCATAGCTCAATTCAACTCCCGCCGCACAGACAGCCACTCTCTGCATCTTTGGCTCGTAATGGGGACCGCGCAGTATGCTGTGTTGATAGCTGGTAGCGCAAAATCAACGGCGTCTACACTACGCAGCTAAGTAGGCACCAGCCACATAACAGAATAATGGTATTTCCGAATGGAGAGGAGGCGGGCGTCAAGGTGTAAAATAGAGTTGTGGATAGCTTCGGTGAACACATGTGATCTGTGACGTGTCTACCTATTCCCAATGTCCCAGAAAGGAGAATATACACTGGGACGCCGCACAGACCAGCACTGGGTCGATAAGCCTGCTGCACGAGCACCGCAACATGATTATAACCAGAATCAACATTCTTCCTGTACGGAAAAAACCCCGCGTGGTCTGGTGGTTTAGACCATGCAATCGGCGAGGGGATTTTAGTAAAGCTCTGGGTTCTAACCCGGGTGAAAGCCCTGTCTGCTCTTGGGCTTTCCAAGCCACCCACCGTGGGTGGTGAAGGTTTTCGGTTCGAGCCACGGTTGGGTTTTATTTTTTATATCCTAAAGACGTATAACTTGGTTACTACCTGCAAGCTATGCCTGGAGGTTTGCTTCCTTTCCTGTGAGTTACGGGCAAATATTTTTCCTCCATCAGGGATTTGATCGATGGATTAGAGTGTCAAACCCGCGCTCATAAGCTGGTGAATAACGAAGTAGATTAACAAGATATTATGCTTCAGTACAGCAATAGTATCGTGAGTAGCGAGCCCACTCCATATAAATGTTCCAGCGCACAAGGCAGATTGTCCCATCTTTAGACGGGCCGGTCCACCATACAACAGACCAGCCGGCTGGAGCTAGCCCGGAAGCTGAGTGCTGGCTTGCAGGCAGGAGGCAGGAGGGACAGGAGATGTGTTGTTGTTGCTGTTGCCTTTTCTGTTGCGGTGGCCCGGTACACGGCCCGAGGAGTAATGCTCACTACTCACCGTCCTTTCGCTCTCCGTACCATGGTGAACTCAATCCGTGTGATTGTGGTTGTGTTGCCAGATGATAGAGTCGCACGATCGCATCACTCGCGGTCCGAGTGCTGCTGAGAGCGGTTATGTATCATACATACGCCATTGCTCGTCAAGCGCAAGACAGGAGAGAACAGAACAGCTGGAAATACGGAAATAAACACTAGGTTCGTAGCCGCACCTATGGGGTCCATGATCCAATGGAAGAATTTGGTAGGTAGTAGGTGGCAAGCTTGAAGGGATCAACGCGAGAATCCACCAGTGGCATATGATTGCTTAGTTCGGGACCTGCTCAGTGCTGGTGGACCTGTGTGGACCTATGTAGACCACATCCTTCATCCAAGCAATTCGCGAAGACCGCTTCGATCAGGATAGGTATCGGATATCCCGCAATTTCGGCTAGGCAGGTTGACTTACCTGCCGTCGAGAGGCCTATGCCGCCAGCCAGCCTTCGAGGTGATTGGACCACAGAGAACATGAAAGAGATAGGGCAGTGAATACTATGTTGGATTTGCCGCAGATGGCGTCTCCTCCGCTACTTCTATCCGCGGATACCATTCTGGTGTTGCTATGGATAGCTCGCAGGCGTCGCTGTGGATATTGCGCTTTCCTTGTGGTGGTTCTCGCGCTGTCTTTGTCGTTCGTCCAACGCAGACAGCGTTGTGGCGGGCCGCGGAGCGTGTCCGTTGCGAGTGCACCAAGAACTTACTTTATGAGGTTCGAATTCTTGTCTCTAGCACGGAAAAAACCCCGTGTAGTCTAGTGGTCTAAGACATGCAATCGGTGAGGGGATTTGAGGGAAAGTCCTCGGTTCAAAACCAGGTGAATGCCTTGTCAGCTCTTTGGGTTTCTAAGCCACCCACCGGGGGTGGTGATAGTTTTTGTTTTTGTTTTCGGCGTTGAGCACTAGTGAGATATCACTCTGTGTCATCACGTGGCACGCCTTTAGCTACCGGCTGTGGAGGCGAGAATACAGCCATGAGAGAGAACACCAATTTACCGTCGCATGCAGCCTGTTCTGGATGGGAGCTTCTTTCTGTCGCGCGATTACACTACACCGGCTGGCTGATAGCGGTATCCGATGCGATGGCCGGTCGATTCCTGAGACCGCCATGTAAAGGATTTTCGGGAACCTCCTCGAAAGCCAAGAACCGAGTGATTGGAGCATGACGTCAATAGGGTCTCCGAGTGATAACACGCAGCGAGTCACGTTGCATGTACTTAGCGAGTGAGTGAGAATGACGTCCGTACAGAGGAGGAAACTGTAAAATCCCTTTGTTGCCCACTCTCTCTGTAGCGGAAGATCAACCAGCGATGCCTCGTCGATCTACCGGAGGTTCAATCTGATGTTGCACTGCGCCCAGTCGATCTACACGGACCAGGTAATCACGCGCGATGGCCAGTGGCTCCACGGCGTCATCGATCACGACGAGATGAAAGCGGTCGACAACCAGGCTCCAGATACAGCGGTGAAATCTCTGCTGGCTGCTATGTGAGGTAGTCGGCAGCTGACCACCGACGATGGGCAAACCGTCTACCGCCGAAGTAGCGGCGGGATTCGGGGGTGCGCGGATGACCAGTGCTGGTGGAGCTCTCGATGGCAGCTGTAGCAAGACGCTGTAGTTTCGGCGTATGGACGCATGGGAAATATCGTAGTCCGCTTCCGCCTAGCCGCAATGCTAGGAATTGCAGGTTCGCTCTGCACTGGAGTCACCAACTACCGGTGGCCACCGACCGCTGTGATCCGCTCTGGATTGCCGCAGTTGCGTCCGATCGGCAGCGTCCCAGCGCTATTCTGTCTCGCCGTCGCTACTAAGCTCGACTGTGTCGGAGTATCTGAGCGGCGAGAGCGATCAGAATTCTCGGTTTTCGCCCATACATGCGTTGGAGACGTTGTCCGTGACCGGTATGCTTGGTACCGCACTGGGGAACTCACGGTAGAGTCGATTTTGATGGGCTAATGCGTAGCTGCCGGGTATGCGATGTGGCGTCCCATTGTGATTATGCTATCAGCTGCCTGTGCTGCCAACACGGAGCGGCGTCAGCCCGGACCAGTGTTCGCACCCCAGGAGGGCTCGGTGGTGTCTGAGTCAGCACATTTGATCCGAAGAGGCCGTGAGAGGACGAGTGGAGATCTCACTGAGTCACTTGCTGCGGGAATGCTTTACGGGTCTAGATCATCGCTTGAGTGTATTCACTCAGTAAACTCCTGGGGATGCCATTCGCATACCATATTATCGCCCTTACAGAGTGGATTGCTGGTGATCTTGGTAGAAGATGTAAACTCCTCCGTCGATTTGAATAGGTCGGCATATCGCCAAAAGTAGGGGTGCGTCGTCGTTGAGCCGCACCACAAACACCAGCGACACACTCACACTCACACTCACACTCACACTCACACTCACACTCACACTCACACTCACACTCACACTCACACTCACACTCACACTCACACTCACACTCACACTCACACTCACACCCACACTCACACCCACACTCACTTCAACCCGGGACTTCGGTCGCCAACACCTACAACTACAACTACACCGCTGTTCCCGTCTGTTCCTTCAGACACTTCTTAAAGCCCAGCGATCAACCGAAAATCAACCCTCAAGCTGTCCAAGGATACCGGAGCGATGACTTCCCAAGCTGCTGATACCGAAATGACCTTTGTCGAGCCCCTACCATTCATCGACTGGCCCGACCCAGCCGTAGCTTCGCGCGCGAGAGTACTGAAATTCTTCTCTGACCTGGATACGTACAAGGGAATGATGGCGCTACACCAAAACGTGCTGCAACAATACGAGTATGCGAAAGCGGCACTCGCTGTCGACCAGGAGACGGAGCGAAACCAGAAGGTGGTTCGCGAGTGCGCCACGAGGGATGTACGCAAGTTGATACAGGTGTATGAGTCCCAGGGCGCCGCCGAGAATAAAGATGTGGGTTGGCGGTGACGGTTCTTGAACGGCGCCCGGGCGTTCGCTGATCTGAATAGGGTTCTTCTTCGCGATCTCAATCCGATACGGCGGGAGCATTCGCTCTTCTTGCCCTGGCCGAGCCCACCTATGATAGTAGTTCTGGCGAGGATGAGTGGCATCCGCGAGACCTGAAGCTGCAGCAATGGCCCGATATCCAGACTTGGAGCAGGTTGTGGGACGGCTCAGTGGATACTCTACACGACACCTTTAGGTCGTGCTTTGAAAGCCATGAGGCTCTCGAGGAAGGCTTGAAGGAGCTGAACCAAGTGCGCAAGAAGATTCAGATTGAAATTCGGGCAGAGACGAGAGTCCTCGAGGTTCTTTCAACGGTTGAGACACTTGTCAACAAATTGATTGCGGAGAAAAATCAAGAAATCTCCCCGCCTGTATTGGAGATGGATGTCCCAACAGATGTCGAGGAGGTTAACAGCAACGGTGAAGGCGAGCAGGAGGAATCCGTCGAAGATAAGCTGATGGTTTGTATTTATTGCAGACAAGGATGTAGCTTGGATGACTAACGTCGATACACAGTACCACTTGGTCATCAGAGGGTTTAATCAACAAATCTCCTCCCTCCAAGTCGCAGAGATCGGGCGCGTCTTTGGTTCTGTCAAGCAGGCCCATGCGGACATAAAATCATTAAGCGCCACCATCTCCTTTTCCAATGATTCCGCGGCTCTCCGCTGTCAGCAATTCCTTACCGGTGATCTCGAGTACGACACCGAGGTAGTCGCAGTTACGCAAGACCACGACCTCAAGGGTGATAACGCTCCAGATCCACCCAAGATCTGGAACCAGACCAACCTGGTGATCCAGCATTTCCCGCTAAACATTGTCACAGACATTCCGAGAACTTTCGAGGAATGTGGGGAGCTGCACTCATATGAGTTTCTCCCCAGCGTCCAGGAGTCGATGCGATACGGCGGCACTGTGGGGACACTCAAGCTGGTTTGGAAGACGCACAAGTCCGCGCTGATGTGTCAGACCGTGTGGAACCCGCATTGCGTGCTGAAGTGGGACAACGACCCGATGTCGGAAGCTAGGATAGCCGCGACTGACGCGAGCGCGATGAAGGCGTGGTATGAGTTCCCGGCTCCATTCGGAATAACAGATACTGATGCCGCGCAGGACTAGACAGCTGAAGACCGAACAGCAGCACCGGGCGGCAGCGGCGGGGATCGGCCCTTCAAAGAGGCGGACGAAAGGTCTTCCACCTGGCGCATCCCTACCACAACTCAAGCGGGGAAAGCACTACCGCCAGCAGTGATGGACAGTGGGTTGACAACAGGGCTACTGTGAACTTTGTGTGCGGGCTACAGAGTACTAGACGTCTATAGGAATACACTTTGTTTGCGGTGTCATTGAAATGCATTTAGCCAGGATGCTTGGATTTGTGAAGTGGAACAGGATCTCAATGTTCATCATCTTCACTTACTGCGCAAACCTCCCGAGTGCAGATCCTCTATATATACAGAGTCTCGAGTCCCTCCCATGGGTTATGGCATAGCATACCGATGACGATGCGTGCTGAGACTACACCGTCTGTCAGCATTGCCGTGGACTGCCTGTATTGCTGGGGTAGTCATCGACACATCCCGAACGCCCAAATCCGACAGGATTGCCGGTCGTGAAAGATAAATCGCTACGAGTGATGTCCAAAGCGAAATGTCAGACGAACGTTTGTTGGACGCGCGGTGAATATCTCTGAAAATCAGTATTTACTCATCGGACATGTGATGAGCACCGCCATTACGATGGACATGAAATAGCCTGCTAGATCTCGACGTCCGGTAGCTCTAGGAAACAACTCTAGGCACTAGAAATGGCTGCCAATAGCCCCGGAGCACATCACGCCGGGCCCGGTGACCGAAGTGGTGAAACTGCCTGGGCGGTGTCGACATACGTCACGCCTTCTGGGTATATTTAGAGGGCTAATTGCCCAGTTGGCGAGACGAATATGCAGCCACTTAACTTCCTTCGCAATACTCCTATTTCACATAGGTAGCCCAGCTGTAATAAGACCCTTCCCGCGTTTCTGACTGCACCGCAGGAAACCACTAACTGCGAGCTAGATTGTTGTATCAAATGTTCCCCATTGTCGCCACGCGACACTACATCAGCCTGTACGAAGGATTCCTCATTCGCGGGGTTCCTTCAAGACCACCAACGGTCACTCGCACGCGAATGCATGATGCATGTCAAGAAAAATGGTATCGCGAGATAGTGTATTGAGTATCAGACACGGCAGAAAGAAAAGTATATATACAGGAAGGCTCGGGGATACCTCGGATAGAGGCCCCACGCCGCCGCTCGGCACCTCCGTGTGAGAACGGATAACGGAAGTGTCTCGACATAGCGAGTGATCGTTCATGACCCGGTCCGCGGAAGTGACGCGGTACACGGAAGTTCGTGAGATTATGACAATGCATCTTGGTTGATCGCTCGCTCACTTCGGTCGGCGGCCAGTTGAGGTATGGTTATATTAACCCTTTTCAGAAGAGAACCGAGTGCTCCAGGCGCAAACGCCAGCGCTAGCTACACAGCCTCTCCAGCCTCCTCCATCGACACCACCTCCGCGGCCGAAACTGAAACGGACGGGACTTTAAACCCCGTATCAGCCGGCGAAGCAGCAGAGGGCTACCTCCCCCACGTTAGCCCTTGCAGATGTGGAGATCGATCCCGCGCAACCTGCGCCATCGACATCAGCCCGGCCTACGAGGGCGGTACTTCCAAGTGGTGAGACGGACGAGGGATGGAAGAAGGTTGAGAGGAAGCGCAAAGGGAAAGGAAAAGAGAAGGAAGGGACAGTGGGGCGAAAAGATGTGGGGTGCGTTCCGGCCTAGACTAATAGAGCTCGGGGTAAGGGCTTCTACGTGACCGTCTTTTTTGGCAGGAACGGGGATGCTAGGCCGTACCGGACGCGTGAACCTCAGAAATGGCGGAAGTCGGGGGAGAGAGGTGAGGGGGCAGCAGGAGGAGCGGGCATGTAGGCCCATACCGGTCTTTACTGTCAATCTACTTTTTGCTTGTGTCGGCCCGAGGCGGCCGGGTAGGGGAAGTGGGGCGCCGCATCGGACTGGTTGGTGCCGGGGCTTTCACTTCGACTGGCCAGAGCGGGTAGGAAAAGGATTGCGTTGGTTCACCATAGTGTTGTAAGGCTGCATGCGAAATAAATTGATGTTCTCTCTCTCTATATATAAACCCTTCGTACAGTCATATACACATGTGCAAGTATATTGAATCCGCCCGATGGCGTATAGTTGAGCAAGACTGCTGAACAATTATACGAGCGCCAACTGCTGCTTGCGATTGCTACTGCAAATCATGTTAGCTGTACCTATTGCGTATATACGTCAAATTAAGGGTTTTGACATAAGTGGCTTCCATGGTCCAACGGTAGGATAATTGCCTTCCAAGCAATTGGCTCGGGTTCGACTCCCGATGGATGCACTTGTCTTTTGTTGATCTCATTTTTTTTCGCCTCGCTCCTTCGGCTTCTGTGCTGCAGGAGAACGCTATGAATACCCCCCTGGACCTGACCCAGCTCCGTTGAGCAATATCTACCCACGTCTGTCTTGGCTATGTAGGTACATATATGAGATATCTTTTAGCTGAACAGTGACGCAACAGATCGAGTTCGAGTTCGATCGAGGAAATGGAGTTCGAAATTCGAATTCGGTCGGGGAACACACTGGTCTGCAAGAACTGCTGTCGACAGAAGGTGGGAGGCACATCTGTCTGTCCCACTTTTTGGTGCTTTATTAGTCTACCGTACCCCATCGGCAGGTGCGGTAGGGTAGCCTTCCTCATAGAGTCTCAGGCATGGATTTTCATGATTGCATCTGATGCACTATGTTCTCACCGGCTTCTGAGTCGAGTTGTTCTAAGCAAGCAAGCAACGTAAGCAAGTAAGCAAGTACTTCCGGTGGGCCTCGGCCAGCGGCCAGCATTCATCCCTAGTGGAACCGGTAACTATGTAGGTGCAGTTGCATGGTACGTAGTGGGCGTGGTGGTGGTGGTGGATCCCAGCTCCAACTTCCGCGGGAAGAGCCCGCAGGCCGTAGCTCACCGTCATTATATATGCAGTAATTCGGAGTATATATCCGCCCCATATGACGGGAAAGCGAGGAATACCCAATATGGGTAGTATGGATAGGATTGCTTTTTTTTGTGAGTGCGGATGAAAACGAGTGATAGGTTCTCTGTCACAATCATTTATACTCACCTGCCTGCGTACCGGGCCCCCAAGCAAACCGGACTTCCCCGTTTGACTCACTCGGCGGACTCTACCCTGGTACCGTGGCACGCAGAAAACAACTGCCGTACTAGCTACGACACGAGCACGTTCAAGACATACTGGACTGAACGGGCTCACGTATTGCGGGCTCGACTGGCCACTACTTCTGCAAGTAAACTTGACCGGTGGCTCACGCAATGACAACCACCATTCGAGAGAACTACGTAGTGATACTACATCACGCCTACTTCACTCGGTTTGAAAACACACAAAAACATATATTGCCCATCTGAACCGTAATTGTATTGCCAGTGAGAGGTATTAAGGCCAGCAGAAAGATTCGGCTGCCGCCAAATGTACAGAAGAACAAACAAAAAAGAAGAAAAAAAGAAAAAAACCCAGCATTTCCCAACCCAGAATTTCTCGACCCAGAACTTCCCGACTCAACAATGCCGCGTCCACGTCGTAGCGTAGGTTCCAACAGGTACCGCAAGCTAACACGAGGTGCGGATCGGAAAACTCGAAGAATGCTGAAACAAGCACGTCATGGGGAGTCGTCCGTTCGTCCGGCGGGAATCGAAGTATCGAGTAACGTTGAACTCGGGGGAAAAGAAAAATCGAGTAACGGTGAACTCGTATAAAAGAATCAAAGGGCCATAATGCCCATAGGACCGCTCAGCACGAGATGTTGCTCGTAAAAGCAAAGTAGCTTTTGCGGCGCCTTCTCGTGAAGAACAGTCGCTAGGACATGACCCTTCTTGCCGTTCGACCAAATGAGGTATGCATGCAATGCATAATCCTCATCGGAGCAAGACACAGTCTCAATGCTCGCTATTTCGGTCTCCCAGTTGGCGCCGACGGGGGGCGTCCAGAGTAGGGCTTCTTCAGGCTGCTGCTCGGTGGGGCGTCCACCAAGGGCACCGAAGTAGCCCTCCAACAGCTTGCCGAAGTTTTCCCTGACACGGTTAGCTGTTGAAAGGTGGTAGGCGGAGGGTTGGGCTTACTCGGCTGTGGCCTCCTGCTCCCAGGTCCACTGATCCTTCTCGGGTTGATCCAACCACTCGACATGCACCCAGAGCCCGCCGCCGATGAAATCGTGGCCACGGATGACCCTGATCAACGAATAGTCGCGACTCCTCGACGACTTTCGGGCCACAGGGTACGTCTTGTTGACGAGCTCGACTTCCGCAGCAGCCTGAAGCTCGGGCTCCTTGAAGGAAGCACGCTGTACGTCGCGAACTTCCTCCGGCTGCATGAGCGTGGCGATCTGGGATCTCAGGCCCAGCGCTACGATCTTATGTCGACCTCCAATCGACTGCAAGAACGCATCGTAGACCTCCCCGAAATCGGCCCTATTGCCGTTAGTCGCTGGTACCTATTACTGGTGATGGGAAGAGATGAACTTACACGATCCTTGCTTCCGTCTCCCACGTCATGTCGACGTGGTCCCTCCACTCGACCAGCAAGAACAACCCCTTGCCTTCGCCGTCCGGAATCAACCACGGAAACCGGATGGAAACCGCGGTTTTTCCGACGGTCAAGAAGCGATCCGCATCGCGCGGATGGCCCCAGTTGACCGCGACGTCGGCAAGGTTGGCGTAATCGCCGTTGTTCGCCAGGTAGGCGGCGAGAAGGTGGGCGCTCGTTGCGCTGCGGGTCGTGAGCGATTCGGAAAGCAAAACAAAAGGAAAAACAAAAGGAAAAACAAAAGGATAAAACAAAAAAAAAACGATGAGAGGGGGATGATGGTGAGGAGGTGGAAGAAGATGAGGAGGAAGAAGAAGATAAGGAGGGAAGAAAAGGGTAGGAATATATAGGGAGGTGCACTTACGCTAGCGTCTCTTCAGTTTCCCAAGTCCACGACGACCTCGCCGGGTAACCGTGCCATTCCACAAGTAGCCAGAGAATGTGGCGCTGCTCTCCCTCGACGAAAAGATGACTATGGATTGCAACAGCATCTCCACGAGGACGCTGAAAATGGTCGGGACGAGATGCGTTGCGTAGAGAGCGACCGACTGGTGCGCGCGCAACTGGAGGTTTTTCTGGAACCGGAGACTTTTCTGCCTGCGGATATTTCGCACGGCGCACGGGAGGAGGACGTGGTACTTTTCCTTTCGGAGGCATCGTAGAGACTCTGATGCTTCTGTTTCTCGGTGCTGCGTGGCTGAGTCTTTTTTCGCTGGTGGGGTCGTTTTTGTTGCTGTTGCTGTTGCTGTGGCGTGTGAGGTGTGCGGAGATGGTCACGTGGGTGGCGCAACTCACAACTTTATGGTGGATTTAAGGTTTGCGGTAGTGGGCTTGGCACACTAGTTTTTCACATTTGTGGCTTCCGCAAGATTCCGCCGGCGTGATGCGACACAACCACAACGGACTAGATGTATTGCGAAGCGCGGTTCTGTCCTAGAATTTTAATATTATTACATACTGTTCAAATATCCGATTTTCTATGTATAATTCCTTGTCATGAGTAGTATTTTTACATGCAGTTGTCGGCCAAACCGCTACCACAGGACAGCGGGTGGTCGGCGACAACGAAGCTGTTTGATGAATTATTATCACTCGAAGTACATCGCGAAGCTGTTTCATGACTTATTATCACTCGCAGTATATCGCTATCCAGGCGTAGTGGCTTATATACATATTCAGCATCATGTTTACGAAACGACACTTGAAGCGGCCGACGAGCTGCCCGGTCGCCGATGTTTGTGGTGAAAATTTCTAACAATGGGTGCAGTTGCGAGTGCGGCTTATCGGACAGATGTTGACAGGCTCGTGCAGACGCCAAAGGCAGGCGGAAGACGAAGTGCCAGCGACCGACGCCTGCAACAACGTAGCTGCTTATGACAGAGCGGCGGTAGCATAACAGTAGAATCAGAAGACGTGCCGGTTGTATGAATCCTTCCAAGGATGACTCCTGAGTCGACGGCCCAAACTCTCCCCCATGCTTTTGCGAGGGCTCTTTCGCCATTACCTCTCCAGGCCGGAAAGCGGCGGGTTGAGAGAAGAAGAACACATAAGGAGATAGTAGTTGATAGTCTATTCTGAGATGATAATCTGGAGAGAAGAAGAAGAAGGAAACCTAGCTCGACCCTGCTCAAGTCCAACAGCCTCGACAGGCGTTCCCAGCAAACGCCTCGTACCCACAATCGGACCACTCCTTGATCTCCCCCGGTACCAACGCGTCATCCGATATCAAAGCAGGAACGGATGCGATGAAATACCACTCATCGATGGGAAACAGGTCACCTACCGTGCACCCGACTGCTACCACGAAGGGCGAGGGGACAGCTCCCGTGCAGCCGACTGCTACCATGGAATCATTCCACGACTCCCAATCGGATGCTTCTCGTCTCGGCCCAACCCAGGCGAATGTCAACATCACACCGGAAATCGGCAATACCAGACTGAGTATGGGCTGCATCGCATCGAGCATTAAAAGTATCGAATCAAAGATGGAGCACCAGCCTGGTTACGCCTCTCTGCCAACACCACAGATACCTGCCAATGCCATGCGAGTCCAGCAACCATCATTTGGGCACGGACATCCATTGCAGACACCTCCGGCGCCTCGTCTTCATCCTCATCAACCTGTGCAGCCTCTCTTCTCTCAGATGCAGCTGGGACAGTTCTCAGAGCCGCAGGTGCGCGCCGGTAGCATTGATACGCCGTCGTCTTGTACCGGTTCTCCGGAGGACCCCGACGACCTTCCGGAGGGGTTCGGATTAGTAATCTCCGCCCGCTTGCCGACATTTTTAACCACGTGTATAGCTAACACGGAATCAGGATGCGGAATTCTCGCTTGACCGTACGATTGCCGCCGAGATCGAAAAGATAGCATCCTGCATCGCGGAGTGCCAGCGAACGCTTCAGAAAACAGCCAACATGCGGTACGGACTTCGGGCGGCGGTCACCAACCACCTGCGCGGCCTGCAGACCGTCGGCCACCATGTACCATCAACAGCGTTGGGCTGACGAATCTTCAATGGTTCAATTGATCAATCTTCACGGCCACTGCAGGTGTTGTGAGTGGTGACGTCGGGGCGTTGGTGGCTAGCCGCATTAAGCCGCGTGGCGGTTCCTCTTACATGTATCACGTGTCAGCAGAATCGTTAAGGATGAACTAACGCTCTTTCGGGTGATTAGAGCGCCGATCTATGTAAATGTTCCAGTCACCAGTGTTCCACAGATGTTGAATAGAAATACATAGAGTAAGGTGAGGCCACTTCGGTGCAAGATGGACGGGCCGGATGACGTAGGGTTAAGTGATCGAAAAGTTCTTCACGAATCCAAAGAACTTCATGCATGGAGCGGGAATTGCTACAAACTCAAGGAAAGCAGTGCCAATTAAGTGTAAACATCATCGCTGCTGTTCTCGATATTTCCCGATGACACGCAAAAATACATGTACCGTACTCTCACCCTCGCAACATACCCGTGCCCGCCGAAGCGGTAAGTCGGCCTCCGTTTTTTCTACGCGAGCCGTGCGCTACGCCTTCCAAGCCTTTCCTTGCGTCGGTCGGCAACTCCTGAAAAGGTTAGAGGCAGTATTTTCTCTCGAGCTAGCTCTAGCCTCGGCGACAAAAAGACAGTCACCCCGCAGTTCTTCTCTCTCCCACACACCGCCCTCCACCTGTCTGTCTCCCGTCGCCACGAACTTTCTCAACACCGCTGCTACCTATATTCGCGGATCTAAAGAGCATGTCCGAACATCTCCATCTTATACCGACCGATCAAATGCCTCCCCACTCATCGCTTCCGCCCCTTCGCAGACAGCCATCTTCCATGAAACGACGCACCCCCCATGCCCCTCCCCTAACCCCCCGCCTCCAGCGACAATGCCTCACGTGAGTTTCCTCCGCGCAACCACCTTCCTTCCTTCCCAACTATTTTCATCCCCGGGCTTCCATATGATGCCTTTTTAATTAGACACGCATGTCAATCGACAGTGACGAGAAAAATAATTCCTGAAAAGCCAGCCCCATTTACCTTTCGTTTTATAGCTCTGCACACTTACTTGAGGAGAGAAAGCTGACGGAGAAAAGTTCTGGACAGATGGCATAGAACAAGATAGGTCGAGACTCGTACCGAACACCACACCGTCCACCGTACCGTGCTACATGAGCGAAATCGAAGTGATGATTACGTGCCCTTGAGATAACCTTCGTCGACGAGAGAGGCAGTGCGGGGTTGCCGCCTGCTCATTGAACAATGCCACGTCTCACACGCTTGAGAGGCTGCGTCCCGGTATGCATCTCGGAAACAACTCCCGCCGTTGCATACCGAAGCTACGGAGATGAATCCCGCGACTGATCACGATGATCGAGGATGTGAACAGAAAGGCAAATCGGATCTGATTGGAGTTGATCGTACTACAACTATTCTACACAAACGCGATTCATTCCCTCCATGAATACTGGCGGTTAGCTTTAGATACCGCCGTGGTTAGGACTTTGACTGCTATTTTGTTTCCTCACGATGTGTCAACTTGTCAAGAACTACTGTTTGCGGGTTCGATCAGTCAAGCTGAATATCGCGTGATTAAATCTAGTCTAGATCTACCTGTATACATACAAATGAGCAGCGAAAGGAAACAGAATGATTGTGTCTAAAACATGCCGGGAATGAAGAAAAGTGAACCTAACCGTGTAAATATCTTGTGATCCCCGATCGTTTTCACCTCATCAACAGCCCTGCATTAACTACAACTTGCTATCTCTCTTGACAAACAAACTTTCCGCCTCCGCCAAAAGATTTCCGTTCCCATCCCTCATCTCACCGAACAAGAACCGTTTCCGTCGCTCACTCTTCACCACCCTCGCCGTACAACACACGACCCCAGGACTATTCACGGGCGCCTTATACGTAACCTTCAACCACGCAGTAAGACACGGCACCACCGCGGCCTCGGTGAACGCATCGTCGAACAGGGTGGCGACCGTTCCTCCGTGCAGTATCCCATGGTGTCCGTTCCCGCCATGTCCCAGGGCGACCAGCGTGATTGCCTCGAGGCTCTCCGTGTTCGGGATCGGCCGGCGAAGAGAGAGGTACCCGCGAACGGCGTCGCAGGCGCGGAGTGAGGAGGACCACAGAGTGTCTTCGTGAAGGATCGTGGGGAGTGGGCGGCCGCAAGTGAAGATTGTTGTGCCGGGGGTGTTGATTATGGCGGCGCACCAGGGGATCGAGGTGAAGATGGGGAGCTCGTCGGGGATTGTGATGCCGGATGATGAGCCGCTGGTGCGAGGCGGGGGCACGGATGATGCTTGATGTTGGGACTGCAGCATTCTGCCGGCAGTGGAAGTGGTGTTGGATGCGGTGACAGTTTCGATGCCAAAGATGTTGGTATTTATGATCCCATTCATTCCCACCACTTCCGTTGACGTGAGCATGTTTATCCGCTGAATACCTAGATTGAAAGTGGACAGCAACCCGATCGACACCCTACCACTGTTGCAGTGCGCGGTGCGCGGACCTCGGTGATTCGGTGGGGTGTAAATAGCCGAGTTCGCGGGTACGCGGGTACGCACAGCAAGGGTTCTGCGACGATCTTCACGCCGATGGACATGCATGTGACATGGTTCGGCCCGCAAAATGGGTTCCCTGGGTCCGGTTGTGGTAGACAGCCATCAAACCGAAAGGAAAATCAACGTGCGGGTCCCGCGGAAAGTGGGATGACCACCGGAGAGTCTCGGGGAGGAAATGTCGCTCGATGGAGTGGGCGGATGTGGAGGCATATTAAGCCTCGCCGCCGTTAAGCATGTGAAAAGAACATTCCCTGAGCAACATTAATTACGTCCTTGCTCGTGGGATCGTGTAGAGACTGGTACGGGGAAACTAGGTATGGCTCACCTGGAATAGATCTCCCGGTCTGCAGGAAGAGGGTTCCCTGATAATCCGATACCGTGGATACAATTCATGACAGACACAGTAATTTCCCGGCGTAACCCTGGCACCCTGCAGACGTACGACATTACCCCGAAATTCAGGACCGAAATATCTTCCTCGGCTGCTGAGTCAACTCGACATGCCTTCTACCAGGGTTGTTTTCGTGAATCGAATGACTCGGTCATTCAAACAACCTGTAAGTAACCTCGTTCCCCGTCGGTAGGTCCATCAGACATGTGCAGAGGACGTGATGCATGGCATCTACGTCGATGTGGTAGAACGACCATGTACTTGGAAAGTAGTACCTGGGGACTCACTCCTTGACGTGAGTCGTAGTTGAAATCCCTTCCGGTCGCCGGAGCTTCCAACGGCTTCAAACTCGCTGACTTCCCCGACTACCAGTGAAGACCCGGAAAGGTGGGTACGATACTCGATTCGAGACGCAGGATTCCCCCGTCATGAAGATAAGGTGATGCTAGATGTCGAGTAACGCCGGAACCATAGCTGAAGTTGTTGTGCCCGTCTCGATGGCTGTGGGCCGATTGCCGCGTTTGTCGGAAGTAAGGATGGTTCAGGTACGCCGATAGGAAAAACTGGGAATGGCCGAGCACTAATCATAAGTAAGTCGGGCGGACGTCGACGGAGTGACTGGAATATTCGAGTAATCCGGTCAGTCAAGCCGTCCCTGATGTCACTGCGAAGTAGGCTTACCTCTGGCAACCCTCAGAGATCGCGGGCGAGCCCAGCGGACCGATACTCAACGAAATCGTGGCCATATGATAACCGTATGTGATACCTGGCGGAATATAGCTTGCCCTTCCTCCGACATCAATGCAGTAGCCACCGACACGGGATCGTCGTATTTTCAGCTGTCCAGCACCGCCCTCAAAACCTAAGAAGTGTGACGAGATGTATCCGGGAGTCGATGACGGGCGGAAGCTCTGAACGTCTCGGAGGAAGGATCGACTGTTGAAGGACTCTCGTTTCGTGTGGCGGTATGGCGGCGGTGGGTGAGGAAATGTGCGTGAGTAGAGATAGATAGGATGTGACGAGACAGTAGAGCTGTTGATCTGAGGAACATGGTCGTTCCATCATAGGGGTTCGATTGGCCGTGCCGATTCGCTTCGCTACTCAATAAGCGAGGTGACAACAATGGTCGTCATTGTTGCCACTCGCTCACTCGACGTTGTTGGAACGAACTAGCACCTCCGCTTCGTAGTAGGAGAATACTCTCCCAGCATTGACCCACACCACCGCAGCCAATACACCACCCTCCACACACGTCCCCCGCATCCCATTTTGTGCCGCCCCACATCAATCATCATTTCTTTTTCATCGTTCAAGATACAATCCGTTCCCATTTCGCGCCACCCCCACATCGATCACCACTTCTTTCTCATCATTCAATACACAATCCGTTAACGTCATCGAATCGTTTCGATATCGAGGCTGCAACCCTTTCACGAATTTCCATACTACGCCGTCTCTTCGCCCGCTAGAACGCACCACACATCGCTCGAACCCGCTCCGGAACGAATACACCACGACCGGACAATGGCCGACGCCGCGAGACTCCGCTTCTGTCTGAAGGAGACCGCCCTGATCGCCACGCTTTACGTCAGTCTATCGCTTATGGCATTCTTCATCAACCGCCTCAAATTCGTATCCAACCCCTCCAAGTCGTCCGCGACCATCGGCCGCGTTTTGATCGTCCTCGCTGCAGTAGCGTTTGGGGCCGTCGCCGTCCTCCTCCAGCTCCGCATCGTCTTCGTTGCGAGAAATCGCGCAAAGCAGCTGTGGATCGAGGAACAGCACGCCGCCGCTCGCATACGTGTCGCCCTCAGGGAAGCGGAAGGCTTCCGCACGCCAGAACCGGGAATCGATGGAGGAGCGGATGGGTCGGATGATGAGGCGGAAGGTGCAACTCAGGGACGCAATGAGGAGCGGCATGCAAGGGAGAGAGAGGAGGATTCGGGGACCCAGTTCGGTGAGGGGGCAGGCGATATAGAGCTACAGGATTGGGTGCGAATTGACCGGAGCGATTCTCAAGATCGCGATGGCACAAATAGCCTAGGGCGGGCGTCGTCGTCGGAGGATATGCCAAGCGAGGAGGAGCAGCGGGAGGCGGCCCGGATAGCAGTCTTGGAGGAACGAATCGGACGCATCTTGTTCGGAAACGATCATCACGCGGGGAGATGGCATGGGTCCGCACGGAGAGTCGAGCAGCATCCGCATCGTTCCCCAGTGCGAGGAGAGTCCAGTAACACGGGAGCTGCACACGAAGGCCGACGTCGTTTTTTCGCTGGAAAGACCGACCATATCGCGATGGCTCCACCTGATATCGATTCCGTCCGTGATGTCGGCACCGGAGGTGGATGGTGTCGCCGAGGGGCAGAACGGGAGATGGCCACGAGGCTTGCCCATTATCTCGGGTGACTGGGAGGAGGATTTACATTCTGCATGATGACTGCTTGACTACGTGACTGCGTGACGATATCATGGAAGTGCTTACTGTCGTTGTATAAACACGGGGTCTTCGGGAGATTTGCTGCTGGTGTTAAGGCGAATCATGATGGCATGTTGGGATGTGTTACTCGGAGAATAGAACTGTGTGATGGTTTCAAGATAATTGACCGAGAATCCGTCCCCAATGTGATCGTGCCTTCATCAAAATCTGAGGGATCCAAGCCATACATATTGGAATTCCAACACATGGTCTACCCTATTCTTTGGGTTCCTAATGGATATTTTTCAGCGAGCCCAGAATGACAATATTATGGAACTAAAATGCTCTCACTCAACCTCTCGGAGCTTGTGCTGAGGTCTGCCTAGATACTTATGCAAGATGCTTTCTGTCGCTTGGCTACTGGAACTTGCGACTTGTACAATGTAGGTAGGATACTTCCTGGGCTGATAGGCTACCAAACTTACCTCCGAAAGACGTGACGAGACTCCCCTCAGCTTTACCGTGCCTCCTCCTGCTTGTCGTATGCCGATAATTGGATTGAGCCCAAAAAGATGAATGAGTACGTGATGGGGGCTGAAGAAGCACGTGAGAGGCTGACCGGAGGTGTGGCTGAAGCCTATCCGAGGCGCTAGTCTGTTGCTGGTAAACGCCACTGGATGTACCGGTACATCACAACGATCCAAAGAAGGTGGATTCTGGGCAGTAGATATAGAGAGAGGGCCTTTTCACGTCACACTTCTTTGAGGCGGTCACTGCCGTAGATCACTTCTCCCAGGTATACCTCACCTCGTCTGTCAATGCTGCCAACTCTCTCAAACGTCATTCGGTGGCAGAAATAAGCTCAAGCCCAAGCTCAAGGTCCGAGATTCCCGAACACCCCACAGATAACGTATTTCCGCACCCCCATTTCGCTCTGCTAAAGACGTGTTTGACCCGTTCAAATTCAGCCTTATTCCTGCCACGCGTTGCACTCCGAGGACAGCCGATTACCCGCCGGCCATCACCCCCGAAGCTGCCAGCTTGGACATCAAGCCCTATCTCAGAGGTTCATACTTGACCGACGATATCGCCGACTTCATTCCAGGCTGGCTTAGCTTCCGGCCCTCATCACGGCCTCACCCTTTCCGAGTCGCTCCACATCAAGAGCACCAGATCGACGGAAGAAAGCATCTCCCCGCTACGGATCTCGCCCGAACAGACTTCCGACCACCCGAACGAGATTTACTGTGTGCATCGCCCCCAGACCGCCTACCTCAACGTTTTCGAGGCTAGTAATTGTCCATCTGGACTATGTAAAACACTGGCGCCTTGACCCAGGTTCGTCAGGCAGCTCGGTGCCGAGTCCGCCGAGCTGGTTCGTCAGCTTGGACTCTTCCGGGTACCTCACCACTTGATCTTCCTTTTTCTCGAGTCTAAAATAAGGTTTTGCGCAGAAATTCAGCCGATTCATAGGAATAGATGAATAGTGCTAGATATCCGATGTTTCTGTGGTGTAATGGTTTGCACGCAGAGTATTCTTCACGATAGTATCTGCTGGTACTGAAGTTTATCTGGAAAGGTCCTAGTTCGAATCTGGGCAGAACCGATTTAATTTTCCCCTGCTGAGGGGATTTAAGCTTTCGCTTGGTGGGTTGGAGCGGTGCGGTGCTACCGCCCACTTCATTCAGGAATACCATAGCTCAGCTTCCGGCCCTCATCACGGTCTCATGTATTCCGACCCTCACCGCCACAAGAGCACCAGATCGACGGAAGACAGCATCTCCCGCTACGCACAGTATCACTGGTATTTCAACGGGATTTACTACATCGCTCCCAGCCCGTTTGTCTCAAAGTTTTCGAGGGCAAGAATTGCCCGTCCGGACCAGTGTTCTACATAGACCAGTCCCGACCAAATTTGGGTATGGTCGGGTCGGTCGGGATATATCCCTACTAAAAAAAAGTCTGGTCTGGTCAGTCAGCTTATATCCCGACCAAAAAAAATCCAGGTCTGGTCGGTCGGGATATATCACGACCAAAAAAAAGTCTGGTCTGATCGGTCGGGATATATCCCGAACATAAATTTTCAAGTCGGGTCGGGATATATCCCGACCGACCAGACATAGGTCGGGTTTAGTCGGGTTAAGCAACAACATTTGACGTCGGAAATGCTCTAAGACCGCCAGAAATTAACGAAACTTTTTGCGGCTGGTAGAATTAAGAGTTAACCCGACGGCGGCCGACCTAGGCCGACCGAGGCTGGCAAGGTCTGGTCGGTCGGGATATATCCCGACCAGAAAAAAATCAGGTCTGGTCCAGTGTTCTCCGTAGTCCAGTCCGTCCGTCCTGAGTCCCGGACTGGACTGGACTACATACATCCAGTCCGTCCGGAGGTGTCATTCGGACGGACTAGTCCACCAGTAAGGTCGCACGGGACGGACTGCAGTCTACTGCAGTCGACTGCCAAGACTGGTACAAGGCGACAGAAATCACGATAGAAAGTCGGCGGCGTATTATCGGTGGTTGTGGTGGTTGAGGGGGGTATATGCGCACGGACTCAAGATGACACCGCGGCGTTGATGGCACTTAACAACTAATGTGGCGTAGGTTGTGGCGTAGTTTATTGCTCCTGGACGAAGATTGTGGCGCCGCATACTCGGTACTGGACGAAGATGGTGTCGCCGCTCACGGTTTTGCTGGCACTGGACGGAATTCAACACACGATAGTGGGAAATACAATCAAAGTTGGTGGGATAAGTGCTGAAAATAGTGGCATTCTTGCAGACAGGATTTCTGCCATGGACACCACCGGATAGTCGCCGTCACAGACGGAAAGCGAAGGAACTGTTCACGGGCGATATCAGACGGTCTTGGTAAGCGGCGCGCAGGCATTGATTCCTCAATTGCTGCTACTAACTTCATGCTACATACTACCGTACATACTACTCCATCACATTTTTCTTAGGAGGGAACCTGTCCCTACGTTTCCAGCGGACTGATCAACCCCACTAGAAACAGTACAAACAGGAAGCACATATTCCGGTCCCCTTCTTCTCCTTCTCCTTCTCCTCCCCTCAGCCCCAGCGGCAGTGGGCCACTTAAGCGATAGTAAGCTTATTTCCCGCACCGGCGATGACCTGCGCCTTCGTGTCCGCGGTCGCGGCGAGGGTGAAGCTGTAGGGCATAGCGGTAAGGGTACCTACGGGGGCCTCGTTGACACCGCCGCCAAAGTCGTTTCCGGTGGCAACGGCGAAGCCCTCGTCGGTGGCGTACAGCGGCGAGGTGACGTTCTGGAACACGTTGTTCTGAATGAGCATCTGCGCACCCTGGCGCGTGTTGATGCCCAGGCTGATGTTCTCGTAGTAGTTGTTGAAGACGTGGCCGGTTCCGAAGCGCAGCGAGGGCGCGCGCGAGTTGATGTTCTGGAAGTAGCTGATGGGAGGTTAGTAAGCGTGGCATTAGGGGCGCGGAAGCTGTATAAGAGACTTACTTGTGCTTGTAGGTGACCGTCAAGTGTCCCTTGTCTTCAGAACCGTTGTTGTCCGAGTGGCCGACTAGCGAGGTCTTGTAGTGGTCGTGGAAGTGGCAGTAAGAGACGGTGACCCAGTCGGCTTTTGCGGAGTTAGCACACAATCCTTGTTCATTAGGGGAGGCAGAAGAGGTCTTACATCCGTGGGTGATGTCGAGGAGACCATCGTAGTAGTCCTTGTTGTGGGTCATGTCGGAGGAGAACTCAACGTGGTCGACCCAAACGTTCTTGGACGCCTGGATTCCGATCGCATCCACCGGCTTGAGGACCTTGGACGTCTTGATGTTGCGGATGATGACGTTGTTGTGCCTCCAGATTCTAAGACCGATTCCAACCAGGCCTACCGGGAGATATTAGTAAACTCCCTCACGATACTCTTAGTTACAGAAGGTACGTACCGGAGGCGGAGTTCTTTCCAAGGACACTGGTGTTGGAGCCGATGTCGACCATGGAGGTACCAGTGATGGTTCCGCTGATGTAGACGATCTTCTTCTCATCACCGGCGACGGCAGCAATCAAGCCGGCCTCCGTAGTGACGGTAGTGACTGTGCCACCAATTCCACCGGTAGTGCCTATCAAAGTTGGGCGAATCAGCTATCCACCTTTGCACCTCTCCTCGCCCAAGGAAGAAAGGTATGTACATACCTCCGTTCATGGTGGCGTATCCAACCGGGGCCGCCTCACTGGCCTGGCGCTTGACAATCGAGGGGGCAGCCTAAACAGTATCCTGTCAATGTGCGTCCTCATTGCCCATGAAAGAGAGAAGAAGTCTTACGGAGGTGAGCTGCAGAAGACCCACGAGGGCCCATCCGATGATTTCAAACTTCATGCTGCTGGGAGTTGTCGTATGTAACGTGATGGGAGTGATATTCGATATAGTGAATGGAAGCTTGAAACCGTGAGTGGATGAAGAAATCCAACTATCATTCAGCTTCGAAGCCCTCCCTATTATAGTATTGATGGGCCTTCGCGATCACTGTGTATCTCGGCCGCAATTGTCACGAATGGTTTCTGCAACGACATGAAGCTCGGTGAAAATCGTCAAGACGTCCAGTGCCCGAGGTCCTCCTTTCTTTGGTGCAACATGGAGTAATAAACACAGTGCGACAAATCATGATATACGGGATAGTGTTCGTGCCCTTGCACCGGTGGCAGACGTATAGTATAGTATCATACGGCAGCTTTTCGAACTCTGGAACTCGCACATCTCTCCCTTCAACTGGCAACTTTGGGATGCAAAGAATACTAGTTCCGGAAGGTCGCGGTCGACATGAAACGAAAAGTGTGGTGATGATGGTGATGGTGGTGGATGTCCGATGCCACGAGTAGAGTGCGTTCGCATGATATCGGATACCGGTAACCTGGGCAACCAAAAGTTTCTTCGGATACATAGCCACATAGGCACAACCGTTAATATAAACGGTTCCGGAATTGCCGGGGTGCTGGACCCCACGAGCACCACCACCACCCCCGCCGCCGCCTGCCGTCTATATCCAAGCCGGATATACTCTATGTACCACTCCACCATACACCATCTCCACACCCAATATCCCCCCCGCTTAGAGAAATTAACGGGACCGGCGGGTTCTATGTAGATGACATGGACGGAATAATATATAGCTGCCCTGAGCTAGGTACAATTGCCAAGTTTCTCCATGAAATTGGAACACAACATATATAGACAGCCTGTAGGCCGTGCGCGCACCTACATGTGAAAGATGTAGAGTACCCAGCCAACTAGATATGTAAGCATTATCAACACTGCGGAGTTGTTGAATATATGTATAAGAAGTATGTATGGTATACCTATATCAGGCTGGAAGGGAGCTAGCAGAATCTCAGCCGTGGCGGTCTCAAAGGACGATAGATACCGCCACTGGAATATCGATCTGAGAAGAATCAACAAAACAGGTTCCTCAGCTCGATAGAGGTTTCAGTACCCAGCTCTTCCCCCCGACCAAGTCGTTTTGCCGTAAGTTTATTGTTGCGTGTTTCGCTGATCATTCTTCAGCCTTTCCCTGGCGCCGCGCCGTGCCGCTAGTCGGCGAAACTGTCTGAATAGCCACTCTGTATTCATATAGTAGCCTGTAGGCCAAACGTCCTAAGACGGGCTGGCAGGCTACAATTGCCGCTGAGCCTTACATCTCCCGCAATAGAGGTATATAAAGTTTTATAGTACGCTGCAGTAGGCAAGCTATTTGGGATATGTGGGGGGCGGGGGCGGGGGCAGGGGCGGGGGCGGGGGCTAGGACATGAAGATGAAGCCCCGCAGGCCGATACCGTAATTACCCTATACATTTCCTGTCTGCTCATGAGGACAAGGTAAGAATATAGTGGCAGTTACTGGTTTGAGTGTTCACCCGAATTCCTGGTCGTGCTCTTGGGTATGTAGAATATGTAGGCATTCTAGCGCCGTTTCACCAGAAACGAAGTGAACTCGGGGGCGACTCCTCCATTGCGACAGCTGACACTATGCGAGGCGCCATCCGACAGCGCTTGGCAATATTGCCCTCTGCGTCAGATGCGGACCGGTATTTATGCATGTATATACCTCCACCACAGTGCCTCGACCCGCTTCGTATTGGCTTTTTGGATTGCACCGTGCTTCGTCTGCGGGGTATCTGTTTTCCACTCGCCGACTCGGGGAAGTGGCAACGACATCCGCAAGTGGGGAACAAATACCGGGACAGTCCGCAGCTCCGTCTCATGCGACGGCGGATGGCAAGCGAGCTGATTCGGCACTATGTTTCGCCGGATTGAGGAGAAGACCGACATCGACATGGTGAACATGAGACGCGGAGAAGGGAATGACGGGAGTGCGGTCAGATCGCGTTCACGCTTTCCAAGGACCTGGACGTGACGTCGTCTCGGCTGCGTAGGGGCAACGACTATGGTTCCAGCACTGTTGGCCGTGGTGTGTTCGAGATTGATGCCGCCGCACCGGCCGTGAGCATCGGACTCCGGAGCGGGGCCAGTTTCCTCCGCTAGCTATTGTTTCATGCACTCGTGGCGCCGGGGTGGTACAGCCTGATCGCCGGGCGCCGGGGTGGCTGTCATATAAAGATAAAGCCTGATCGCCAGGCACCGGCTATAACTACACCCATGATCCGTGTGCCGCCACCCCCGTCCATCGAACCCGAATACGAGGGAGATGCTACCTAGTCCCGTCAGAGCCTCTTGGCCCTACATGCCATCCTTCGAGAAATTATGGTTCGCAGACGCTTATCGGAACGCCCCGCCGTGCAGGACCTACCGAGTATCATATTCCCCCACCCGTCGGCGCCGGTACAACCAGTAGCGAGGTGCCCTGCGGTCGGGTGTCATTGCTACCCATCTGATCTTCGTTTCCGCTTTCCAGCTAGGCGGGGGCAAATCAAGACCTCCGCGGCGCCGGCAAGGGAGCCGGCTATATCCGCGTCTTCTGCTTTTCTCGGCAAATACAACGTCGGATCCTCTCCGTGAGCAGCAAGATGGAACTCACTATATAGGCAGCTTGATGGCGAGATCCATCCAGAGCTACCCCAAAGGTTCGGTGTACATACCTACTCCAGTGGTGAAGATCGTCATATCCGCACGTCCAGTTTTCCCCGCTCGGAGTAGGTTACTTCGAGAGTCACTATGGACCTCGTTACCACCCACGATCTGGGTTCGGGGTTACGCTCTTAGTCCGGAGGCCTCGGATCAGACACGGTTGGGGACACTATCTTCGGCGATAACGACGAGACGTGGAGTTACTAAGACTGAATAGAAATGGGAACCACACACACGACGGCCCTTGATGTTCTATACCATTTCTCAGAAAGATAGAATGCGGAGACAGGAGTAGATAGATAAACGACGGTACTGCTGTTGTTCAGATTCTCGTCGGGCTGCAGTGCCTCTGGACATGCATGCTCACTCGATCGAATGCACGACTCTGTGAACGTGATCTGCCAGTGTCTGAAGCGCGCGGTCCGTTGCGGGCTGTGGAGAGCTTCACCGATACGTAATATAGGAGGGCCATCGTGATCGCAAGTCATCTCCAGCCATCCGCACGTCCATTAATTATGCCATCACAGTATGTACCTATAGCCGGAATATTGAGGAGTACCTATCGCCATCTCGTGCACAAGCCCTTGGTATATAGCTTTGGGCCATGGTCACTACTTCGAAGTTCGTCGTTGGTACTTTCCATCGAGTGGTGGGGCACGCACTGTACTTTATGAGGTTTGAATTCATGTATCCAGCACGGAAAAAACCCCGTCTAGGGGTCTAGACCATGCATTAGTTGAGGAAAGCTGTGGGTTCAAGCCCGAGTGAAAACACTCAGCTCTTGGGGTTTCCAAGCCACCCACCGGGGCTAGTGAAGGTTTTTATTTTTGTTTTTGGCAAGACGGGTGGTGCACTCAATATCACTCATCAATATCAGAAGACAAGGGTTGGAATGTAAAGAAGAACTTGGCTTGATTGATGTATTGATACGAGAAACATGAGAAAGAAGACTGCTTATAAAGGGAAACGAGCTCGTGTAGACGACGAGAAGGCCGGGCCTCAGACAGAAGATGCGACGAGAGTGGTCGCCGGACTGGGCTGGGGCTTGAAGGTTTCCAGCTGACGAGGCTGATTATGATGAGAAGCCACAGACAAATCCATAGATAATGTTAAGCAGCCACGAAGGAAATGAGGGCAGTATGCAAAGGGTAGTCGAAAGTAGACAGTGGAAAGTAGCAGTGACTCCGGAACAGACAACAAGACGCATAATATCAACAACAAGCCTTGCGCTGTCGGCTTTTTTGGAGTTTAATCATCATTACGTTTGACCTTAGTAGATCGTGGCAGATTAAATATCTGCTTTTACTCAGCAGTTGGTACCGGCCGCTGGCCGCAATCTTTATACCAGTTCCCTAGTATTGTTCTCCGTCCAGCACCTCAGTCCAATGTCCACCGTCAGCGGGAACGTCACAGGTCAGGTATGTAGGAATGCTCACGATACTGAAGGGAGATTCTACTGGTTTGAGCGGTGGAGGGGACGGCTGGTGAAGTAGAGATTGAGATAGGATCAATGATGCTTCTTCTGTTCGAATTCGGAAGGGCGGGAAAAATTGTAAAGTGATGAAGATATCGATCGTGAGTCATGGCACCGGTCGACGCAAAGGTAGTGGAAGGCGTGAGTTAATGGCTGACTTGGGTTCTCCCTACAAGGTGATGTGGTGCCGCGGTGGCACAACGGTGGCAAGGCGACGACGATTCGATCTGGCAGACGCCACTTCGTCGTTGAGTTGTTATTATCCATCGCGGGGTAGTACCCATCACTTTATGAGGTTCGAAATCATGCATCCAGCGCGGAAAAAAACCCCGCGTGGTCTAGTGGTTTAGACCATGCAATCGGCAAGGGGAGTTGAGGGAATGCCCCCGGTTCAAACCTGGGTGAAAGCCCTGTCAGCTCCTGGGGTTTCCAAGCCACCCGTCGGGGGTGGTGAAGGTTTTCGTTTTTGTTTTTGGCAAGGCGGGTGGTGCAAGGAATATCACTCGCCAATGTGTATCACGTGACACGCCTTGCCTTCCGCTGCCGGTTGTTTTTTTGGCTTTTCGGCCACGGCGGGTGCAGGGAAAGCAACATCGGGCCTCCTGATGAAATTTGGGATGGACACTGGCGGGAAACGGGGGTGAAAGAGTAGATATTGCCATGATCTAGATAGGCCGCATGCAATCAATGAAGGAACAAAAAAAGCTGCCGGCTATTTTTTGGGGTTTTAAGCATCATTACAATGTTCGACCTTGGTAGATAACGGCAGATCTTATTGTAGTACATATATTGAGTGTTGAATTTCGTGCAGTACCAGCAACGCCGGCGCGCGTCATCTTCATCCAGTGCCCCTAGGTGCTACACTCGTACCGTACTACCCTCAATCACCGCATCCACTGATGTTACGCCACGGAGCTTTCTCTGTTGTGATTCATGTCGCCTTACGATGTTTTTTCGCTGTACTCGTACCAGTTTTGGCATTCGACTGCAGTCCGTCTAACACACACCTCGGGATGGACTGGATGTATCATGTAGGTAGTTTGATCCCGTCCATGGGCCCAAACAGACTGAACCGAAGTATATAGAACATTGATCTTATATCCGCGATGGATAAAAGTAAGCTTTTCCAAGCTGCCGCGACTCATGATGCCCCCAAAAATGGAGGGTTTCATCACTTCTTCCCACCCCCTGATTCGCCCCAACCCATCAAGCGAAACCTTAAATCCCCCAGCAGGGGAAAATAAATCGGTTCTGCGCAGAGTCGAACTGGGACCTTTCCAGATAAACTTCAGTACCAGCAGATACTATCGTGAAGCAACTCTGCGTGCTAACCATTACACCACAGAACCATCGGATATCTAGCACTGTTCATTTATCACTATGAATCGGTCGAATTTCTGGGTAAAGCCTTATTTTAGACTCGAGTAAAAAGGCAAATCAAGAGGTGAGGTACCCGGGAGAGTCCAATAGGCCTGCTCATCCGTCTCCGCTGATCCTTGCACTGCAAAAGTTGTCCATCCCGTCCACCGATTTGCTTGACGGGGCTGGACTGCAATCCACTGAGGCAGCGCGACCCGACAAGAGTAACCGCGTGGAGGCTTCTGCGCGCGGATCGCATGTACCATCGGCTGCTGCCGTTAGTCCGTACGTAGCAGGTGGCGAAGTACCTGGCATGGAAGGCTACCCCCCCGTCGACGATTTATTGCGGGTTGGTAAGAGCGGATACTTCGGACGCCGCAGACGTACATACACGACCCATTCGGGGCACAGCACGGCTTACAATAATCCGACAAATCCTTCATGTTGGGTTCAAATGAATCATGCACAGGATATCACTCGCGACCCTCGCTTATGTTTCAGAACGATGATTTGATAGTATTCAGGTGCCCAACCTCTGCTTCGCAGGCAGCGTATACCTCCAATTATCAAAACGGAACCCCATATGACGAGCCAATTCTCCCCACGACACGCTACAGGAAATCATCACCACCCACGACGACCCGGATGTTGGCTTTCACAACCCACTCCACCTCTCTACCGCAGACCGGGCACAGTACCGTCTTCTCGGTGCCGTCGCGCGTGTTCTTGGCCCAGCAGACTTCGTGGATGCCCTTGTCACCGCAAGGCTGCAGCGTGGGAACTGTCGTGGACGGCATCGGGCTGAAGCAGATCTTGCAGTTGGCTGGATTTCCAGACATCTTTGCTGTTGTTGCTAGCGGTGCTTCGATGGTTGCTGTGCGGGATCGATAATTGGTTGTCTTCGTTCGTTTGTGCATTCGTTTATGCGTTCGTGCGTATCTTCCTGGGCGTGTGTAGATGTGTGGTGAGGGCTAAGGTAGGATGGCAAGACAGAGTTGGGAGGGTTATTTATGAGGCGGCAGGAAGGGGGGCGGGGAGGATTCAAGGGGGATCAGTGAAGCTGAACGGTTGAATCATGAATGCCCGATACGTTGGTGGGTCCAATTGAAGATCAACAGTCAACCTCTTGAAGTTTCAGCCGGATCGCAAAAACAGCCGTGCTTCATGTCTCACTCGTGCTTTCTATCATGCAACCGTTTCGGATGCGCCGAGAGAAGCAAAAAAAAGAAGGAAGATGGAAAATAAAGTAACCACCGTAGGGCGATTCATATTAGTATTTTTTCCCCAAAACTCTAGTCGTAAAATATGGCTTAGTCAGGGTTTTCAAATTCCAGCTCTGATTGTCGAATATGGCTTCCTCAATCCTGAGTGCAGTGAAAATCAGTCCCGACTCGTAAGCCTTCTGCAACGCCTACTGGCCGGCCCGCCTTAGAAGCCCATAAGGGTTTCATATGGGCTCTGTAGGGAATTTTGGAAAATAAGGATTAGTAAGGCTTATACGCTCAAAAGGTTTCCATAGTGGCTCTTCTGTGAGAAGCCCCATCTCAATGTCAAACTTATCACGTATCAATGGTCTTCACTTGACGATGACTGACTTGTTCCGTACCCTTATATACCTAAACTACTCTTCTTCCCCGCTTCCCAGTCTCCTACTCACCATACTGTGTCCCCCTACTGTCCCTGACCGTGGATACCGGTCTGGCAGCGACAGGATGAAGAGGAGAAAGTGATGGAGGAACTATCAGGGAAAGGAGGAGTTGCAGCGATGGTAACTGTAAGAGATAGTAGTATCAGCAAGAGAATCTATCCGGGAATGTAGGAGCTGCAGCAGGAGTAGTAGCTATATGAGAGGTGAGATATCAGCGAAAGTATCAGTAGTTGCGGTGGGAGTAGCAGTTGCGGCAAGAGTAGCAGTTGCGGAGGGAGTAGCAGTTGTGGAGGGAGTAGCAGTTGCGGCGGGTGGAGGAAGTGGAGGAAGTGATGCAGAAGCTGTCACCGAGAGGTGAAAGTGATGGGGGAGCTGCGGGCGAGAGAAGGAGCTGTCAGCGAGGCGATGAAGTGATGGAGGACCTATCTGGGACTGGACGGAAGCTTACCAGGCCTGGTGATTGGGGAGCTGTGGCGAGAGGAGGAGCTGTTAGAAAGATGAAGAGGACGAGCCGTGGGCTCGAGAGTTTTAAACTGCAAAAATCATATCTGTCTTCAGCAAAGTCTGCGCGCGTCTAAAAATACGTGAGGACATTATCTGGCGGGTTTGATTGAAGCCGATGAATTCTTGTGGGAAAGAGGGGGAGCTGTCGGAGCTGTCTCTCTCTCTCTCTCTCTCTCTCTATCACATCATCATCTACGGAATAGACGAACAACCCCCCCCCCCCCCATCTCCACTCTCTCCTCTGCAGTGAATGCTAGAGCTTTTGTCGGCCCCCGCACTCAGTGCAGCGTGCGTTGGGCACAACATCTCCTGCTCGGAGTGCCAGTGCCAGTGCCAGACAACACAAGGCGGATATAAGAATTTCCGTGTCACGCAGTCTGATTTTCGCATATGAGCTACTAACTCATAAGAGTGATAGAGCCCATAGTTCGAATAAGGGCTCATTGAAAACTTACATCATAATGGGTTTTCTGTCCTGGGCTGATACATCCCATCATGCTTCACAAAACCTGCCAGGTTCACAGTCATTATTGTACGGCAGTGCTGTGCATTTCAACAATGACGATATGGGCCTGACGAAAGCTATGAGGCTTACAAAGTTACAAGGCCAATTTAGGTGATGGTGGTTATTGCTGCATATGCATTATGTAGGAGTTACGACAATTTTAGGGAAATGAGATCATCAGCCTTAGTTTAACACAGCCCTTACGGAGGCCTCACGAGCTCAACGGGCTTATAGCTGGCTAATACGAGGACTGTTTGCCTATTCAAGCCCTACATAAGGCTAACGACATTAGTACACGGCTCAATATGGTAGGTACTGTCTTTCGGAACTGTATCGCGGGGTCGAGGGGTCGGGAATGAGGGCGGTGTTTCATTGTTGTGTCATGGCGGAAAATGGAAATCCTGTCTGCAATATGCAAGACTGGCTCCTCTCCACAGGGTGACCTGGCGCAGCGGTGGTGCAACCGTGGCAAGGCGATGGGGACTGTGATCTTGCGGATGTCACTTCGTCGTTGTGTTGTTATATTCCATCGCGGGGACACTCCCCACTTTATGAGCATGCATCGAGCTTTCCATATGTGAAGGCGACTATATGCGGCGGTGCACATGGCGGAAAATTGAAATCCAGTCTGCAAGACAGGTTCCTCTCCACAGTGTGATGTGGTGCAGCGGTGGGGCAGCGGTTGCAAGGCGATGGGGATCTGATCTGGCGGACGTCACTTCATCGTTGTGTTGTTATTATTGTCGATCGCGGTGGGCACGCACTACTTCATGAGGTTCGAATTCATGTATCCAGCACGGAAAAAACCCCGCGTGGTCTCGTGGTTTAGACCATGCAATCGGCGAGGGGAGTTGAGGGAATTTCCCTGGTTCAAACCCGGGTGAAAGCCCTTTCAGCTCTTGGGGTTTCCAAGCCACCCACCGGGGGGTGGTCAAGGTTTTTGTTTTTGGCAAGACGGGTGAAGCACGATATATCACTCGGAAGTAGATATCACGTCATACGTCTTGCGCGGCCGGCTTTGTTTTTTTTGCTTAAGCATCGTTGCATTCGACCGCAATAGAACAGATCTTGGCAGATTACATGTCCTGTTTCCAACCTGGCTGTTGGCACGAGCGCGAGGTCAATAGGTCTCTCCGCCCAGCCCTTCCCGCGAGTCAACCATCCCCAATCCTTGCGCTGCAAAAGTACTCCGTTCTGTCCCGTTCGCAAGCTTACTGGACGGAGGCGACCTGTATTTAATTTCAACCTGTCACGTCTGGCCTTTCTGGCGGTCCGGTCTATTTAATTCACACCTCCGATCAACTAGATGTGTGTAGTCCAGTCCCATGCATGGACCCGACGGAGGGCAAGATCGCACTACGAAGACCAATGCTCGTGTATTCGAGATCATTAAAAGCAAGAAGCTTCACGTTACTATGAGGACTCCGCCGAAGAGATGGGAAGTTTTCTGGCGCGTTCCCCTCGCATCATATGACACCGCGCCGTGCCAACCCACCAAACGAAAGCTCAAATCCCCTCAGCAGGGGAAAATTAAATCGGTTCTACCCAGATTCGAACTAGGACCTTTCCAGATAAACTTCAGTACCAGAAGATACTATCGTGAAGAATACTCTGCGTGCAAACCTTTACACCACAGAACCATTGAATATCTAGCACTGTTCATCTATGACTATGAATCAACCGAATTTCTGGGCAAAACTTTATTTTAGACTCGAGCAACAAGGCGCGACATGTGCGTAGAGGGCCTATTTGATTACTGTCGTTCGGAACTGTATCCCGGGGTCGGGAATGCGGGCGGCACTTTCACACGACACCTTTGGTCTGCTTTGTTTTGGTTTAACCATCTTTGCATTTGACCTTGTAGATCATGGCAGACTATCCGGTTGCACCCCCCAGCTGTTGGAACCTACCGCTGATCGCGAGATCGATACCAGTTCCGTCGTATTGCTCCCGCTCCCTGTGCTTCAATAGCAGTCCACCTCGTGTCGTGTAGCAAGTACTTTGAGTGACGTTTGTCAATGCTGACCTCTCCCGCCGGAGCAGGTGTTGAGCTCGGGAGGATGAGCGGAGAATACCTCAGTCCACCGTCGGCGGGAATACCACAGGACAGGTATGTAGGAATTTTCACGCGGATGCTGACGGAAGTTTTTGCTGGTGGGAGCGGTGGAGGGGATTGCTGATGGATGAAGTGGAGATGGAGATAGGATCAACAATGCTTCTTCTGTTCAAATTCGGAAGGGAAGGGAAAACAGTAAAGTGATGAAGATATCGAGCTTAACACCGCTACGTAAAGGCAGTGAAAGGCGTAAACAAATAGTTATTTTGTAGGATTGCGGTGGTTGTGGAAGAGAATGGTTTGTGTGAGGGAGGGCGTATGGAAGAGGGTGCGAGAGAGTTCAGAGACTTGGTTACCTAGGACTTTACGTGTAGTACGTTGTGCCAACAGCAAGTAGTGAGGGCTGCTCGTTGGCAACCCTGCCGCCAATTCGGGGTCGTTGACCGAACCGGTCGTTCCGGCGGAACGACTTTATGAAATGAGCATCCAGTTTGTGGGTGGTGGGGTAAATTACCACCAGACTCACGGTCAAGATTACTGAGTGATTCGTTGCGCACGTTGCGGGCTGTACGCGGTTTACCATCGCTCGTGACCCTACCAAAACATCATGAAGCCCCGTGGCCGAGTTGGGAGTGGGTGAGATTCTTGCGTTGGAGTAGCTAACCGGCGGGAGTTCGAGACCTGACACCAACTTGGCGGGATAGGGGTGCTTTGTCTGCGGGCGCGTGGGTAAGGCCAGGGTGAAGGTGGCCTCCTGGGGCTTCACTTTTTGTTTTTTTCCAACTTCTCTTCACGTTCTTCATAATCCACGCCGCCAGTGTACTGCCTTCGGTGATCATGCAATTGCTGCGTTCGATCATCGCGTATAGTCACCCTGTCGTATGCAGCTGTTGATAATAGTTAAGATCGCCAATCACAACGTATCACCTGCGACAAGCGGCGAGTGATCGTTGGTGAGGGTCACCTGACGCGCTAGTATCGGCGCCGTTTTCGAGCAGTCAGTGGGAACCGTCAACGTCTTCGTAAGACGATGCGAGGGAGAAACTGGGGTGAGAGGTCTCAAATCCCTAATGGAGACTATGCATGCTAGATGGACAAGCTTACAGAGGAGGACCGGACTCCCCAAAGTCCGACGCCAGTGCCGGCACATAATAGCCGCCGCCTTCTGCACCGACCGCACATCTACTAGATATGTACCTCCGAGATCCGAACGGAAGCGGGCCGGACCGTAAATATCGCACTAAATGAGCTGCGGATAGCTACCTCCCCCGCACCAGCCGACGGAGTTACGGACATAGACGCCCCCCACACCAACCGAAGAAGCGGCGAAGAGCTATCTCCCCCGCACCAGCCGACGGAGCTGTGGAAATATAAGTTCCCGCACCAACGCTCGGGCAATCTGAGCACGTGGAAGTGGAGACTGATCTCACGTAACCCGGTACTTCCAATGTCCGGAACCGCGAGGGAAAAGGAAGGACAAGGATCGAAAGATCGGAAGGGAAGCATCCTGTCCAGGATGGATAACCCTCGGGAGTCGGGACAGGGGCGTCTACTATATGTGATCCTCTCCATCGGCGGAAACAGGGACGCCGAGCTGCACAGGGCACGCAGAACAAAGGAAGACTCGGGTTTAGGGAGGGAGGGCGATAACCGCTGTCGCCTTCAGCAACAAGCAGTTGAATTCTTTACCCACGGTTCGCTTGGGAAGTGCAGCCGATGATTGTGCTGTAAGCATCATATCGTGGCTGCGGGTGCATCAGTTGATGGGATGTCTTGATCCCAGCCACGTGACCCTGGCGCGTTTGGAGTCACGACAGGCTTCACCATTGGATCGCGCTACGAGGAGGCTAACAGGAGCGCCACCAAGTATTAGTGACATTGCCCCGCAACCTCATACCGTAGATAACCGTATTCGCATCCCCTTCTCACATGCGCCAAATCACATTTTCCAACGCCTCGCGATGTCCACCCGTGTCTTGGTAACAGTGCCAATCTTCTCTTTGCAGCGGATTTATGCCCCGCAGTGCCGAATACAGTTGGATCCACAGGGGCAGGTGCCCCATAACACACCAGGTGGCCCCCGACCAACGAAACATCAACTCACCAACTACACAGCACCATGAATGCCACCGAATCACCACCAGGCTCATCAGTGCTTTACGCGTACCTGCAACTCGCGCTTCAGAACTGGCCACTGATTCTGACCGGCTGGTTCGTGCTCAGCTGCGTGCGGAGCATCTGGTTTCACCCACTTAGCCGCTTCCCTGGCCCTGTCCGTACCTGATTCCTCTAGCCTCCATGACGTCTTCGGGCCGACTGCTGACTGCCACAGTTCTGGGCGAAGGTAACGCGCTGGTACTGGGTGAGGGTTCTCACCTCCGACAAGCAACACCTCATCTTACAGGACCTCCACCGTCAATACGGCCCTGTCGTCCGAATCTCACCAAACTTCGTTAGTGTTTCCGACCACCGCGCCGCAAAGGTCATCTACGGTCGCGGTCCCAATGCGCTCGCGAAGAGCGAGCAGTTTGGCTCCAGCTTTGCGCCCGATGTCGAGCCGCCAGTGTTCTTTGCCCGGACTCCGAAACTGCACCAGATGACGAGAAAAAGGGTTGCAGGCGCGTACACCATGTCGTCGATTCTGGAGATGGAGTCGAGTATTACCGAGTTGGTGGAGGAGTTCATGGGTCACATGCGCAAGCACGCGAAGGAGGGGAAGGATATCGACTTTTGCGAGTGGGTTAATCATCTCAACTTCGATATCATCAGCTCCCTCGGCTACGGCAATGCATTTGGGTTCATGAGGACTGGTCAGGACGTTAATGGATATGAGGAGGCGCTACATGTGGGCTCTTCCTACCTTCCTCTTAGCCGTAACCCCCAGCGCTGACTGTGCTCAAGGGCGGCACCCTCCTCTTCGCCATCTTCGGAACGTTCGGCGAGCTCGAAAAGATTTTAGGATTCATGAGCAGGACGTTGTTCAAGATGCCGGCGGACAAGGGAATTGGCCATCTCATGGCGCTCGCAGACAAGCTCATCCGAGATCGCGTCGAGAATCCAACTTCAAGGAAAGATCTACTGAATCATTTCCTAGCTGCAAAGCGTGAGGATGGCAGCCCATTACAACATGGAACAGTCGTGGGAGAGGTTATGGCTACACTCATCGCCGGGGCCGAGTGAGTAGTCATCCCGTCGAGCATGCACACGTCCTCGCTAAGTGAACCCACAGCACAACCGCGGCCTCGATCCAAGGCACTACTAAATATCTCATCACGCATCCGGAGGTGGCGGCGAAGCTCGTTGCCGAAATCGACTCCTTCCGCGCCTCCGGCCAGCTCTCGGATCCAATCCAGTACAACGAGGCCGTCAAGTTCCCCTACCTCAATGCAATCATCAAAGAATCCTTACGCCTGTCTCCCTCCATCGGCTCCATCTTCTCTCGCATTACTCCCCCGAGCGGCTTACACGTCCTTCCTGGCGTGTTCGTCCCCGGCGGTGCCGAAATCGGCTGCAACAACTGGATTATTGGCCGTGACCAGAGCCTCTACGGCGAAGACGCCGAGGAGTTTAAGCCCGAGAGATGGCTGGAGAAGAACTACGCCGAGTGGGAGTTCTCATTTGGCGGAGGGAATAGAGTCTGCATTGGGAGAAATCTGGCGCTCACGGAGATTTATAAGTTCATCCCGACACTGTTCGGGAAGTTTGAGGTCGAGATGGTCAAAGATTGGGATTCGGAGAAGGCGGGGCTGTTTCTGTTTAAGCAAGGGTTGATGTTGAAGATGAAGGAGAGAACGTTCGGAGGCGTGGAAGAGTGACGTTTCTTATCATATCATTCTATAGCTGCGAATATTAATTTTTGTTCTTCCGTCTCTACTGCTCTACGGAGGCACAGTATTCTCTCCCTACCGAACATGGGGTTCATCTCGTTGGCCCAAATTGATGCAAACGCCGCGTCTGTTATTTCATTCGTGCGTCAAGGTAGCTTGCGCGGTGGTCTAGGCGGTACGAATCACGGCATTCCCTCGCCGCGAAGGGCCAAGGCGAAGTTCGGCGACTTCGAACGCAGACTCGCATCGTCGTATCTTCTTTCTGGCCTTTGGGAAACACTTCTGCTGGGGTGCTGATTCCCGGCGAGCAATGATGGGCATAGGTAGTCATTCTGGATAGATACAGCAGTAGAAAAGGGTGCGAAAACCGCCATCTACCACGCCCTCAGAAAACGTACCAGCGGTAACTGACGAGCCAGAGCAGAGCAGATCCTGTTCGCAAGCCTATTACAGTTCTTGCTCCTCGATCCGGCTTCCTCGCCAAAGAATCCTCGTTGCAACGATACTTGCATGCAGCATGCACCCATGGAGGTCGTATGTGGTTAACGCGGTTCGCGGTAGTTCAGCACCTTGCCATGAGTGGTGAGCGCGGCCTCTTGGCGCTGTACTACCGCCCTCTGAATCGCGTTGGGATCGCCAATGCATAGATACCGACGTCCTTTACGTAAGCTGGATATTCGAGTATGTACCGCTACATACATCGCGCAAACCCATAATGGAGCTGGGAGACAGCCCAGCTTTCAATATTCACGGCTCGGCTGCGCTGGGCGGACTGGGCTGGTGAGAATGCTTGCGTATTTATGGACTGACCGTTTGGACTAACAAGTACCTAGTGAATCCGATTATCTAACCCAAACTGAGACAATCATGGATTCCGCTCGGATAGGCGCGGTGGTGGTGCAATGATCGCTTATCTTTCCGCACAACGTCAGGATTTCGTATGATCAGACTAGGTACCTACTGATGAATTTGTAGTATTTCCAACATCCCCGATAATCGCCTTCGCTGTATTATCAGGGTGTATTTCCTGATGCCATTACCGGTATATGTGTGCTCGAGGCAGAGCCAATAACGTCCCCGCACGCTGATCTTCTCGGACCAGTCCTACTGCACTGCTCATGACCCCAAGGCTTCACCGACAAAGCTATCAATCAATCAGGTCTCCAGGCACCACTCCTTCAACCGGACTCCCCACCCGCTTACCTCGCCGCTGGTTTACCTTTTTCCTTTCCTCCAAATAAAGTTTCGCCCCAAAAAACGACCGCTTCATAACCATGGTAGAACAGTACCTAACATCCACTGGTTCTGTAGTGTAATTATTAGCACGTAGAGTATGCTTCACGCTGGTATCAGCTACGATACCGTAGTATATTTGAAAGGTCCCAGTTCGAATCTGGGCAGAAATACTCCGTTTTATTTTCCATCGGCGCGGACAGTTAAGGTTAAGGTTAAGGTTTGGGCCGCAAATTCAAAGCCGAAATTGGCCGTGCCGGGGAAGCCTCGAGCTCCGAGCCCTTACGGTAGTGCGTCACCAATAATCTGCCAGAGCACTTGATCTCGACGACCGATATACGACGACCTCTTGGCTGTGCTTTCCTCCATGTCACCATGTGTACGGGAAACATCGGCGAAACGCACCTATGGATGTTCCAGCAGGCGCCAAACCGTTCCACGCGGTTGAGCGCGATCTAAGGTACACGCCACCAGGCACGCTTTGCTGCCGAGATTGCCCAGTCCATCGATGGCCAAGCCGCAGAACCGCCAAAAGTTACATCGTTGTGCAGGCCACGAGCTCCAAAACCAGGACCTCTCGTGAAACAGAAGTTTACTAGTTTCTCAACCTATCCTGGCTCCAGAACCTATGGGCGATTGCAATGAGAAGAAGTCGTTGTACTCTAGGCGGGGCGGATGACTGACAGACTGCCCGAAACCTATGTCGCGGGCGATTGCTTCGCGGCATCCGCGAGATCCTCCTACATATTCTCCAGTAGTGGCGGAGGGAACCATCCACCCACTGTGTTTTCCCCCTTTCGTTTCTCTGCTGTCTCGACTCTTGCTGTTGTATGTTCGCAAGTATGCAGTCGAAATCGTATTCCGAAACTGGACTGATGTCTCCACCGCATCCGGCAAAGCCAGGGAGGAGTTGGTGCTTGCCGGTGGTGGATCATTGGCATGGCGGTCTCCAAACTTTTCAAGATGCCATAAGAATCTAGCGGGTTCTTGGACAGCTATTCCTTAGTGTTGGAACTATTCTCGCTTGTGGGAACCTTTGCAAGAACGTGCAATACCTACGCCTTGGGAGCATATGCGCTCGATATGGAAAGTCTGGAGTCGGTGACTTGATGGTCTGATTTCAGCAGCGGAGCGGCACCAGTCCTACTGATGCGACTCGGCCGTTGACAAAACATAAACACTAAGAGATACATTAAGAACCTACTGGCAGTGGAGTGTTGGCGAGCGGCGGGGTTGAAAAGAAGAAGCTGGAGCTAGCGGGATACAAATGAAGAAAAAAAAGAATGGAGGAGCAGGGGATTGAACCCTGGGCCTTTCGCATGCAAAGCGAACGCGCTACCACTGCGCTACACCCCCATAGTGACATGTAGCTGATGTCTTTATTGAAAATGATGTTATGTCTGTCATCATTCGCCGGAAATGAGGATTTTTAACAAGGCATGGATGACTCCCCGTCCATCAAGTTGGGCTTCAGTTGTTAACTCCCGGCAGCTTGGAAATAGAAGGATAATACCACCTATTCAGACCCCACCGGACTCGACAGACAACCTCAAGGGAGTACATCCCGCTTTTCTGTCAACATTTGCACGTCCGAATGCCTTCAGACTTCTGCCCGGTCCCAAAATTGTGAGTCATAGGTTCAAGAAAATAGTTTTTTCATGTCTCTTAGATTCTACCCGAAGACGTTCGACCATTGACCCCAAGGAGGACACATGCCCTCAAGGTACATAAACGACACTTCCGCTCTGATGCACATAAAGTACCTCCATCTCGATCCTTTGATAACATTCAGGGTCACACCCAGGCATCACTATACTCATCAGAGTTTCCGCCCACGGGAGTCCAACATGTGACGGTCGCAGGTATCCAGCTTCCCGCAGTCCCGGGTATCGAAGGCTGAACAGCCCCCTTCCTTCTGCTGCCGCCTCGCCGCCTCCATGATGTCGGCGTCAAGCGTATCATGAAGGTAGCAAAAGCAAAAGATCAATGCACCAAACCCGGATTGAACGGGTGACCTTCAGATTACCCCGGATTAATGGAATGGACCAAATTTGACTTCAGTCTGACGCTCTCCCAACTGAGCTATTGGTGCTGGCGATTCTGACTTCCGGGCTAAGGCACACAAGAGGCTAGTGTCACGCTTCATAGTCCCGGCTACCTAGATTGTACGTAACGATTAGTGAGAGACCGAAAAACGGGTGAGGAACAAAAACGTGATCAATTGAACTATGTAGATTTTTTTTGTTTCATCGTTGTAGCATTCGGCCTCATCAAATCATGACTGTACAAACATCCGGTTCCACCCCACCGCCTCCGACCGCTGGCCGCGAGGTCGATGTGGGCTCCCTATTGCTCTCCGCCCGGCCCATCCGCACATAGAAAGAGAGACAGAAAGGAGGAAAAAACCAAGATGACAAAATGAAATGAAGAGCACGCGCGACATGTCCATCAGTCTTTCTAAAACCCACATCAAAGCTCCCTTCCCCAACCAACTCGTCCAACCCCGACCTCGGGTAGCGACTGGGATGCGGTGAGCGCCAGAGCGGAGGAAAGGGTACGGTCTGGACGGCCGGAGATCTCGGTATGCAGGGGAAGAGATGAGGCGTTAGACTGGCTGTGACTGGTGTGTCTGTGGCCGGAGGGGCAAGGTTTGGGGGGGGGTGGGGAGGAAAGAGGTTCCCCTGCCTGCCGCTTCTCTTCTGCTGCTATTGCTCTCCTCACCGCCGCCGCTCTTACTCATTCTCTCTCCTCTCCCGCTATGGTGTAGGTGGGATCCGCCACCGCTGCCGCCAAGTCCGAGGTCTGGCTCGGTGGTTCTTGTTGCTCTTCACCAAGGGGGGCACCCGCCGGCCTACATCTGTGGTGGAGAGGAAGCGGAGGACGGCCTCGCTGCAGTTTCAATCAAACTAGGGGTCTCGGTCGATGTTTTTTTTGCTTTTGTTTTTATTTTTTTGTTTAATAATTGATTGCATGCGACCTGTCTAGATCATGGCAATGTGGTGGTCTCGGTCGATGATGATGATGATGACGTACAGAGTGATGATCTGAGATCGAACGACGGATGAGACGTCTCCTCTCTGCCGTGCTCACCGATGACACCAAGCTGCCTCGCCCTTCGCGTCCGGCCCCTCACTAGCAATGCAATGCATAAAACCTGCAAGATGTTGTCGTGGGGGAGCTGTTAGGACCCATCGAGGCTGCTGAAGTCGGAGATGGAGGTGTCTTTTTTATCTTATTTTTCGATTTCGACCCTGCATCTACTCCTCGAGGAGGGACAGGAAGAACCGGAATGGTGAGACCCATCGAGACTGCTGAAGTCGGGGATGGGAGTGTCTTGTTTTTCTTTTGTTTTGTTTTGAATTTCGACCCTGCATCTACTCCTCGAGGACAGTCAGGAAGAATTGGAATGATGTCAACAGAGACAATTCAACGTTCAACGATCACATCGAGTCTGCATCGGGTCCCACCCCCATAACACATAAGTCCCACCAGGTCTCAACAACGTCTCCTCTCTCCCGTGTTCACCGATGATTCCAAGCCGCCTCTTCCTTTGCGCCCCGTCCCTTACCAGCAATGCAAAGCATAATACCTACGAGCTCTTGTCGTGCAGGAGCTGGTGAGACCCATCGAGGCTACGGAAGTCGGGGATGGGTGTGTTTTTTTTTCTTTTCTGAATTTCGACCCTGCATCTACTTCTCGGATTAAAGGAAAATTCATTGAGCGAAAGGAGCCTCCGAAACCGTCTGTAGTGATGCACTCTCTGGGTTTCCCTAAGTGTGGCGTAATGTAGTGAACCGACTCATCCGCACCCTCAAGCAGCCACCCCCCCGGTAGCTCTGACGCCTCGGTTCTCTTCAGCGTATTTATCGTTCACCGTCACTCGGCTGCCAACAATCAGCAAGCAGTAGTAGGAAAAATAATATCTCCACCAATTATTCCCTCTCTCTTGTTCGCCGTCGGCTACCCTGCCTCGGTAACCCTCAGCATCCTTCCGATACGAGTGCTAAGGTGTTACTCATGAGATATAACTCGTCTTTCCCTTGCGATCTCTTCAGTCCTCAGCCGGCTGTTGATTTCCGCTGGGAGTTGGCGGAGTGAGGAGGAGTCAGTAGCTGTCCTCCAGCAATCGCGGGTGATATTCAGTCGGATGCATGTTGTCGGCATGTGCCGAACGTCCAAAAGCCGTGACATAACCTGGTATTTCTCTGTCCCTCCACTCACTCTTCCATGCAGGAGCGGAGAATTAACGTGCCGAGGTGCATAGGAAGGCACACCGCGATGAGATGCAGCTCGCTGTCCCACCAAGATCACAGTAATCGGGCTCGCATCCAGCACGATTGACACCCTCTTACATCATTCCAGGTGGTAAACCGGTGGGTGTAGGCATCTGACGCACCTACGCAGCACTGCAAGTGCCTGGTGGGGGGGCGGCGAAGAGGAGTGGAGGTGAGCAAGAATCAGCGTTTAGAGTGTCCGTGTGGGTGGATAACTGCCCAGGTGCAGTGACAGTCGGACAAAGACCGGCCCCTTCGTGCTTCTCTTGTGCAGGAAAATTACACCGATCTCACCGATCTAGCTGGAAAACGTGTGCATTGCATCCTTAGAATCTTGCTCCCGTCCCTGGATTCTTCTTCCTGCACTGGGACCCGCCATCGTGGTGTGCTGGACCCACCGCCGCGGTGCAGCAGACGCGGAAGCTGCCTCCAAAAAAGACCGCCTCGAACCATGGCCAGAACCCCATTCGGGAAACTCCCTCTTCTAATCGGGGAATTTTTCGGCTATTTATTCACGACAATCCTTCCATTTTAATGTTGATCGTATGCAATATTTGGCCGCAACAACCTCAACTGAGAATGGCTTGGAATACATAAATACCCCCTTCCCCCCGCTCCCTTCCTCCCATTCTCTTCCTTCCAACACGTTCACTTCTAATCCTCATCCCTCAGGGGAAGTCATCATCACCATCACCTTTTACCCGTTCTCTTTCTTCCTCTCTCCTAATCATTATCCCTCATCGGAAGCAATCTTCACCCCTCATCGGAAGCAATCTTCACCATCATCGAGTCATTTTTCTTTCTTCCAACTCGCTCACTCTTCATCCTCATCCCTTTACGCCAGCCATTAGTACCACTGCCTTTCTTTCTCTCTCTCCTCTCTTCCAACCAGCTCTCTCCAAACCCTCATCCTATGCGGCAGCCACCAGTACCACTGCCTTTCTCACATACTCTTTCTTCCAACACTCTCTCTCCCAATCCTTATCCCTCATCGGAAGCAATTCTACATCATCCAGACAATTTTCCTTCTTCTAACGCGCTCTCTCCTAATCCTTATCCCTCGGCGGACGCCATCTTCACCACCACCACCAAGACACCTTCGTTGCCATCCGGAGGATATCCATCTTCGCCATCACCTTCCACGACACCTTCGTTTCCATCCGAAGGATAACCGATCATTTAGACAGAGACAGACGGGCTTTGTTTTCTTTCGAATATCCGGTCGAAACCACAGCTATGAGACGGTCATACTGGACCACTCGCCCCCGCTGAAAGAACCCGTACTGAAAGAACTGGAACGAGTGGTACGTAGTTGCTTATCCCATCGGAGCACCGGATATTAGTGACTTGGCACTGACTTGATTACATAGTATTCGCACAGTTGATGCTCTTTGAGCTTCAGAAGCACCAACACCATACACACGCCTTCTCTGCTCAGCAGATTCAGATGGTCGTATAAAATGAAAGATAGTCCACAGGTATGTCTACTACACTCTCGGCTACGTCATTCGCCCGCCCCCTTCCTCGTTTCATCAAGCCTCCTACTCAATACCTATCCATCACACTTCCCCCCTCTACCTCCTTACTCTTCCTCCTCCTCAACACTTGGTGTAGCCTTGCCGGCTGTTTCCCTTTTGGTCTGACCGCTAATGCCGTGTGCGTGATTAGAGGACAGCGCTGTGCTAGTGCAGCTAGAAACATCCACCGCGATTCCGTCTCGAGAGTTCGATTTGTAAGTTTGTGGGATTCGGTTCACTTCACATATGCTAACAGTATGCTCGCAGACATGGCAATATGCTATGCCTCACAGGCAACGATTTTGCCCCACGCGAGCAAGGCCACCATAGCGAGCGAATTGCGTGTAGCCGGTGCTGTTCGGCGATCGACGCCACTTTCCACAGTCGTATCCTCAATCGCATGGTCAGCTCTATGCCTATCCTGCGGGACAGTTTTACGACCCATTTCTCGAACCATTCACTCCGGTTAAGGACGGTTTTACGACTCCATTTCTGGAGCCGTTCACTCCGGTTGAGGCCAATTTTACGACCCATTTCTCGAACAGTTCACTCCGGTTGCAGTACCGTTCTTTGTGTGTTGTTTTCCCGGGACACTGGCTTTAGACAATTGCCGAAAGCGATCGATGATGGACGAAAGTACGTTAGACTCATGTCCTTCTGCTCACCAGCGCTTCTTCAGTGCTCCGCTTTACCGGTTCGCCCTTTGGAATTTGACGTTGGAGACTCAATTCCCCTCGGTAACGCAGATACACTATCCACAGGCCTTGCCCCTACTATGAAAGCGTCGGTACCGCTATCTAGCAACCGCCATCGCCACAGTACCTTCTGTAACACCATCGGAGCTCATCGACGATCCGGGGCTATTTCCTTCCAGGATGGAAAGAGCTCCGATTCAGATGATCACAGGTGTGGGAGGGTCTGCCATCACGCGCAGCTCACAACGTCTGCCTCCAGTTACGCTTCACCGGCGGCAACACCAAGCCATCCCCGGATATACGCATCATTGCCGGCAGTTGCTTTTCCCCTCCTACGAAAGCGTCGGTACCACTACGAATAACCGCCATTGCCACCGTGCCCTGAGTAACACCGGAGCTCATTTGCGAACATAGGGCTCATCCCTTCCAAGATGGAAAGAACTCCGATTCAGATGATCACAGGTGTGGGAGGGTTCGCAATCACGCACAGCTTATAACGTCTGCCTCCGGGTACGCTTCACGACCAGCAATACCATCCGATCCCCGGGTATACGCATCATTGCCGGCAGTTTTGAACGTTTTCTTCCGGAACCGGAACCAACCGCCCAGCTCCGGACCATATGCCAGAATGCGGCGCGTCCAGGTGATTGAATTGCCGGAGAAACCGCCTCGAACCGCTTGACGGTCGCGTTCCAAAACCTCTCCACAGACTATTCGTCTGAGTGGAAATAGTACCAATAGGTACCTGGCGGTTATAGGATAAGGGTAAGAGGGAAGATGCTGGTGACGAGCTCAAGTGCTTTGTCTATTATAGATACACTAGAGATGTGCACAGCGAGGCCGTGCTGGTGGTGGAGTCGGAGGTGGTAGTGGAAAAGTAGGTGCCGGAGGACGTGTTGGTGGTGATGGATGTGGTAGAGGTGGAGGTGATGGAGAAATTGGAGGTGGTGATGGATGTAGTGGATGTAGTGGAGGTGGGGAGAATGTTGGTAGAGGCAGGGCAGCGCTCCTCTCCTCCTACCTTTGGAATTGGAGGTGGTGATGGCTGTAGTGGATGTAGTAGAGGTGGTGAGAATGTTAGTAGAGGCAAGGCGAGCGTTGCTCTCCTGCTACCTATGCAGTTGGAAGTGGTGATATTGGCAGTAAATAGAGATATATTTAGGAATTGAAAAATCGTTGATAATGATACTTCAAGTGCGGCCTCGGTGATGCGGTAGCCAATTTCTTCCACTTATCACAACTTTACAGACTCTCCTCTTCATAGATCTCCATGTAACCATAAGTTATGACCGTCTCGACGGGTCGTCCACTCCCACACCTGCCCACGAATACTTGACGTTGCTATCAGAGCGTAAGCATCGCTGCGATCCGCCAACCATTCTGTCCCGCCCTCCTTCACTCCACTCCGCCATCGAGTCACCCCCCACACCCCGAAGGCTGTAGCCTGCAAAAGCAGAGCTCATCACGGGCAATCACTCGGCACTGCAATTACCACGAAACACCGCACAGATGAAAAACAATAGAACACCCTTCCAAACCCCTCCGCCACCCACCGCCCTGCGAAACGCCTGCAAAAAAACCACCGCAAAAAGTTACTAGCAACACCTCGTTTCGATCGAGGGACCTCCGGGTTATGAGCCCGGCGCGCTTCCGCTGCGCCATGTTGCTTACTGATGTCCCTTGGCGGAACATTTCTTCGTGACGTGACTCTTACTTCTCTAACATTCAATAGGGATGTCGTATATCGCCAAAATATAGTCATACATACAGCTTGTGGTACTACATTTATGAAGTCGGTGTACAGCCTCCGGGTGCGCATGTGGGTGTTATTATCTTAGTACAGTAACTTCATACTTGGCCATTAATCCCTTCCCCCTCCGCTCCCAGCAAGTAATCAAGCATCCCATCATCATCAATCATCAGTACTTCTTCTATCATAACTCATTATCCATGTGCACCCGCTCATCCTCGTCCTCCCCTCGCCCTCGTCTTCGGCAGTCGCTGTCTACTCTAGTAAAACCTTAACCTCACAATCGAAAATAGCATATTCTGCAGCACATGCAGGCTCACCGCGCTATTCTCCAATCAGTTCACCGCTGCAACATACCATCTCGACTCTCGACTCAATAGGGAGAAGAAGAAGAAACTTACACGCAAGCGGGCAACAACTCGGGGAAAGCCCTAAAGTCCTTCACGGCCTCACCGGTAACATCGAACCTAAACCTACGTTGCATGATACGTCTTACGGCATATCCAGCCGCAATCTCGCAGGCCCAAGTAGCGAGGGAGGCCCAGAAGGTGAGGCTAAACGTGTACGGATCGTTCTTGTCGCGGAAGCTGAAGTAGGGGTAGATCTTTGTGTTCCAGCCGTAGTGGAGGACGACGACCCAGCCCAGCCACGCAACCATCGACACGCTCTCGGCGATGCCGCGGATGTAGAACGCCCTGCCGACGTATTTCTTCCACGACGCGTAGTCCTGATCGTTGAGGTTTAGCCAGACCAGTGCGCGGTGGAACGTGCGCGTCATGGTGATGGGGGTCCAGAGGACAACGATCGAGCTGGAGAGGAGCTGCAGGTACGCGAATTGGCTGGGGCTGCGGAGGCGCGCATAGATGGCGCGCACGTACGTTTGGTACGTCAATGCCCAGAATGTCTTGAAGACAAAGCCGAGCGGGTAGCTGCCCACTTTGGCGCCGATGATCCAGCCGCTGGTTATGTCCAGTGTGTGGATGGTGGCGACCCACGACCAGACGTAGAGGACAGTGTCGAGCGAGCTGTGCGGAAGGGTGCGTAGGTAGAGCTCGGCATAGGCCTCCCCAAGCACAAAACCGATCAATGTCAGGAGTAGAGCGCCACAAAACCAGAGGAACCGCCTATAGGACCGGGGGAGATGGAAAAACTCCCAACCCGTCCGTGGCTTCCAGCGGAACCGGTTCCGCTTGGCGTTCAGGTACCGCCCCCGGGCCGGTGACGACACGGAGAACAGAAGCTGCGTCTCCGACAGTCCCTGCCGTACGCCGATATGATGGTTCCTATGTTGGAACAGCAGCACCATAACTGCGATGAACAGCGGCGTACACATGGTCGCAAAGGTTAGAAATATCCACGTGAGATTCTGCGTTATCACCGGCCCCGGAAGATAGTGGTAGAGGACGGCACCGCAAGCCAAAGGGAGACAGTTAAACAGGGTAAAGGTCGTCTAGATATCACCCATCAGTTTAACGGTTCACCGAGCAAGCACAACACGGAAACCTACCGGAAAGCCCAACCGTACGGGCCACCAATTCAGGCCGTACATATTGAACACTTTGGTTATCCATAACAACCCGACCAGATTATAGAAGCCGTAGTAAACGAATAGAAAGAACCAAAAGTCCATAGCGACCTTGGAGGAGCCATGGCCGGGCCCGGCATTCGGCGGGATCGGCGCGTCCTCGTCGCCAGGCCAGGACGGAACGGAATCGCTCAGACTCTTGAACCAAGTCTTGACCACGTCCCAAAGCAGCTCAAAGTTAAAGACGTTTCCGAGGGCATCGCCGAGGTCGGACCATGCGGAGGATTCGGTCGAGATCGTCGCTGCGCGCCGACGGACTGCAGGTACGTACGCGGGCTTATCGGTAGCGGGGAGAGGAAAGGTAGGGAACGGAATCATGCACCAGACGATGCTCTGTTGTACATCCCAACCGTCAGCGCATAGTTACATCCTACATATGCCGCATGCACTGCAGCAGACAGGCAGGAAGAAAGTGAGAGAAAAAAGGCCGAAAGGCAAAAAAAAAAAGAGATTCACACACAAGCAGCGCCGGAAGCATGACGAGCACCGCCCACCTTCTCCACCACGTCCCCACCATCTTGTTGACCTCGGAGCGCCTCGGAGAGACGAGCTTCCGGTCGAGCCACCACCTATCATCCGGAGTCTCGTCCACCTCGTCGTCGTCCCCACTCGCCACTTCGTGCCCCGTAGCAAAGTCTATACTGCCGTAGCTCGTCTGATACTGCTGCTCGCTGCCGGTAAATAACGTAAATAGGTTCCCGACACTACCCATGTGACGCGGCGAGAAGGCGCGGAAGCGGCCATACCGCAGCGATTCGGCGTCGGGAGGAGGCAGGGAGCGCGTGTCGGAGCCCTGTTGGAAGGCGAAGAAGGAGGAGGGCATCTAGCTGCAGGCAGGATATCGCGATGGCATTGGTTGGTCCGGGGGTGAGCGGGGTGGGGGGGTGGGAGACGATGGAGTAGGTAGTATAGATAGGCTGGGGGGGGGGGGTGGAGCTCGTTCGTTCGTTCGAGAAAAAGCGACGAGAGGTGGTGTGTTGTCCCCGACCGACCGACCGACGACGACCGACTGACCGCGACACGTCTTGCCTGTATGTAGCTGTGTTAGCTAGCCTGAAACAAGCGCTCCCTTCTTCTTCCTCTTTTGCTGCCGGGATGGATGGGGGGGGGGGGAGCGAACCGGAGAGATAGGACAGACAACCTTCGAGTGAACTGTCACTGGCAGAAGGTGTTCATGCCAGATAGATGATAGATGCGACGACGGCGGCACGAGAAATGACGATTTCGCCGTGGACCGCAGCAGGTACCGATCCCCTCCACTCCACCTCCCCCGCTCGACGAAAAACATCCACTGATGTCACGCGGTCTCGTGACACGCCCTGCATCGGCGTCGTTATTCCCAAACCGTCAGTCGCAACCGAACTAGTCCAGCAAACATGCGCATGCGGCGCTACGAACCATTAATGTCGAAAAGAAAAGAAAGAAAAAAGGAACAATAATGCATGAGTTGGATCTTTTTTCTTCTTTCTTTTTTAGCTCTGGTTTTGTGATTCTAGAACACGGGACTGACGTCAGACATCGTGATCACGATGCGAGCAGCTTGAAGCACCAGTTGTCACTCGATCCGGTCATGGATTGTCACGTCTGTAGGACTTGAGCCGTTGAGATGGAGTATTCCCAATTGGCCCAGCATTTGTGTTACTGTCCTATCATGAATTCTGTTCCTGGAACTCTTGAGCTGCTCGGTACCGGTATGTCCCGGCCCTCCACTGCCTCCCAATGTCATGCAATGTCATGCGGTCCTCGATCCCAAGCATACAGTGGTATGATGTCTCATGACGAAAGAAGAGAACATCGACACCCACGTGCAAATCAGGGCCCATGGACATCCCTCGAGCGGGAGAGGCACGGCACAGATCGCTTGTCCGCCTTGCACTGCACCGCACCGCAACGCACGCGCGCCGAGTGATCTCGATATCTACTCACATACATGCAATGCATACTCTCATCCTCATCCTCATCCCCACCGCCTCGGAGTCGCTCGGTCGACACCCAAACACCCAAACACCCAAGATGAACGGCATCTTCCCTCCCTCCCTCCCCCCACCATGGCGCACACCCCAACGCACCTCCGTTTCCCCAAATCCCAAGCCTCAAGTTCCGCCCCCCTTCTCGCCCCCGCCGGCCGTTGGGCCCAGAGCCCAGACCAGACCGGGCAAGCAGTCCAGTCATGGACGGACGGCCGGTAGGTCGGGACGGTCGGGTGGATCTTGCAGTTTGCAGTTCGAATCTTACAGTTGGAATCTTACATATTGCATGCTCCCCGGGCCAGGGTCAGGGCGAGGGCGAGGGACAGGGCAAGGGAAAGGGCCGGGGAGAAACGAGACTCATGCATACGGTAGATATGGGAGGTATGGGAGGTATGGGAGGTACATAGCTGTAGATAGCTGTTCCATCATGTCACTGCACAGCACAGCACATCATATAACATCACCAAATCACATCATTGAGGTGGGTGGGTGTGAGGTAGGTAGGGTAGGTAGGTGGAGTATGTTGAGTATAGTAGGTAGGGTAGGTAATCGGCCACGCGGGATTTACTCTACATACTCTACACACATACACGATACAGCTCGTCGCGGTGTTGGATGTTGACAGTTGGATATTGGGGATGTAGGTGGGTAGATGCCCGCGGACTCGGCCAGCTGGCCGCCTCACACCCCTCCATCCCCCTCCCCCCCACCACACCCCTTCCCTCGAGGTTGTCTCTCTTCTCTCTGTCTTCTATCGACGGATCCTTCCTCCCTCCCTCCATCACTAAGCCCCACCGGTTCGGTTCGATCGCGATTCCGTCATATGTACCCCTCCCCACTCCTCCCCACCCCTCCCGTCCCCTCCCCACCCCCCCATCCCCGCATCGTCTGCAACTGTCCAACTGTCCAACTGTCCAACACCGCGAGCACGAACGAACGGGCGAACGAACGAGCGAACGAACGTTCGATACCGTACATTTGCACTTCCCTGTCTGTCATTCTATCTGTCCGTCATTCTGTCCGTCATTCTGTCATTCTGTCATTCTGTCATTCTGTCATTCTGTCATTCTGTCATTCTGTCTGTCATTCAGCAGATTAGCTACCATACAGCTACGATATGTACGGCATGTACGGCATGTCTGTCTGTCTGTATGTCCATAGGTAGGAGCACTTGGGTATCATACCCATGAGACTCGGATTTCGCCACGTCTAGATCTGCTCTGTTCACGTTCAGCACGTACATACCGTACATGGACATACATACATACACACATACATATCGTACATACGACATAACTAGCTAGCGGGGGCACGGAGTTGACAGTTTTCCGCCTGAAATAGGACTTTGCTTCCCTTCCTTCCTTTCTTTCTTCCTAAGTTCCACATATGTTCCTATCGTATCGTATCGTGTTCGGCACTGGGTAGAGTAGACACCCCAAAGCTCAATGCTCAATTTCCAATGGATCGCGCATGCCCCAATGCTGCCCCAATGCTGCCCCAATGCTGCCCCAATAATGCCCCGATTACCCGTGGGCCATGGACAAATGTGTAGCTACAGTACAACTTGCGCGGGACTCGGTCCCCCCAGACACCCCACCACCCACCGCGTGTTTACCCACCGATCACCACAGCGAGCACAGGGCACTGGAGATCGACGGTCGGTATGTATGTATCTAGGTAACCATGCAGCCACCTACCTCCACCCTATGTAACCACACATCTGCTCGTATGTAGGGGTTCTAGGGGTTCCTAGGTAGGGGTTCTAGGTATCCGGGAGTTCTGTCCGCCCCCGGAACGTCGTCTAGAGTACTCCAGAGTCCAGAATGAGTAGAGGACGGCCCGTGTGAGATGCCGATACATACGGTGCTCAAGTCAACCACGTCAGTACAAGAGATGTCAGTAGATGTCATTTCCCCCCGCTACTCCCCCTATATACTCCCCACCACTCCCCCGCTCCCCCACTCCCCGCCGTCCCGCGACCCGTCCCGCGAGTCTGCGACCATACAATTCGCGCGGCGGCGTTTGAATATCTAGCGGCCGCTCTTTCGGTCAACCGAGTCGAGTCGAGTCGAGGCGAGTCGTTGACGAGTTGTCGACGAGTTGTCCGGCTTATGTATGTAGAGTACCGGCCACGATTCGCGAATACATAGGCTGGCCGACTGCTGCCCCCCCCCCCCGCTCCCCGCCTCCCCACTCTACCCTCTCCCCATGTAGAGTACTTTAGAGTACTCTACTCTACGTGGGTACTCGGGGATAGGTACATGGATAGGCGGAGTAGATAGACAGATAGACAGGCACATAGATAACGGACTGTGTCGACTCTCGACTCTCGACTCTCGACTCTCGACTCTCGGGTGGCATCATACGTCCAGTCCACGAGACCGCACCGCACCGCGCCCAAAAAGAAAGAAGAGAAAGAGGAGGAGCCCCAGGAGTTGGGAGTTCAGTTCGCCACATGTCTACCGTTCGCACCAGTTCCCAGTACCCAACTAATGCTAGAGTAGATATCTACACTTTCACGTGTCTCACCCTCGTCGGTCCTCGCAAGTCGCAATCCTCGCAAACCGACGAAAAAGCAACACCGGGCCGGGGGGAGAGAAACCAAAAGTTTTCATCTCGGCTGCATAACGTACTAGTAGTGACGTCACCCCGTTCTACTCTTCCTATCTCGACTCTCGAGTGATTCGGAGTGAGAAACCGTGGGGACACTTGTGACTGGGGAGGTGGATTGCGAATCAGGTGTAGGGATCGGGATAACCTCCTGTGCTAGTGGTATTGAATCACAAGCGGAGAGAGAGGCATGGGTAGCGAACGGCGGACGGCTCGTCGGCAGGGCGAGGCAAGGTGAGGTAAGGAAACGGAGTGGCGTATGTAGGTATAGGCGGATATGATATGTATGATATGTATGATATGTATGATATGTATGCGGCTCGGATTCTGTGCATCGGTTTCGTCGTGAGCAGATTGACAGTTGCTCTATGCATCATAGTCGGAGTGGATGAGTGGATTGAACTGCGACAGGATGTTTTCTACGCGGCTCAGAGTATTCCTCGTCTCGTCGCGGCTGGCCGTACAAGTCATCACTGCTGTGGGGGTAGATAATCCTCTTGGTGGTGGAGGGGGAAGCAAGCAGGCAAGCAAGCAAGCAGGCAGGCAGGCAGGCAGGCAGGCAGGCAGGCAGGCAGGCAAAGCAGGCAGGCTGTATGTAGCAAATCTACAGACCTAATCATCTACCGAGCGGCGAGGAGCGAGGATGGAGGAGCAGGAGGGGTGTGGCTCGCTCGCCCACTCACACGCAGCCCAGCCAGCCCAGCCAACCCCATCCAACCCCAGGCGGAAACAAGAGAGAGAAAGAGAGAAGGGTGTGGTGGTCACTCTGCAGAAACTCGCAGCAGCAGCAGAAGCAGCAGCAACTTGCAAGCAGCAGCAATTCACCACAGCAAAAGCAAAGAAGGCATAGTATTTACTAGGAAGGAAGGCAGACGGCGCGAACTGTTCTGTTCGAACAAGTCACACCCACCCGGCAACGGCAACACATGTCCACACCCACCCAGAAAACAGACAGACACACCAAAGTTCGTCCGCCCTCTTTCTGCTGGGTGGTGTTGCCGCGCTTTCGGAACAAGTCTTGGAATGGTGGGAAGGGAAGGGAAGAATGCACCTATCGCAAGGCGAGGGCGGTGGTTGTGGTGGTTGTGGTGGGTGGGGTGTGATGAAATGAACGCTACCAGTGGATGCTAGCTCTACTCTACTCCAGAGTCTAACAGGCTTTCTCACCCCTCCCCTGTCGATTGGGTGGCTGCCACCTCCACCCGAAAAACACGAGAGAAGACAGAGAGAAAGAGGGAAAATCCCACAGGCGGACAAGCACACCGAAAATACTCTCTCATTCACGCTGCCGGTAACTCCTACCTGCTCTACGACACATAACCTACAATTGCACACACACACACCTCCCAAATATACTACACATTACACACTGCACACTACGCAGCAAGATAGGTGTGGTGTATCTAGAGTAGATATTTCCTCCGACGAATCTGCGGTATCGCAACAGCTCGTTCCATGTCATGCTCTTGCCTCTTTCCCACACACCTCATCCATCGCCGCCGCGTGTGCGTAACCCCCCCTCCACACCAACACGCGGACGGGAGGGAGAAGCGGAGGGAACGGGGGGCCACACCCACCACCACCCACCCACGCAGCACGCAAGTGAAAAAGGACAGTGTGCGCAAGCCCTTTCTCTGGCGCCTGTCTGTCTGTCTGTGGGGTGGTTGTGGGAACACACCTCTCTGACAAAAGTCAATCTGCGCTGGATGTATCTCCACCCAGTACTGCTTGCCCACTACTCACCGCGCCTCGCCTCTTGTCTGACCTGACCGAGAGCGAGCGAGCACACCCTGCCCACACGCACAGGCACACACACACACAGAACCCTCCCCCCTCCCCCCTCTCAACCCCCCCCCCCCCCCCTTCCGTTCCTCCACTCTCCGTCTGGACCGGAACGGCGAGTGTGTGAGTTTTGCATGTTGGCTGCTTGCTGCTTGCGTGCAGGGTTGCGAGGGTTGGTCTTTCCTTTAATTCCCTCTTTCTCTCAAACGTCTCCAGGCAGTTAAAATCGATAACCCCCCCCTCGATCGCCGATTCTCGCCTTGATCGTAAAACACTAACCTGCCATCCCATTCATCACCGAACGTCCGAAGAAGGCTGCAGACGCTACATTACGACCCTTACATTTGGAGCACCTACTCGACCCTACCCACCCCCCCCGACCCCTGCGGCGGTTCTTTTTTTGCGATGTCCCCCAGTTCCCAAGATCCGACTCAGCAAGAACCCTGGACCGGCGGCGGTGGTGGTGCTGTTGGTGGTGCTGGTGCTGTTGGTACTGCTGGAGCTGGTGTTGCTGTTGGGGCCGTTGGTGTCGTGGGCGGGGAAGCGTCAGCAACGCCCTCAGTGGCTTCGTCGAGCGGAGGAGGAGGAGGCTGTGGGGTTGTCGACGCTCCCGTCGACGGTACAGCAGCTGCCAGAGAAGGAGGAGAGAGAGTGGAGAGAGTGGAGAGAGTGGAGAGAGGAGAGAGGGGAGAGAGGGGAGGGGGAGGAGGAGAGAGAGGAGGAGGATCCGAGAGGGCTGGCAGTGCTAGCAGCGCTGGAAGCGGAGGAGGTCCCGGAGGGGGAGGAGGAGGAAGTGTCGGCAGCGGAGGAGGAGGAAGTTTCAACGGCGGCGGTCGCAAAGCATCAGCAGCGGCGGTGGTAGCAGCTCAGGACCCACACAACAATGGTGCCCGAGCTGCTCTGACGAACGAGATCCGGAGTGAATTCTTCAGACTTTATGGTGAGTGCACACGATCCTTCTCACCGATCCCGCCCATTCTCTCGATGCTCTCTCAAGTCTTCTTTCGCTGTTTCCTGTCTCCGTCCCCCCCTCATCTCCTTGCCGTCCTGCCTGTCTCCGTCCCTTCTCTGTGTACCGAGGGCCTCGCTACCTTCTTTGCTCCACGAAAACTCTCGCACACATCTGCTCCCGTCTCGGTTGCTCCTTCCTGCTGTTTTTTCTACCGTGCGGCAAAGAAAGAAAGAAAGAAACCAAAAAAAAAAATTCCATCCTTATTATCTTTTTATTATTGTCTTTGCCGCCGTGCGAGTTCGCTACGGCTGCTCGCTCGCTCCTGCTTGCTTGCTCGCTGGCCTCTGGCTGCCTGAAGAAAAATATCCCGAAACTCCCAGGCGAAGCTGACTCGCTCACCGCTCGCCGACCGCCGCCGACCGCCGCTGGCCGCTGAGTGGTGCTTTGTGGCCTTCATCCCTTCGTTACACACAAATATATCGCAGCACAATAGCCTCGTGAATATATGTCTTTAATCGGATTCCATCCATGATATCATCCTTCCTTCTACCCGTTCTTCTTCATCTTCTTCTGCTTCTTCTCCTGCTTCTTCCTTGCGCGTCCGAGAGCATCGGAATTCTCCGTTTCGTGTGTTTCCCTTGCGAGTAATCGAAGTTGACGCGCGCCCACGCGGAAAATGCAGAACTCTCCGGCTTCCAGATTCCCGGGCTGTCGGTGCAGAACATCCTCCGTCACAAGGACAAAGATCTCTATTTCGAAGGCCACGACGGCCTCCGCGATTTTTGGAAGCAAACGGCTGCCAGCAGACGAGAGATATTGCAACTTGCGCGGGAGGGGAAGATAAGGGTTATTCGAGGACCTGTAAGTTTCACTGGCTGGCGTTCCTTCCTCCTTCCCCACGGGTGGCTTTCTCTTTGTCGCTCGCTCGCTCGCTCCGTACCCTGCGTACCGTTCGTTCGTTCCTGCCCTGTACTTTCGATTCCTGCCTGCCTGCAACTGCCAACTGCTATACCCACCGCCACCCTTACCCACTTCCACTACGTTGCCTCCGATGTCATGGCACGCACGCATGCGGTGGTCCCTTCCTTGGCCAGCGCATGCTTGGTGCAATCGGAACGCCAGCAGCAGCAGAAGCAGCAGGCGCGCCAGCAGCTGTAGCAGCAGCAGCCATACCTTACCATATACACACGCCCCAATTCACCTTACCATACCCAAAAAAGTTTCGAAAAAAGAAGAGCCTTGACTGACATATGGCGGACTACTTGGTCCGACTGCAGCGCCCTCAGGCCAGCTCGCAATCAGCATCGCAAACTTCAACCGAAGATCGGTCGCAGAGCGTCAGCACGGACGAAGACGCCCGCAACCTTGGAACAAGCGTCAGCAGCACCGGCACTGGTAGTGGTACCAGTAGCGTCGCCCCCATCGACTCCAGAAAACGAATCCATCGTGCCGACGTCCTCACTGATCCTCCAACTTCAAAACGACAGCAGCACGACTCTCTACCGCTGATCACTAATGGATACGGCCCGCAACCGTCCATATTCAACCACAATCCTCTTCCGACCCCTCCTGTGATTGCCGAATCGGCATTCTGGGGTGATCGGAATATGCCTCCTTCCCACCTCGAACAGCAACAGCGCCAGCAGCAGCAACATCAGCAGCAGCAACGCCAGGACCAACAGCAGCAGTTACACCAGCAGCAGAACCACCACCGCTCATCCGACACTCCGAGCAGCAGCAATGCCAGCCTACATCAACACCAGTCCCCCGCCACCCCTCCGACAGCAACCCAAACCCCGCTGCAAACTATGGTCGTCGCCAGCAGCCCTACGGCGATCGCCACCCTCCTGGCCGACCTTCAGGCCGCCTTCCAGGAGTACGACATAAGCCTCCCGTCCAACCACACCATGCAACGCCTCAAAGAGGAGCGCGACCGCGCCCTCGAGCGAGCCCTGCGCATGGAACGTGAGCGCGACGACGCCCTCCGCTCCCGCGACGCAGCGCTCAAGCTCGCCGAGGAAAGCTACGGCGAGTTGCGCGCACTCATGGACTCCCGCGCCCGGCGAATCCAGGAGATTCGCGAGATCTCGCGCGGCTCCGTCGGCACCAATCACGGCTCGCACAACCACAGCATGTACGGCAGCGGCAGCATCGGCGGCGGCGGTGGCAGTGTCGACCGCGAGCGCGATAGGGACAGGGACCGTGAGCGCGGCGGCGTAATGGGGAACGGAGGCGGGAATGGAAACGGAGAGTGGGAATAAGGGGGATCCTGTGTGTTTTGTGCGTGTGCTTGTGTGTGTGGGTTTGTGTGTGGAGCGCGGGGGAGGACTTTTGATATTGGTTGGGGGCTTTGCGGTCGAAACACGTTTACGTTTACTCGGCCGTCTGTTCATCGTCATCTTGAAGCCCCTCGTTGCCCTGATCATACCTGGCCCGTCCGCTCGCCTGCTCGTTCGTCGCATCGCATCTTACATCGCATCCTTTTACATTTCGCCCATCCGTCCCGAAAGTTTCTTCTCTTCGCTTCGCTTACGATCCCCCCACCACCACCCCACCTCACGATTCGCCCTAAAACTCTTGACCCCTCACCTCACCCCTCAGTGCTCACCGTTCTATTCTATTCTTCACTAGTTCGTTCTGTTTTACATCTCGTGTGTACGTGTGTGTTTTCTGCTCATTTTGAAGTCGGGAGGATTTACTCTATCTTCTGGGGGTCGGCGCGGCGGGGGGCGGGGGGCGGCAGGGGGAGTTATGTTTTACTTTGGCGTTTTTATATCTGTTTTTGTATGTTTTTTCTGTCTGTCTGTTTCCGTTTTTCTGTGTGTTTTTTCTGTCTGTCTTCTGTCTGTTTTCTGTCTGTCTGTTTCCGTCTGTGTGTTTTGATTATTTCCCTTTGTGTTTTTTGGCTTTTTGTACGTCAAGCGAAATTGGGGATTTTTTTTGTGTCGAGATTCGGGTTCGAGGCTGAGGCTGATGTTGAGAGGAGTGAATGGTTGAGGCTGAGAGTGAAAGGTTGGCTATGATAGTATGATGCTATGATCATTGATAGTGCTGCTTTTGTACCTTTATACCGCTATACCTTTATGCCGTTATGCCTTATGCCTTGTTCTTTTGACAGACCAGATCAGAATGTGTGCAGCGGCCGTGGCCACGTGAATAGAGTACCCATCGTTGTGATTGTTGTGGAAGTTGCGGCAGTTGCGGCAGTTGTGGCAGTTGTGATAGCAGCCTTATGGAGTGTTCGACAGCCTTATGAACTTTGAAGTGTTTGACAGCCTCATTAATTGTTTGACATCGACATCGACAGCCTCATTCGCGCGCACCAGATAGCCAATCAACAGTGGGCAGATATGCCGTCCAGCCCAGCCCAACCGATTGAGCCCAGCCCAGTCCAGCCTACTATACATGTAGAGCGACAGCAGGCAGAGGTGTGTGTGATGTTAAAGGTGTGAAGAGGCATTTGTGCGATGCAACCCGTTCGCACGCCACTTAACATCATGCTCGCTCGCAATACACATCATGCTCATGCTCGCAACTTCGCAAGCGGGCAGTTACATAGCAGAGGGAGGGCAGGATGCGTGGGAAGGAGGGATGCGTGAATCGCGGAATGGACAGTCGGGATCGGCTATGCGACGCGTCCGTGATGAACTGACGGTACCGGTATGGTGGAGGGGAGGGGTGGAAGGTTGGGGTGGAGGGGTGAGATCGGCGGCCGGTGGGGTTTTTGAATGACAAATACGTAAAAGACTGCGGGACTCGGGACTCGGGAGATATTTGTGAGCAAGTGAGCAAGTGAGGAAACATAATAAATGATGGTTTAATGATAGTCGGTGGTTTTATGATGGTTTGATGGTTTATCAATGGCCATGGATGTGGATGTGGAGGTGGAGGTGGAGTGCTGGAGTGGAGGAGTGGAGTGACGGACCAATCGTTGAGGCGCCTAGAGGCCGTGGAACCTAGAGGCCGTTGAGAGGAGGGGGTGGGAGGGGGGGGGAGGGGGAGGGAGGGACGTTATGGTTCTGGTGGTGGGGTTGCGTTGTGTTTGGCAACTTGGGTTGGGTGCCGCGTGCGCCGGCGCCGTGGGGTGATCGCGGTGATCGGGGGATGGTCGGGGTGATCGGGGTCGAGACGTTGACTTCCGGCCAGACTTCCAGACTCCTGTCGACTCCACTCCAGTTCGAGACTACAGTTGGAGACTCGCAGAAGTCTTATCCGCTGACAGTAGTTATGATACTGGGTACACACGTCCCCACAGCTCTCGCGGACGAACGTGCTGCTCCGCAGGTATGTAGATACTCTACAGTGTAGGTACAGTGTGAGTACATTGTAGATCTGCTGATCGAACGGCCGTACTCTACTCTACACTGTGAGCAACCGTGAGCGGCCGTACTCAACTGTACACCATGAGCGTCCGTAGCCTACTTACCCACTGCCCATCTACATGCCCACTGCCTATCTACATACCCACTGCCACCTGAAGAGTCAAGACTGGCTGCGGCGGCGACGCAGGCCGTCCAAGACGGCTAGATTCCTCGAAGATCGGATGATCGGAGTCCCCCGTGCCCCGTGCCCCGTGCCGGGTTTATCGCCGCCGTTGCCGGCGATGATTGCCGGCTCGGCGCATGCAGCGTTACTTGAGTACAGATATAAATACCGGTAGTACACGCCGGTCGACCGGGAGGGATGGAGGTAGGGAGGGGATCGGCAGTGAGGTGTCCGCAACGAGGGGAGGGGAGGGGACGTGACAAATGTGTACCCGGCCTGAATACCGAGCCGAGATGGGGCTCCGGCCGGGTCGGGTGGGCACTAGACACTGGAGGACGTCACCGTCCACGAGCTGCTGGACGGATAGGGTCTCCGGTCGGGGACGTGGGATGATAGCCTTGAGGAAGTACGTGCCTTGTATACTAGGAGGTAGAGTCAGGCCATCGACGTGGACTTAGGAGTAGGTAGATTAGATACCGTATATCCGTCCCTAAGCGTGCTCTTCTGCTCGCATCAGTGCCCACTGCCCTACCGTAGGATACGCACCCCGTGACCGTCCATCCGTCCATCAGTCAATCGGCGTCCAGCGGAGGCAGGAAGGGAGTGAGTAAGTTGCCACCGCCTCCAGGAGTAGGAAGAACCGGCACGCTACGGGAATGGGCATGGGTATGGATGGCACTGGCCAGACGTGGGGTGGCCGTGTGTGGCCGTGGACGCGGATCCGGATCCGGATGGGACGGATTTATTGCTCCGTGTTAGGCATCGACGGTGTGGTCGCCGGCGACGGCTGGTCTCGCCGGGGCTACTTCACTCGCTATCACCCGCCAATGTAGAAGTGACAGAGGAAAGATAGCACACACAAAGTCTATTCCCAATCTGCTACTTCGGTTTCGGACGGATGGCTCACTCACTCACTGAATCACTGACTGGCCTCGTCTGGTCAGGTCAGGTCTGGTCCGGCCGTCCTGTTCCTCTTCCTCGCCCTCCCTTGCCCTCCCGGCATCCACACTCCCTCACCTCCCTCAGGAAGTGCGGTACGTACAGCCTGGCTGCAAAGAAGGGAAGGTAAGGTAAGGGAACGGAGGCTGCTCGGGTGCGAGGGGTTCCGAGTGCCGCGCCATGATACCGTACATTACTGACAGGACTCGCCTGCATGCGAAATAAAACAGGAAGATCTCTCTCTCTGACAGGACTCGCCTTTCCGCATTCCGGGACCCGACTCGGGGTTAGCAAGGGACGGACTTTACGAACAACCCACTACCTTCGGTGGAGCGCCATAGAGGTTGGCCTTGGCGAGGGATGGAGAAGCTTAGTGCATGCAGTGGCCGATGGCCGGTAAGCATAAACTTACAAGCGATTGCAGTGGGCGGGTGGACGATTCACGAAGCAGCTGGCGCTCGTGAGTTGCGATCTTCCTCGCAGATACTGCGAGGAAGTATCCAGGGCGATCGGGGCTGCGTGTGGAGATTTACCCATCATTTTCTGTTCCCGAACTGTATCATAGTATTCAGGAGTACATATTACATTGGTAATGCGAAACTGGAGTGGACAACCAAGTACCAAGTGATGAGCTGTGCTCTGTCACTCGTGTTCGGAGGGAGACTCTGTGAACCGCACACGTCTTCAGATCATCTCTACGAATCTACAACTATCTAGCTACTTTCTAGCTAGCCTGTATTCCAAGCACGACTACCCACATTTCAGCTCCTTCTGTTGAGGTTGAATAGCCGTCGACGAGTGTGGCGCGGTGCAGTTGGGAATCACTACGAATCGGTCTACACTTGCGGCGAAGGTTTTGCCCAAGCGTACAGACTTTGGGAATCATACTACTGCTGCTTTGAATCCGACCGAGACGTGGCCATTCGATTGAGATAGACGAGCGAGGTCACCGGTACAACATGCATGGAAACGTCATGAAGCATCACTCAATCGCACCAGAAACAAAAAACGCAACATTCCCAGATCTAATGTACATGACTCCGCTAGTCCGCATCCATCGCATCGTCGACCTCCTCCACGCGCAGCTTCGAGAGGCCATCGCTCGCGATACTCGCCTCCTTATCGACCATCTCGACCAGGGCAGACACGATGTTCTCTTCGATGCCGATTTTACCCAGCTCCTCGAGATGCTTCTTCGGATCCACCTTTCCGACGTATCTCGTCTTCAGTTGGTCCTTGGTCAGCTCGTTCTCCTCCTTGACGCGCTTCTCGTACTGCTCCGCGAGCACAACCATGCGCTGTAACCGGTCCTGGTTGTCCTGCGCCGACGACTTAAAGTCCTTCATGGTGAGTGAGTCGGTCCACACCGTCTTGTGCAGGTTCATGAGCATGTTCTCCTCGAGGAGCGTCTTGCGGTAGTTGATGGCGATCGAGTAGTAGTGACGGTTGAGGCCGTGGATGAGAGCTTGGATCGACGGCTTGTTGAGATGGCCGAGGTTGGAGGTGGTTTGGCGCGCTTCCTGTCCGAGGACGTAGGCTTGCGGGTTGATTAGTCGGAAGGCGTCGATCACAACTTTGCCCTTGACCGACTGGATGGGGTCGATGACCACCGCCACGGCGCGCGGTGTCAGCTGCTCGAACGACTGCTGAGTGTTGATATCAACGCTGGACAGCCAGCATCCGAAGCCAGGATGCGAGTGATACCAGCCGACGACTGTTTCCGGTCTGCGATTTCACCATCAGTATACAACGTCGCTGATTTCGTCGCTGTGGGTAACCAACCGTCCGGTCTGCTTCAACATATCCATCATCTTGGTCTGGAAAACCGGATCCACAGCTTCGACCGAGACTCCCGTTCCACTCTGTGGCATAGCAAACACCTTCACCCTCCATTAGTACATCATCCATCTGGTGGCGTAGGGAGCTTCTTACATCCACCACGCGCACAGTGTAATCGTCAACGAACTCTCCCAACATCAATCCCATAACCTCCATCGGTACACCTGTATCCCCCACTCATCAGCATCCCTCCAACACAATCGAAACTGAGCGCCCAAGCTAAACCCACCTGCTCTTCCGTGTCTCAACATCTTCAACAGCGCGAGCGAGGAAATGTAGACCGTCTCGGAGTTATCTATCACGGGTGCGTCCTACACAACACATTAGCATTAGTCTCAAGCTACACTATAGCTTCGATCGTGTGATGGATCGAGATGAATAGGTAATAGCGGGAAGGTCACTCACGGTGCCTGGTGGGGCACTCATCCCGCCCATCTGCTGGGCAATCATGCGGTGGAACCGATCCATGGCAGGCTATAGCTAAGCGCGAAAGTGTGGGGTTGCGTTCGGTGGAGTCGGGGATGGGGTGACGACGATGGAGGTTGATGGAGAGGTGTTCCGTGAGGTTATTGTAATGCTATGCTGCTGTTGTAGATCGCGAAGCAAGCATGGATAAGAGCCGCTAACTAAGCTGAGTCACGTGCGCGAGCTAGATACCGGTTCTCATTCTACGCCGCGACAGGGAACGCATGCTATCAGCTCATCCATCTCAGCCCCAGACCAGAGCGCAGCACAGCTATCACAGCAAGCATAGCTCCTGATCCCTACACCCATAACTACCTCCCCCACAATTACAATCAGTCCAAATCCACGATCATGGCGAAACACAACGACGGCCTCGACGATCTCTTCGCCGGATTGCCCGAGCCCACCGCTTCCCCGAGCACAACCAGTGCCCCACCAGCAGCCGATGACCCCATCGCCGAACTCGACGAACTCGAATCGCTCGCTGAGCGTCCCAAGCCACGCTCAGAAACTCCTCGTTCCGCCCCGAAGCGGAGTATTGAACGATCTCGTACCCCGGGAACTGGATATGGCCTGCCCGTGAGTGCACGGAATTCGTCAGAGATTAAGAGAGCAACTACGCCCGTGCCGGCACCGTCGCCGCAGAAGAAGGTGGAGCGGGAGAGTGCGCCGCCACAGTCGGTGGGCAGTAGCTCTACGAGTGGCGAGGGAAGTAGTAGTGTAGCGGCCGGTGGGGGTGGTGGTGGCTGGGGATGGGGAAGTCTCTGGAATACGGCTACTACTGCTGTTAAAGCAGCGGAGGGTCTGGTACAGGAGATCCAGCAGAGCGAGGAGGGAAAGAAATGGGTTGCACAAGTTGGGGGAAGTGCGGATGTCCTGCGGGGTCTTGGTGGGAATCATCTTTCTCCGCTGCACGCAAAAGTCCTAACCCGCGTCTAGCCGGTGACGTTCGCTCCAAAGCTATACCCACGTTCGCGAACCTCCTCAATCACCTTGCACCGCCAATCTCAAGTCACGAGCAGCTGAGGATTCATATAACACATGATTTGCAGAACTACCCGTTTGTGGATACCGTCGTGTTTGGCGTCTTCGATAGGGTTATGCAGCAGGTGGAGGGAGGGGACCTACTGGTCGTTCAGCGTGGGGGCGGATCAAAGCCAAGATCCTCTACCGATAGTGGACCTTTCGGTGGAGGCCCGTGGTGGAAGGCTATGGAAAAGGTATTATCCCATACACGAAATCTCATGTACTCACGTTGATGTCGAAAGCGAGAATTAAACGCCACCGTCGGCCTCCAAGAAGGTATCAAGCTTGCCCGCGTGGCTGCTGAATCCTACGCCGCAGACCACGCCAAAGCCGCAGCCGCGCAGACCATCACCGCCGACAACCCTACACGCAAGTCCAACATCTTTCTCGCGATCCAACCGACGATCCACTCCGCTGACGACCTGATCTCGTCGATCACCGGCGAGGAGTCTACCGACGAGGAGATGGTGGTCTCTTTCGCTATTCACCTCCATGACCCTGAGCACAGCATCTCCTTCTCGACGCTGTCACAGGCATTGCCGTTGCAGTGGCTTATTTGGCTGGATGCTCCCCCGCCAGCTGGTACCCGCCCTGGCGAGTGGGCGCTTCCCGAGGCTATTCAGGACATTATGGATGCGGGAGGTGTTGATCCCCGAGAGTGGGTGGTGGAGTGGGTCGAGGAGGCAGTTGGGTTGTCGGTGGGCGTGGTAGCCCAGAAGTACGTCGCCAAGCGGATGCGAGTTGGAGAGGCTGGACAGGTTGCGGATGCCATGAGGACTGCTGCGAGGGAACAGGCGGGTGGAGAGGAGGCGAGGGCCGTGGGTATGTGATGAGATGCGTTTTGGATATGTACTCGACCGTGGACAGTGCTATTTGCGACACCGCCATGTTTCCGACTTCTTTCTCTCTGTACCTGCTTTCCTGCCGATGTAAATCTTGCGATTCTGTACGTACGAATTGGTCCTCTGCGATGTAGATGAATACCGCCGAGGGGCCGGCTTTATCTCAATTCCATAACTAAAGTGCACACCGTGAAGAACCCATTTTAAACGCCCGCAAAATCAAATCGAAACCCAACTTGTCGCCGCCTATCATTTCTTCACTCCTGCAGCCTCCTTCGCTGCAGCCTCCTTCATAGCATCCCTCTTCGCGTCCCTTTTCCCTCCAACAAGTAACTCCAAATGTCCCGCCCTAGCCGCAAGTCGCTTCTCGGTGCCACTGGCAAGCTGCGCACTCAATTTCTGTCCTTCCTGTCAGAAACGCCCTGTTCCGCCCCACTCCCACATTCACCTCCCGAAGAGCATACCTTCAACGAATTCTCTCTGTGTGCATTCTTGGCCTTGGGTGCAAACGATCGCAGACCTTTCCTCATGACACCGGCATTCCTGAGCGCTTAATGTCAGCTTGGTGGTAGTGGGGGAGGTGGGAGATGTGGGGCAAGCGGAGGATGATGTACCGGACGACTTTCGGCTTTCCGGCCTTCGCGGCGGTGGGCTTGGTTTTTAGGGGGGCTTGAGGCATTGTTTTGTTCGTTCGGTGGTGAGGTGAAGTGAAGCTTGTGGCGAGGAGAGGTGAAATTCGTGGTGTGTGGTGGAGCGCGAAGGTGCAGCTGCAGAAAAAGCCAAAGCAGAGCCGCAAGCTTGAACACGGAAGGTTCCGCAGCAGGGCTAAGCGGTCGATGATTACCCGGTCTTCACGGTGGATGTTTTTTCGCGGTGGAGAAGTTCGTTTTTTCGTGGCAGACGTGGCTCCGAATGCATGATTAAGTCTTCGTAAAATTCCCCCTTTCTACAGGAGATCTGGACCTCACGGCAATCGAATTCGGTAGTGGTGGTTGAACTTAACTCAACGCAACGTCCGGGCTTGGCGATCCGAGCTTGGACCACTTACCTTGCAGTCCCACCAGCGCGTTCTGCTTGCTTGCTACTGTACCGAAGTTAACGACTCTCCCTCCATCCAGTCTACACTTGCTCATACCCCATAATATAATTCCCAACAACCTCGCTCTCACTCCGGCCTGCATTTTCTCTGCAGCCTCAGACGAGATCCGGAATTGTGACAGAGGGGAACGTGTGTTTTTCGAAAACCCAGAATTGCATCTCATCTAATATCGAAACCCAAACCCGGCGCATGCGGATTTGATTGATGGGAGACGTCGGCCGGTGGTTTTATTTTCGGTAGCGGGAGGAAGTGAGGGAGTGAGAATCTTGTGAGTATCCCCATACGTATTTCTACGATGTTACTGTTATAATTATTGCGGCGGTGGATGGCGCGGCGGGAGGTGGGGTGTTTTGTGTTGGGGGAAGGAGAAATATCGTGAGAACCGACTAGCATGACCCCCGGGAGCCATTCTGCTTTGAATATTCCAAGGCGTGCCAAAATACCCAACATCTCTTCTGTTCTTTTGCTTTCCCTTCCTTTCTCCTTCCTCTGCACACTACTTTGCTTTAAGAGCCAAACTGCTATTTACTTTCCGCCTCCAAAAACTCTTTTCCTTACGCCTTCAGGAGGATGTTGCTATTTTGTTTGCCAGATGTATGATGGATGTTTACTGACCCATATGACTGCTAGATATTAGAACAGCTCGCTTTACCTAGCACCAGACCTTTGCTCTACGCCAACCAAGCTGCCTATATCAAGTTACCGGTATGTACATCCTCTGCTGTTTTACAGCAGCGGTGGCGTTTCATATATTTTGCCGCTGGAACATAACTAAGAATCATGCAGATACCAATATCATGGCGCCCAAGAAGCGACCTTCACTCAAAAAGACGTACCAAACCAACAAGACAGTAGTTCCAAGCTCATCCACATCACCAGCACCCACAGCACCATTACTACCATTGTCCACATACCGCCCCATCGCGCCCGCACCCCCGCGCCCAGTCCAAACCACACCCAACTTCATCCCCTCGCTGACGGTGCAAAGCGGGCCGAGGAGCGCTATTGTGATCCCAGAGAGCCCCACACCCGAGCCAGGCATTCCCACCGACGAACCAAGTACTCCACCATTCCGTGTGCGCAGTCCGGGCCCGCTCGAGCTTGCCAGACAGAAGGCGTGGGGGCCTGATAATGTTCTGGCGATGGCCGACAAGATTCTGCATAAGGCTATGGATAGTACTATTGTTGAAGGACCGGTGCTCCCGCATAGAGAACCGCTGGGGTATAAGAACGGCCAGCCGTATTATCATAAGGCGAGGGGAAGGGGAAGGAATGAGGAAGGTGCTTGGGTTGACACCACGGAGGTTACGTCGTCCCCCATGGCCCCGGCTAGCCCTGCTAGCGATGTGAGTGGGGAGTTTGTACAGCGTTTCTCGCCCACTCCTCGTCGTGGGCGGTGGTCATTGTCTTTGCCGGCTGAAGACTTCGTGTCATCATCACAAGAAGAAAATGAAGAGGACGAACAGGACGAAGAGGACGAAGAAGAGGAGCAAGAAGAGGAGATCTCACACCAGCAGTTTTCACCTTCGCCAGTCCTGGAAGCAGTCGCGTATCAGCACTACTCATCGCCGCCACCAACTTCAGAAGAGGTCGCCCATCCCCGATCCTCGCCGTCACCAGTTTCAGAAGAGGTTGTTCCTCACCTACCCTCACCCCCACCAGCTTCAGGAGAGGTCGCCCCTCCCCGATCTTCGCCATCACCAGTTTCAGAAGAGGTCGCTCCCCCCCGATTCTCACCTCCACCAGCACTAGAAGAGGTCGCTCCTCCCCGAGATTCACCACCACCAGCTCCAGAAGAGGCCGTTCCTCCCCGGTTCTTACCTCCGCCAGCTCCAGAAGAGGTCGTTCCTCCCCGATTCTCGCCGCCGTTAGCACTAGGAGGATTTGTACATCAGCATCGGCCGCCGCCTCCGCCACCTCCGCCTGCTGCATTTCGAGAAATTCAGTCTGCCGCATTAGCCCCTCATGTTCTAGTTCCGGTTGTGGCTCGACCTGCGACTCCGACCCCAGCTTCGACTCCGGCTTCGGTTCCGGCTCCACTTGCAGCTCCGTTTTCGGCACCGATTGCAGTTCCGGTTCCGGCACCGTTTTCAGCATCGATTGCAGCTCCGGCTCTAGCTTCAGTTCCAATTCCGGTTCCTGCTCCAATTCCGGTTCCTGCTCCAATTCCGGTTTCTGCTCCGGTTCCTGCTCCGGTTCCTGCTCCGGTTCCTGCTCCGGTTTCTGCTCCGATTCTGGCCCCGATTCCGGCTCCGGTTTCGACTTCAACTTCAGCTCCAGCTCCAGCTCCAGCTCCAGCTCCATCCCCGGCTTCTCCTTCTATCCCATCATCTCACCCAGCTGTCCAGCGCCGCCACCGCAAGAGAAAAGTCGATGACCTCACTATCGACTTCCTCCCATCAGCTCTTCCCCCACCACCGGCGCCGACTGGTGGTCGCCCAAAACGGAGGGCCGCTATGAAGGCAAGAGAGTTGCTGACCGCAACTGCGCCGCTTACACGTGAATCGAGATCGAGTTCATTGGAAATGGAGGATAGTGACCGTGAACGCTCGAGGTCTGTGGAAGCTCAGGGACCTGCAGAAATTCCGGCGACGCCGGCCTCAGCCCACCCTCGGGAACGCACCATGACGGCGGAGCAGGAGAGACCTAGTGAAGAGATGTCCGTTGAGGAGATGTCGGCTAATCGTGGTCGGCCGAGATCGGTCCAAGCTCGTCGTTATTCGGGACTTCAGGAGAAGCCTGTGGTCCATAGTGATCGGTCGGAAACTGCACAACAAGATGTGCCTGTCTCGGAACTACCAGCGCTCAGTGGCAACTCTGGATCTACTGGAGGTTACCGTGACGCAGAAGTTCATGTTCAGGAGAAGCTGCCGACGCTTCGTGGAAGGTCGAGACATGCGGGTACACAGCAGCCTTCACCACAATCGATGGCACCTGTAAAGGCGCCAGCACCATCGGGACCGACACCCGTGAAGCGAGGTCGTGGACGCCCGAAGAAGATCCGGCCCGAAGCTTCCCTTCCGCCTGCGCCTGCGCCTGCCCCAGCTGAAGCAGCAGACGAAATACCTGAGCAACAACTAGTACCAGAGTCTGCTCTCGATGTTGCACCTCAGCCGGCGGCTGACATAGCGTCTGAGCTTACATTTATGCATGGCCCAGCTCATGACCCAGCTCCTGGTGTTGTGCCGGAGCTTGCATCCGAGGTTGTGCCTAAGGTTGTGTATGCCCGCGAGGTAGCGCCAGAGCCGGTACCTGAGCCCGAACCAGCGCTTGAGGAAGCGCGTGAGCCTGAGATGGTTCCTGAGCCTGAGTTTGTGCCTGGGCTCGTATTGATGCCTGAGCCCGCCCCTGAAGTTGTGCCTCTACATGCACCCGGGGCTGTGCCTGAGCTGGTGTTCATGCCCGAGCCCGCACCTGAGGTTGTGTCTGAGCCTGAGATGGTGTTTGAGCCTGAGGTTGTGCCTGAGCTTGTATTAATGCCTGAGCCCGCCCCCGAGGTTGTGCCTCTACCTGCACCTGAGGTTGTGCCTGAGCCTGTGTTCATGCCCAAGCCCACCCCTGAGGCAGCGCCTCTACCTGCACCTGAGGTTGTGTCCCAGATAACCACGGAACCAGCGCTAGAATGTGCACTAGAGGCCGCGTTTGAGCCCAAGCCAGCAGAACCCGAGTCAGCAGAACCCGAGCTTGAGCCAGCAGAGTCAACAGAACCCGAGTCGGAGCCAGTAGAACCCGTGGTAGAGCTAGCAGAACCCGTGGTCGAGCCAGCAGCACCAGCAGCACCAGCAGAGCCAGCAGAGCCAGCAGAGGCCGAGGTCGATCCAGCAGAACTAGCGGAGCCAACAGAACCCGAGGCGGAGCCAGCAGAACCCGTGTTCGAGCCAGCAGAGCCCCAGCTTCAGCCAGTAGAGCCCGAGGCGGAGCCAGCAGAACTAGCACAGCCAGCAGAGCCCGAGCTTCAGCCGGTAGAACCAGCAGGGCTAGCGGACCCCGAACCCCAGCCGGTAGAACCAGTAGGGCTAGCAGAGCCCGAGCCTGCACCAGCAGCGCCCGAGCCTGCACCAGCAGCGCCCGAGCCTGCACCAGCAGCGCCCGAGCCTGCACCAGCAGCGCCCGAGCCTGCACCAGCAGCGCCCGAACTTGAGCTAGCGGAGCCCAAGCCCGAGCCCGAGCCAGCAGAGTCAGTAGAACCAGCAGAGCCCAAGCCCCAGCCGGTAGAACCAGCAGGGCTAGCGGACCCCGAGCACGAGCTGGCAAAGCCCGAGCCAGAGCCAGCAGAGCCCGAACCAGCGCCAATAGTAGCACCTATGCCCGCAGTACCCCCAAAGAGACCTCGTGGACGGCCACCGAAGAAGAAGCGACCCATACCTCTGCCTCGATCAGCACCAGCACCAGCACCAGCGCCTGAGCAAGAGCCAGAGCAAGTGCCGGTGCCAGCGATGGAAGAATCGACACTCCCGCCGCCGCCAAGGACTCGCCGCGCTTCACGATCACAATCAAGGGTCGCACCGGTGCAAGAAGAAGAAACAATCCTTCTCCCACCGCCGCTACACATTCGCTCTTCACGATCGCAAATATTGACCGGACCAGTGCTAAATGGGGAACTGCCACACTTGCCGCCGCCGCCACGGCCTCGCCGATCTTCGCATTCACAGTCATTGTCCAGGCTAGTGCTAGAACAGGAACCGACACTCCCGCCTCCGCGGCCACCACCAGCACGCACCCGCCGAGCTTCGCGTTCACAATCATTGACCGGGTCAGTGTTAGAAGACGAACAGGCACTCCCGCCGCCGCCGACACCACGGACTCGTCGAGCTTCGCGTTCGCAATCAAAGACTGCCGCCGAGAATCCCAAAACAGCGGATGAAAAGGAGTCCGATGAGAGAAAGCGGCTGACTGCGTCTCCGACCAAACAGCTCCTGCAAGAAGCAGCGAGTGAGCCGGTGGGGCTTGCACCTGAGATAGAAGGTGGAGAGAATGAGAAAGTGGCCGTCGAGACTCCAGGTGAGGAGGAGGAGGGGCAGGGGGAGGTTGTTCCAAAGGAATCAAGCCCAGAGAGAGAGAAGGAGAAGGCGACAGGGGAAGAAAAGGATGTTAAATCCCTGCCCATTCCAGCAGTGGATGTACCCCACGAGGAGGTACCCAAGGAGAAAAAGAACGACGAGAATAATCCTGGGGACGCAGCCGCATTTCGAAATGCCATGGGCGAGATTGGCGCATCCGTGAAGACAGCGGAGGACGAATCTCAGCCTCGCCCTAAGAAAGTTGTTAGATTTAAGTTGCCTAGCAAGTTTCTGGCCAGCCTCGATGATCTTCCCCCGCTAGCCGATCCGGAGAGTTCTAGAGAGGAGAGTTCTAAAGAGGGGATGTTGGAAAAGCCGGAAGATTTGCTTATGGCTGACGAGCAGGCGAAAGCTGTGGCTGCGGCACGCCACCTCCTGAGTCTCTCTGGCCGACAATATCTTGCCTCTCGGCCGCCTCCGAAAAGACTTCCTACTAAGCATGAGAAGTCTACTATTTGTCCGGTTTGTCAGATCACGCTGTTTGAGATCAAGAGGAAGAGGGGATTTCCACCGGACTCAAATGATACTCAGCTTGCGGCGCATGTGGAGAGCTGTCTAGATTCTCGGCCGCGACAATGGGGCAATGATGATGGAGACGACAATACGCCGCTACGTGGGGAATCTTCGGACGAAGACGACGATCCTGAGAGTGCATCAGAGACTAGGGAGAGCCAGAATCCCCCAAAGATTCATCTACCTTCCTACCTCCAGAAGGGTGAAGTTACGGGAGAGATATCGCTTTTTGCGCCATTGGTGCCCGTCACCGAATTCACGAAACTCTTCAATGACCCGAACCTGACCGCAGGACAAGTCCTCGCGGTCGAGGAATCACTGGTCTTCGCCATGGCGGAAGCACAGCGGGAGTGGCAGGAGCTGGAACAGCTGGCACTGGAACACGAGAAGGCAGCGAAGACGGAAGCGAAGATGGAAGCGCAGAGCCTCGGAACATTTGCTGCCCCCGACAAGCGCAGACCCGGCAAGCGTAAGGCCGCCTTTATCCCCAACCGGCGGGGCCCCCTGGAGCCCGAAGACCCAGTCGTGTACGAAGACAAGAAGGAAGCCCTCCTTTACGGCTTCGAATACGATCCCAATCCCGCCAAGCGTGGAAGGCAAGACCCGATCGGCCAACGGTCTACGGGCGGCTCGCGGCGCTCCGGTCTTCGGAGTCGCAACCAGTGGTTCGACCTCAAGGTCGTGCCTGGCTACGAGACACCCACCAAGGCGCAGGACGTGGAGCCGAAGTCACTGCGCAACCGGGAGCGTGCCGCCGATCGCCCCGCGACGAATACTCCCGTGACGCCTGCCTTCCCCGCCCCCCGCAAGTCAAGGACTACAACTGCAGCGAACAGTCGCCATGCCACTCCCGTGACCGCCCCGCCTCCAACCGCAGCGCCAGTACTTGCTGCAACCGGCCTCCCAGCCAAACGTGGTCCCGGCCGCCCACGAAAAGACGGTCGACCTCCCGGCTCTGTCCCCGGCCCATCCCGCGCCACCACTCGGCCCGCCACGCCCATCACCCCCGCAGCGCCCATCGTGCCCGTCGCCGCCACCCCACCACCTCCGCCTGCACCACCGGCTTCCGCCCCCGCCACTGCTCCAACTCCCGCACCCGCACCACGCAAGCGCGGCCGCCCCAAGAAAGAAGCACCCGCCGCCTTGCCTCCAGCCAAGCGGCTGAATCTCTCGCCCGCCTCTGTCGCTGCACCAGCACCAGCACCGGTTTTCGCTGCGGCACCCGTGCTCGCGCACGCGCATGCGCAGAATGCTCAGCCTGCTCAGCCCGAGCAAGTCCGCTCGGGCCTGAAGATTCGGATCACGGCGGCGGCTGCCACGGCGGCTGCGAATGCCGAGAGCGAGCGGGACAAGATGACGGCCGAGGAGGAGTTCAAGGCTGCGCAGAACGCGGACCTGGGGAAGAGGAAGCGCAAGTCCACTATTCCGGAAGATGAGGGGGAGGGACTGGGGCAGGGACACGAGAGGGGACACGAGAGGGAGAAGGAGTGGAAGAGGGGGAGGGGCGAGAGGGGGAGTAGTAGTGTTTCGAGGAAGTAGGGATGAGAGGGGGGGGGGGGTGGGGAGACGTTTTTTTTGTGGGGCACTGGCACATCGTTACCGTAGGATTTTACTATTCTGTACTTCACTTTCATTTTCACTTTCACCTCTCTTGGGGGTTTTTTTCTTTCTTTATGGGGTTTTATACATCTCTTTTTTCCTTTCCTTTTCTTCTCGAGAGCCGGAGTAAAGTAGATGTTTCTTTCAAGTTTCTTTCAAGTTTCTGTGCGGTTCTGTGTGGTGCTCCTATTTTGTATGCTCCTGTTGTATAGCGATAATTACGGGGCGAGAGGGGAAGGCGTTTTGATTTTGATTTTAATTTTTTTAATCACAATTCATAGAAGTAAATCGTTTTTTTGGCGATTGATGATAAGTTACGGGTATGATAGGGCAGCTCTGTGATGAACCGTATGGGGCCCGTGGATTCGGATGTAGACCACTCCCGGGTGTCCACGAAATCCACGAGATTGGTGGTTGGTTGTTGGTGGTTGTGGTTGGTTGGTGGTTGTTGGATGGGATGGAGGGAAGTTGGCGGCTGCGGGCTGGAGGCTGCGAAGTGGGAGATGTCACTGCAGGGTTGGGGATTGGATGGATAGATCGACGGTTGATAGTTGACAGTTGACAGTTGACAGTTCACGAGTCCTCGAGGAGAAGATCTGCGGTTCTGGCGGTACAATATTCAGAGCAGGGTACCTATCCTACTCGGGTATCCACAAGTGAAAGTAAACATCAAGATGCGGAGTCGGTGTCGGAGGAGTATGGAGTAAACTCATGCCAAACTGAATATAACTGCCATTGTCGTCACTAACTATCATTATAACTCGGTAAACAAGTAAATACGGTCCCATCGATGCGTTCCTCCCTGCTCCCTGACACCTGTCCCGTCCATCATCAATATCTACGGTAGGTACCTCCTCTTTCCATCCTGCTCAGAGTTCAAACGAGATCGACTTCCCCCTCTCCCTCCCCTCCCTCCCTCCCTCCCTCCCTCCCTCCCTCGTGGTTGTAGACAGTCGTAAGCATGGTAGAGTAGGTAGTAGAGAGACATAACAGACATAATAGCCATGTGTAGCCGTAACTAAGCATAGAGACATAATAGGTAGACATAATAGTAGACATGTGTAGCGTGAACATTATCATCATCAGTATCATCAGTATAGCATCATGAACATCAACATCAACATCGTGACTCCATCCATCCATCTCTCGCCCATATCCACATCCACAGCCATATCCACAGCCATATCCACACCTAATCCACAGCCATATCCACAGCCATATCCACACCTAATCCACAGCCATATCCACATCCAGAAACCGCCGGTGCACTATCGACAACCCCCCTCCCTCGTTCATAAACCCTATCACATCCTAGACCAGAATAAACCCGAAAACAAACCAAGACCAGCTCAATATCAATGCAATCGCTAAATCCCACACCTGCCATACCATAAAAACCCAAATCCAAAAACACTTCCATTCGCCGCACCGAAATCGCAAATTCACAAAGACACAAACGCACACAAAATCATCACGCTAGTTAACATAAACCTAGAATCATCAAATCAAACCAAATCACAGCGTAGTCCTCATGCTGGGTGCATGACCCTCGACGGCACCAGCAGTCTTTGGCCTGTGCGGCTCGCGCTCGCTGTTCCCGGCCTCCTTCGCCGTGCCGCTGCGTCTCAGCTTCTTCCCAAGCACCGCATCGCCGATCCTTTTCCAGCCAACAAACTCGATAACGAATTTAGTGCCCTTGATGCGCTTCGCATTTCTATTCCCTGTGGAAGCTCTCGCGATTTGCGGGCGCGCAGTTGGGGCGAGGTCCTCGGAGAACCGCGAGTTCTCCGGCAGCGCAAGGTCCTCTACCGATGAGGTGGGGGATGCGCCGTTCTTCGGTCGCCACCACGGGTGCAGTTTGCTCTCGCGGACTTTTTCGGGGATGCCGGCGATTGAGGGGCGCGTGGGCGCGCTGGTTTCAGTGGTGGCGGCGGCGGCGGTGGTGGTGGTGGTGCTGTCGAGTGCTTCGTTTTCGGGAATCGACTCGGCCCGGCCGGCAGTGGGAATGCCGGTATTGCGACGCGAGATCGGACGGGATCCGAGGGAACCGGGGTGGCCGAGTTGCTTCTCCTTCTCGGCGCTGGAGGAGAGCGCGAGAGGCGTGGCGGGGATGAGGGCTAGTGAGGGCGCGATGGTGGGCGCAGTGGAGTCTGCGGGCGGTGAGTAGATCAGTATCACGCGCTTCGTTTCCTCCTCTGTGCGTGTAGTTGTTGTGGTGGCGAAGGTTGGAGATGGCGGCTCCACGAGCGGAGTTTCGACTGCGTCGAGGAAGATTTCATCGCCGCTGGAGGAGGAGGTGTTCGAAGGCGCTGGGGAGGGGACGGGAGAGGGTACTGGAGAGGCGACGGCAGAGGCGTCGTGAGAGGCGACGGGAGAGGTGACATAAGAGGCAACGGGCGAGGGAGAGGAGGGCGTGTCCAATATCGCGGGCTCACTTAGGCCTCTATCGTCCGGGGTGTCCTGCTCTTCGTTCCTATCAACCACGCTGGTGGTCGTTCCGGTTGTGGTGGTGGTGGTATAGAGCACGCTATCCGGCCTCTCGGAAACAAAACTGCTCGCGCGCGTAGCCCACGGTGTAACCCTCTTCCCATCCCTCTTGACGACCCTGAGCCTCTCCCTCTTCTCTCCTTCCTCCTCTTCCTCGTCCTCCTCGTCGTTCTCATCGTCAAGCGCGATCCCCTCATCCTCGTCATCGGTACTAGCCGCGACACTGTCGGTATCATCCAGCTCTTCCTCGCGTCTGACCACCTCCTCGAAACCAATGACCCTTCCCAATCCCGAACTTCGCAGCGGCACACCTCCGCCCGAGTCCGGCCTCGACAACGGCTCATGCTCAGCGAAGAGCGCAGTCCCATTCAACACGTCTGCTCTCCTTCGTTCATCCTCGAAGAAAGCGCTCTTCGGCGAGCTCCTTAGCTGGCGCGGGTGGTGCAGGTGTGCGGAGCCTCTCCTCGGCGCGGGAGTGGCGGGAGCGACGACGGTGGTCGAGATGGGAGCTCCACCGCCGCCGGCGATGTTGCCGCGGATCCGCCGTAGCCCGCGCGGCGGACTGTCGCCCGACGAACTCCGGCTGTGCTTGCGAGAGGTCGGCGGCGTGCTGGGGATTAGATGCGTGTAGAGTGTTACGTGCGACATTGTTGTTCTGTGCGGGCGGTGGTGGGCATAAGTGAAAGCGGAGGTGAGAAGTTGTTGGCGAGGGACGTGGCGGATAACGAGAGAGGTGCTGTTGCTGCTGGTGGGTGGAGACTCTGGAGAGGAGGCAGGGATCGATCCCACCCCCCTCCCCCCCCCCCATGCTGGCCAATACAAAGCCAAAGCAGGTTTCCGGGTTTTGTATGGCCCAGAAGAAAAGAGTTGGTTTTTTTTTCTTTGCGTGCAGCTGCTATATTAATCTGCGGACATCGGCAGCCTCATATCAGAGTTACAAGAGTCTCGAGAACTTATCTACTGATACAAATCCTCGTGGCGACAGATTCGACCCCCCCTTCTGGACCCTTGGCAATAGACACCGGCCTTTCTGCCCCTCGATTACGGAAAGGGCAGAATGGTAGACTATCGTTCCCTGCATAGATTTCTTTCTCTCATAACTACGATACACTCTAAATCACGCTGCTGTAAGGTTGGGGATTATTGAAAGGCGGAGTGAGGTGTGTGGTGCCTCAACTCTCGAGTCTCGACGCCACCGGCAAACGGGCCCCGCCTTGAGAATCAGTACATGCCATATGTACCGTACCGTACCTCGACGTCTCCAGATGCCACGGGCCCATGGGAATAGTTGCGAGCGTCTTCTTGTCTGGCAGGATGCGACGGAATCATGCAGTCGCAGCCGTTCGAGTGTAGACGGTAACTCTCGCCAGTATGTATCTACCCAGTACTATGAGAGTTACATCCCACCGCCGCCCAGTGCCCACGACCGAAGTCCAACTCGGAGGACTATCACCCACCACATCGGAAGGACACAAGAGTCAAGACGCCCATCATCGCTGCTGAATACTCTAGAGTGGCCAAGTAATCGGCATCGACTATGAAGCTCAAAGGGGCAGGCTCGCAGGCCTTGACTCTTGGTAGATAATAGGTGTGCATATCATTTAAACAAGAAACATGTCGCCACGTGCAACCGTCAACGCCGTTTGGAGCTGGCTTGGGGGTGGGGAATGCTATTACTATACCTATACCAAGTACGTACCTGCTTCGGAACTGAAGGGCGGTAAAATACACGGCTATTCGTCTCGATTGTTTAAGGCCATGAAGGAAACAATGTGCCTACGTAGACGATGAACCGACCCTCTTTGTCGTGCGGTCGCAACGCACCGTATGATACAGCAGATGGCTGCATACTTACTTGGTAGGTAGGCAGTGAGACATGTGCGGCCACATAACTCTGCAAAGCACGGAGAACAGCATTGCACTTCGGACAACGATACCAACGTTGGAAGGAATGGCCTACCTAGGTATCGAGTGATACTTGCAACCACCGATACGGCAGTAGATACCAGGACCAGGACTCTGGAGAAACATCGAGTGATGGGTTGGGATATATCTACATACCTCTACTTGACTTCTACGAGGGGATCTGTCTAAGACTGCAGCCAGATCCTCCGCCGAGTTCCAGCTTCCCAGCGTCCCAGTCTCACCCAGGCGGTAATAGGTAGCTTTACGGTTACGGAGAAAGCTAACATACACAGATATGACCCCATTTCGGGGTGGAGAAGTTGTACATACAAACAGCTGGACAGAAGCTCCGAAATCGAGCACCACCGTGGGTCTTCGAAAGGAATCCATACCTACAGAGCAAGATCACAGCCACTGCCGCACACCGCACCAGAAAATGGAGAACCACCACCGCGAGTTTCTTCGTCTTCATCCACATATTCGTGCACCGTGCCCGTTATCTAAACCCAAACGTGACATAGGGTAGCACCTACGGCATTCCACGGCCTCGCGAGTCGCAAGTGCGACGGATGATCTCCGGCGGGAGGCGGCATCGGCAAAGCTGGCAGGGATTACGAAGAACGGGCACCAAGCCATCTGACATAGCGCCGACCTTGCTCGAACTTCAAAGATTTCTGCGGGTTCTCAGTGGCCGTCCCCCCCAAGTCCCTTCCAATCGATACGGCCACCGAACAGGAGCAGGTCTGGGAGAAAATAGCGGCTCGGATCGAACAGTTTGGACGCTCTTCCAGATACCGGTAACTATTGAGCGTCGAAAGAGGGTTTCTTGATATGTAACTAACCGGAGCCCCGCTTCTTGACACCGTAGTTACTCTAGTGCCATGTACCTACGGCAAGAGCTATGCTCCAGTTATCTACATAAGTACAGTACAGTTCTCACGAGTGCTCCGCTGTGACAGCTGTCCTGCAGACGGGGACGGGGACGGGGATGGCCATTCCTGCCGAGGACATACCTTCTCGCATCCAGTACCGTTAACTGGCATGTGGACCGCAACCAGTATTTACGAATGCGATATCTAGCCCTGGGCGAGCCAGTACAGTTCCAGTATGTAGCCATCGCCCTGCCCGCATCACCCATCACCCATCACCCATCGTCCGTCGTCCATCAGCCGAGTGAACGCAATAGGCAGTCGCTCCCCTTAGCATATCATACATGTAGATAACTGCCGGAATGTACCGGTACTGGCACAGGCAGTCAAGCTGTCAGAAACTGTGCTGGACCAGGACAAGTCACAACGTGTATTTAACCTATCCATCACGGAAACGGTGATGGAGCAGTGATGGAGCGAGCGAGATCTCCGGATCTGCCAGCACGCACGGTCAACTTATGCACGCCATACTAGTATGTAACTCCTACCGGTATGTCCCATGCACGAATGGACGAAACGGTCGCTTATGTACGCACGAGTACATAGCAACGCGATCCTCGTAAATCCGTGTCCGTATCCGGGTGCGGCAAAAAGACTCGCGGCCGCTTCCCAAAGCAAAGCAAAGCAAACCTCCAGAGTCCAAGAAGAGGGGTGGTTCGGTGCGCAGAGTTGAGTACACATCACCTCCCCCGCCCCGCCTCAAACCTCTCAACAAGTATCACGAAACTTCGTCGAAAAAAACAAAATGTGGCGATACCAACGGGACAACAACTTTCAGAGCCCGTAGGCATCAAGAAGTGTTCTTAGGAGCACGCTATACCAGCGCTCGTGCGAACACGAGCACCTATCGATATTCCCTCTCCCCGGCCGTATGCTTTAGAGCACGTTCAACCGCCGCTCGTCGGAGAGAAAGCGAGCGACGACCAAATTTCTTGACACGGGTACAACTTTCTGAAGAGCTCAGAGGGGTGCGGGGGAGGACAGGCTTATATCCTGCCTGTCGGCGAAAATGGGTTGGCTTGGCTGGCAGGGAAGGGAACTAAGCTAAGCTAAAGCTAAATGGGAACAGGGATAGGTAGGAAAACAAGGTTGGCGACGGTGGCGGTCGAGTGAGAGTGAGATGATGTGATGTGAACCACAAGCAAAGCTTCAGGCAAGTCCTCCCAACAAGCCTCCCAGCAACCCGCCCAGTCCCAGTCCATTAAGGAAGCCCAATGACCCGCCGCCACCGGCCAACAGCCCACCAAGCAGCCCGCCGAGAAGATTCCCGCCCCCGAGCCCGAGAAGACACGATACCAGCTCCAGCAGGGACGTGATCAGATCGCCGCACAGGAGCTTGAGGAGGACCATGACCAGGCCTCCCAGGCCGACTGTTCACACCATCATCAGCCCACGCCCACCCCTCCCCTTCCCCCAGAGCAGAGAACACTTACGCAACCCGCTACACTTCCCACTAAGCGACAGCAGCGTGTAGTTGATTTCCCCAAGCAGCTGAAACAGCAGCTTACTCAGCCCCGCGAGGTCCAAAATATCGCACTTATCCTTCCCGGTGCACTGGCCGGTCACGGCAGAGACTATCGTCTTGATCTCGCGCGTGTACGCGGTAATGTCCGCGAACGTCACCTTCACAGTCGCGTTGTACTTCTTGTCGACCTTCTCGATCTCCTGCAGAAGGTTGGCCACCAGGATGTCCGCGTGCTTGAGCGCGGCGACGGCGTTGGTCGCGGTTTCGGAATGCGAAGCGGTGGGGGCCGCGTCTGCGGGGGGTTAGCGGGGACCTTGGGCGGGGGAAGGGGGGGTGATGCGTACCGGCCGTAATGGCTAGGAGCCCGAAAAGGGTGAAGATGATGGCGAGGAGGAAACTGGGGATGTTGAGGCTGATGGTCTTCATCTTGCTTTTTGCTTTGTCTTGTCTTGTCTCTGTATTTGTCTCTGTCTCTGTCTGTTCGAAGTCGATGGTTCTGCTTCTGCTTCTTCACGGCCAGACAACAGTGGTTTTATACCCGCACCATCGTTGAGTTCCCCAACTCTCACGAACCACAGAACCACCACAGAACCACCACCACCGGCAGCTGAAGCCTGTAGCCTGAAGCCTGAAGCCTGAAGGAGGAGCACAGAGACAGAGTTTCGTGCCCCAAAGCCATGGTTCGATCAACCGGTAACATCGGTACCTACAAACATACGAGTGCTTGTGCAATGTAAGACGTAACGTAACGTAACGTCTCGGATCTCCCCAACTGTTGTCAGTCAGTCAGTCAGCCATTCGGCTGATCGACTGGTATGATGTATCTAGACCGCTGGGCCTGGTCTGGTCTGGTCTGATTAATGTACATATTCGGACGGGTACCACCGTACCACCCACCCTTCATTTGTCCGTATGTACTCCGATTCACAGAGGCGGTACAGTACCTATTCGTCGGATATGGTATTGATCTGGCTACAACAGCAGCAGGAACTGCCCACTTTCCAGTGCTCACTGTCCACTGCCCACTTCCCGCATAATCCGCCCGCATAGGTAATCCGCAACCGAGAAAACAGCCGAGAAATAGCCCGCATCAAGCCTCTTCCTGGCGAAATGGCGGGGTGGCGAGACGGCGGGTTGTGGGGCGGGTGGTAGATCGTACACGGTATATACACGGTAGGTATGATACGACTCTGAAGGTCTAGCTCCTGCGGACGACCGGCCTTCGGAGGAACGACGGAGGAAGGACGCGGTACTCTCTTCCGAGATCTTCACCATCGGATCAGACTACCTACTATACCGTAGACTCTTCCAGTCTTCCAGATGCGATACACCGATACACCGATGCACCCCACCAAGTTCGGAGAACCGACACCGGACAGCGGTAGTTAATAGAAGACGGGATCATTTGCGCCACGGATGATCCTCCTTTTCCGTGGATGAGGCGGTGGTGGATCGTACACGGTAGGTATGTAGGTGCGACTCTGGGGATCTTCGGGTTTGGCTCCATGCGGCCGACCTCTTTTCTCTAAGGGACGTTGGATGTTGGATTTTGGTCGTTGGACGTTGGATGTTGCAAGATTCCGTACATTGGCCGGTGTATAGGCGGTGTTGCATGGAGGGAGAACGCGGTACCCTCTTCCGAGATCTTCACCATCCGGTCGGACCAGACTATTCCAGTTGCGATACACCTCACTAACAGCGGTAGTGAGAGGCGAAAACATTTGCGCCAAAGATGATCCTTCATCTCCGTGGATGATGCAGTGGAGATGATGATGATGGTGGTGTTGCACCGAGGAAGGACGGGGCACCCTCTTCCGAGATCTTCACCATCCGATTAGACCAGACTCGGTAGACTCTTCAAAATGCTATACACCGATACACCCCCACCAAGGTCGGGGAACCGACACTGGACATCGGTAGGGAGTGGGAGGTGGAAACATTTGAGCCACCGATGATCCTCTTTTTCCGTGGATGCGGCGGTGAATATTATAGTGGCGGTGGTGGTGGATCGTATGTGCGACTCTGAGGATCTGAAGGTCTGACGGTCTGAGGGTCTGGCTCCCTGCGGCCTGCTTTTTTTCCGAGTGGACGTTCGATGTTGGGCGTTGGACGTTGAAGATCCTGTAAATGTGGCGGTACATAGTGAGAGACCCTCGATGGGTACGGGTACGAGCAACTGTCGAGACTGCCCCAATTGACCAAGCAAAAAGTAACAAGAAAGCAAAGCAGCCCGTGGACCCTGTGATCTCCAGATTAAGAACATTTCAACGTTGAGGCCGAATCCTACCATAGGCGGTGTGGGACGGAGGACAGAGGAAGGAAGCGGTACGCTCTTCCGAGATCATCACCATCTGGCCGGACTACATAGACCACTCTCGCCAAGTTCAGGAACCGACTCAGGAACCGATACTGGACATCGGTACACTGCGGGAGGCGGAAACATTTGTGCCACAGATGATCCTCCATCCCCGTGGATGATCCTCCATTTCCGTGGATGAGGCGGTAGTGGTAGCTCGACACGGCTCGAGCCCGCGGACCCACCCGCTGACACGCCCGCTGACACGGCCGGTTCATCACATCACATCACATCACTTCTCATCATCACTCGTCATCCGCACATCCCCACTTGCACCACTTCCCCATGTTCCCATGATTCCCATCTTCCCCATGACCATCATTTCAGATATCGATATCGAGTCAATTCATGCATGGTATAGCTACGATACCTACCCCCAACTCTCCATCCATCACCCAATAATGTCGTAAGCCGTCAACGAAACGAAATGCAGGGGTATGATGTATTCGGAATTCCCACCCATCCCATCCCATCCCATCCTACGGTATCCTCTCTTGACCAAATCTTGACCAAAAGCACAAGCAATAGCAACAAGCAACAGCAGGAGCAACAGCAGGAGCAACAGCAACAGCAACAGCAGGAGCAAGCAAAAACCACCCGAACCCTAGAAGAAGTAGAAAACAAGTGCATAAACGGCAAACCACACACCCCCAAAACAACAATCACGATATCTTGAAAAAGATTACACAGAAAGGGATAAGTCGAAAAGAAACATCAAAAAAGCAAAACAAACATCCGTGAACCTTGAAATAAACACAGACCATGCCAAAGAATGAATGAACAAGAAACGAAACTAAAACTTCTATGTCCCAAATCGATGCCAAGAACCAATCCGGGGTTCCTTACAGACGTAAGAAGCGAGTAGTCGCAGAATCAACCGGCAACCGTCGCCTCCTCGCCTCCCCGTTTCCTTCTACCGAGGAGAGTCGCATTGTCCAGACTCAGCTCGAAACCGTGGCCCACACGTTTCTTCGGTCCACCCATCTTGGTTGCGCCGGGCACAATCTTCTTCTGGGCGGCCGCAGGAGTCCGAGCGGATGCGACGTGAGTTGAGTACGCGCTCGCTCCGGTAGGCACTTGCGTTCCAGCCGGCGGTAATCCGCTGTTGAGATTCGTCTTTCGAAGTTTCTGTTCAACGTTGGCCACGTTGTCGGACTCGCCGTCTCTGGGAATCTTGACCGAAGTCTCGTCGTCGGAATCCTCGAATTCGTCCTCGTCCTCCTCATTGAGCGGGGCATTGGCAGTGCCGCGGTAACCCTGCTTCCAGTTCTTTCTGCGCTTGTTCTCCTCCTCCATGCGATGCACGGCGTATCCAACGTCAAACACCTCACGCAGCGAGACAGCACCGGGCGATCGGAAGTCCATGCGACGACCTCCACCAGGGGTATCGAGGGCGATGCTCGGTGACTCGTCCATGAAGTGGTGCATTCCCTCCTTCGAAACGGCGGGGGTGGCCAACGGGGGAGCATCCTGTGCCGCCTGAGTTGGCTCCTCGGTACCACGAATCCAGGGGTGCCTCATGAACTGGTTGATGTCGTATCGCTTCTCCGGATCGACCGTCAAGAGATGTGACACCAAGTCCTGGGCCGACTTCGAAATGTCGTCCCACCATGGCGAGAGGAAGGTGTACTGTCCTCGGGCAACCTTCTCCGTAAGAACGCTGATCGACTCGTCGTAGAATGGCGGGAACCCGCAGAGAAGGGTGTAGAGAACACAACCGAGTGCCCACATATCAACCGATTTGGAGTAACGCTCATCCTTGACAATTTCCGGCGCCGTGTAACCAACTGTTCCGCAAGGGGTAACCGTCGTATCCTCCCAGATAACCTTCGACAGACCGAAATCGGCAATTTTGATGTGTCCGATCCCACCTGCACCAACACCGGGGATGAATTCTCCTTCGTCAACCTTGTCCTCGTCCTCTGGTGCCCTCGGTCTCGGATTCTTGGCTGGAACGAACGCTGTGGGATAGAACAGCAAATTCTCGGGCTTGATATCTCTAGGATTGGGGTCAGCACACGTCCTGCGTATATCATCATTTCAGACAGAAAACTCACCTGTGAACGATGCCCTTCTCGTCATGCAAGTATTTCAGCGCCTCTGCAACCTGCACGATGACGTGTCGACTCAGATCCTCCGAGAAGTATGTTAACCTGACGATCTGATGGAACAGTTCGCCTCCAGGACACAGTTCCAGGATGAGGTAGTAGTATGCCTTCTCCTCCTTGAAGTCGATGAGCTTGACAATATTAGGATGGTCGAGCCTTCGCATTATGGAAACCTCTTTCAGAATATTTGCCCGCTATTGATCACCGGAACCGTTAGCACAACCAATCCACATGATACAACCTCAACAAACAGTGCAGCAATGGGTAAGCAGCATCAATAGAGACAAAACGCATCAAAGACATGAAATCCGCTAGTGATGGTGCCGACTAAGGGCTGTAGTGTAGGTAGGAGGTAGGGAGATCGCTAAGGGTGTGAGAGGCCGCGCACCTCGACTACTTTGTTTCCTTTCTTGACGTCCGGATGAAGGTGTTTGTCACCCTAACACGATAACCCAAGACCACCGAATGTTAAAAGTATTCCCAACTTGGCCGTTTTGCCAAATGCAATGAAGAGCGAAAAGAAAACAAGCAAAGAGACATAAAAAAAAGGCAGCCGTAGTACTACACACCTGTGATGCATTCAGTTCATACTTCCTGACCACCTTGATGGCCACCTCTCCGTATTCTCCAGTAGTATCTCGTGCGCGGTACACGTTGCTAAACGCGCCGTCACCCATCTTCTGGGTCAAAAGCCATCTATCGAGTCCAGGATACCGCGGAAGCTTCTCCCTGTTCTCCTTCTCCTCCGCGATGATTTTGGCGAGAGTTTCTTGGTCGTAGACCTTATTTCCTCCCTGCTTTGTCGTATGAGCGCCAGCAGCAACATCCGCCATGTCCTGGTGTGCACTGGTAACGTTCGCGGCGACAGCATTGGCTTGAGCGGCGGCGTTCCGGTTGTCAACGGCGGCGGCCGAGTAATCGTGCTTCGAAGCGTGACCGCCCAAGCTCACGCCGCCGCCGCCGCCCATAGAGGGGTCGGAGAAGGCATGCGTTTTGGACTGTGGTGGTGGGGGATCTTGCTGCCGAGCTTGCTTTCCGTGACGGATGAAATTCTTAAGGTTCTGAAATTGGGAGGCCATCAGTAAAGCGGTACTCGTGAATAGCCGGCACAAACAATCGATGTGGTAATTGGAGGTAGAGAATGAGGAAGCGGTGAGTGATAGTGAGGTTGATGTTGATGCTGATGCTGATCACCGAGTAAAAGCAGCGGGGGTGCGGATGAATGAGGAACAACAGAGACGGGAACGGGACGATGATCTGATGGCCAGAAGAAGTAGTGGAATAGGCGACAAACGGAGGAGGGTGTGTGAATAAGGTCGGGGGATGGTGAGTGTGTGAATAAGGTCGGGGGATGGTGAATGTGTGAATGGGAATTGTGGGTATTGGGGGTATTGTGTATTGAGTGGGAGTATGCGGGGAGAATGGGGGATCATTGGGTGGGGGATCATGAAAGTGGGAAGTTGGATTGGTAAAGCGGCAATAAACCTGCTTGACATCTGGGGGGATAAGCAGCAAGTATCTCGACTGCGCTGCAGTAGCCGCAGCTGCGACAGCGATAGCTGCGGTAAGCGACTGCGGATGGATGACATCGTCGACGGTGGAAGAGAGGCAGCACAATGACGCGAGTGAGCCGTAAGTAGCTGCTGCGTTCATTGTGTTGTCTCCATCCAGCCAGCCCAGCTGCTGGCTGCTTCCCACTCCCTGCCCCTCCTTCGACCCTGCCCCTCCTTCGACCCCGGACCCCATCTCCGCCCGGGCCATCAGTAGAGCATACGAACGAACAAGGGGCCAGAGAGATCCACGGCACGTTCCTCCGATTTCAACAATCGTCCATATCTCACAGGCCACGTTTTTCCTCTCTCTTCCCCGCAATGACTCAAAAACAACACATTCTAGCCGCGAAGGGAAGAGAGAAAGGAAAAGAGAGAGAGAGAAAAAGAGAGATGGAATCGAAACACTAGAAAGGGTCCACCAACCTCTATTACGGGCATGATGAAATTCGCTTGTGATTGAGAATGTGTGATCGCTATTATGCTATGTCGACACTAACGTGACGGCGACGGCGAGGACGAGCAGGAGGGTGCCGGTATGTAGGGAAGGAGATGATCGACGGACGGAAAGCGGGAGTGTTGCAGGAGGCGGCCGGTTATTCCCTGTCGCTGTGGAAAATGCTCAGTGGTTTCGTGTCGGTGTTTCTGTATCGAAACCGTTGATGGGCGCGGGGTCGGTAACGGCAGTTGTGTGAGCAACGGCAACAGACGCTTGCTCGGTTGTGTGCTTTTGTTGTTCTTGTTGCGAAGGCCGGGGTTTACGATCTAGAAAGATGAAGAAGCAGGTTGCGGACAGGTGCAGATGCTGAATAAATTGATGTATGCGGAAGTCGAGTGTGAAAGCAAAGCAGCACAGTAAAGTAAGTAGGCAGAAGGGCAGAGGGCGACTGAGCAGGGCAGGACTGGAGCAAGAGTCGATAGTGGTGGCAGAGGGAGTAGTGGTGAAGGCGCAGGCGCAGGTCGAGTTGTTCCGTCACCGATTACTATGACGACGACGACGTGCTAGGTACCTGTTCGGCGGGTCTGGTTGGTCGATTTGGCTTGACTGGGTTTAGATGCGCGATTAGAAACCAAGTAACCCGAAATCGGCGCAGCTGGTGGTGGAGGCTAGGAAGGATGGTAAGGTAAGTTAAAAGCAACTAAGGTAGAGTGCGCGCGAGGGAGAGCAGCGGCGGAGGCGGTGGAGATGCCAGCTAGGACGAGCCTGGCTTGCGTGCAGGAGAGAGTGGGGAAGGGGGGAGGGGAGGGTGGAGGGGTGGAGTGGAGGGGCGGAGTGGAGGGGCGGAAGGGTGGAGTGGAGGGGCGGAAGGGTGGAAGGGGGAAGTGGGGAATAAGGAAGACCACTCCCACCTACCTAGCACGCAGTTGCGGAGAGAGAGGAGTTCGGGTTGCAGGCAAAGGGCAGGCGGGATGGATGGACGGATATCTGGGCGGAATCGGTGATGACGGCGGTGGAGGTTAATGTGGTGGCTTGCAGCTGGAGCGGCTCCGAGGATAAAATCTGCTTGCATCGAGCAGAATCTACTCTAAAGGGGATGAGGGCTTGAGGGCGGGAATCCGGACGATGGTGGCGATCGTGACGCTGCACTGCTACTGCTGCTGCTGAGGAACGACTTGTCAGATGAATCTTGCACGACGGTGCGCCGCGGCCTTCAAGGGTCCGCATATGTGCGTGTAGCTACTCTAGCTCTTGACTATTTCCACTCCGTCGTCGAGTACTTCTCTCTTCTCCGCGAGCCTGCAAACCACACCGCTCTCTTCACGACGGCAAGAAGAAGAAAACAACTGTGCTAGGACACTTGTATGTGTCGGCTCGTCTCGTCACGGAGCACGGGATCCGGTGCGGAACAATCTCGGTACGTGGAACGCATCGAATGGGGCTGAAGCCACAGGCCGCAGACAGGCCAGAACCTGGCCTGGTTCCAGACCCCCGCCCCCGTCGCCAAACGATGATGCTACCGTGCAGTCCACGTGACGAGTCTAGCTCCTAGTTCGTAGCGGCTCAACTTGACGTCATTCCCACCCGAGGAAAAAAATGGCGGGAAGAAGTGGCCGAGAAAAAAAAACAAGAAATCCGCGTTTCGAAAGACGGAGTTCCGGCAACCCGCCGCCAGACTGATTTCTTGCTTAAATCTGGATCTTGTCTCGCTCTCTGGAAATAAAGAACGGAACGAGGGCGTGGAGCTCGGAGCTCTGCTCAGCTTGACTGGCCGTTTATCCATCTACTCTACTCTACCGGTACTCTACATACGGCCTCTCTCACACCGCGCGGGCGGCTGGATGGATGGATGGATGATGGCATGTGTTGCGAACCAATGAGATAGGATGATTCGTGCGGGCAATCCGAGTGCGCGAAGATGTTCTTCAAGACAAGGAATCTGATCCGATCAATTAGCCTCCCCGAATCCTCCCTCCTCTGTGTTGAGAACATGGATCCTTCCATGTTCGTAAACACGCGCAGGAATGTGACCATGTTTTAAGCGTGGACGGTGGAGCTTTAACAAGCGCGAGTGACATCATGTCGCGGGTGTCGTCGAGCTTTAATTAAAATACTTGCTCGCGTGTATGTACTTAGGAACTTCTCCCACAGATATCGGGACCATTAAGTCTCTCACATCAGTGGGTAGAGTAGATTCAACTTACCGATCCAGCCATATGTACAGTACTTGCTCTATTCCCAGCTCTGTTGCCCAATACCAGCCGAGCACCGAGTGAGAGAGAGAGATCTTCCTGTTTTATTTCGCATGCAGCCTATCTAGATTGTGGCGAACCCACGACCTCCGTTTCCTGTCCGCCCTGACCAGTTGAGGTGAAAAAACCCCCCGGGGACCGACCAGTCCGATGCGGCGAGCACCGAGTGAGCAACTTCGAATGGGGCAACCAATGAGCCGTGGCCGAGTGATCACAGCATAAGCTCTCCACTCAAGTTCCGAGAATTCGTATTCGCAGAACGCAATCACACATGGAAGGTCATATGGTCGCTTGGTCGTAATTGTCAAATAAACGAGCACCTGGTATGATGTATCAGCAATGACCTCAAATCAAGTGCTGTCGGCACTGAGTAACTTCCCTTGAAGTTAATTCAGAGGGCTACTACTCTACCTATATGTGCGAGGACTTACCTGTGTCGGAATACCGTATGGTATGTAGGAAGCACAGCCCACCCAGTACGGAGCAGAATGCGAAATCCTCGAGCCTCGAGGGATCATTGAAGTGACGACCCTCTTCACAACTTCACAAGGTATATCCAGTCATGTGTGAAACGAAACGAGAGCAGGCTGCCCAGAGCTTCGGGGAACTCTATACGCTATATCTATGCCCATGCCGGAGTTCTACATAGTAGACTGGGCTTCTTCAGGGCCTGTCCGACTTCTCCAGCTGGACCGAGTGATTATTTCCGCGGCAGTTATTCCATGGCCTAGTAGCCACCGCGGCTGCGTGGTAACACAAATCCTCTCGAGAGTCGACCATCACTGCTGGAAAAGGAAGTGTGGCTCAACTCACACGAGCATCAAGTCTCCACGTCTGGTTAAAACTTGAATTTATTTGCATGTATCCTTTACTAATCCCGATGTTTCTGGTTTCTGGTTAATTGATGCCGTGGCGCGGCTGGATAGCCCCCCGCCCTCGTCTATTTGTCATGGAGCTCTGCGGATCAGTAATTACATAAAGCCCATCACAACGCCGAATGGGGACATCCAGATTCCACCTAGGTTGATACCGTACTCACGGGACTGTGTCTTCTGCCGACGGATATGTGTAAATTGTAATGTAGATAAGCCAAGTATTCGGTGCCACATTCTCGTCGGTCAGCGTAAGCTTCCTGCAGCGTGCCAATGTGCTTCGTCCATCTTGATGCATATGGATATTGTGGCATAGGATGTAGGTATTTGTCTGCAGCGGCTTCCGCTTGCAGTTATGAAAGATGGCATCTGATCTGATTTGATTATATTGGTGAAGAGCAAATATACATAGCAGCACGTATTTGAATTTTGGAGGTTGCATCTTATGTATGGTAGGTACCGACGGAGTGATCGACGTCGTGTGAACCGTTAATCCCGCAGCCCGTATGTGGTACTTCAGCTGTGGACAGTGTTGGCCTGAGCAAAGAGTCGCCATCGGCACCGGATGGCCACCTCCAGATTCAAAACGCGCAGAAAGGACTGAATTATTATTTCTATGCGCACCAAAGAGAAATATCACGCAAAAAAACAAATGAGCGGCCACTGCAAATTCCACCACGCACCGTACAAGCCCCGCACTATTATCCTCCTGCATATCCTCCTACAAATCCGCCTCCTCTCCCGTCAACCCAATAATCTCCTCGCCCCTCTGCTTCCTCCAAAAGTTCGTGCTGGCCAGCGTCTCCTCCTCAAACAGCCACAGCCACTTCTCCACAAACTCCACGCTCCACTCCCAGCTCCTCTCATCCCACGCGGAGCGGCCCCACACCCGCAGGCCCCACTCGATGTCGAGACACAGCTCCTCCTGGTCGAGAACGAACGTGCTGTTTCCGAGCGCAGCGAGGATCCTATTCCTCAGCGCGGGGGACGGTATAACGTCTATATAGGGATAATGCTGCACACGCATCTGCAGGCTGGTCGGTACCAGATCCGGTGCGCGGAGCATGAGGTTCTCCATAACTCTCTCGACGCTCTCGACGCTTTCTATCCCCGGGTGGCCCTGGAACTCTCCCGTGACGAACGGGCTCAGCGTCTTGTCGCGCGCATACTGCTCCAGCCCGATCCCGAGGATCTCCAAATTCGTCAGCACCGCCGCGCGCACGGGGATGATGGAGATCGTCAGGAACGGCGTGATCTGCGCTGGGATCTCTGCCGCCGACGACTGGATGTACCCCACCGCGTGCGTGCTCCCGCTCCCGCTGCCGCCGCCGCGGCCGCTGCCGGACCCCCCGCTGCCGCGGTACTCGTCGAAGATGTTGGAGCGGGCGGCGCCAGCCGCCGCCGCGGGAGGCGGCGTGGGCGAAGATCTGCCCCCCATCCGTGTGTTGAGCATGCTCGCGATCGGATACGAGATGGCAAGGTCCGACCAGGTGTGCGGATCGTCGAATGCGCCGCTGGCCCGTAGCGCCTCGACGTCGACCTCTGGCAGCGGGGAGTAGCGCCGCGCCCCGACGTGCGTGGAGGTCAGGCGCTGCTCGAGCTCCTGGAGGCGGCGCTTCTGTTTTTGGCCTGTTGGAGAGGGTTAGATGGAGGTTGTCGAAATGAAGGGAGGTGGGGGAGGGGGGGACGTACGGTACGCTCGCTGCGCTACGCGGTTTTGGATACGCCGCCGCTCTTGTCGGTTCGTTGTCGTAGATAGCTCCCGCTCTTCGTCGGAGGTTAGGAATTTTCGCTGCAGCACTGAGTCGTCCGAGCCGTGCGAGTATTGATCCTCTTGGTGGATGGGTGAGCTCATTGTGTCTGGATTTGGATGGCTGAATGGCTGGATGTTTGTAGGTTTGGATGGCTGGATGGCTGGACGGCTAGATGGCTGGATCTCTAGATGTCTGGATGTTTGAAGGTCTGGATGTCTGGATGTATAGATGTCGATATACTTAGATTGTTAGATTGATATCTGGATGCTATACTCTCTCGAAGCTGTCTATCCATATTCTCCACCGCCGGAAGCCACCACCTTTAAACCCAACCCACGATGTTCTTCGTCTGTATGTACGGTTTCTACAGCCCAACTCCTACCCGATAGCAACCGCAAACAAGGCACCCTGACCGTCGATTGCAAATTTCTCCCGACCTCCAGGTTCGACGAAGTACTTCCAGAACCTCCAAGACGTCCGTCCGTCCATTCCTTTCCGTTCTTTCCCCAGACCTCAATGCCAGTCCCGTGTAGTAGGTAATGCGGATGTAAGAATCTACAATCATTCAAAGCTGCTGGCGATGACATGATTCATGGCCGGCGGGTCGGCGGGTCGCTACTGATTTGGTGGGTTTGGGATATTTGGAAGAGAAACGTGGTGCGCTGGGGTGCGGTCTATGTTTTGGGACTATTGACAATGCAGGTACTCTAGGATCGGGTGTGATGACTTATTCGACAGTTGGGCAGCGGACGCCGGTACCATGTCATCGGGTGCTGCCCGAGCTCCGACTTTCTGTGTGTCAAAAAAATTTCAATTTTTTCGACGATACAGCTCTCGTCTTCACTGTTAACTCTTCAAGCTTCACTGCTTCCCTCTCTCACTCGTCTCTTCCTTTCTTTATTTCGAAACGCCACCGCTACTGTAGAATCAACGTTGCTGTTAACGGTGCGTTGCGCGCAATGCGCATCCTCACGATTGCCGAAGCGACAACGGTAGCACCAACGCCGACGCACTAGGTACGTTATCTCCGCCTCTCGGACATGTTGGCCAACCCACCCAACCCACCCAACCAATCGCTACACACTCGCTACAGCCCCGCTGACATACGTCTTACACGTACTAGCAGCTGTTCGGTATGGAGCGGGAGCGGCTAGTTTGGAACGTCTTGGTAACGGTTGTTAATAATGACATGGTGCGAGTGATGTCCGGTGGGCCTGACTGGATTCGTGGGCTGCCGACTCCCACAGATTAGAGTACACCGGAGGCTTGGGAATTACTTATTACTCTACATAGATGATGCCGGATTAGTTCGCTAATCGTCGTCCCTACACACACACACCATGTCATAGATCCCGGGCGAGGATTCCGGGCTTGATCTGCGTCTAGATAGGCCTGGAATTGCACCCTCCAAGGCTGACTGTCGGAGTTCGCAGTGCGCACTCTCCGCCGCGGCCAAGACGGGTCATCACGATTCACGATTCACGATGAGTGCAAGCGGATGCTTATCTTGCTACAAGGCGCACAGTCCTACCGGTCAAGTCCGAGCTCAAACTCTGGCGTGACTCCGGGGCAGGAGGTGCTCTTAAGGCTTGTTGGTATGTTTACGTTGCTTGCAGCGCCAACCCTCCCTCCCCCCTCCCACCAATTTGATGAAGTGGATCACCGTCCAGCTCATGTTACGTCCCCAACTGAGCCAATTCATTCCACAGCAGTCTCTCAACCTCTATCCCGCTTGTCCCTGCGAATTAATCCAGGCCTATGGCTTTTACGCCCCGAACGCAGACGGCTGCACTAGGTATCACAGTACCACAGGCTGGGAATAGAGGAGTGGCTAGGGTTAGGAGTCCGGCGAAGATGCAGCTGTTAGGAAGACCGCGGTGCAATTTGTTCCGACGATGACAGGCAATTAGAGATGTGCCGGGAAGCTTAATAGAGTTTTGCGAGCAGGTCACGGGGAAAGAAGAACAGTGGTATGTAGAGGTTCGATTCGAATTCGATGATATACGGTAGATAGCCAGAGCCGTGAGCACTCGCATTCCACCAGCAGACTCCAACCGCCGCCCCCCCTCTCATCCCAACCCAAACTCCCAAGCTGAAAACTCAAAATAAAAATGTAGAACGCAAGGAGCCATCCCAGCCTCTCTTCCGAACCAGTTTCCTGATCCCGGAATAGCAGCATACAAATCCGCTGGCGCTGACATGGACTATGAAGGTGCCTTTTATAGGTAATTGTTCTTGCGAAGTAGAGACGACCAAAAACAATGATCGCCGCACCACAGCCCCATCCTCCCTCGCTGCAAGACGCAGTGGTGAAGGAGGACGTTTTCGCAAACCCCGGAGGTCTCGTGAGAGCGGGGGTGGCTGTGGAGTCTGCTCGCGGATAGATACGTGGACGGAAACGAGAAGGTGAAGGGAGAATTGTAATTCTATTGTAGTGGTGTTAGATACAGTGGTTGAAGGATAAACACAATGAAGGAAATTGAAGGCGTGAGCAGGCGCTGAGGGCGTGAGTGGAAAGGCCCGAGGTCGAAGAGTGGATGCCAGAGTGAAGTGAGTGTGAAAGTTTCTTAAAGCCGATATAGACTCGCCAAGACATCGTTGGCGCGGGTTTTGGCCGATTGTCTGAGGAGTGCGAATACAATATGAATGAACGGGAGTACATCTCGAGTGATTAGGTTTATTGAGTTCTATTTAATATCTCCACACATCTCAGAGTGATTCTCATGTATCCATTGTTCGATCAGAGGTTGGCTGGTTACCTGGCGACCCGAACCGAACGGAGAACTGGCACCAAGAAGAGCCGCCTCCAACCTCGTCTCGTCCGCTGTCTCGACACGCACAACCATCCAAACCAACCACCACTACCATCATGACTAAAAAGAAGAAGCGACAGAACCCCGAAATCGACGAGCTGCTGGCGCGTCCATGGTGCTACTACTGCGAGCGCGACTTCGACGACCTGAAGATTCTAATCCACCATCAAAAGGCGAAGCACTTCAAGTGTGAACGATGCGCGAGGAGGTTAAATACCGCCGGCGGTAAGTCAATCGTGTTGGATCTGTTGGATTGGTGCTGATGATGGACAGGTCTGCGCGTGCACATGGAACAGGTTCACAAGGAGACGCTCGAGCAGGTCGAGAATGCGCTGCCCGGTCGCGAATCGATCGACTTGGAGATCTTCGGCACCGAGGGTATTCCCGAGTCCGAGGTCGCTGCGCACAACCAACGCATCATGGCCGACTACGCACAGAAGGAGGCCGATCGGAGGGCGGCTTCGGGACAATCCAACGGGCCAAAGAAACCAAAGATCGATATCTCGAAGGAACTCGATCCGGAAGAAATCAAGCGGAAACTCGAGGCGCATAAGAAGGCGATGGCCTCAGGGGGTGCAACGCCTGTTACGCCGGTTGGTGCCAGTATGAGTCCTGGTAGAAGTCAGAGTCCTGGGGGATTTGACGCTCATGCTTCTCCACAGGTGGCGCCGCCGCAAATTGCTTATGTCAGTAGTATATTCTCCCGTGGCCAGGTTTGGACAATTCTGACTTCATTTTGTAGCCGCAGGTTACCAGTCCTCCGTTCCAGCAGGGCCAGTTCGGGATGCCGCAGCCTAATGCGTTTCAACCACCGCCGAACGCGTTCCAGCAGCCCCCGAATGCATTCCAGCCTCCGCAAGCGAACGCGTTCCAGCCCCAGCCATACGGTCAGCAGCCTCCCCCCAATGCCTACTCCGCCCCTCCATACGCACAGCCTTACCAGCAGCAACCGCAACAGCCTCCCGCTCCATTTGGCCGTGGTGGCCCTCAGCCGCCGTACAATGGTTATCAGCAACCGTCTGCTGCCTATGGTGCGCCGCCGTTCAATAACCCTCCTCACAACCAGTTCCAGCAAGGACCTCCTCCTCACATGCAGCAGCGTCACCAACCACCACCGTCACTCCCGCTACCACACCAGATCCCTGGATTGCCGCCAAAACCAAACGTTGCGGGGCTGCCACCACGACCTGCGTTCACGAACCCTGCCGGTGGCTTCGGTCGAGGCCATGCATCCGGGCCACCACCTGGACAATGGAGTCCGCCTGTCCCGCAGCAGCAGCAGCACCATGACTTCAGTCAACAAGGGGCACCTCCGTATGCCCAGAGTCAGCCTCAGCAGTTTAGCGCTGGTTACAGTCATTCCCACCAACAACCACCACACCAGCCCTACGGCGGATTTTCGTCCAGACCTGGCCCGGCCAATGCTACACCGTTAGGACCACAGCACGTATTGCCGCCAAGAACGGAAGTTCAACCAGTCTCTGACGCGGCATCCGGTATCCCAATACAGCCTACACCCGAAACGCCTGCCGAGAAGAAGGAAGATGTACCAGTCGTTAAGCCTAAACGTGAAACGAAGCTGGTTTACGGTGATAACGACGTTAGCCCGGTAAGCCCCTCCCGTGATTTCCACAAATATCCTTCCAGTTCCTAATTTGCCTGCTTTGTGATCTACAGGAAGAGAAACGAGCGTCACTCGCCCGCTACCAAGTCGCACCGAGCGCCTCCGCCACGGTTACAACCTCGGCTTAATGTACCGCCAGGTCGAATTTGAATTTGAGATGGTGGTTAGTGGAATCTGTCTGGAGCTGTGGTTTCTTTTTTTTTAGTTCTATTGGCTGGTGGTTTCGGTTCGTAGTGATATACCTACGGCGCCCCTACAGGTGAAGAAGAAGAAGAATAAACGCCTTGTGCTGTGCGGGCGGCACACGCTACGGAACAGAACACCAAATCAAACCATCTGCCGATTCACGAACTGGAAAAATTTCTCAGTATGTGGGTTCTTCTTGCTTTCTTGATTGATTGGGGCCTTGCTTGCTTGTTTTTTCTTTTGTTCTCGCTCTCTCTCTCTCCTTGTGTTGTTTCTTAGTTCAATTCGAGATTGTTTGTTTGTCGCACGCACAAGTAATCGGGGTCTACTTCAGGTTTTTTTTATGGCTATGGCAGAATCATTCAATCCAATCAATCGGGACACACGTGCGAGATAATGTGAAATTTGTAAGTCGCTGTTTCTCCCTCTCGTGCGACGAGCTGTACTCTACTGTACCTACTGGGCTCCTGCCTGGTAGTGGTGGTGGTGGCCGGCCTTCTCTAACATGGGCTGGCTGGCTTGGGGCTGCCCACGGTATTCGATCGCTGCAGCGACGAGCTACCTATGGATGGATGGCATGTTGGGCTACGGTGGACAGGTTGGGCTTTGTTTGGGCGAGATACTACATTGCGGCAGTGGGATTGGGGACGATGTAGTGTTATCTACTTGGATCATCAGCTCTACACTCTCTTAATCATTGTAATATTGTATGATACATACGGAGGTGTATGCATAATTCGTGTTCTCGAAGCAACAAAATCCGGTGAATACCATCATCCGCGTGTCGCGATGTCCCAGCAAACCTCTATTTATTGCGAGATAGTTTGCCAGACTATCCGTCCGTCCAAAACCGAGAGCTCCCGAAAATTCAGCGAGGCAGTCTTCTCCGTGATATAATCACCTCGAACGTGCGGAATATCACCATGTTTCAAAGTACCTATTTGGTCTCCAGATGCGGATGAAAAGAATGCACCTTCTTGCACACCACTCAGAAGGCGACGACTACTGTAGTTACGGTAGTATGAATCCTCAAGACCAAGGTGCATCGAACATATAGTACGTGCTAGTACCAGTGACTTGAGCATGGAATGAGTCCAGCAGTTATACCTAGAACAGATGTACCTATGCTTTCATTGAATGGCGTTTAACCTTATCCTGAGCTTCCTCTCTATGATGCATCTGTGGCGAAGTGATATGCACAGGATGTCACTCTTTATATCATAGCGCATCGTACTACCGCCAATTAGAGACAGTGGCCTGCCTTCGAATACGGTGGGGATTCTTGATCTCCAAAGGAGTGTAGGCGTGTATACTGCATTCGAGCGATCAGCACCGACCAGACTCCGGAGGCCAGGAGATCTTCGGGGTGTTCATCGCTTCCTTTCTTGTCTGTGATGAATTTGATGTTCTGTACCGTCCGACCGGAGAGTTACAGCACAGCCAAACGTGTGGCCGACGGCCGTACATACCGTAGAGTTGACGTGTCCACCCGGCGCCCTCCCTCCTCCCTCCCTCTCCCTTCAAAGATGTCACACGCCCAAGTGCTCTTCTGAGTCTTCTCTGGATCGGGTGCGTTAACCGATCCTACTCTACTGGCACCCTGGTCCGCTGGACCAGAGTAGAGTAGCTCCAGCCGTAGGGTTGGTTACGAAGCAAGTAAGCTCAGACTCTATCTGGGCGGCAACCTACCTTCTGTTCACAACAAACACTCTTTACAGATAACGCAACAGACTCACACACACACACACACGCACACGCATACACACACACACGCATACACACACACTCGCGAGGACGAGCGATGGGAAGGATGTCCGAACCACTTCTTGCTTCGGGGCGTGCGAGCAGCGAACATAGCGATGATAGTCCTGAGGAGGGACTGCTGAGGAGGGGATGGAAGAAGCAGCACGGAAAGGCCGCCCGAAAGGGGGACTGGATTAGGATCGGCCTAGGGATGTGGGCTGGTTTGGCGACGCTGGGTGAGTCAGAGTCCGGATGCGATGGCGAAGTAGACGAAGCTCGTAGCTGACGAGGCGTGGTGTGAACAGCGGTCATTGCAGTTGTCTACGCTTGCGTTCCCACCCACGGCGGCAACCGCGAGACCTCGTTCCCCCCGAAAGGAAAGCGGAATGTGGTGTTCATGGTGTCGGACGGCATGGGCCCGGTGTCTCTGACGATGACGCGGGCGTACCTCCAGCACGTCAAGCACCTCCCCTGGGGCGATCAGTTGATGCTCGACAAGAACCTGATCGGCACGTCGCGGACTCGGTCCACGTCCTCGCTTGTTACGGACTCTGCGGCGGGAGCTACAGCTTTCAGCTGCGGACAGAAGAGCTACAACGGCGCGATCTCGGTCATGCCGGATGGAAGCCCGTGCGGAACTGTTCTCGAGGCGGCGAAGTTGGCCGGTTACATGACGGGATTGGTGGTCACTACGAGACTTACCGACGCTACGCCCGCGTGCTTCTCGGCCCATGTCAACCTGCGCTCTGAGGAGGACCGAATTGCGGAGCAGCAGTTGGGTGACTACCCTCTCGGCCTGATGCTGGACCTTGCGTTGGGCGGCGGTCGCTGCCATTTCCTCCCCAACAGCACCGCTGGCTCTTGCCGCGCCGACGACCGCGACCTGGTCTCTTACGCGAAGGAAAAGCACGGCTTCCAGTACATCGATGACCGCGCAGGCTTTGACAGTCTCAAGAAGGGCAAGGCCGCTTCACTGCCTCTCCTCGGCCTCTTCGCGCCAACCGACATCCCCTTTGACCTCGACCGCAAGGACTCGGAGTATCCCAGTCTCGACGAGATGGCCGAGGCTGCGCTCAATGCCCTCGAAGCCGCGACCAAAGACAGCGAGCACGGCTTTTTCCTCATGGTAGAAGGCAGCCGCATCGACCACGCCGGCCACAGCAACGATCCCGCCGCGCAAGTCCGCGAGGTCCTCGCCTACGACAAGACATTCGCGCGCGTGCTGAAATGGGTGGAATCGCACGACGCGATCCTAGTCTCGACCAGCGATCATGAGACCGGAGGCTTGGCCACCGCGCGCCAGGTCCACGAGACGTACCCAGACTACCTCTGGTACCCGGAGGTCCTTGCAAACGCCTCACACTCGTCGGAGTACCTTGCCGCACAGTACCGCGAGTATGACCCCTCCACAGCGGGAAAGAACGAGGACGAGTTCATCCGCACTACGCTGCTCAAGGAGGGCTCTGGAATCATCGATGCCACTGAGGACGAGATCGAGACGCTCAAGGCGCACAAACTCACCGCAGACTGGGTCTTCTCCGATATGATCTCCCGCCGCGCCCAGATCGGATGGAGCACCCACGGGCATTCCGGCGTCGATGTATGCTTCCCCTTCTCCTTTCCTCCATCCATTGTCTGGTCTCGTTGACTAATATGTGACACCAATAGGTAAACATTTACGGCAGTAAGGGAACCGAGCGTCTGCACGGCAACCACGAGAACAACGAGATCGGCCAGTTCCTGGCGGACTACCTGGAGCTGGACCTCGTGAAGGTCACCAATATCCTGCGCGAGAAGGGAGTTGCCAAGACAGACGAGGGCGAGAAGGGCGAGAAGTACGCGTGGATGGGAAAGTCCCTAGAGGAGCTCAAGAAGAATGATACCGACGCCCTGCACTTTCATACCGATCAGCTAGATCAGTACCATGGCGTGTTTAAGAGGTGTTTGCATTAAACTGTACTGGACTACATTGGACTAGACAGGACTGCTTGGTTTTGTTTTTGTTGTGAAGGGATGGGAGGGACGGGAGGTGTGAGCTGTGAGGGGTTATTCGGATCGGGTGCGTGCGTGCGTGTACTTTAGTTATATTTTGTGGATTTTCATATACCAGACTCGTTACACTGTTTCTGTCCCTGTTTCTCTTCTCTTCTCTTCTCTTGAGTGCACAGCTCATACTCGAAAGCCAGCCAACTGCATACACTGTGAAGAGCTGGGGACTGGATTGAACTGGACTCTTCGCGCCCACATCATACATTCGCCCACATCGCCCAGATCGCCAGTGCGATAGGATAGGATAAACACTGAGCCGCCATGTTCTACCTATGTACAATACAATCATTCCGTTTGTATGTTTGCATGTATTTGTATGCAAGGGCTCGGCTCGTCAACCTACAGACCTACAAAGCGCTAGGTACTCTACATACTTAGGTGGGTAGATTGACAGATCGGATCGGAGGGTCATTTCAGATCGAATCGGCGAGGCGGGAAGTGGGAGTTCGGCACAATCGGCGATGGGATGCCTCCGCATCCTACATATGATACCCCTCATCGCGAATTCGCTCTACTACGCTCTACTCCACTGGAGGCTGGGGGCTGGGGGCGGGTGATAGCGAAGGCCACGCCGGGTAGACAGTCAGTTGCCCCGGATCCCCCCGAAGGAAGGGGGGAAGGAAGGAGCAGGCAGGATACGGACGGTACGGTACTTTCCTTATCATTCGATCGATGGTAGGTATTGTACATGTACGGTATGTATGTGTGTGTATGTATGTGTGTAGCTCGCTCACGCCCTCCGACTGCCAAACGCATCGACCATCAGCGCCGCGGCCACATCCATGGGCGACCTTTCGGTAGCGAGGAGGTTGTACTGCGAGGCGGCATGTGTGGTATCCATCACGTCCATCCGCATCCCCATCTCTGTGATCCTCGCCCGGTCCTTCTTCGAGAGCAGCAGTGTTCGCCGCCCGGTGCCGACGATTAATAACTCTGCCCATCCATCGTATGTAAGTCCGTGATGAGAGGGAGGAGATGAGATGGAGGAAGGAAGTGAGGGAGTGGGGATTTCCATACCAGGTTTAGGACTAACAACGTCGAGGGCGCCCCAGACATCCTCCGGGAGTTCCAGGACACCCGTGCGCAGTGCGGTGTCCTCCTCTATGCCGCCGCGCTCCGCCGGCCGCCACCGGAACACCTCACCCTGCAGCATCAGGGCGCCGGACCCATCAAAGAAGCGCACACCACTGCTGAAGATGAAGCCATCCTCGTAGATAGTTTCTATGGCGGAGCCGGGCGGCGGGATGTCCTCGTACACGTTGAGCGACGAGAAGGTGTCGACGGGCGGGTCCTCGACGGAGCGGTCGGTCGTCGTCTCGCCGCGCGTGGACTCGGAGGTGATCGGCTCGTGCGCCACAGGTTGCTGCCGCTGGTATTGCTCGTGTTCGCGACGGAAGCCGGCGTGACGGTGGTGCTGTGGTCCGCAGGGGTGGAAGTTGCGCGATATTGCGGGGAGGGACGCGGGGATAAGGCGGGGTAGAAGCGAGCTGCGGGAAATGCGGGGGAGAAGTTGCACCCGCGTCAGGCGTGCGGATGGCCCCATTGAGCGCTGCCGTGCCGTGTATGGACCCTGCGAGATATTTGCGCAAGCTGCAGACGCTTTTGTGAGCTGTTGGTGATGGGTGCTCTATGTGAAGGAGTCGAGTTGTGGGCAGGCGGGCAAATCGTGTCGCGATGTGTAGGTAGAGATGCTTGATGAGAAAGTAAATGGCAGACGTTGACTGGATGAATCGAATCTCGCTGTCGTTGCTGGTTGACTTTATGACGCAATGGAATGGAACGGGGCCTCCAAGTGGTTGTGTAGGCACTCCAGGTGCTCGTACTCTAGTGGTTGTTTTGGTGGTGGCTGAAGCGGCTTCAATCACAATTCTGTCACTAACAACAAAACACACAAACCCTATTGTCGTTGCGACGAGGCAACCATCGCCATTCCCATTATCCTCACCGTCCACCACTACCACCACCACCCACCACCACCTCCACCACCACCACCACCACCACCACTACCACCACCACACTCACCATCCTCCCTCCCTTCCTCCCGCTCCTTTATGGTTGGCCGCACCGGCATCTCGACACAAGATCATCATCACCACCACCAAAAAGCAACGATATCCACACTGATTTTCCCTCTCGGCAATCTCCAACCGCTAAACTAGAATTAACCCCATCGCCTGCTCGCGCGACTTTTCCGTCATACCAAGCAAAGCAAAGGAGCACTTGGCTCGTACATGCATATCTAGCATAGCCCATCATACCAACGACTAGGACCCTACAAACTCCGTGCTTGTCATCCATCTCTCCGCTAAAGGCGTTCTCCCGCAGGCAGCGTTAATAGTACTACTCTCCTTTGCACCTGCCCGCCTGATCGCTAGCGCCATAACCCCGTGGGAATCGCGCGAATCCTCCACTCTTGCTTCTGCTCTACATACATACCCTTACCTACTCTGCATACGCCAGCTCTTTATCTATCTCTGTTCCGCGCATGCTATTAGTAGCTTGACGGCATCTTATCTTCCCTAGCAGCTGAGCTGTCTACATACCTCGTGAGAAGAAGAAGAAGAAGCTGTGGGGTATGCTTCCTCTACCTCTAAAAACCCAACCCACCGAACGAAACCTCTTCCCTTGATCGTATCAGCACCCAGTACCAGTACCAGTAAACTGACATCCCAACTTCCTTAGCAGACCGCTCCGACTGAAGCTGCAGCACCTAGTCGTAACGCTACATACAAACCTGCCTTCTCCGATAACGCCAATCAGTCAATCAACCCAGCCAGTCAGCCAGTCAGCCACCCACATCCCACACCCCATTCATCATCACCACGTTAAGCTATTACACTGCGCTGCACTTGCGTTTCTCCGGACTGAATAGAGGACTCATCAGTCAGTCAGTCAGACGGTCGATATGGTGGGGCACAATACGCTGCCAAAGCTCGGTAAATGGCGATCGGGGACGTAGAACCAAACGGGCGCGCTGACGCAATATTGTTTTGCCTTTTGCTGTTATATAGAAGCCGCCAATGCGTTCCGCCACGGCCTGTTCCAGTGCTTTTTCGAGCCCGACCCGGCGATCCGACGCGAGGCCCTCAAAACTATTGGCCATGTCGTCGAGTTCTGGTCTCATTCGTGGCTCGAGTACCATTGCAAGACTCCCATATCGCCGACGACCCGCACCGGAAGACCCCCCATCGCGAGACATTCCAGTAGTGGCTCGGGCTTCTCGAATCCTGCCGGGAATATACTGCGCAGGGATTCGACGTTGATGCAGTTCGACGACCTGTTTGGTGTGGATGGCGACGATGTGTTCAACAATGGCGGCGGCGGCCCGAGACGGAAAGATTCAATGCCTGGGGATACGCCCGATAGAGACGAGCCTGGGTGGTCGATGTTTGGCGGGGAATGCGCGATATCACTCTCGGATACTTCCAGTTTTCCCGCGGACCAGGAGTTTAGATTTTCCAATAGGGGACTGGGAACCATCGATTTCTCGGTGGCCGATGTGAGCTGGGCGGGAAAGGTCGTTGCCGACGAAAACTGGGGAGTCGAGCAGATGAGGGTCAATCTGGAAGATTACTTCACCTGGTTACTCCGGTTTTCTGTCGATTGCGTCTACAAGGATGTTAGGAAAGGGTGCCAGGCAATCCTGCAGCGAGCAGAGGTGACTACTACCTTTTCTATCTACAAAATAACGTTTGAAGCTTGTTGTCTAACAGCTAATAGAAATCAGGAGCCCAGTTACCCATCATTCCACAAACCGGGCCGTCGGTGTTTGTGCCTCTCTGTGATACCATAGGACTGGACTATCCCGAGCCGGCTGGCACACCAACGGCTACTCCGTCCGAGAAGTCCCCCAGTCCACTAGACACGCCTTCGGACGAGGATGATGACGGAAATATTTCCTCTAGAGATTCGTTCCCGGTGGGAATCATGATTCCAGATAGGCAACGATCACGGTCCAAGGGAAGGATGCCCATCGCTAGTAGTATTGGGAGAACAACAAGGCGTGCTGCAGCATCCTTGATCTCTTCACTTTTCCAAACGCCTCCCTCGCCCGGCGCTGGTGGGAAGTTCAAACGCCGCACCAATGGGCGGAGAACAGTGCCGAAATATTTCCCCAAAGCGAAGGAGCCGAGTGATGAGGTCAGGGCATTGCAGATGCAGACGTACGCACGCACTGGTAGGTCTCTTACGCCCTCTTGTGGTTCCGGCTTCTGTCTAATCATCATCTGCAGGCCGTATCAACAACTTCAACAAGGTGCTATTTCAGTTTCCGAAATTCGCCGAGATCAACCGTCGGGTCACCGACCTTTTCCTCTCGGATGATTCGATGGATGGCCCGCTGCCACAGACTTGGAGGATATATTTGGGTGTAATGGCGGCGGCTGAGAAGAGATGCCAATACTTTCAGAACCTACTGTCGGAAAAGCTGTTGACAGTTGGCGGTCCCGTTGAGTGGCTCAAGGGGATTCAGTATTGTCCTACCAAGCTGCAGAGAATCGCCAATCTTAACAAATCACGTACGTCTTCTGGCCCGGGAGCTGTCTGAAAGTGTGTGTGAAAGCTAACATCCAGTCAGTTGCGCACGTCCCTTGGACTATATCCTCCGACGATATATCTTACCTCGTACACAGTGACAACGGATTGGAGTCCCGATGGAGCGTTTCTGAAGTCGTTGAAGCGATCTTGGTGCTTTCGTTTTACCACGGGAAGTCTGCATTGGCTCTTGCATGGGGTGTTCTGCCAGAGGCCGATCTACTTGGTGGAACTGTCAAAACCAGTACTCCTGTGGCTCCGTTCGGTAGTTTCGCGCCATCCGCCTCTCTGTCTACAGATCTTGCAAGCGAGCCCACGCGCTACCCGAAAACTCTATCCGAATCGGTGACGAAAGGAGGCGACGGGAGTTTTCTGGGAATGGTCGGGAGAAAACGGGTCACGAAAGCTGTCCAGAACGATACCGTACCCGAGAGATGGAGGACATTATCGAATGGGTCTGCGTCGGCCTCGCCGATGGCGGTGTATTCTTCACCGTCGCCGAGGATCCTTCAGTCTCTGGAACCCAACGATGCTGATGACTCCAGACGCACCAGGACCCGGACTTTCAAGCGGCGGAAATCCTTCGACGAGTGCGGCACAAGCGATGAACTTCCTAGTGTCAGCGCCGCCTCCCTCTCATCCTCAGCTCCGAACTCAAACTCATTCCTTGTGTACTCAGCAATGTCGGGAGGAAAGCCATTATCGATGCTGAAGGATCACATCCTCTCCCCCTCAAGCTCAACTAGCTCCATCTTCGACCTAGCACTAGCAAGCATAGGCGAGCAAGCGAACATGATCGCCGACGACCACTCCAAATTCCTCAGCGAAGAGCGACTAACCGCCGAGCAACTGGACCCAAACCGCAACGATTACGAAGTCCTCTCGATGGAGGAGTTCTCTTGGGACAACGCCAGCTGCATCTTCGGCTCCTACCTCGACAGTTGCGTCGACCTGCTGGACGATTACTTCCGGCAAGCAATGGATGCCGACAGCTCAGACGACGGCCTCTTCGAGTCGCCGCCCGCACCCTCTCCCACCCCCATCCCCATCTCCAACAACACCCGCTCCGTCAACGAGGCAGCGTGGTACTATAGCTTGCGCCTGGTAAACATTCAGAAAGACGACTTCAGGTACTCGGACATCAAGCTGGCCCTCGAGAACCCTACCAGGAGGTATCTGAAGCGCATCTGTATCCAGCCGGAGCTGGTCAGTGCCGCGGACTGGATCGGTGTCCAGGGAATGAATACCGAAGAGAAGTGTAGGATGGGTCTGCTGGTCACGCAGGCTAGGTTTCTGGGTGAGATGCTGTGGGGCGTCAAGGCGGTTAGTGATTTTTTGTGTTAGTCTGTTAGAGCGCGGTTTTGCGGCGTTGGAATTGGCAGGGTGGTATATATTCGGAGTCGGAGTCGGGTGTAAATGTTTGCTACTGCGCGATGGTGAATGGTGCCTAATTCCTTACCTGTACTTCTTCTCTACGATGGATTATGTACCTGTATGATACGCAGGCATTATTGCACACGAATGTCTTGACTACCGTATCAGGAGTCTGCTGCGGTTGATGATACAGACGCGACTGATGTGATGATTCGATGTAAGCGCTGTGGCTTCAACCAGCGTAACCACAGCAACTGGATACTCAATCGACGCGACAACAACAAACAGGTCCGATGAAACTCTCTACGTCCTCGCGCTCGAACCCCTTCCCCACTACCACTACCACCACCAATAACCATTATCACCTCCGGCTGGCACAACCACCACCATCACCCATCACCACCATCATCATCACCATCACCACCGGCACGACCTTAACGACACCCCTCCAACGAAGACGGCGACAATGTCGCACTACCACGCCCCTTCGACCTCGCGGCACCAGCCTCTCCTCCCCGAATTCTCCGACCCGGACTTTTCGCCCACCGCACGCTTCAACCCCAAAGCCGTAACGCAAGCCTTTCAAGCGGCGCGCAATGCCGCACCCAAACCCGCGCAGCACGGCCCGTTCATCAATCTCGATGCCAGCAACAGCACGCTTTTACCACGGCCGGCGCTGCGCGAAGGCGCCTGCCCGGTGTCCAAAAAGCTGATCACTATCGCGCGCTACGTCAGCATCTTCCTGCGGCTTCTGCAGCTGCTCGGCGCAATGGGGCTCCTAGTGTGCCTCCTGTTCATCCGCGAGATCGAGTTCGCCACCGGCTGGATCTGCCGCGTGCCCCCCGCCGTCGCAGTCGTCCACCTCATATACGCCCTCTACCACCTCACCGGCTCCTACCGTCTCAAGACCCCCGGCAGCTCAAAAGTCTACTTCCTCCTGGCCTCGGCGCTCGACGTCGCCCTGATCAGCTTGTACACGTACATCGGCATCCTATCGTGGCGGCAGCACGCCGCCGGCGCGGACCGCAGCTGGTCGACGATCTTCCACGAGCCGTCGGGGGCGGACGCGACGATCGTATTCAGCGTGTTCCTGCTGGTGTGCTGTAGCGGCGGGCTGAAAGCGCTCACGCTCGGGCTCTCACTGTACCTAATCCACTGTTTCCGGCAACTGGAGGTGTTGCCACCAGACCACAACCCGTTCGTGGCGGACGAGGACCCGCGGCTCGCAGTAAACGAGAAATCGCAGCGATGGAGCACCAGCACCCGCGAGTCGGAGGCTCCGCTCGGCCGCAAAGTCCCCTTCGCCGCTACCCGTGCTGCACCGAACAAACATACCTACCAGACGCTGGATATCGACAGCATCGACTTTGGCGAGAGCCGCGCGCGGAAGGAGGTGCTGGGCGCGGGGTACGGGCAGGCCGAGCAGCGCGAGGAGGATCGCCCCGAATCCCCCGCTTCCTCAACCACCGCTCCGAGCCTGAAACGCGGATCGAGAGTCGTCAGGCCATTGTCGATCTCGAGCATGCCGGGAAAACCAATGGGGCTCAAGAAGAATGCTTATATACCCCCGCCGCCGTCGGACGATGAGGGAGACGTTAGTGTCCCCATTGGCGGTTGGGCTGGCACAGGCGGATCCGGCGTGCAGGGTTATAGTAAGGCTGCGCTCTTGCAGAAGCCCGAGGCCAGGCTGAGGACTGTGTCGGGGGAGGCGCATTGATGTTACGTGGTCTAATAGGTCCTGTTCTGTCTAATGATTGTATGAGAGTGTGTGTGTACTTGTGTGCTTGAATCTCATTTTTTGTGTCCGCACAGTGGGATCTGTTTTTTTACTTACGGGCTATGATCGATCGATACCATTGGAGTTTTCTCATGTATGCTACTATGCTTTGGTTTTGGGGGCGCGGATTGGGGATTGGGGGGTTGTATGTACACGTAGGGGTTGGATATGGGTATGGGTGTGTGTGAATGGCATGAAATGATGGGTAATACGATAAGGCAACATGGCTAAGAACTAAGATCGGAAGTGATATGGTGATATGGTGATGTTATCTCTCGCTGGACGATAGATGGCGGATGATGGATGATGGATGATGGATGATGGATGATGGATGATGGATGATGGATGATGGATGATGGATGATGGATGATGGATGATGGATGATGGATGATGGAGCGCACCAAGGAAAGAAGCGTCCCATGGGAAAGAAGTGCCCCATGAGAGACCTATCTACCGGTAGGTAAATTGGTTCAACCATCGCCTGCCTGCAGTCCACGCCCTTCACCTCTACCTCCCCTGTCTAGACTATATCAAACCCACCAAGAGAACTCCATTCCTGCGCCATCGAGCCTGGATCTAAGGTGATGAATACCAGCATCCAACCGAATAGATTTCGCTATCGAGTGACACATCATGAAGCAATGACGGCCTCATCATTCATGTCAGTAGAGTAGGGAAGAGTAGAGTAGGCACGAGTGACGAGACCGAAGAGTGTGGCATCTGGAATCGATGCGGACCTTGTGGTCTCAGAGCCTGCATTAGGTAAGTACTTAGTCTTGAGCGTTGGCAGTCGCAACTTCCAGTTCCCATCGTTATCCCGAGGGCCTGTGTGAATGAAGAAGGGAGTTCTTGCTCGATACGTGCAGTGGATTGTTCGGACCGTTCGGAGTTCCAAGGTTCCGGCGCTGTGGGTCTCACGAACTACGGCTTTCACAGACGATCTACAGACTCTGCGTCAGGCCATGCGGGAATCGGGACGTTGGATTTCGTCCGACAAGAGCAGTGAAGTCACCACACTCATGTCACTCATGCGTGGCAACGTGGAATCTTACTCGAAAGATGCACAACTTGAACGTGTGTTTTGGATTGGCTGGTGGTGTAAGCACTGGGCATCAATATTACAGGTAGGTACTGACTGTTGCCGTCGTCACTACAATGCTGCCGGTACCGTATGATAAATGTTACCCCCGCCTCCCCTCCTTGTCATGTAGGTATTGTACAGTACAAATACTTCGGAGGAGGCGCTATTCTACCGTACTCTGGAGTAAGTATCGAGCGATTCCCCACCATTGTCCACCCCAGCACCGAGCATGCAAATACCTACCAACCTGCACGCAGGGTCAAGAATCAAGAAGGCGGAGCACACGATATCACTTGCAATACCTACTTTCGGTGTATCCAATCACCGGTTACACGAATCTCGGCAAGCATGTGCATGTGTCACGCTTTCGGCGACGCGAGCACGAGTGATCGCTATGTACTCTCTATGGATAGAGTAGAGCATCCTCGCCACCGGAATGCGCGGAAGAGACTGGTCCGCGGCAAAGGATTGCCCGATTGCGAAACCTCCAACAATTAAGAAAAATAAAAAAGAAAGAAAGTAAAAGAAAGAAAAAGAAAGACAAAAAAGAAAGAGACACCGGATATTACTATTACTATTGTGTGCAATACATATTCCCGTCGCCGTGGCCACTGGCCACAGTACACAACGTTAACGGCTGGTGTCACTGTGTCACTGTTATGTGCATACGGCGGGCGCCGTCGGGTGCACGCTGCGCCCTTGCATACGGTGCGGTACGGTAATCGCGATACGGTACACCGATGACTTCAACGTCGAGTGTCACTGCTGCTACGAGGAATTTTCTTTGTCTTCTTCGTCCTGCGCCGGACTTCATCTGGAGTCGCGAGTTCCATGCAGCTTCAGCTTGACATCTTCACGCGCGCAGGAAGACAGGCGAAGGAAAGGCAGCCAAGACTGTCAACAGTCACGATGGGTCAAAGAAAGGGACTAAAATTGGGGTCGGGCTACTCTCGAAGGGGCAAGACAGCTGCTTGGACAGGCTGTTGACAACTTGACAAGGAGTAAACGAGACCGAAGGACATGGGCCACCTTCCATCCCTGGAACATCAGCGCAAAGAGTAGGTTGGCCTTCGACTCCGAGCGAGAGAGCGAGCTCACCCCACACATGGAAATTGGGGACAAGAATGCTAGCTTGATGGGGTGCGCAGTTAGGAGGGAGGAGACATTTGCTAGTTAGTACAGTGGTGCCGCTGACACCCGGCCCGGTCACTCCCAGCGCCCACCCTCTCTCCCCCTCATTGCCCCTTCCTTGATTTCCTTACATTAGAGTACCTTCTCGTCCCTTCTTTGATTCTCTGATCTGACCGTTCGTTCGTTCATCCATCCACGATAAAGAACCTTGTTCACTCGCTCACAAGTTCTTCTTCATCATCACTCGTCGGGCAGCTGCTGCTGATGTTTTGTGCGTAACCAAACCAGCCAGCATTTTTTTTCTCGGTCAAACCAATTTCCGGATCTATATTCTGGACTCGCTTTTTTTCTTCTTCTCCACATTACATAAACTCACTCCAGGCGGCGATCACTCGCAAGCGATGGTGCAACTATTGAAGGCGGCGTTCGTCGGCGCTGCCGTGCTCGCTACAGCGGCATATGCACAGATAACCATGGACTGCGGTGCCAACCTGGGAAAGTGTCCCGAGTCGAAGCCGTGTTGTTCGCGTACGCCTCTCCCGTCATTCCGGTTCTCTACATGGTCTGTGTGCGGCGTCACTAACATTGTTTATGGGTAGAATATGGCCAGTGCGGCATCGGCGCCTTCTGTCTGGGCGGATGCGACCCCAAGTTCTCGAACCAGCTCGAGTCCTGCGTCGCGGCGCCAATCTGCCAGTCCAAGAAGCACACCTTTGACGGGCTGACGCGAGTGGCGGACAAAACCAAGTATCTGGGCGATGCCTCGCGGTACGACTGGGTTGCCGACGGAAACCCGATGAATTCCGACGACGGCGACCTGCTGTTGACGATGGCGGCAAAGACGGTCGGCACGGTCATGGCCAGCACCAGATATGTTTGGTACGGAAATATCAAGGCCACCATGAAGACCTCAAGGGGCGCCGGCGTCGTCTCGGCGTTCATTATGATGAGCGATATGAAGGACGAGATCGATTTCGAGTGGATCGGTGTCGACCTCGATGTTACCCAGACCAACTACTATTTCCAGGGAATCCCCGATTGTTAGTGCTCTCACACCCCCGTCCGTCTCGTGATATCTGATGAGACTAACTTCCCCCCGACAGACACCCACGGCGGCAACATTTCGACCTCTGCCACCTTCGACGAATGGCACACGTACGAAGTCGACTGGACGGAGGACTCGATCACGTGGAAAGTCGACGGGGAGACCGGGCGCACGCTGAAGAAATCCGACACGTACAACGCGACCAGCAAGCAATACGACTTCCCGCAGACACCATCTCGCGTGCAGCTCTCCTTGTGGCCCGGCGGCCTCGCCACCAACGACATCGGCACGATCAACTGGGCCGGCGGCGAAATCGACTGGACCAATTCGGCGGACATGAAGGACCCTGGGTACTACTACGTGCAAGTGAAAGACGTAGTCGTGTCCTGCTACGACCCTCCATCAGGCACCACCAAGAAGGGCAGCAAGTCGTACTACTACTCCGACGCCGCAGGCCTGCAGAAGAACGTCGTGATCGGCGACAAGAGCACCGTGCTCAAGTCCTTCCTCGCGTCCGGCACCGACATGGACGCGGCCGCGCCCTCGTCCAGCGCCGGCCTCGAGGGCATCGAGACGGTGCCCGGCCTTGCTGGCGCCGGCACCGGCGCCGGAAATCGCGCTACCCCGAGTGGAACTACTGGCACCACCGAGGATACTGAGGACCAGGGCGTCGCCGCTGCTACCGGCAAAAACGTCTTCTCCCAGGGAAACACGAATGATGCTGCCGCTCCCGCTAATGCATTGGCCCTGAGGGGGAGCATGGTCGCCCTGCTCGTGGCGTTGGTCGGGATTGTGGCGTTGTAAACGCTGATTCGCGCTTCAGCTGCGATTGTTGGCATATTTACTTACGCACCGCCTGTCGTTGGGCTTGTGTCCCCACTCTGCCCTACCCTGGGCTGGCTGGCGGCTTCTGTTCTGTTCTGTTCTTGCCAGTCGTTCACTTTCTGTCTGTTTTCTTTTTCTTCTACTTTCGTTTTTGTTTCTTGTTTTTTGTTTTTGTGTTTTATGGCGTCGTCACTCCCTTTTTCCTTGGGGTAAGTAATGAACGCTCGCTCGTGTGGCACACGAGGACGAGGAGGGAATTAGGAGGAGGAGAATTAGTGGTGAGAATTAGTGGTGAGAATTAGTGGGTGAGGACAGAGGGAAAGGGGGAACAGTTGTGTGTGGGGAGTTGTGGAGTAAAGCCTTTTTTTCTGTTGTCTTTGTGTATTGTAAGTACCTAGGGAGGCCATCTATTGGCGGATTGGAAATGGATAATGTTTTTCAAAGTGAGAGTGAGACATGAGACATTGAAGCGATGAGACAGACCAGACCAGACAGACAGGCAGACATGGGACAGATATGGGAATGAGATGAGATGACTGCAGTCTGCGTGCAAGGCAAGGAAAGAAACGAAAGAAACGAAACGAAAGAAACGGAAAGCCGAGCTTTTATGTATAGTATTCGTAATTCGTGGGTATAATATAAATAATAAAACACAGCCGTAACCTCATCATACATGATCATCTTGCAGGTAGTTCGTTCAGTTCATAAGTATACATCACACATCACACCCCTCACGGCCCACGACTCGCCGGCCTCGTCCCCGCGCCAGCAGCGCCCACACTCCTCCTCCTCCCTGGAGCGCGGGGCATAGCGGGCGGCGGGGGCGCAGGGACCTGCTGCAAGCGCGGCAAGCTCTCTCGTGGAAAACTAAGTCTGTAGGGCTCTCCCTTGCGCTTGCTATAGACCTTTCCCGTGGCGAGGGAGTTGCACAAGACGAAGTGGGCGAGATCGGGGTCTTTCCAGCACAGCAGGACGAACCACCTGCACCAGCCATTGCGGGTGAGCGCTGGCGCGCGCGGCGTGGTGTCTAGGTGGTCGGCCGCCCACGGCTTCGCCCGCGCCGCGATCGCGTCCGCACTGTTCGATACCAGGTGGAATTCGCACCCCGCCCGTGTGAACTCGCGTGTTAGACTGTCATCGTCCGCGGAGCGGAAGAGGTTGTCGCTCGAGGAGACGCCGACGCTGCTGTAGAAGGCGGAGAGCGATGATGGCTCGAGAAGCGAGGTGTGCCGTGGTGGGAACGTGCTGTCGATATAGTTGAAGACGGCGTCGATTAGTTTTTCGAGGAGCGCGGTGGGTTGCATATCGCCCCCCATTAGGATCGGCGCCGTGGCGATGTGCGAGGTTATCACGTTTACCGAGTGAGAGACCCGGTGGCGTAGTGTCGTTTCGCCGAGGATTAGGCAGTCGAGGCATTGGTCACTACGGTTCGATTGTGAGCAGACTGGAGAGAGGTGAAGCAGATGGGAGTTATTTACTAGTTCTGCAAAATCGTTAGTGAGTCATCGAGTGAGATATGATTACCGAGGGGGAGGAGGAGAAGTTACTTTGCATTCAACACATCTTGCCCGCGGCTCCCGCGTCAAGTCCTTATGGCAGCAATCGCAAAAGTACTCCGGCACGCGCCCATGGTGACGATGCATCTTCGGGTAGTCTCTTGGCCGCAGCGTCTGCTGCCGATGGCCTAACCTGTGGTTCCCCGGGGCGGTCTGTGTGGCATCAGCAGCTACATCCCACCATTTCACCTCACCATTTCACTCCGCCTAGACTACACACCTTTTCAAAATTGTAACATTGACTACAAACCAAATGACGACACTCCAAGCACTCGACCCTCGGCCGTCCCGACAGGGCTGTCCCACAGACATCGCAATTAAACGCGCGCGTGGTAGCATCCGCCACTGGTGGCATCCTAACATTCGCCAGATCCGCCAAAAATGCCGCGCTCTCTTCGCCGCGGGCGGGGTTTAGGTTCGAGTGTCCGTGGGGTGGCGGCGGGTGGTACGCAGGGAAAGTCCCCGCCGGCGTCGACATCCGACTTCCGCCAGCTCCGCCACCGCCGCCGGGTGTCGCTGAGCGTCCGGCTGCTGCTGCGGCTGGCGTCGAGGACCGTACTCCCGCCGCGCCGGGAGTACCGGATCGCCGGTTGGGGTTACTGGGCCCTGGAGTTGCTCCGGGCGCGCTGAGGTATTCGAACATCCTCCTCCTGGTCCGTCGGCTAAAGCGTGTAGTGGTTGTAGTGGAGGTGGTGGTTGTAGTGGTTGTAGTGGTTGTAGTGGTGGTGGGGTGGGTGAGAATTCGAAAAAGCAGATATCTATCGTGTGAGACCTATTGCTTCGCGATCAGGCAGCGTGTGTTCGCATAAGAAAAAACACAATGGGAGGTCGGGGAGGGGGGGTAAGTTGGGAGGTCGGGGTGGGTGGGGAGGGACCACCGGTGCTAGCTGGTCTTCTTATCGTTCGGTGGTCAAATGATTCTTCTTCCATACCGGGGCTTGCTATAGGTGCTTGTTCGGTGAAGTTGGCCTGGGGTGGGGATGGGATGGATGCCTTGCTTTGCCCTCCATGGTAGCCTGGCAGAGTCACACAGAGCTGGTGCATCGATATGAATGCTAGTATGCGGGGCGAGCAATTGGAGTACTCGGGAGTACGGAGGGTGGCGTATGCATCGTAATGGGTGCGAGTCCCGGATCTCTAGGGAACGTCGATCGTTGACGAGGTCGCGAAAGGACAACAACGATAGCCGCGCGAGATGTCCATTTCCTTGCCGCGAACTGCTATTTGGTCGCCAGAACTCGCTTGTTGCGAATGCCAGTCCAGCGGATAACGCTTCGTCGGGTCTAGGTTTCATGGCAAGGAATGTTATCCCGAGAGCAATCCAACTAACGTAGTACATACGAAGGCTCGAGACTCATCGGTAGCGAGGCAGTCTCTGTAGACGTATGTACGGTATGTGAGTACATACTCAACCACGTCACACTCGGCCGCCACCTTTTTTCTTCGTACTGGAGTTTCTGCGGTATGGATTGCGGGTCGTGGACGAATAGCAAACGAAGCCTTAAAGTGTCCGGAATGCTAGGCGAACGCGGCCACCGAGACAACCCTGCCCGTAGGAGGCAACCGGTCTCCATGGTTTTCACGATCGTCCGTATATCCACATCGTCGCAATCACGAAGAACATCCTCCATTGGCAAACTCTGGCCCAGCAGTCGCCTGAAGTCCGAACACTTCTAAGCCCTTCAGCTTCACCTGGAGGCATCCGCTGTTTCCTATGGTGTTCGCCATCGCCTCCAACCTTAAGGGAAGGCCTCCAAGCTTTCGCCCCTTGAGACTGATTGAAGTGGGTATTCGCTGTACTCCAGTAAAAACCTACGGGGATATCGCTGACGGCGAACGGTCTGCTCGCGAGTGATCCCGCTTGTGTGATGCTCATCGGATCTTACTGGCTGGGGATACACGAAGGAGAAGAAGGAAATGAAAGTTGGCAGCTCCACCACATCCTAAAACGTGATCTCATCTTGAATAAGTACATAACTTGCGCCTATATACCAGCGTATCAACGTCAATTGACCTCTTTCTCGCCCCGAACGATATAAACCATGACCTCATCGACACCAACATGCGCCAGTTGCTCGTAGCTCCGCAATCGGCTCGGTAGCTTGCGGGACGAACGAGACCAGTAGCAGGCTAGCAGCAGGCCTATGCCGGGGAGTCAGAAATCAGGAGCTCACGACCACGTGGTACAAATGCTGAACGGAGACTCAGCATGGAATTCGAATCGCTCCATCGAATTGTGGCATCGGGCGCTCTTAGATTGTAGAGGGGGAAGCGTCGGAGAAAGCGTTATGGGAAGGAAAGGAAGACAAGAGAAAAGTGAAGGTGCCGACAAAGGAATCATTAAAGAAGGCGGATGCAGCGGGAAAGGCCGTGAAACTGATGGGAGAACGGCAAACAGAGACAGGCCAAGCATTGTCTGAAGCAGAACAGAAGGATCCAGAGCTAGCGGTAGCTGTAGCTGAGCTCCTCATCACCTCGCAACAATCGTGCTGGCGCCCTCGAGAAGAACGGCGGGACTCTCAAGGAGAAATCGCCGCCATGTTTGAAACTAAGATGTTCCATCGCCTCGAATGGATACCATTCGATGCCGATTCCATTGCCCTCTGCTCCAACAAAGCGTTGGCACTTAGCATCCTCCGGCATCTGTGGCTTTGAAGGTTCATGGGATTATTTCTCTATGTTACCGACTCCGATATCCTCATTATCCCCCCATACTCGAGCTGGCAAAAGCTTGGTGTAATAATCAATTCCACGAGTAGTTGACACAACCTAAACAACCGGCCAGAACATTGGGCAAGTCCAACCAGCCTGTGTAACGCCGTTAGAACTCACTGGCGGCCTGTGGATACACCAGACACATGAGAAAGCTCCCACCTTGCAGTTCACCATCACCCCGCATCCCCATTGTACACAACAACGAGTCAACGACCATTTCTCGTTCAAAGTCCCTACCCAACCAACGTATCACGTATATACATAACGACAGCTTTCGCCCTCAAGCTCACCTCTCCTTCACGCTCGTCCCGAACGATACTATATAAACCCATGACTTCGTGCGCCAACTGTTCGGACCACGGCGCATACCTCGCGAAATTGCAGATGGAACACGGCAACCTCCAAAGGGCCTATGCCCAGCAAGTTAAAAAGGTGGAACAAAAAAACGGGTAATGTGAATTATTGGTATGAGAGGTTTTACACATTGAATAAAGAGGTTGGCATACTCCGTCAAATTGTTGCTTCTGGAGCTATCGATCCGCCCAAGGACAGCGCGTTGGCTGCGCAGGCGAAGAAGATCAAAACGGAGGAAGAAATAAAGAAGGATGAAGAGAAGAGGAAGCGGGCGATAGAGGATGCGATGGCCACGGCCCTAACCGATCACGACCAGCGTATCGCCGCCCTCGAGAAAGATCGCGAGACTCTCAAAGAGGACCTAACTACCATGGTCGAGGCTAAGATGTAAGTTCTCGTCCCGTCGCCTCGGATTGATATGTACATACTAGCTGAGATTGACCTCCACTTCAGGAAAGCACTTGAGCTCGGCATCCACCAGCCGTTCCTGGAGTTCGCCTCGAAGATTTCCAACACCAACCCGAGGGATGCGAGTAAGAGGGGCTGAGCGCAATGATTCTACTTTCCTCTGTTTCCTATGGTCGAGAATCTTTTACCTTTTACCGGGCTATTACAGCATTTTCAGTGTTTGGGAATATATCAGCGTTTCTTCTCACGTTCCATCAACTCTCCAAGACGGCATGGCGGTGGGGGTGGGCTACGGTACATATCATAGCTGTCCTCATCCCCGGCTCCGTTGGCCGTTGGTAGGACTTGATTTATGTCGACGCCCCAGAGGAGCCAGTGACCGTGATGTCCTCGTCCTCCCGTCTACGCTAATTCCTTCACTTTGAGTGATCACTGGCTTGAGTGAATGATCCGTTCCATGAGATATCTGCCACCGGTTGACGGCCAAGGATGAGGCTGCGGAAGTACAGTGTACATCCACGACCTAGTTAACCGGCTCGGATCGTGTCTACTTACTCAGGTATCTAACTCATCGGTATATTTGCTTACATTACAATATCTACATTTCAGTACATACATTTTCCACAAGCGAATACATATGTTCTATACCACTAGGCAGAATTATTCTTCTTTAGATGGGCCGGCGCATCTATAGATGGACCGGCCCGTGTTTAGGTGGGTCGGATCTCACAACTGGCCGGACCATGGATAGATTTTCTCCGGCTCCTTGGCTGGCCCAGGAGCCAGATATCTCACCCTGGGCTAACCCATAGAATTTTGCCCAAATGGGCTGGCCCAGGAATAGAATTGTATGCTGAACCCGAAACCGGCTAGTAATATTACGGGCTCGAGATCACCACCACCACTGCTGGCTGTACGGTTACGGTACCACTTTGGCGACTACATTCGGCAGTACCAATCTCCATCAACCATCAATTGAATTGAATTATCACACACCCGAGGCCTCCTCTTTCTCAGAATCGATCCTTCTACTACAACACCATCCAGTACAGTCGATGAACTCTTTGTCTGCCGTGGTCGCTTCCTGCGGGGCGGTGGTAATAGAACACTTCATCTTGCGCATTCCGTAGGGTTCGGCTTCCGGTACAATTAACCGTTGTCATGTATTCTGTCGCTCGTTTCGTCATCGATCCTTAAAACTCCTGAAATGTTGCTGCTGAAAACGCAGAAATGCAACATCCACGGCGGACATGACTTTAACGGGTGTATTGTAGGCTGTTGTTGGTCTGATGTCTGGGTTGCTGACGAGAATTGGTTAAGGCTAAGAAAATTTCATGTTTGCTAGCCGTTTTTGGCGGAGACAACCCGTCTGAGGTTGGGCCAGCCCAGAAACCGGAAAAAGTCTACCCATGGTCCGGCCAGTGGTGAGATTTCAACTTTGCTAGCCGTTTTCGGCGGAGATAACCCGTCTAAAGTTGGGCCAGCCCAGAAACCGGAAAAAATCTACCCATGGTCCGGCCAGTGGTGAGAACCGACTCACCTTTAGATGGGCTGCGTGTCTAAACTTGGGCCAGCCTATCTAAAGATGGCTAATTCTGCCCAGTGGCATAGAACACATACAAGTCTACTTACTTTAGCCCTACGGGCATTGCCGCTGTTTTCTCTAACCTTTTCCCAACCTCATTCTGCTCCCCCTTCCATGCCAATTAATCAAGCCCAACAGGAGCCTCTTCGCCGTTGACGAGATATATCATCATCTAGACGGGCCTAAAAGCCTGCGCGGAATAGCCACGAACGTCATCCAGAAAATTGGGTGCTACAATCGGTTCACATGCGTGGAGTTGGAGCGCCCACTCATCCTCCGCAACGGGGCCGCAACAGTACAGCTTGAGTCCCCCCATCTGGTCATGGCGGACAAGATGAATACCCCTCCCTTCTTGGTGTCGTACACCTCCCCCCCCCCCTCGCGCCCATTTTGATAGTCCTGTTGCATGGCGTACGGCTTCTCCGCCGTATGTAGAGTACATACAAAAGGTTCGCGCAGTACATACACTGTAATACTGTGCATTTCCAGAATGTTTGGAAAATAGTGACCGTTAAAACCAGCCAGAAAACCCGGTAGCCACCCAAGTCTCATCATTTATGTACTGGGCGGGCGTTGACGGTTGAGGATACACAGAAAGCGGGGAACTACAATCCACCACCACCACCGCCGCCATCTTTATTCACCCAGCAACAACCCTTGCCTACTTACCCACAATCGGTATGCCTGGATATGAATGTCCCCAACGTGCAGCACTTGCACAGAGCACTGCCGCCGCCGCCAGCTAGAACGCATTCATGGGGAGCACGATCGGTCCCGAGTCCCGACAGGAATGTACGCAGGAGGTTAGGCGCCAGCAGTGGGCTCACGACAAAGATTCTACCTACATACGGAAAGCAGAAAGTGGATAGCAGCAGGAATGTTGAGACACTTCGTCAACGGACCGCTGAGGCGGAGGAGAGGAAAGTGAACTGTGAAGGGCGGCGCTATGGGGAGGTAATATGTTTCGATAAAAGCGTTTATACCAAGAAGTCATAGGATGTCTAATGGGTTTATTCAGTCATTCAGACAGACGGAAGTTTAATGGCAAAAGGCAGAAGCACCTCATTGCTGATGAATCGACTGACTGCATGAGGATCATGGAGCGTCACCCGTCGGTTTGCTCCGACGAGCAAAAAGTCTACCCTGTTATTCAAGATACACGCCCTCACAGGCCATTCTCCGCCGTGGACGAAGAGGCAGCCGAGCGAGTAGTACTAGTTAGTGGTGTAGTAGGGCAGAGTAATCCGGGAAAACCCTTTTTCAAGCGCTGCAGTGCGCAGAGAGTCCGAGCAGAAGTGTGCTCACTCTAGCAGGAGTTTGAAACTTGAACACGGGAACCGGCAAGACCAAGAGGTACATATCATACAAACAGACGCGGAATCTTGAAAGGAGCTAATCGAATACTCTCGTCGGATAGCATACATAGACGTCCGATAGCTCCGGAGGACACCTCGGGCACCGGTGCTGACACCGGTGCCCGGAGCGGTGACAGGGCCTGGGAGCGGGCAAATAAGGCCCCCGCCCCCACCTAAGGCGAGCGCTGGCCGGATGGAACATTCCACTCTGCGGGTACCTAGAGTAGGTTGACGATCGAGGATGAAGCCACGGGAGGTAGGTAGGACAATCGGTCAACCACCGCCCAGGAAACCGGCCAAAATAATTGGTGCATCATTCCTGTGCGACGCTCACCGAATCCTACTGGCCGGCTTGCGGTGAGTTGAGGACGCGCAAAAAGCGGGGACCGCTCAATACACTACACCATCACCACCACCACCGCCGCCATCACGATCGCAACCACTACCGAAAGTTCATCGCTACCACCGTATCCTCCATACCCGGAACGACCACCATCCCAATTCACCATCGGCACGCATCATGACTTCGCCGTGCGCCACCTGCACGGAGCGTAGCCGGCAGTTATCCAGCATTCGCGGGGACCTCGAGCAGTCCCGACGGCATCTCCAGGAGGAGGTATGGCGGCACAAGTTCACGACCGACTGCTACAGCAAGCAGAACGACGAGCTCAGCAGTAAGGTTGAGGCGCTGCATCGGCGGGTCGCTGAGGTGGAAGAGGAGAAAGCAAGGAGGATGACGGAGGAGCTGAGGAAGAATGTGGTTCTTTGTATGTGGGTTATGATGCTGCAGAAAAAGGTCGCTAAGGCGGAGGAGGAGAAGGCGACGAGGGCGGGGGTAGAGAGAAAGATGGAGGCAAAAAGAAGGATGGAGGAGGACACGAGGCTGAGGGACGCGAGGGAGGCTGAAATCAATGCTCTCAAATACGGTCTCTTCTTCACTATTTTCGTTTGTCTCATCACCTTTGCCTTTGACATGTTCCCGTAGGGAATGCAACACGCCGCGTTGAAAGGATCATGCCGGCCACCACGACGGAAATAGGCGAGGTAACGAATTTGTTTTTGTTCAATCATTGATTGCTTGCGACCCATCTGGATCGTAGCAATTTGGCGTGGAAACAAAAGGTGGAGGCCCCACACCGGATACAGCTGACCGAGTGAGCAATCATGATCTGCTTATGTTTTGGGGAGGGGGATTCATGCCCGACTTTCTGCTGTCGCCGTCCCTTCAGCATCAGCCACCGCTTGCAGTCTGGTAGATACGCTCCATCCAATCTTTCCTCAGCAATTAAACCCCCCCACAGCAGTACTCAAACAATCTTGAAACATATCAAAATCTGATGCTCGTCACAGTGGTTATCTCCCACTTCCGTCTCCAAGATCTCCTCAGCACACTCGATTGGAATCGAGGTGGGGAGGGTTTGCTGGCCGCTCTACGATTTCCATCTGAGATTATTGAGAGTGCTCCTTCAGCCCTTCAAGACATCCCAGCTGTGGCGGGGTGCACGGCATCTACCGTTGCAAATTTGTTGGCACCACAGAGGAGCGGCATACATGTAATTATGATATATCCTCACTGTCCGATTCGCGCAAGCCTCTTCCATCCTGCTGGGTGAAACCGGCCAGAATAATTGGTCGATTGACAGTGCGCGGCGGTCACCGAACCCTACTGGCTACTGGCTACTGGCTACACTGTGCACAGCTGAGGATACACAAAAAGCGGGGAGCAACAGTTCGCAGCATAGTCACCACCAGCACCACCACCACCACAACATTTGTATACATGGCAACCCCCTCGCAATCTACCATCGTCAACAAACATCATGTCGTCAACGTGCAATACGTGTACAAAGCTCCGCCGGCAGGTCGAAAGCATGCGTACGGAGCGCGACCAGTTCCGACAGAAGTGTGCGGAGGAGGCCAGGCGGCACGGGCTCACGACCAAGTTCTACGAAAAGCAGAAAGTAGAGCTCGCCAGGAATTGCGAGACGTTTTGTCAACAGGTTACCGAGGCAGATGAGGCGGCGAAGGGGAGGAGGTTGGAAGAGAAAAGGAGGAATGCAGAGCTTGTGCTGGAGGTCGAGCGGCTGAGGCAGCGAGTCGCTGAGGCGGAGGAGGAGAAGGCGAGAAGGGAGCTAAAGCATGAGAAGAGATGTGCGGATCTTGCCAAGGAGATTGAGACGCTGAGAGAACAGGTCGCTAAGGCGAAGGAGGAGAAGGCGAGGAGGGATGAGGAGGCGAATATTGAGGCGCTCCGACAATGCGTCGCTAAGACGGAGAAGGAGAAAGCGAAGAGAATGTCGGAAGAGAAGCGGAAGGAGGAGGCTAGGAAACTCTGGGAAGAGAGAAATAGTATCGCTCTGTTAATCTCAGGTATGTCTTGGGAACAACAAGAAGTCGAGAGGCAGAAGAACAGCGCGGAGAGGAAGGAGGAGGAGGAGAGGAGAAAGGCCGATGATGCGAAGATTGCAGCGCTTCGACAGCAAATCACTGAGGTGGAAGAAGGGAAAGCAAGAAGGGAGCGAGAGCACAAGAACAGATTTGCGGATCCTACTAGGAAGGTTGAGATGCACCGTCAATCAGTCGCCGAAGCAAAGCGAGAAGGAAGGGCGGAGAGAAAGAATGTTGATCTCAGTATTGAGGCTGAGTCGCTTCGAGAATGAGTCGCCAAGGTGAATAATGAGAAAGCTAGGATGCAGGTGGCAGAAGAAGAGAGGAGAAACGCTGAGTAAGAGAGCATTGCTGTGGAGGGGAAGATGGCGGTGGAGGTACGCATGCACATAAAGGTGAGGAGAGTTGGTATGCGTAGGGAAGTAAAAAGCGATGGATACACTGGGCTGGAGGGATTTTGGAGACCAGTGCTGGGGAATGAACCGCAGGCCTTTAAAAGCTGGCTGGCTGCAACCGGTCACGAATCGTCACTCGATATTTTACCACGACGGCATGAAAAGAATGGCTTTTATACAGTATACTTGGGACAGTGTCGCGATTTAGAGTAGGTCGCATGCAATTAAACGATGCACCCAAAAAATCGAGAAGTTCCCCGCCCATCCCACCTTGCAGCTCAGGCTTCAGCCTTACCGCGCCTCCGCATTACATCGTACGCAACAACCATCGGTCACTCGGAATCACAGTCCACGAGGATCCGCTCGGACCTCAAAGAGGACCTGGTTGGCATGGTTGGCATGGTCGAAACCAAGACGGACCTACGTCCTCGCCGCCGTTAATACTCCCGTTGCTGACCGCACTCCAGAGTCCAGAGTCCAAAAAAGCACTGGATGTCAAAGCCAGCACTTATCAACCATTCTCGAGTTCGCCTCAATACCGGCTACCAAACCGAGGGAGCATGGATTCGAAGAGGCTGGGCTGAGCGTGAAGACGGAGGGCCGATCGTCTTGAGGCTTCCCCTACATATGTCATAGAGGCGGATGGATATCACGTTCTACTCGTCTTTCGTGCTGGACTTTTGAATACCTAGGACCTTATACGGACTGTAGGGCCTAGGCGGAGACCCCCAACGCCGCCGTTTCTTCTACTCTTGCTTCGACGGCCCGCGGTGTGAGGGTCCCCAAGACGTCCATGATCTGCATCGTAACTATTTGGAGGCCAGCCATCCTTCTGCTGGGGAGGAGGGACTAGTAACTGCAAATCTACAATCCTGTCCACGCTATCTAGTATCTCCTTCCATCCCGATCACTCGGTAGAATAGCCCTTCTACATACGAGATATCCGGTGCAAGCCACGAGGGTACCCGGCAGAGTATAACATATGGGCCAGGAAATCTACCAGCCAAATTCCAATTGGTGGATGTTACTGGCAACTGTGCAGCCGTGTAACCGCGGTTACCAGGTCTTATTGGCTACCTCGGACACGCAGGTCGCCTACCTACATAGGTAGGTATGTACAGTACATATACTCTACAGTATGTACACTCCACCATCAATGATGAGGGCCACATCATCACCACCCCCGCATCCACATCCACATCCTACTCTCCTCGGTGGATCCGTGGATCCGCAACAATCCTCTCACTAACACACACACGCACACACACACACACACACACACACACACACACACAACACTTTTCGCTCCGCTCTCTATCATGACATCGAGCTCATGCGACAGCTGTATAGAGCTCCGCCGGCAGCTCGCAAACAACCGCCAGGAACGCGAGCAGTCTCGGAAGAAGTGTGAGGTTGAGGCTGCGCGCCATGCAATGACGACAGGCTTCTACGAAATCCAGGTTGCGGGTCTGAAAGAGGACGTTAAGATGCAGGCCGCCGAGCTGGAGGAGGAGAAATCGAGGAGAGAGGAGGAGGAGAAAAGGAATGAGAATCTTAGCAAGTATATTGAGACACTTCGCCAACGAGCCGCTGAGGCGGAGGAGGAGAAGCCCAGGAGAGAGGAGGAGGAGAGGAGGAATGCGGATCTTAGCAGGGAGATTGAGACGCTTCGTCAGCAGGTCGCTAAGGCGGAGGAGGAGATATCGAGGAGAGAAGAGGAGGAGAGGAGGAATGCGCATCTCAGTATGGAGATTGAGACACTTCGTCAGCAGGCCTCCAAGACGGAGGAGAAAAAACGAGGGAGGGAGAGGGTAGAAAGGGCCATGAGGAAGATCAAGGAAGGGAAGAGAAAGATGAAGCCGATGGAGGAGAGGCAAAGCGGCGAGGAGAAGGAAACGCCTGACAGTGATGATTTGAATACATGCATTCTTTCAGTTGTTTTTTGTTGTTTGTTTGTTGTTGTTTGTCTTCTTTTTGTTTTGTCCATAATAGCTCCCTAATCCCGTCTCGCAGTAGGTACCTGAGTACGCGTTGGAGCACCATTAGAATGTGGTATATGACCGGTAGCTGCAATGGTGATGGGGCCGGCCTCGAAGGGAGGTGATATGTTTGGACTAAAAGTCTGGCAGGAAGTACGGAGGTGGCTTTATACAATCGGATAGAACTGAAGAACCTGTTTTCGTCGCTCATGAGATTGACCGGTTGCTTGCGATCATGGATTTTCGCTCGCTTCATTGATCGGATGAAACGGGGCAATTATGCTGCCATCTCTTTCCGCTCCCAGCGAGAGCGTCAAAGAAGCTAGCCGCCCGCTTCTACCAGCTGAAGACAGGTCACGCAATCACGGCGGAGTACCTGAAGTGGATTAAGAAGCGGGATGATGACCATTGCTGGTGGTGCAACAGGCCTACCAAGCAGTCCCGCGAGCACCTATTCAAAAACTGCTCACGGTGGAGAAGTCAACAGAAAGCCTTGTGGGCAAAGGTCGGGAAGGAGACGGAGAGAAGGAAAGAGAGGTGGTTGATAGCGGAGTTGTTCGCCGACGAGCGGCGCAGCGAGGCAATCCTAGAGCTTCTAGAAACGACAGATGTGGAAAGGAAAGCTCCACCAAACCTAGAGGAGGAGGATGAGGAGGAGGCAAGCATCGCATCAGGGGCAGAGCAAGAGTGCCCAGCAGAGTACTATGTCTACGGCCGGTGCGAAGGAGTAGGAGATGAGGATATGCGGTGATGTTCTCTTGGAGCGGAAAGGCGGAAGACGGGGGAGAGAGGTGAGGGGGCAGCAGGAGGAGCGGGCATGTAGGCCCATACCGGTCTTCACTGTCAATATACTTTTTGCTTGTGCCGGCCCGAGGCGGATGGGTAGGGGAGGTGGGGCGCCGCATTGGACTGGCCGGGACCGGGGCTTTCACCTCGACTGGCCAGGGCGGGCAGGAAAAGGAGTTTGTTGATTCGCCATAGTCTAGATAGGCTACATGCGAAATAAAAAGGAAGATTTCTCTCTCTACCATTTCTTTGTGCGCAACCATCCCCCGAGCACTGGAAGCGGCCATCGACAGGCGGCCATCGACAGGCGGCCATCGACAGGCGGCCATCGACAGGCGGCCATCGACAGGCGGCCATCGACAGGCACTAGAAGCACTGCCCACTGCCCACTACCCCACTACCCACGATATCCCGGTCCCAGACCGAAGTCCACCATCCAATTCCCACGAATTTACGCAAGAACACCACCGCCCTCCGCCGCATCACGGAGGCCAAGTAAAACACGCTTTCACTCCTCGAGACTTAATTGCAAGCACTTACTGAACATAATAATATGCATCAGAGCTACTTTTACAACAGAAGCCCCGTTAAGCCGAGTGCCAGTAGAGTACATCAGTGTACTAACATACAAGTAAAGTATCCCTCTCGCACAGGTATCCCATGATATCGAATCAATAAAAACGAGCAAACGAACGAGCGAGGACGTAAGAAAAGAAAAGGAAAAGAAAAAATCACATGATTGAACCACCCATCCAGAAGAAAAAATAAAAGAATAAAAAGACGGTGAACAAAAAAAGAAAAAAAAAGACCTACTAATCATCGCACACACAAATCGCAAGCAAGCAGCTTTACTCCAAAGAAACCCCCATTAGGAACCCATTGCAAGCAAAAACATTTACACGGGTACATAAAAAAAGTAAGTATGTAGACCTGCAATCCGCATCCCGCATCCCGCATCCCGCAACCCGGATCCCGCATCGTCATCCACTTCATCCACCGTTCTGTGTACCGCCACCATCCTGTCCTCCACGGATATTGGGATCGGATCCCCCAGCGTATGTGAAGCTATTCATAGTCATGGACCAAGACTGGTTGCTGGCTTCGGGACTGGTATGGGGGTACTGCGCAGACTGTGGGGGACCACTGGAGGGCCCACCGGGGGTGCCGAGGAGCGCCAATCCGGCCGGCGGAGCGGGTCCGGCACTGCTGTATCCGGCGTTCTGGCCGCAGTCCTGGCTGAGACCGATCAGCGCCGTCGATGCATATGTTTCGCTGGGATCCATGTTCTCGATCGTGCCGATGTTGCCGACGCCTTGCACGTACTGCCGCCATGATTCGTTGCCGTGGAAGCTCCAGGGGACAAAGTTGGCGGTGTCGTAGACGTGATCACCGGAGGGGACCAGTGGGTCACCGTAGACGGGGATGGTACTGCTCGTACGAGACTCGGCGTGGAGTACGGCGTAGTCGGCTTGGTTCGGCGAATAGCTCGCGCCGGAGTCATTTGAATTTGGAGGAAGCTTGATAGGAATTGCCGGTGTCGTCACGGGTGGGTAAGGATTGGTGGACACATATGATGGCATTCCGCTAGCGGACGATGCGCGCTTGCCCTTCTCGGTGTTTTGGTTGAGAAGTTCCATCGTGCGGTAGGTCAGGATCTGGACAACCTCTCTGAGGCGCTGTGGGGATCCTAGGAGGCTGCCGAGATCACCCATGACATCCATACACAGGTCCATGTCACTTCTGACCTGCGCCACTTCCTCCGGTGTGATGCTGTCCCGTTTATCCCAAACAGAGAATAGAATCGTGAGGGTGGCGAGCAATTGCACTGTCGCACCATACCACGTAGTGTCCAAGTAGTGGTTTCCTTTGCGAAGGTTGTCCGTCAGGCGCAGGATCTCCCTCGAGGATTCCACACAAACCCGGATACAGTCACCGCTGAACGTCGGAGACGGAGACAAGTCCAGTGAAGGATGGCGTAGCAATATGCGATCTCTGTTTGAATCATGATCAGGGACACGCTCTCACGATGGAATACGGACGGCAAGACTTACTCATGGTACCACGAATGAAGGTGTGCAGCCTGAAACTGCCTTTCAGGTCTCGGTGAGTCCAGTGCTATACAACTCGTCAGAAAGCGTTCACCGAGGAATATTGAATGACAACTCACATAAACTCTTCGGACGGCCATCCCGCCACTTCTTCAGTTTCGCCTCGATATCCTCTACCAGGGCAACATATTTATCTCTCGAAGGTCTTGCAACGCTGTAGAGCGTACAATGTATCTGGATCGTCAACGTCGCATGCTTAAACATTTCGATCGCAACGTCAAACTCGCAATCCTCATGCCCGTCTTCCCGCTTGAGTATCTCGTTCTCCAGGATATACTCGTCGTCGATCCTCTCGGGATATTCAACGTCAAAGTCTCCCTCACGGATGCTCATCGGACGGCCTAGTCTCGACGCCAGAGAAACCTCAAGTGTGAGGATACACCAGAAGACACGCTTACGGAGTTCGATCTCGATCAGGTTGGGACTCGCGCGGTCGTACGACCATTTCTTCGCAGAGCGGTGAAGGCCAAGCTCCAAGCACATCGACACCGCCATACGGGCCAAGAGCCACGAACCACCGGGTTTAGGGAAAGCCCGCAGATGCTGGAGAATCAAACCTATGGCCTGAAGGTCCTCCAGGGAGGAACCGGACATCAATTCGTACAGCAATGAGATCGCATAATGATAATGACGTCGAGAACACTCCATCACGCCACTGGAAGACTGAGAAATCTGCCCCCGATTCTTGAGCCGGTCGCTCGCTGCGTTTTGAAAGTGAACGATAGCGAGAACCATGTGCAACATCGCAGTCTGCGCGGCTGTCGGTTCGAAGGACTTGTCGCTATAGACGCGCTCAGCCTAGATGGAATGACTGTCAGAACTCCGAAACATCAAAAGCACTAAACATTTCAAGCTTACCATTCGCATGAACGTGGGCCTATGCAGGATGGGAAGATAGGGGTGAGAGATCATGAAGAAATAGTTGATGTACTGCATTCCTTCGTCTTTATGGGGTAACTCGGGCTTCGGCACGTTCGGATTGATGTTGAAGACTGTCGACAGACAGCTTCCGTATGTTTCGTCCAGTCTCATCGAAGTATTCCGGTTGGCTGGCTCACTCGGATCCAGAGCCGACAGATCGATGTTCACTCCCAGCACCGACAACGCGGTTTCCTTCATCGAGCTGAGATACGAGTTGCCCGCCGATATCCCAACGTAGTGTGTACTCGGTTTCCCTGGACGGAAATTTGTTGCCCTCGGACCGGGAGCTGCTCGTTCGGTGACTCCAATGATACCGCCGTTCATGGGTTGATACTCGGTGGGCCGGTCAGAAAACGAAGTTGGCACTCGAGGGGCGGGCTTATTTCCGTTGACCGCCCAGTCCTGACCGTCGAAGGGTGCGTATCCGTTGCCGGGAGCGCGAGCACTAGCCTGTGCTGCGATGAGGGCGGTTTCGAGTTCCTTGTTGCGGTTCTCTAGCTCGATGCATTTGGATTCAAGGTTCTCCAGATAGCCTCGCTACAACAGATTGATCAGCAAATACGCCACAACACCAACGAGAATGCAGGTCGAGCAGTGTGCTAACCGGTATGGCTTTCTGAGATATCCTATCGGTAGTTTTGCACTCTGTGCGGTTCTGGATACAGGGAGAGCAGCCACCGGGCAGACCGTCGCATCTTATCTTACGGACCTAAACCGCAGTTAGAACAACACTCCAACAATCCAACAGCACCAACTGTGGGTTTTTTTCTTTTCTCACAGATCCATACCTTGCACCGATCGCATGCCTGTCCCGTTCTTGTTGAAGTCGACAAGCGTTTCCTGACCGCACGCGTAAACTCATCACCGCCGATGAATCCGGAGCCATCGCCGTTCAGGCCATCGGAGGCACTCGCACTGCGCTTTGGCGGCATGGTCTCGATCTCTACCGGCACCCTCCCCAGTATTTTCTCGCGGAGCGTTACTGCTGCAGCAACACGCAGTTAATCGTCCGAAATGTGACGAGATGCGACGACCCGACTCGTGGGGGAGACGCGCAACGGCAAATGCCGGTTTAAAGCTTCTGCTTTGCACTACAGTGTCAACACGGTCTGTTCCACACACGCTCCTGCAACAACTCTGGATTGCGCTCACGATTGAAAGGATATACCCGTACGTCCGGACGAGGGGAAGATGCCGAGGGAACGACGCGTCGGGAGCGGTTGCGGATCTGCAGCGAGGGGGTTGCGCGACGAGACGCGGAGACGAGACGAGACGGGACGAGTCGCACGGGAACTACCGCGATGGCGCAGGAGTTTTCGTCGGCGCGGTTTCTGGGATTCGGTGTGTGAGCATAGAGATGGCGGACTGACTGGCAAGGAGGAGAATCGCGCGGACGCAGCGGGCAGCGAGCAGGATGAGGGTGAGGAGAAGATGAGGAGGAAGATGTTCCAACGCAACGCTGTGAGCGGCGGTAGGACGGAAAAGGCTTGGGATGCAAGCGGGAACGGAGATGGGATGGAATGCGATACTCGCACGAACGTAGGCTCTGGCTTGCAGGAAGGGGAATAGATTTACTTACTCTTGTGGCCTGCTCGTGTTTTTTTTTATTCCAGAGCAATGGAGACGAGGTTGAAGGAGCGGGAGTTGCCGGTTGAAGTACTTATGCGGGCGTTGTAAAGTGAGTGCGCTGGGGGGGGTGTATGGTGCGCGGTAGGGTAGGTAGGGGGGGGGGGGATGGCTGTACCGTCGCAGTGCTCAGGGGGCAAAGCGTTAAAGTGGAAGCCGAGTTACTTTGGAGGAAATCGACAGGCACTATGTATGCCTATGCCATAAAGTAGTGGGCCACGGCTATAATAGCATTATGGCAGGACGAGTTCGCTGCAGTGGTCTTCTCGTTCATTTTGCCAATGGAGGAAGTCGGTGAGAATGTAGCCCACGCGCGGTGATTCATGAAGAGTGACAAGCAAGAATATCCATCGATACGTTGCACCTGATCGCAATGCGGCAAATACGTGCATGCAGCCTCAGCCTCGACCGAGTCACCACAACCTAGGTTCGGTACACGTCTGCGAAGCACTTGGATGCGTGCGGAGAAAGATACTTTCGAAGAGACCGGACAGGACGAAAATGCGTCCGCCTCGGACAGCGAGAACTTGTACAATAAGCCCTGGTACAACGATAGATGGGTTCAGCCGTGAAGAAAAGGGGCGGGGGACAGCGAGAGGCAAGAGGCGAGGCAAGGCTGTCGCGTGTGCGACTTCAATACGCAACCGGGCGGCAAGTGCCACCTCATGCGTGAGGAATGTTTTGACCTCTGTTTTGTTTTTTCCTGCTCTGTCCCAGGCCGCGGCACATCCAAGGGCGCACCGATCCACCTCTAGTTATTTCTCCGCGGCGATGGAGAGAAGTCGAATTCAATTCACGCTTCAACTCGGAGAAGTGGGTGCATATGGTACATACCCCTCATCGTCGCCAACGCAGCCCCATCCGGAGGCGTTGCACGACAGGACGGTCCGGTTGATTCGACGACCGATATGTATCATCACGTCAGATTCCAGAATTCCGGCTTGTGGAGAGGACAGGAGAGGAGGGCCACCGAGCGAGCGGGAGAGAGCGGGCCAACCAGCCGAGTTCTCGCCAGACATTCCTGACTCAGGTGGACGGCAGACAGCTCTTGGAGAAGATTATCGGTAGCTGCGGTTATTGGCTGGACGGGGAGCTGATATAGCGAGTGCAGAACGACTCTTCGCAAACGACACTGCTGTCGGTCTCGAAGCCACCAATCCGCCCAGAATCTGCATACTAGGGTACACACTTCTTCCGAACCTACCGATCTATATCCAATACGCTCCGTCCTCTCGGTGCCGTGCCGTGCCAGGAACATAGGTATCTAGATCTAGATAAGATCAAGATGAAACGCTCACAACTTTAAATATGCTTACTTGGATCCGAGTGTATACTCTACATACTTCCATCTCACTCCCAAGTATGATATGCATACGCCATATGCTTACATGTCAGCATCCGACCATCGACTAGAGTACTCGTATTCTGCGAACCGTCGGAGGTCGTATTCTTACGAAGCTTCACGACATCTTCCAAGTTCGCCCAACGTCAGCAGTCCGTCCAACCTCTCTCGGATATACGGAGCTGTCGGACCATAAGGACAGGATAATAATAGGCCTCATCTATGCCGACTCTTACCGTTAATCCCGACGGTGTGCGACGACAATCACCGCGTCTCACTCGCAGCCATTGCTTTTCCGCTCCGTCTTCGGACTTTGTAGGTAGATATTCTGCTCTCGGGTAGGTTTTGGATGCAACACATCAGCTGTAAGACGGTGATCGTAGAGTAGAACATGTATCGTCCTCGTCCTCGCTGTCGGGCTTGGTCTCGGACGCGGGGAGCGCTGGACTCCGGCTCGACAACAGTACCTACCACTTATTATGCAGCGGCATACATTGATCGGAGGCACTTGGTACATAGCTCATAGTTACCAACTTAGGTACTATGCAACCTCAGGCTCCAGACACTTTCCTCCTGTTCCAACATATATGTATTCAGCGATCTTTCGACCGAGCTTTCATCAGGGTCAATGCAAGCGTAACTCGCCGCTCGACGTTACACGACATGACACCAATATCACCTGGTGTCTAAAGTCTTATCGTCGTCGAAAGTGGGGTGGGGGGGTTTGCATGTGCCGCCGACGAACATCTCTGCGGCCGAGAGAGGGATCCCATAACCGTGAGAGCAAACTCACCTACCTGCCGAATCAGAAAACTAACCTCCGATGGGTGATACGCCGTGAAGACGAAGCACTTTTCTGCGATATCACGAGATACTAGTAACTATCGTCCACGCATCAGCCTGTTTCGATATAGACTGCGGTGGAATCGACAGTAATTAAGAAGGCCGTATGCCCATATAAAGTACCTACGTGCCCCTGAGCCATCTCTCTATCAATCGATTGGCCGGAAATCGCCGCCGCGATGTACCAACTGTACAGAGTGAAAATGCAACGTCGAATCCAGAGTCCATTGGATTCGAATGTGCCAGAGTAAACCCAGTGAATAAGCCGGAAACCCCTCCCATTCCACTGTTGATCCGATATAGAGTATTCGCCCGAGCCTTCTCTCTCCACTACCCCACGGCGGCAGTCCGCCCGTGACTGTACCATGAGGGCTCACTCGCTGCTTATCTAACTCCCCAGCAGTTGGTTGGTAGTTAGACTTTTAGCTCCCCCAGCGCTTTGGCGCGGCCAGCGTTGCCGGAACACGTCGCAATTGAATGACGTATGCTATATAGCTCCGCAGCTGTAACTATTCTCGCGATGCCCCACGAACTTCACACACGCACTGACACCATCACATCGCGATGAAGCCCTCCCGCCGCCCGCGCAAGCGTGTCGCGGAACGTCAGCCACTTCTTTCGACCGTCCCTCTCTCCGCCGCACCCACGCGCTATCCCAGCACGCGCTCCCGCACCCTTCGCCGCGGCGTTACCGTGTTGCTCAGCATTGGGCTCTCGTACCTATTTCTAAGCCTGCTCTTCCCATCGCTCCCGCCATTCGGCGTTCACTCCACTGCCTTCATCAAGAGCCAGCAGAATGCGCGCGCGCACTCAAGCCGCATGCCGCTTGCGATGCTGGAGGAGCTGATGCTGCTGACGCCGCGGGAGGAGATGGCGCGGAAGCATTCGCAGTACTACACTAGCGGGCCGCATCTGGGCGGCAAGAATTACTCCCAGGCACTGTGGACCCAGGCGAGGTGGATCGAGTATGGGATTCCCGAAGTCGAGATTGTTACTTATGAGATTTATGCGAATTATCCGAGGGGGCATAGGTTGGGGTTGTTGAGGGAGGTGGAAGATGGCAAGGAGGTGCAAAAGAGAGAGATCATTGATGGCACACATTACGAATTGATGTATGAGGCCGGGCTGGAGGAGGAGGTGCTGGAGGATGATCCGACTACGGGTCTGGAGGATAGGATTCCGACGTTTCACGGTTACAGGTGCGTCTGAGTCTTTATTACGTACCAGTCCCTCTCCAGTGCTGATGGGTTGTAAACAGTGCGAACGGAAACGTTACAGCGGAGTACATATTCGCCAACTACGGGGTGAGTAAAATCGAGTTCCATCACATCTTATGGCCATTGACTGACAATTGACAGACCTACCAAGACTTCGAAGACCTGCTCACGCACGGCGTGAACCTGACCGGAAAAGTAATCCTCTGCAAATACGGCCACATCTTCCGGGGTCTCAAAGTGAAGCGTGCGCAAGACCTCGGAGCCGTCGGAGTACTCATCTACTCCGACCCGGGCGATGACGGTACGGGGCAAAAACAATCACAACCATGGGCTCGCCAGATCACTGACTCTAGTGTAGGCAACATCACCGAACTGAACGGGTACGAAGTGTACCCCGACGGCCCCGCGCGGAACCCGCATTCAGTGCAACGGGGCAGCGTCCAATTCCTCTCCTTCGGGCCAGGGGACCCAACGACGCCCGGTTACGCCAGCAAGCCGGGCGTAGTCCGACAAGACCCCAGCCCTTTTATCCCGTCGATCCCGTCACTCCCCATCTCCTACGTCGACGCACTGCCGCTGCTCTCGGCACTCAACAGCCACGGGCCCAACTCGAGTGATCTGGGCGCGCACTGGCGCACCGGCGGCCTGTACCACAAGAACGTTACGTACAACATCGGTCCTGCCCCAGGCGTGGTACTCAACCTCGTCAACGAGGTCGACTACGAGATCACGCCCATGTGGGACGTCATCGGCCGGATCCCCGGGCACATAAGCGACGAGACCGTGATCCTCGGGAACCACCGAGATGGTACGTCGTCCTCCTTCTCCGCTAAAATCTACTTTTACTGATATATCACAGCCTGGATCGCCGGCGGCGCCGGCGACCCCTCAAGCGGCAGCGCCGCCCTTTTAGAGATCGCGCGCAGCTTCGGGAAGATGTTCCATGCCGGCTGGAAGCCCACGCGCTCCATCCTCCTCGCATCATGGGACGGGGAGGAGTACGGTTTGCTGGGCAGCACCGAATGGGTCGAGGAGCACCGGGCCACACTTCACACGCACGCACTCGCGTACATCAACGTTGACGTTGGCGCGCGCGGCAGCGCGTTCTTCGCCGCCGCCAACCCGCTGCTGCATTCGCTTTTGCGCAGCGCGACCGCGCGGGTCGCGGATCCCGACGCGGCGGCGGAGGGGCGGTTTAACATCAGCGTGAGGGACCGGTGGAGTGGTCGCATCGCCCCGCTGGGCTCAGGGAGTGATTACACTGCGTTCCAGGACCACGTCGGCATTCCGTCCGTGGACATGGGGTTCCGTGAAGCCAAAGGGGGGCCGGTGTACCACTACCATAGCAACTACGATAGCTTCCGCTGGATGGAACGCTACGGTGACCCCGGGTTTGCGTATCATGTCGCTATTGCAAAGATCTGGGGCCTCGTGGCTCTGCGATTGGCAGAGGAGCAGATCGTACAGTTCAACGCGACGGATTACGCCCTCGCCCTACAGGGCTACTTGGACGCCATTATCGCGGAGGTCAACTCCACTTCCACCCCGCCCCCCGCCTCCCCCACCCCCCCAACGGCACACCACCCAACCCGCGCCACCCTCCTGCACACCCTGCACCACCTCTCCTCGACCCTCCACCACTTCACCCATACAGCAGCGCGCTTCGACGCCCGTGCCGCCCACCTATCCCACGAACTCTCGCAGCCCCCAAGTACAATCCCGTGGTGGCGCCGCTACCTTCTCTACATCCGCGCGCGCGCAGTAAACACGCGGTACAAATACCTCGACCGGGCGTTTATCCACCCGCCCGGGCTCGAGGGCCGCCCGTGGTTTCGACATGTAGTATATGCGCCCGGGAAGTGGACGGGGTACGCGGGGGATACGTTTCCGGGGCTCAGGGAGGCGGTGAAGGAAGGGGATTGGCAAGCGGCGGTTAGGTGGGCGTGGGTTATTAGGGCGGCGGTGGAGGGGGCGGGGTGTGAGTTGGCTTGAGATCTTCATTTTTTTGTTTTAGGGGGAGGGAGTAAAGGGAGTTGTAGTACCGAGGAGGGGAGAGGGAGGGGGTGATACCTTATGCAGCAGAGAGTGCGAAATTTCATGAATGATGTTGACGACGATGATGTACACGAACAGTCGCAGTCACAGTAGCGAGATCAAGAGCAGAAGCAGGAGCAATTTACCAACACCTTGATCTCCGAGAGTGTCCGCCCTTATATACTGCGTTTATGTACTTGTTATGATGCATACCAAAGACCCAAAACCTGCACTCCCCAAACCCGCACTCCCCCAATCCTCCAACTGACGCACCGAGCTCCCCATTCCCCTATTCCCCGTAAGCCTTCCATCATCCCTATGCACCTATGCCTCTCCCTCCTTCCCTCCCTCCCTAGTCCAAATGGTAGAAGAAAAAAAACACAATATGAACAGAGCAAGTGATGAAAGCAACATCGAAAACAATAGCAGCAATATCAATAGAAACAGCAATAGAAACAGCAACAGCAACAGCAATAGAAATAGCAGTAGCAACAACAACAGCAATAACAATAGCAGCAACAGCAGCAACAGCAACAGCAGCAACAGCAGCAATAACGCGCCCTACGCCCACTACTCCAGCAGACAGACAACGATCAGAAATTCCATGGCAGACAAGAAGGAAGAAACATCAAGCAAGAAGGAAAGGAAATGAAAGGAAAGAAAGGGAACAAAAAGCAAGCCAGCAGCACAAGCGAGGAAAGAAAGAAAGGTTCGTAACGCATCGCAAGAAAAAGAAAAAGAAAACAAGAAACAAGAAAGAAAGCCAAGATGGCTAGATATGCCCACTGCCCATCGTTCAATCATGCAATCATGACTCGACGGGAAACACCCTCGGGTCCTGCACCAAGACACCTCCCTCACCCTTCTGCACGACGCCCTCCTTGACCGCCCAGTCGACAAAGTCCTTATCGACGGTCCACTCGTCTCCCTTGGCGCCGTTCGTGTAGTGCTCGCCGACGTGGTCGACACACGCCTCCCATCCTCCCGCGCCCTCAAACACCCGTCCGCAGAAGCCGCAGGTGCTCTTCTCCGGCGGCTTACGGCGCTCCTTCTTACAGCGTTCTTGGATCTCGTTAGAGTTCGTGGGCGTATGCATGCGCTTGAGGTGCTGGCCAAACAGGTCTTTACGGTTGAAGAAGGCCTTGCGGTTGGCGCACGAAGGGTAGTCGCAGCGCCAGTACCATAGCTGGAGGTGGATGTGGTTGATGTGGCGCTTCCATTCGTTTTTGCTGCTGAAAGTTTGTGTGCACGATGCGAAGGTGAATAGACAGGTGAAGGGGCGGTCTAGTGCGTGCTGAGCGGCAGTGGCGGCAGTGAGGGCAACGAGGGGATTGCTGGCAGGAGAGGACGACGGAGGAAGTATTTCCCGACTATGACAAAAAAAAAAGGGGTTAGAACAAATTAAAGATGAATGCAGAAACAGACAACGTACCGAAGTTGAATCTTTTGCTTCCGTCCGCCATTGCGAGGTGTTATTTTTGGCTTCTTGAAATCCTCCCTATCTTCCGTAGCCCTTTTCTTACCGTCCGATGTTGGCGAGATGCCAGATACATCGTCGTCGCCCGAGTCGTGGTGCGGCCGCTTGGTGCTTCTGTTCCGCGCAATGGCTATGGGAACATTTCCGCTACGAAGCGGAGGGGCGGAAGTCAGGGTAGTAGGCGATGGCGAGATCGCCACAGCCGGCGGATGATCCGCGCCCATTCCGAGCAGCGGCTTCTTCGCAATCTGCATCGGAGCTGGCGGCAGTGGAGCAGCAGCAGCAGCCAGAGGCTGCTCCCTCTTCACAACTCCCATATGCTCTGTTGCGGTAGCCTGTGTTGCAGCTATCGCTGACGCATTGACGGCCCTCTGTCGCTTCTCCGTTTCCTCCTGCATGAGAGCACCCTTGACGTCGCCCAGTCCGTAGCCGCCCCTCCTCTCCAACACGCTCACGATACTCTGGTACTCCTCCGCAACGTCCATCAGGATGCAGTCGGCCAGCTCGCTCTCGTCGACCAGCGTGCCCAGATCCAGCAGCTTCTCGGATATGACCACCTTGCGATTGATAAAGTCGCGCATGCTCTCGCACGGGTCCATGGGCGATTTGTACAGTTGGCGTCGCAGCGACAGACGCGTTGGCTTCTGCGCGTGCGACGCATCGTAGAGTCTCTCGAAGACCTCCCACGCCGTCTTTCCGTCGTCCTGACAATGCGCGATGTGCCGCTGCTGCGGCGGGGTAAGTCCGAGCACAATGGTGTCGAACGCGGTCTCGTTACGCTCGTCGTATGCGTCGTCGTCCAGCACCGTAATCTTTTTCGATGTCACGCTGCTGGAGTTGGCGGCCGAGATCGAGTTGTCTGTGGCGGCGGCGACAACCACGCTGGCGTCAGTGGCGGCGGCGGCGGTGGTGGCGGCGGAAGAGGATGTCGACGACGGCAACGACGATAGTGACGACGACGACGACGCCGAAGAGGGAACCGAAGACTTCTTGATCTCACGTCCCGACACGATTTTCCAAACACCGTCGCGGTTCAGACACGATTTCATCTCGACCTTCCATGTTGCGTAGTTTTCGGCACCCCGGAGCTTGTCGACGTTGTGCACCGGCGAGTGGTTATTGTCAACCATTGCTTGAACGGGGTCGTCAGACGAGACGACGCACCCAGTCGACAGGCAGGGAAGGATGAATTGCGTGGGTCTTGCTTTGCTTTTTTGGTGCAGAGCCCTACTGGTTTCGAAGTTCGACTCGAAGGGTGGCTGGGGGAAGAAAACTCAATCGCTCAATTGCGCTCTTCTCTCCCTCGGCGCATTCGGGTTGACTTGAGTGCGGGTAGGGGGAAGGTGGGTGGGTGGGAGGGAGGGGGGATAATGCTCTATCAGCGGGAAGGCGGGTTGGCGGCTGAGTGGGATGGCGGTGGAGGTGGAGGTGGAGGTGGTGGAGGTGGAGGTGGTGGTGGGTGGTTGTGGTTGTGGTGGAGGTGGAGGGTATGAGGGCGACGAAAACAACAAGAGGGCGACGATCGGTGGTGGTCTAGACGACGGTCGGTGTGGGTCGGTCGGTGAGGCCCGAGTTCTAGCTGGCGGGGATGGGGCTGTTTCGTAGGCGGGCGGCCACAACAACAACCAGCAACGTTGACAGCAAGAAAGTGCAGCAAGTGTGCGGTGGTATTGGGAGAGGAGATGTGTTTCGATAAGAAGAAGTAGAAGAGAAAAGAATAAGACGACGGCTCGAGGAAGCAAGGGAAGGCAAGAAAGCAAGGCCGAGGAGAAGAGAAGAAAGAAGAAGAATAAGAATAAGGATCAGAAGAAGAGGAAGAAGAAGAAGGCCAGAGGAAAGGCAGATAGAAAACAGCCGGCAGTTAAGTTAAGTTATGGTGAACTAGATATGAAGGCCGGCTGGCAGGGAAGGGCAGGCAGGCAGGCAAGAAAGCAAGAAAGCAGGCGGGCAGGGCCAGGAAGGCCAGGCGAAGAGAGAGTATAGTAATAGTAGAGGGGGGAGGGAAGGAGGGAGGGAAGAAGAGGGCTGACGACGGTAGGTGGAGAATTAGATTGATAGTGGGCGAGGGTTTGGCTGGCTGGCTGGCTGGCTGGCTGGCTGGCTTGATGGGTGGCCGGTCGTAAGGTGTTACTAGTCGATGCTGGCTGGCTGGCTGGCTGGATCCGGGTGTGCTCTATCTCTGGCTGCTTGCTTGCACTCTCTTTCTCTCCGCCTGTGGTGCTTGCTGCTGCTCTGCTCTGCTGGCGAAGGAGAGAGCGGCAATCAATGGCGGGGTTTTCGGGAACTAAGAGAAGCGAAGAAAACAAGCGATGTGATATGTAGATAGAGTCCTCGTGTCGTCTTCGTGATCTCTTCGTTGGGTGGTGGTGATTGATGACGGTAGATAATAATTTAATCAAAAGGGAAGCAATTCGATCACGACGTCTAGGTTTCCACGAGTGTGTGCGAGGCCACTGCAAAAGAAGAAGAAAAGAAGAAAAGAAGAAAAGAAGAAAAGAAGAAAAGAAGAAAAGAAGAAAAATCACACACAGCTGCTGTCCCTGGATGCGACCGAGTCCCAGTCAGTCCCTCTCGAAGCTCCGCTGAGAGAAAGGCCCCCACAGCCAGACGGACGTACGAACGGACAGGGTGGGGCGGGCAGGGCAGGGCGGGCGGGGCGGGCAGGGCGGGAGGGAGGGCGGGAGGGATGGGGGGAGGGTGCAAGATACAGCGGGAGAAAACAACTGCTCGAGGAAGATTCAATGCGAGGGTGGCAACACAAGGCGGGGAGGGGGCAGAGGAAACAGCAGCAAGCAAGCACAGGCAAGGCAAGGGCCGACGTCCTATATAGTTTGAGAGGGATCCATAACAACCGAATCGGGCTTCACACAACACCACCGCAAGAAAGAGAAGAAAAAATGCAGAGAGACGACGCAGTGTACTTGGGTGCTTTGTTTTCTGTTTGTCTGTTTTTCACCATTGATTGCATGCGACTGCACTGGGTGCTCGAATGCGTGCAGACTACACTTACTTGGTTACGGCTGGCTACCAAGAGACTCGAGAGATCGAGCGAGTGGGCGTGCGTGCGTGGTAGGTAGGAAGTGTACCGGTATGTACTTACCAAGCTACGGTGCTTGGGTAGGAGGTATGCCGAGTACTCAGGTCGGCGGGTGCTCAAGTACTCTGCGCACTTGGATAGGTGGCGGTGGTACGTCTCTCCCCGTCCCCCGTCGTTGTCGTCGTCGTCGTTCTCGTCCCCGTCCCCCCTCTATTGCGCCCCGTATGTAGGCTGTCTGTCTCTCGGAGGGCAGGCGCTGGTATATGGTTCGAGCGAGCGAAAGGCTACTGCAACCACTGCAACCAATCCCACGCCTCGGGCTACATAAGCTACATGAGCTAAGCTAAGCTGCACGACGAGTGGTGGGTGCAGAGGACCTCTAGTGCAGTCGTGCAGTCTGCGGCCCCATCCGCATCCAATGCGCTTGGTACTAGGTGGTTACGGTGAATTGGCCTGCAGAATCTGTACGAGTATGTGCGGTATGTAGTTCATACTTGCCATACACCGGGAACGGGTGGGTCGGGGTCGAGGTCGAGGTGCGTGGGCGGGCGGGCGGGCGAGGTTTGGGGCGAGGTTTGAACTTTGGGGAGGGAGAGAAGGTAGAATCGGTACTTCAGCCTGGAGAATCCTGTGGGTGCTTACGCACGTACGTATGCAACTGTCACTGGAACCGAGAAGGAAAGAAGTCGATATGGCGCTGCGATGCGTTGCGTTGCTTCCTCCCCTCCTTCCGCTGCGAAGGAACTATCATACCGGACGGTACATACATACACGGTGGTTAGTTATACCGTACCGTCCCCCACGATACGCTCCCCTACTACCCAAGTACTCCCCTGCCCAGTACCTCTGCCAGTACCTCTGCCAACCCTACTCGTAGAAACAACCCGGGAAAGGCGAATCGAATACATACTCTATCGTTCGTTCGTTGCCGGCCAATGGCCCAATGGTACTCTACTAGTATGTAGCAAAGTTACTTGGTCAAGGCTGCGCGACCAATCGCCGTCGCTCGGCAAGGCACTCGCTCACTGCCTGCAGCTCGCTCGCAGCTCGCTCGCCCGCGAGAGGCGAGGGCGGCTCGGAGCCTTTTGCTTGCGTGCCTGATTGCGTGCTCCAGGCTCCAGTAAACCGTGTCTCGAAGGATCGTGTCTCGACTGATCGGAACGCATTGACGATATACCTGGTACGTAGTAGCAGTAGTACGGTAGGTATCGTCGTGAGCTGGGTCGGCCTTTGTTTGTATCATACAAGGTCCGAATCTAGGGTCTCTGTTTGGGCCAATTCTTCTCCTCCGCTCACGGCCCGGCAGCCAGACAGTTTGGACAGAATGGACAGCCCGTCGAAGACGACCGTCGACTGCCGTACCGTATTTGCACGCATCTACTTATCTTCAGTTGTGTCCCGGTGCTTCACGATGCCCCTCCTCTACATATGTAGAGTACGGTGTGTACGGTATCGATTGCCGTGGCCGCGTTGCGTTGATTGGCGATTTTGGCGATTCGTCGCTTACCTGCCGTACTTATGTCGACCCATTCAACCCGACCCATCGGACCAATTATCGACTCCATGAGTCCATCATCCACGCCACGCCACGCCACGCCACGCCGGGAACGCCACGCCGCCACCTCGAAACACCGTGCCGCGCCGATGCAAAACAAGGCAAAACAAGGCAAAACAAGGCTCCCCGCCTTACCGTACCTTATCCCGCTACCGGTACCGGTACCGGCACCAGTGCGCCGGAATCACTACGAGGCTTCACTATCGATTACTTATCTACAAACCGGTACTTACCATATGGACGCATGTGCTAGAGTTGTAAGCCTTATGCGTTTACGTCCAAAGTTCAGTAGATATCGCTCGATGCGGCGGTCACTTGGGAGCCGAGTGAGTGTATGTACTTGCCCAAGTACTCGAATGGTTCTTCAGGGCCCATCGCAATCGGATCGGATCGGGGCGTTTTGTATAGTGCTATGTACTCTACAATACACAGATCCACTCCTGAATCAACCTCAATGAATCAATGGGAACTCCTCACGGGTCACGGCGAAAAACCCACATCCAACCAAAGGGCGTTCCAATAGGTAATCGACTTAATCCACAGGCACAAGCTTTCCCTCCCCACAGCCTTCCATTCCAACAGCCTTCCTTCCCTCCCCACAGCCGCAGCCGCAGCCTCGGAGGTTCGGAGGATCGAAGGCTCGGATGATCCTGGCTGGCTGGCCGCTCTGGTTTCGATGATGCTGCCGTATGTATCTGGATTCTGAGTACCTACTGTTACCAAGAATTTCTACAGTACTCGGCCACCCCGTTTCAGGCTACCTAGATTTGTGTGGGTCCGCGCAGCAGCGTTTCACCTTGCGTCTATCACTGCGTCTATCACTACAGTACAGTATTTTCGTGGGTATAGTACCAGTACATACTGCTGGTGGAGTAGGTCCACGGAAGAATATGATACCTATACATACCTACCTAGTGCCTGTCGGCTTCCAGAACATGCGGGATGGCGTCACCTTATCGGCACGGCCGGTCTTGAACACCTTCACCAGGAAATATTTTGTATGGATAGAGAGTTGACCGTCAACGGTAACCAGTCATGCCTCTGGTAGAAAGCCTGGGAAGGAGCCTGGAAAGAAGCCTGTCATGTTGTTGTTTGCCGGAGAAGGATAGTTCAACTTCCATCTCACCGTTGTTCGATATCCCCAGCACACAGCCGCGTAGGAAGAACACAAAGCGATCCTCATTTCCCAGCAGCGACAAACTACAATACAAGTCTAGAATAGCAACATACTAAAATACTAACCACAGCCCCGCATCCCACGCCCCACGCTCTCAAGCCTCAGGCGGGGAGGGATAACCCAGGTATCAATCGCGCACAAGCTCCAAGTCTACAACAACAAACCACTACAGCCCAACCCCATATGTACCTACGTCTCAACCTCTCACATTCCGCCCCTCAATAGCGCCATACCCCGCCCCCGCCACCGCCACCGCCACCGCATCGACAACGAGCACATCTTCTTCACCGACTACCACCGGTACGACCCGCTCGTCGTCCCTCGAGTGATCCCCCATCCCCCCCTTATCCGAAATCAGCAGCATCTGGAACGCCGAGATGAAGCCGATCGCCGAGAGCACTAGCCACGGAAATATCAGGTACCCCGATTTCTGGCCCTGGCTGAAGAGGATTCCGCCGATCTGTGGGATACGTTAGTATAATTGGTGGGATAGGATGGGATAGGATGAGATGGGAGAAAGCAATGGAGGAATTGGGGAATAGGAGGAAATGGGGGAATTGGGAGGAGTTGGGACGAACCGCTGGACCGACTGCGCGCCCGAGGGCGCCGACCGCTACAGCTACGCCGTTGAGTGTACTAGATTCGTTAGCATCGGCACGACGAACGGGTTGAATAGGGGTTGGGGGGGTTTCATGTCCCATACCCGAGTACGCGCAAGGAGGGAGAGCTATTCGTGAGGAGTATGGTGGAGCACGGAAATGCGAAGGTGACCGAGATAGATTTAAGGAACATGAGGGCGAATAACGCAGGCAGCTTCATGGACTGCGGCAGAATAAGGACGAAGGGCAGGGCGCCGTAGACAACCGGCAGTATGAATGCCACGATTCGCAGACAAATACGGCTGCCGAGTAGGTTTGCTACGGGAGGGAAGATGAAAAACTGCAGCAACATGTCAGTATGGTACCTAGTTGGATGAGTAACCGAACCGCCGACTTACCTGCATAAGCATGCCGATTATACCGTAGGCACTAAATATCTTGCCGAGTTCCGCAGGCGCGAGGCCGAAGCCTCCAGCGAACTTGAACGGAAGCTGCCATTTCGACGAATCCTGCGGAGGATAGGACATGAAGACCGGAAGCAACTGATCGTAAGTGATCGAATGAAGCGCAAGAAACGAATAATAGATAATGTTCATCGTCGACTGGAATGTGAACGCCGCACTCATGGGCAACCGAGGCAGTTTCACGACTGGCGGCAGCGCCTCCTCATCATCCGTCCCGGAATCGGACAGCAGTGAGGTATTTTCATCGGTAATGTCCTTTCGGGATTGACGCCTACCACTGACGCACGCGGCCAGCTTCTTGCCGGCTTCGCGGCCCGGATCCCTTTGGTCCTTCAGGTCCTCCAGTGTTTCCTACAAGAACACGGTCAGCACGTGCAAGCGGTATGGGCGGTCTCCGATGATTGTGCCTACGTCGAGGAAGAGGATGCCGATGGGCACCGAGAACAAAAAGACACAGGCACAGACTATATTCGGCAAAGCGAAGGGAAATCGTTCGAAGAAGGCAGGTCTAGACCCATTGAACCATTCCGGGTGATTCTTCAGTGGGTCTGCCAAAAAGCCTCCAATGACTGGGCCCATAATCGAGCTTCAATCGAGAAGGTCAGTTGAGTGAGCATGAGAGCCTGATTCCTGGGGATATACATACGCCACGTTCCACTAATAAGGATGTCAGCAAAAGTGCCAAGAGAGCTGAGGCTCATTCAGCGGGAACTCACGACTAGCGGCATTATTGAAAATGCTCGCGGTTGAAGCTGTACAGCAAGGTCAGTTAGGATGTAGTCCGTGAAAGTGGGAGACACCGGTTTCCTTGCCGTCTTTTGCGGTACCATCTCGGCCACCATGGTACGCAGGATCCCAACATTCCCGTTCACCAGGCCGGCCAAGGCTCGTGCGAACATTGCGACTGCGAGACTCGTTGAAAATCCCTAGCCTTACCGTCAGCTTATCCGCCGCTTCTCCCCTCTGCCCCCCCCTCACCCCCTCGCTGTAGCGGAGGTGGCAGGGATCGGTGTGGATGTCCGTACGAATAATAGTAATGAAACGAGAGTTCCAGTCAGGCCGATGAGGATGACCGGTTTCCTTCCGATCCTATCGGAAAGCCGGCCCCACATGACGCCGGTGAAGAACTGGCAGAACGAGAAGCACGCAGCAGTGATACCGGCATAGTAGCCGACGTCTTCGGGGGGCACGCCGAACGATTTGACCATGTAGTACTGTATCTCAAGCGTGAGCTGAGTAGAACCCACGAAGCGTAGGTGGCGCACGTACCAGATATGGGAATATCGACGTTAAGGCGATGGGCTCTGCGAAACGACATAACGCTGCGGACAAGCACGTGAATGTTAGCAGAGGTTGCTCAAAAAGAAAGCAACCACGCGGGTATTACAGCGTCGTACATAGGATGAAGAGTTGCTTGATGATGTACGGAGAAAACTTTGCCGGGCTCGAGCCCGTCGTCTTGCTGCTGTTGTCCATGGTGTCGGTAGGACGTCTGGAGGGGTTGGAAGCTGATCGCAAGAGACGTGCTGGCATGGCGGCAGCAGGATCCCACACTGTTTTATGGTTGCGGATCAGATACCGCTGTGATGAAAGTCCGGGGGACAAACAAAGTAAAGTGTAGTCACGACTGGCCGGGATGGCTGGTTCGCGTGCGCCGCTTGCTGATCAATGCGCTCCAGAGTCCAGCGAGGCCGAAGAGTGTTCAGCCGTCTGCCCCTGCAGAAGTCGGATGCGGTTGCTGGTTGGAGCTGGGGAAGTTGAAGAAGGGCTCAGGACGGCTAGAGTAGGCAGAGTACTCTTTACCGGTAGGTAGAAGCAAAGTGCCCAGATGGAGCGTGCCGAGTGAACCGAATCGTGGCGGGGACAAACTCCAGATGCAAATAGAGTCAGTACGTAGAAAGGTACTTGGTCATATTCTGCACAGCGTCTCATGGACGGGATCGAATACGGGCGGCCCCGAAGCCTTGCGCCTTCGCGTGGTATCGACATGCACATCAGCGCGTGACAGAGTGTAACCGAACAAGGGCGAAGTATTATCGCCAACTGCATGTGTATATCTTTCTATGTATATAGCAATAAGTTCCGGCATATCGTGTGGCACAGGATACGCTTCGTGATAAAATCATAGATACCCGCCGCACCATCATAGACTGCCGGTGGTGGTGGTGGTGGTGGGCGGAGATGGATGTCTGTACGAGGACACCCACCCTCCAAGCATGCGTGGTGAGCCGAGAAAGGAAATCCTGCTGAGGCCCCCCCACCAATGGCGAAATCTGTCCGAGACCTCGGTTTGCCTCCTTCCCCGCAATAGGTACGAAGGGAGGGAAGCGACTTCACCAAGGTATTCTGCTGACACAGACACAGTTAGGATAAACCAGACCGTCAGGCAAGCCCGACAAACGACCACACTTCCCGCCATAGGTACGTTCTCTTGACCCAAGAGCTCCAACTCCCCAGCACCAAAGGCTAACCCGCCGCTACCGGGTCCCTGAGCTTCCCACGAACGCCGCTTGTTTTAGAATCCATAACGACAACGTGCCACGGCAGGCTGGTCGACAGTCCGGACTGGACATGTCTGCAAATCGGAGGAAAGACTTCGGCTTATTCGCCGAGCGAGCGAGCGAATCGTAGCAGGCCAGCAACCGAGCACAATACGCTATTCGCGGCCAAATCGAAATCGACTGGCAGGCTGAGCTCGGCGGAGGGGTGTGTTGTTTCGTTGTGAGGCAAGAGCCACCGAGGCCAGACGCTCGAACGTGGACATCCGGAGTAGCGTGTGTACAATACAACGGCCTGAGCTCGATCAACGTTTTGTCTCGTTGCGAAGCACAGAGACGGGATCGAGTTCCAAGCCCCGACGATAATCACTCGCAATCGCGCCTGTTACATAGGATCGTGGATTCGTCGACATTTCGACAGGGCAAAAGTGCAAGTTTGGAATCCGCATTTCCAAGCATGTGTATGTAGCTCTAGCGCCAGGTTCTCGATAAACGAGACTTCTCCCCGGCTAAATGCATGACCGTGCACGTCTTGTCCTAGCCTCGTCGAGTTACCCTCCTGCCATGGAGCACACACATCTTCTCCTCATGGCTAAAGTCCCAAGCCTTATCAAGCCTCACACTCGTGGGACTGATTCGGCTCTCGGAAGGGCGGCGCTAACCTATCTAACCAGACCAAGATGATGAAACGGTCGCGGAAGCAGCCGTCGTCGGCGGCTTGGCGATTCGTCCATGCTTGCACGGGTTTGGGTTACATCGCCTGTCCCGCTATGGCAGGGCGAGCATAGCAATTGGATGAAATCGCTATTATGTGACGGGCGAAGGTTTCGAATTTAGAGTTTACTTCATCCAGTTCCAGCCCAGGCCATGCGTAAAGTGGACCTTAGGAGCTGTAGTATGGGATATGGATTGCAGTTGTATGTAGAAAAAAGTGCATCGTAACGGTGCAGGGGGCTTGGATCGGATTTCCCAAAATTTCGTCGTAGCGAGGCTGGAATGAAGCTAGAATGAGGCTGATGTTGTCCTAGCAACCATGGGAACACAAACTTCACTGTTGTTGCATGGACGCGGGGCCTGTGTCTGCAGGCCCAATGTTACACCCCATCGGACTCGTCACACACCAGATCACGTCTCCCCTACTCCGGCTCCTGTATGCGACGCGACAACTCCGACGTCTTTCCACGCAGACGACGATGGCGACCACCCAATTCGCCTTTTCCTCGCCGCCACGATCCTCCCTCTCGTCGTCTCCACTACCATCGCCGGGTGCCGTGATACGACAGTTCTGCAGAGCGACAAATACGAAGACGAAGACCGAGCCCGACGTATACGACATCCCCGACGACGATGAGCCGCCGGTGGAAAAACCTCCTGCAAAATCGACGGCGACGGCGGAGCGGAAAGTTGCCGAGTTGGTCATCAAGAAGCCGCGCGCGCCGACCGTGAAGAAGAAGACTGCCAAAAAGACTGTCGATGATGGGACAAAGTCTAAATACTTCATGGAGTTGGAGGAGCCAGAGAAAGGAGAACCGCAGAAGCCGAAGCCGGCGCGTAGACTGGCTGTCAGAAAGAAGGCAACGATCGCCACCGCCACTGACTCCGTCGCCACCACCGCTGCTCCCCCAAAGGCGAGGAGAAAAAAGGTGGAGCCGAAGGACAAGGCGAAAACCACTGTTGCGCCGGAGGCTCCCGTTATCGAAGCAGCACCCGCCCCCGAAACGACAACGATCGAATCGTCTCCTGTTCGTCGAAGAGTATGGACTCCACCTGTTGAGGATACGATTGTGATCTCATCCGGCATTGAGAAGGAGGGGGAACCTAAGCAGACTACGAGTTTCATCAAGATCGGCGACCTGGCGTACAAGCCCGCATCACCCCAGGAGGGAGCGGAGCCGGTACCGAATATTAAGACAGCAACTGGTGCTCCTGCTTCCCCTAGGAAGAGACGAATTGAGGTACATTTACAGAGCTGTTCGTTTGTCGCCCAAGCTGATTTGATACCCTTCTGCAGATGGTCGACCTCCCTAGCAAGCCGAAGGCCGCTCCCGAGGTCAAGAAGCCGAAGAAGAAAGCCGCGACCCTCACCGAGCGTGCCTCCGCACAGTACCGGAAGGATGTTCCGCCTCCCAGCTCTCAAATCACCGGTTACTTCTCCACCTCCAAGGCGGTTGTCGGTAACTCCATCAAGCCGAAGAATGCTTTGAAGCCCATCACTACGACCAAGAGAAAGCGGGGGGACGAACCCGAAACTGCCAACCTACTGAGCCCGACGAGTGCTAGACAACGAATCGACAGCCAAGGCTTCGTCTTTGGAACATGTTCGCAGCTGGAGAACGAACAAATTGGGGCTGACGATGCATACCCATTGTCGCCATTACCAGAAAATTCAGCGGATACCATGCGCGATATTCCTTCATTCGATCCGACGATAGTGGGCGCAAGCTACGGTGGTGGCCTGTGGAACGCCGCTAAAAGAGATCAGGCCGGAGGATTGCTGAGGAATGAGGACCTTAATTTTGGACACATACAAGGCTCCCGCAGGACGACGCCGAGCGCCTCACCCCCGGCCACTGATGAGGCCAGGAAACTGGATCAAGAACATGAACATGCCGAACCTGTGGTTCCTTCCCAGCCAAAATATGTGACGATTGATCTAACACTGTCGTCTTCACCCGTGCCGATACCGAAGACGACGGAAAGGCTACGTTCGATATCGCCTTCATCACCATTGTCACCCGTACGGCCATTGTCGTCCTTGTCACCACTGTTATCACGAGGGCCAACCTCACCACGACGATCACTCTCTCCGACACACTCTATCGCATCATCAGTAGGGCTGGATTCTCTCACCGATCGCGCTTGGCGCAGCGTTACCAAATCCATATCGGAGCCGCTATTGTCACCCACTCTTCCCATCAGTCCGCCGTCGCCGGTGCGAACCCAAACACGCAGCTTCAGCACATCTTCCGCTCCGGCCGCGGGCGCGCGCCGCACCCCCACCCCCACGAAAGCCACTCGAGCGAAAGCCGTCAAAGCCGTGAAAGCCGCGAAAACCGTGAAAGCCACAAAAGCCGCCGCCGTCAAAACCGCCGTATCCAAAGCCCCCGCAACCAAAAAACCGCGAAAAGCGGCCTCCCCACCACCCGCGGCCCCGGAATGCCCTCCTCCAGAAGAACACCCAGGAATGCCCGACTTCAACTCATACCTTACCACCCGCCTCCGCTCCGAGCTGGCAAAGTTCGGCTTCAAAAAGATCGGTGCGAAAGCCGCCATGGTCACTTGCATGGAGAAATGCTGGCTGGCGCAGAATGCCGGTGCGCAGGCTCAGGCGGATGTGCAGGCGCAAGAAGAAGAAGAAGCTGTATCTCAACCATCACCTCGTGCCCGCGCCGCCTCGCCAGCCACAGCCACAGCCAAGCGCACGCGCGCCCGGTCTACGAGCGCGAGCGCGAGCTTGAAGCCGCGGTCCCGCGCCTCCAAATCCCCCGAAGCAGCTGCCGCCAAGCGTACGCGCGGGGGGAAGAAGAAGCCCGCCGAGCGCACCCCGCAGGAGTCTTTGCAGCTGCACGGCAAGATTGCGGAGGCCGTGCGGACAAATGGAAATGTCGGCGATACCACAAGCTTCTACTTCCGCATACTGATGTATGACCCGATAATACTCGAAGAGCTACTGGCGTGGCTTAATATGGTGGGGCTGAGGAGCGTGGGTGTACTGGAGGAGGTTGGGGCGGCGGATGTGAGGGCGTGGTGTGATAAGAATGGGGTTTGTCTTGCTAGTGAGGTGACGCAGAGGGGGAGGGAGAGGAAGAGGTTTTGATTTGCATATATTTTGGTGCGCGGGGCGTTTGGTCGGTGTACGAGTGCGAGGGAGGATGGAGGAGGCGGATGGAGCACGCGCTTCTGAGCGATACTTGCTTGGTACTTGGGATAACTACATCATAGCTCTTAGATAGAACGTATGCTTTCTGTATTCTACAATCAATTCTTTTCTTGGGGTGTTCCGAATAGCCTCTCAGACCCTCTCTCCGCCCCGTTATCGTACATGAGTAACTTTACATGGATAACTTTACATGAGTACCTTCACCGCCATTGAGTTCCAAACAAGCCGTACAAGCTGTAATTTCACGTGGGAATCATGGCATCTTTCCTATTTCACCCAACTCTAAATTGAATTTGAAGCGCAATGGACCGTTATGGTTATGTAGAGTACGCCGTCCACGGTCTCATGCAGTAACTGAAGATTCTCACTCGCTCACGTATTCTCACTCTCACTCGTTGCTGTTTTCTTTTCTTTTCTTATATATACTAACTAATGAGGCGAGTAAGAATTTGCAGCAGCTGCTGTGTCCGTCTCAAACTCTCAGTGTGGAGAGGTGCAGGATCGTTAGCATGGTAGATATGGATGGTTCATGCTCAGATTGCTCAGGAGTCGGTGTGGGGGGAGGTGGAGGAGGTTGGCGCCGTTTCAGCCGCGAAGGTAGTGTCGATGAAGGCGATGGCAGCGACGGCTCTCCCTTGTGAGATTGCTGGTCTCCTCACTCATCGTCGACAGAAGGGCTTTGAGGTCCCTGATCTCCGGTTGCGTCGATCGTAGTTGCTGCTGATACGAGTTCTCTGGTGGTTTCTACTGAATCTTCGAGAACAGTGATAACGAGCCCGTGCTTGCGGCAGAAAATTGTCTGAAGCTTTTCGTACAGCAGGTAGATGTTTTCGGCAATGATCGGCGACGCGATGGATTCGTCGTAGCCAGGGACGGAACGATCGTCTTCCTCCATTGACTTTGAAGGTGGTGGACGGAAGGCGGTGCACTGGAGAGCCAGGTGCCCGAAACAACCGCAGTTGTAGCAGTTGCACTGCGAAATTATAAGAGGGTAGAAATGTCCCAGCGCAACTGCTACAACTAGAGTCGCCCCGAAAACGGAAACCTGGCTCGCCATTGATGTTGATGTTCTGACTTGCAGTGTGGGTGGGTGTTCGGAGTATAGAGCGAGTGAAGATGAATGAAGGTGGTTGAGTTGACAGCAAGATTACTGTTTCCACGCTAAGGAGTTCTTGGCGCCTCTCAGAATCTCAACCCGTCGCGAGTGAATTCGCCGCCAACTTCATCCCAACCCCGTCCGTCTCTCCGTGACTAGTCCAACATCACTACACACAACCCGCCATCGCCGCATATTCTCGAACACGAAAGCCGTCGAGGATTCTACTCCGTGCCCCCCCATCATCTCATCCGCATTGATTCCCGTTGATCGCAAGGACCCACCGAGAAACTCCCAGCTCTAGCCAAACGACACGCGACGACGATGGCCTCGTTGCCTCCGCCGCCGCCCCCTGGATGGCAGGGCATGTCGACGCCCGGTGCTCCGCTACATCCGCCGCCACCTGGATACAGACCACCGGCGGACCCGGCGCAGGCAAAGTTTGATCAGAAGAAGAAGGAGTGGCTGCGGGTTCAGAAGAATCGCTTCGGCGAGAAGCGCAAGAAGGGCTATGTCGACACCCAGAAGGTCGACATGCCGCCGGAGCATCTGCGGAAGATTGTAAGGGACATTGGTGATGTCAGTCAGAAGAAGTTCTCGGCTGACAAGAGAGCCTACCTTGGAGCACTCAAATTTATGGTGAGTAGTCTTTTCTTCCGCCCTCCCCGTGTGTTCTCTTGGAGCTATGCTGACATTTTTTGTTTTTACTTTTAGCCCCATGCAGTCTTGAAGCTATTGGAGAACATGCCCATGCCCTGGGAGAGTGCGCGAGAAGTCAAGGTGCTCTACCACGTGAACGGATGTTTGACGCTCGTGAATGAGATCCCGAGAGTCATCGAGCCAGTGTTTCATGCGCAATGGGCCACGATGTGGGTGTGCATGAGACGAGAAAAGTCGGATCGACGACACTTCAAGCGGATGCGGTTCCCTCCGTTCGATGACGAGGAGCCTCCGCTGTCGTGGAGCGAGAACATCGAGGACGTCGAGCCGCAAGAGCCCATCCAGATGGAGCTTGACGAGCAGGAGGATGCGGCAGTGATCGAGTGGTTCTATGACCACAGACCGCTGCTCGATACGCCGCACGTCAATGGCCCTTCGTACAAGAAGTGGAATCTCGACCTTCCGCAGATCGCCACGCTGTACCGTCTGTCCAACCAGCTCCTCTCCGACATCGTCGACAAAAACTACTTCTACATGTTCGACCGTAATTCTTTTTTCACTGCTAAAGCCCTTAATGTCGCAATCCCTGGCGGACCGCGTTTCGAACCTCTCTACAAAGATGTTGACCCTAACGACGAAGATTTTGGAGAGTTCAATGCGATTGATCGGATCATCTTCCGGTCGCCCATCAGGACCGAATACCGCGTGGCGTTCCCTTACCTGTACAACTCTCTCCCCAGATCAGTAGAGCTGTCGTGGTACCACTACCCTCAGATCTGCTACGTACGAACCGAGGACCCCGACCTGCCCGCGTTCTATTTCGACCCTATCATCAACCCGATCTCGTCGCGCTCAGTGGCACCAAAGAACCTCACCATCTCCCACGAGGACGAGGTGTTTGGCTACGGAAACGATGAGGACGACTTTGAGCTGCCCGAGGAGATCGAGCCATTCATGGCCGACGAAGAGCTCTATAGCGACAACACTTCGCCCGCTATCGCCCTGTGGTGGGCACCTCATCCCTTCGACAAGCGGTCAGGCAGGACGGTCAGGGCCGAGGACGTGCCGCTGGTAAAGCAATGGTATCTCGAGCACTGTCCGACGGGCCAACCTGTGAAGGTTCGGGTGTCGTACCAGAAGTTGCTCAAGACCTACGTTCTCAATTCCCTCCACACGAAAACCCAGAAGGCGCAGAATCGGCAGGATCTCTTCAGGACTCTCAAGGGAACCAAGTTCTTCCAGACCACGACTATCGATTGGGTTGAGGCGGGTCTGCAGGTGTGCCGACAAGGTTTCAATATGCTCAATCTTCTGATTCACCGGAAGAACTTGACATATCTGCATCTCGATTACAATTTCAACCTCAAGCCCGTCAAGACGTTGACCACGAAGGAGCGGAAAAAGTCTCGTTTCGGAAATGCGTTCCATCTCATGCGTGAGATTCTTCGTCTGACGAAGCTGATCGTCGATGCTCAAGTTCAGTACCGGTTGGGCAACATTGATGCCTTCCAGCTTGCCGACGGTATCCTCTACGCTTTCAACCATGTCGGCCAGTTGACCGGTATGTACCGATACAAGTACAAGCTCATGCACCAGATCCGGGCGTGTAAGGATCTGAAGCATTTGATCTACTACCGCTTCAACTCCGGACCGGTGGGCAAAGGACCCGGATGTGGTTTCTGGGCTCCGGCATGGCGGGTCTGGCTTTTCTTCATGAGGGGTATCTTGCCTCTGTTGGAGAGATGGTTGGGCAATCTGTTGGCGAGACAGTTCGAGGGCCGTCACAGCAAGGGTGTCGCGAAGACCGTCACCAAGCAGCGTGTCGAATCCCATTTCGATCTTGAGCTTCGTGCGGCCGTCATCCACGACATCACGGATATGATGCCGGCGGGCATGAAGTCGAACAAAGTCAACACTGTCCTGCAGCATCTCAGTGAAGCGTGGCGGTGCTGGAAGAGTAACATTCCCTGGAAGGTTCCCGGACTGCCGGCGCCGATCGAGAATGTCATCTTGCGATACGTGAAGAGCAAGGCCGACTGGTGGGTCAGCGTGGCCCATTACAACCGAGAACGTATAAGACGCGGTGCTACGGTAGATAAGACGGTTGCGAAGAAGAACCTCGGACGGTTGACGCGATTGTGGCTCAAGGCGGAGCAGGAAAGGCAGCACAACTACATGAAGGACGGACCATACGTCTCTTCGGAGGAGGCCGTCGCTATCTACACCGCCGCCGTGCACTGGTTGGAGTCCCGAAAGTTCTCGCCGATTCCGTTCCCCAGCGTTTCTTATAAGCACGACACCAAGATATTGATTCTGGCTTTGGAGCGCTTGAGGGAGGCTTACTCGGTCAAGGGCAGGCTTAACCAGAGTCAGCGTGAGGAGCTGGCTTTGATCGAGCAAGCTTACGACTCGCCCGGAACTACCCTCACCCGGATCAAGACTGCGCTTCTGACCCGCCGAGCGTTCAAGGAGGTCGGCATCGATATGAACGACAACTACAGTACCATCAACCCCGTGTACGATGTCGAGCCTATCGAGAAGATCACCGATGCTTACCTGGATGCCTACCTCTGGTATCAAGCGGACCAGCGCCATCTCTTCCCCGCCTGGATCAAGCCTTCCGATTCCGAGGTTCCGCCGCTGCTTGTCTACAAGTGGGCCCAGGGGATCAATAACCTGAACAAGGTGTGGGAAACGGCCGACGGTGAATGCAACGTCTTGCTTGAGACCCAGCTTTCCAAGGTCTACGAAAAGATCGATATTACCTTCCTCAACCGCTTGCTCCGCCTGGTCATGGATCACAATCTTGCCGACTATATCACTGCGAAGAACAACGTCGTCCTCAACTACAAGGATATGAACCATACCAACATGTACGGTCTGATCCGCGGTCTTCAGTTCTCGGCGTTCGTCTTCCAGTACTATGGAATGATTCTGGATTTGCTGGTTCTCGGATTGGAGCGGGCGTCCGAGATCGCCGGTCCGCCACAGCGGCCAAACGAGTTCCTACAGTTCCAGGATCTCAACACAGAAACCAAGCACCCCATCCGTCTTTACACCAGATACATAGACCGTGTTTGGGTGTTCTTCCGGTTCAGTGCAGACGAGGCCCGTGACTTGATTCAGCGCTTCCTCACGGAGAACCCCGATCCCAACTTTGAGAACGTGATCGGCTACCGGAACAAGAAATGTTGGCCCCGCGACTCCCGAATGCGACTGATGCGTCACGATGTGAACTTGGGACGCGCCGTGTTCTGGGATCTCAAGAACAGATTGCCGCGTTCCGTCACCACCATCGAGTGGGACGAGACGTTCGCTAGTGTGTACAGCCGCGACAATCCTAACTTGCTCTTCTCCATGTGCGGATTCGAGGTCAGAATCTTGCCCAAGGCTCGGAACCAAAACGAAGAGTTCCCTGTCAAGGATTCGGTTTGGTCATTGGTGGACAACAGTTCGAAGGAGCGGACGGCTCATGCTTTCCTTAAGGTTACTGAGGAGGACATCCAAAAGTTCAACAACCGCATCAGGCAGATCTTGATGAGCTCGGGAAGTACCACCTTCACCAAGATTGCCAACAAGTGGAACTCGGCCTTGATCGCTCTTTTCACCTACTACCGTGAAGCCGCTATCTCCACCGAGCCTCTTCTCGACACGATCGTAAAATGCGAGACCAAAATCCAGACTCGTGTCAAGATTGGATTGAACTCCAAGATGCCGTCCCGTTTCCCGCCCGCGGTCTTCTATACGCCGAAGGAATTGGGTGGTTTGGGCATGATCTCGGGAAGTCACATCTTGATTCCCACGAGTGACCGAAGGTGGAGTAAGCAGACGGACACCGGAATCACGCATTTCCGTTCCGGTATGACGCACGACGAGGACGTTCTCATCCCCAACATTTTCAGGTACATTCAAACCTGGGAGTCAGAATTTATCGATTCGGCACGTGTCTGGTCCGAGTATGCGCAGAAGAGGCAGGAGGCCAACCAGCAGAATCGTCGGTTGACGCTTGAGGACCTCGAGGATTCGTGGGATCGTGGTATTCCCAGAATCAACACGTTATTCCAGAAGGATCGTAGCACCCTCGCTTTCGATAAGGGTTGGCGTGTCCGTACGGAGTTTAAGATCTACTCGATGATGGTGAGTACTTGTTTAGCTCCCGTGCTTGTGGACTTTGCTAATACGTGTGTAGAAATCCAATCCGTTCTGGTGGACATCCCAGCGTCACGATGGTAAACTGTGGAACTTGAACGCCTACCGAACCGATGTCATCCAGGCGTTGGGAGGTGTTGAGACTATTCTCGAGCACACCCTGTTCAAGGCCACCGCGTTCCCCAGTTGGGAGGGTCTCTTCTGGGAGAAAGCGTCTGGTTTCGAGGAGAGCATGAAGTTCAAGAAGTTGACCAACGCTCAGCGGTCCGGTCTGAACCAGATCCCCAATCGTCGGTTCACGCTCTGGTGGAGTCCTACCATCAACAGAGCCAATGTCTACGTCGGTTTCCAGGTCCAATTGGATCTTACTGGTATCTTCCTTCACGGAAAGATCCCGACCTTGAAGATCTCCCTGATCCAGATCTTCCGTGCCCATTTGTGGCAGAAGATTCACGAGTCGGTCGTTATGGATTTGTGCCAGGTCTTCGATCAGGAGCTTGAGAGTTTGGGTATCGAGACGGTCCAGAAGGAGCAGATCCATCCCCGAAAGTCGTACAAGATGAACAGTTCATGCGCCGATATCCTCTTGTTCGCCGCGTACAAGTGGAACGTCACCAGGCCCAGTTTGCTTCACGACACGAAGGACACCATCGAGCAGAACTCGACCAACAAGTTCTGGGTCGATGTTCAGCTGCGATACGGAGATTACGACAGTCACGACGTGAGTCGATACGTTCGCGCCAAGTTCCTCGACTACACTACGGATTCGCTTTCGATCTACCCGTCGCCCACTGGTGTTATGATCGCCATTGATCTTGCGTACAATCTCTACGATGCCTATGGCCAGTGGTTCCCGGGTTTGAAGCAACTCATCCAGCAGGCCATGGCCAAGATCATGAAGGCTAACCCGGCTTTGTACGTCCTGCGTGAGCGTATTCGCAAGGGTCTGCAGCTGTATGCGTCGGAGAGCAACCAGGAGTTCCTGAACTCTCAAAACTACTCTGAGCTTTTCAGCAACCAGATCCAGCTGTTCATTGACGACACGAACACGTACCGTGTGACTGTCCACAAGACCTTCGAGGGTAATTTGACGACCAAGCCCATCAACGGTGCTATCTTTATTTTGAATCCTCGTTCCGGACAGTTGTTCTTGAAGATCATTCACACTTCCGTCTGGGCCGGTCAGAAACGTCTTGGTCAGTTGGCGAAGTGGAAGACGGCCGAGGAAGTGGCTGCTTTGATTCGTTCGCTGCCCGTCGAAGAACAGCCGAAACAGCTCATCGTGACGCGAAAGGGTCTCCTTGATCCCCTCGAGGTGCATCTCCTCGACTTCCCTAACATCTCGATCCGCGCGTCCGAGCTGCAGCTGCCATTCCAGGCGGCCATGAAGATCGAGAAGCTCGGAGACATGATTCTGCGCGCCACCGAACCGCAGATGGTGTTGTTCAACCTCTACGATGACTGGACCAAGTCGGTATCTTCGTACACGGCGTTCTCCCGATTGATCTTGATTCTCCGTGCACTGCACGTCAATCAGGACAAGACCAAGCTGCTGCTCCGACCGGATAGGACCGTCATCACCCAGGAGCATCACATCTGGCCATCGCTTTCCGATGACGACTGGGTCAAGGTCGAGACTCAATTGCGCGATCTCGTCCTGAACGACTACGGTAAAAAGAACAACGTCAATGTCTCCAGTTTGACTAGTAGCGAAGTTCGGGATATTATCTTGGGTATGGAGATCAGTGCGCCGTCCATGCAGCGCCAGCAGGCTGCCGAGATCGAGAGTCAACAGCAGGAGCAGGCGCAGTTGACCGCCGTCACAACCAAGACGACGAACGTGCACGGTGACGAGATGATTGTCACGACCCAGACGGCATACGAGCAGCAGGCATTCGCTTCCAAGACCGAATGGAGGAACCGCGCCATCGCTTCGAGCAATCTGAGGACTCGTGCGAACAACATCTACATTTCTTCCGATGACATCGCCGACAATGGGCAGTACACGTACATCATGCCGAAGAACATCCTCAAGCGATTCATCACCATCTCGGATCTTCGCATGCAAGTCGCCGGATTCCTGTATGGTTCGTCGCCTCCGGACAACGATCAGGTCAAGGAGATTCGCTGCATTGCTATGGTGCCGCAGATCGGTGGGCTCAATAGCGTGCAGCTCCCTCACAAGCTGCCGCAGCACGAGTATCTCACCAAAGAGAACGGGTTGGAACCTCTCGGATGGATCCACACCTGGGCACAGCCACACGAGGCCCCGCATCTCAACGCCTTCGACACGACACAGCACGCGAGGCTGATGGCGGCGCATCCGGAGTGGGACAAAAAGACGATCACCATGACTGTCTCTTTCAAGGCAGGATCGGTATCTCTGGCTGCCTACAGTCTCACGCCGCCTGGCTTCGAATGGGGCGCTCAGAACAAGGACATGGGTAACGACATGCCCCCCGGCTTCCAGACGACCATGGGAGAGAAGTGTCAGCTCCTCCTTTCGGATAAGATTATGGGATACTTCCTGGTGCCGGAGAGTGGCATCTGGAATTACTCGTTCCTTGGAGCAGGTTTCGGTGCCGATGCCGAGAAGAGACCGTACCATGTCAAGATTGATACGCCGCTCGATTACTATGCGGATGTGCATCGCCCACTGCATTTCCAGAATTTCGATCAGTTGGAAGATATTTGGGTGGATCGGACTGACAATTTCGAGTAGTCGGTGGTCAGTAGTGGCAGTGGTGGTTGACGAATGAGCGGCAATGTAATGATGAAAATGGGATTTGATCGGTTGGGGCTGGGTTTGGGGTGTATATTTCTCGCACTGTAAATGGTTGTTTTATTTATTGTTCTGGTTTCTGCGTATTCCTTTGTATTAGTCTTCATGCTGTGGCGGTGATATCGAGTCGTGTTGGTTGTGATTTGGAATTGTCTACCTACGTGTGCATTTGGAATGGCTTGTGAAACGTTACACCAGGCCGACCCCACCAGTGGCCGCAGTCATGACGCAATATATCGCGATCCGATCCGCGACCCAGTGCTTTAGTCGTGCCCATCTCGGCCACTTCCGCCACTAACAGCAAGCACTTATATGATCCTTTGTCCACCTCCAATTCCTTTTCAAGCTCCCACATCATCACCACCAATTACACCAACACTAGCGCATGTCCTTCCTTAAATCCCTCTTCAGCCGACCCTTCGCCGCCATGACCTCTCCGCCGCCGATCGGCAGCAGCCTGACCAACCCGCCCGCCACCACCGAGAAAGCGATCTTCGCCGCCGGCTGTTTCTGGGGCGTTGAGCACATTTTCCGGGCGAACTTCTCGTTGCTAGACGCGCGCGTCGGGTACATCGGCGGGGACATGACGCACCCGAGCTACCGCGCGGTGTGCAGCGGCACCACGGGCCACGCCGAGGCCGTCATGCTGCTCTACGATCCGAAGCAGATCCGATATCGCCAGCTGGTAGAGTTCTTCTTCCGCATGCATGATCCGACTACGGAGAATAGGCAGGGCGCAGATGTCGGATCGCAGTATAGGTCCGCTATCTTCACCGTCGATAGCGAGCAGGAGGACGTCGCCAATACCGTGCTCAATGCGGTCGACAAACATTGGTATAAAGAAAGGTTGGCGACGAAGGTGGTTCCTGCGGGACAGTGGTGGGACGCCGAGACGTATCATCAGCTGTATTTGGAGAAGAGTAGGCTACCTGTTCCTGCCCTGTGTATCTATGTAGGGAGACGAAGGCTAATCTGTGCCGGTGGGCTGTGCGTAGATCCAAGTGGATACCAGTGTGCGGCCCAGTATGTTACCCTTTTCCCCCCGCGAGATGTGCTCAGGTGTACTAATAAGGGTGGGATGCTAGTTATGTTCGCAAGTTCCCGCCGTTGAATACGGAAGAGGAAGAGAAATTGTGATGGCGACGAGGTACCTACGGGGACGGGACGTTTGGGGTCAGAAGAATGATGGTTTAGCTGGATGGAAATGGAGGTGGTTTCTGTGAGCTGGTGTGTTGGAGATAGATGGATACATTGAACTGGCTATGGATAGTCATGGTGCGTTGTGTATATGTACATTAGGTATGGGCTGTGGGGCATCATTAGATAGCCCGAAACCTCATTTCAATCAATGGCTGCAGATGTGTTCATCAAAACATGTCTCTTCTGCAGGACAGTCAGGCTCGGGTATACAATGTTTTGTGACGCGGCCAGAAGGTCGTCTATGGACCATGCCCCCCGCAAACGACGGGCTTGTTTCCTACGTTTCTAACGTTTACATCTAAGACAGCTCGACAATTTCATCATCAATCCCGACACCATACTAGTGTCTAAGTTCTTTACCCGCGCGAGATAATTGGTGGAATAGTGGGGCGGGCGGGCGAGGAGGCATTCGATGAAGCAAATCGCCGGGATAAAGGCGGTGCGGAATGATGAGCGCCATGCGAACGGTGGAGCTTTAGCGCACAGCTGGCCGTATCTAGAAGGGTCGGTGAAGGATAAACCCATCGGCGATGTTCTCGATGGGAAGATGAAGATCGAGAGAAACCGTGATATGTAGTGGCTCGCTTGACGTCGCTTGGGCGGCCCCAGCCTCTACCTATGTCTGTAATGCTTTCACGGTCACCGACTCACCGTGCTCGCCACCTTTACACCATCTCACTTCGGCGTCGGGGTTTCGTCTCTCGGCATTGAAGTTTCGTCCTCCAGCGTCCTGTTATCGTCCTTTCGTATAGAATCTTGTCCTTCAGCACTGGTTCCTGTAGCCGTCGTGTGTATGGGCATTGGGATTCGACGAAGGGAACAACACTAACTTGCTTAGATACATCACCCCTGTTCCAATGTTTCATGAACGACCATGCTGTTTGAGGGTTGTGGCGCGTCCGGTCACGTTTGAGGCTCGAAGGACGGCGCCGCCCGCTGGTGAATGTACAGCGTGAGCTTGGCGCCCTCCCTCTGGCGCAACCGGCAGCGGTAATGGGCGGATGTTCCATGAAGACGCTGGGTTGGGAAGGGCTGGGCTAGGTTGGGCCATGCGGAATAGCATTTGTTTCTTTGTTTAATCACCAATTGCATGCGACCTGGGAGTGTTCATTGACCTTTGTCGGATGAACGCTATGTTTGTACGTGATCGCCAGTGATATGCCATGACTTCAAACCATTTCCAAGTACTTTACCATCTGCAGCTCTAGGAGGAAACTATCAGGAGTTTAGGTTAACCGAAGACCACTGGCTTTTGGATGGAAAGCCTATCTAATACCTAGAGTTGTGGTGTTATCGCTGCCGCTGCAACGCTGCAGCCGCGGGGAGGCAATCATGTGTATCACTCGGTCAAGTTTGGCGCTACGGTGAGGAAGAACTGAATTGGAGCGCCAAAAGTATGGTGGATCAGACATTTTCTGTTGGGTGGAGTACGCAGCGTGGAGTATTGTATGCTCATGATAGTAGTGAATGCGGTACAAGTGCAGCACTTTAATCTGGATTGACGTGTGGCATGAACAATGAGATGGCGGGCAGTGGGTTCCTCGATGCAGCGGCACGCACGTGTGCGCTCGAGGAAATAGCTGGTGCTGACAGCAAAACACAGGGTTGGTTTGCAATTGATTCGATTGAGAGAACCCTCACTTCATATTCACATATGTGGCTTTGTAGTTTCCCACACAATCTTTAACTTGAAAAAATACGGCTTCGTTTGGCCACAAGGAGTGATGATACTGCTATAAACAGTGTCCACAAATGTACCCCAAAATGACCTTCATAAACCCTCTCCAGGCCGTAGAATCCCTAGGGGTGTCGGCGCCAACCTCAAAGAGTAGAAGTACAGCCCCGCATTGATCCTACGTTGCCCAAGTACTTAGCTCCCCATATGCGGGGAGATGAAGAATGTGTGACTGCGTGTTCGAATCGAGATACTGTACGTTCTGACCGTGGTGCGGGCTAGGCCAGCATTCACGGCAGTATGGAGCCGGGGCACAGCGCAAAACAAGCATCGGCCGGACTTCCACCAGCATGAAAGTGCACGGGCAGATGTTGGCCGGTGCGAGGTTTATAGTGCCACTAACTATGAACATACGTTTCGTCGAAAGCCCTACTACGTGTGGCATGTCGGATGGGCTCTCTATTTCCAGGTACTCAATTCTCGTCTCGCTGAATCTCCGGATGCAGAATCCACATCCATCAGGGGGGAAGCAGACGCCGAACCCAATTGCTCAAGCATGTAGGCAACCCGACGATTTTGGGCTTTACCCCCCACTTTAGGCAGGATTTTGGTGAGGGGCGTGGGGCGGGGGGACAGCTCAGGCCGCATGTGCGGCCCTGGCAAAGCTAGCACATACTCATCATGAGCTTAGGGTGGCCGTCGATCTCCCGTGCTGCAGGCACTAGTGATCACCTGTATACGAGCATCAGCCGCGGCGCTCGGACAAAGAAAAGGGCAGCTTCTCCAGCTGTCTACATACGTGGACGTTCTGTATGTCAATTGCCGTATATCACGCACGTCCCTAGCCTGGAGTAAAGGCCTAAGGGTGCCGAGGCATGCCACCACCCATTATGTAGGTATCATCCTTTATCGATAACTAAGCCGAGACACGTAGGGGAACGGATCACGTATCGGTCCGGGGCATGATATAGCCTGGTTTTCATGCTTTGTTGTGGCCGGACCCATGGACAGATACATAGGCTTGGTTACTAGATTGGTGGCGGTGGTTTCCCGCGGCAGGCTGCCGCACGGTGTGTGTTGCGAACGGACCCAGAACGACGAAAGTCGTACCGCTAGAGCCGCCGGCACAAGCAGAAATTTCAGACGAACTGGTCAGCACTTAATCCATCATGCCCTGTTCCGCAGACATCGTTAGAGTTCTGCACCTGGGCCACATGCTGATCCCCAAATGTGTGTTGCGATGCTTTTGGTACCGTCGAGTGATCGATGATGCCTGCAAGCGTATTAGTAACCACGTAACACCAAACGCTGTTCCAACCTCATCCCTTTCTCTCCCAGCACTCTGAGCGAAACACAACTGACATCAAAAAAAAACCACCCCACCCACTAACAATTGTTACTACCCCGCACCCAACGACAATCACAATGGACACGCCCAAGGAGCGGTCGAAAAAGATCAAGAAGCCGTTCCACCTCAAAAAGGCGGACGTTGATCTCGACGGCTACAGGAAGGAGATCCAGGACCAGTCGCCGGCACACTTGGCGCAACGCGCGGTGGCGGCCTTGAAATCTTCTCGTCAATTCCACATCTACCTGGTGCTGCAAAGTGTGGCGGCCTTCTGTGGGTACGGGCAGGTGATGATGTGTATCGGTACGTGACTACCATCGCTTTGTCTTCTTCTGATTGGCTCGCCCCGAATCTACCAGCACACACAGGAGCTTACCACTGCTTCGTCCGCCGCTCTGCATGCAAGTGCATGAGCGGAATCGCAGGTCTTTTATGGATGTTCTATGTCAACACAGGAACACGAAAAGATGGAGAGATGAGCGCGTACTCTCTATTCAATCCAAATGTCGAGGCGTAAGTACCTCCCGCAGTTCCTTTCAGCCTGGTCGGAGTCAGCATACCGCAGAGAGGAGAGTTTGATTGCTGAAGGAGGTATTTGCACTCTCCAGGATCGATGGGACAACAAACATGGAGTATCTCGACAGGGAGATGAGGAGGCAGTTGTATTGAGCAGGAGGAGGGCCAGGAAGCCAGCTCTGGGAGGAGGCGTATCTGGATCAGCCCGTTCAGCGGTTGGGATGATGGGATTCGACAGCCGTTTTTCGGTCATACAACCGAATTGCTTTTTCTTATTCTTACGATTTTTCTTTTTTCTTTTTTTTTCTTTACCAGCGCAATAGACGAAATCTAAGTGGTTGATGCTGGACTGGACTCTGGAATAACTAGCTTTATGCCTGCCGAAGTCCATCCAGGATTGGATGAAGGGTGTTTTCAGCTCGCTACCCAGCAGCGGCGATCAATTCTTAGGCCCGTTCTCCACGTCTCGGAGTATATTCGATCGGAAGGTTGTACACACGTGAGCCTCGAAGACCTACACAGTCCCCGCAGGTTTAGTCTGGAATGGTTGTTTTTTCCTTGGGATCTCCAAACAAAGCCACGCAGAGAAGGCGTCATTGTTTTGCACTCGGGTAACCGCAAAAGTCGCCGCCGCCGCCCTATTGACGATGGCGGCGTGCAGCGACCGTATCTGCGGGCTAGCGGCTTTCTAGAATCAATGTTTGTTTCCATCGCAATTGTAATCTCGTTCTTGTTCCCTTTGTGCTTTGTGCTGACCTCTGGCAACCCGCAGGGAACGATGGGAATCATGTGGCTATGTCACGGTGTACTGGTGTACCGACGTTCCGATGTGCTGATGTACTGATGAACTCTGCGGTGGCAAATACTTCCGAAGGCTGGTTATCGGAGCATTGCTGGTAAGTTGTTTGAAGTGGGAGTGGAAGTTGTCTTGACAATTAAGGCGATATCAGCACATATATGGTCCATTTAGCGAGAGTTGCTTGCGGGATGCCGACTAATCGTACCGGACCCTCGCTGAAGGGCTAGCCTGCACCGTGCACACGAGGGTCCCCGCCGGTCAATCCGATCCGGTATGGCGGTTGTGTTTGGTCATCGCCGCACTGGAGGAATTTGCAAGGTATCTTCAGTTGAATCGACGAGCCCATCTGGCCGTGCACAAATCCATAGCCCGCGATCCATCCCCCAGAATCAGCTCGGTATATCAGGGCAATTGCTCGGGGGCAACTATGCACCGTTTCTTTCCATCCGGCCCCGGGCGTTCCATGTGGCTACACCCACGGCTAGCTACCAGTTTGTTTCCACGCCATTCTGCCAGCCCTCACTCTGCCAGCCCTCATTCATTCTGCCAACCCTCATCCAACCCTCCCCCGCTACACTCCCCCGCAACCCTCCCCTTCTCTACCCCAGGATCAATACATGTTACTGCAGGTCCCTTCCCGGTCTTACGTTCACAGATATACCCTCCTCCGAATTGGTTCCTCGACGGTGAGTGTTGGGTTACAGTTCTAAGTGCCTTTAAGAGGCTGTCCTCCCCTCGTCTTCTCTACCATTCACTCAACATTTCGTGCCCACATTCATTAGCTGGCCACCAAACACTGACAGACAGCCTACCTACCACTTACTCCCCCTACCTTCAATCACCTGATACCTCTGGTACGTCGCACACTGCTTTACTTCCAGCCGCGGTTGCCCCCGATTCCCTGCTACTTGATCGAGCTCGAGAGAGCTTTGCTGAATGACTGCTTATTGGCTACTCAACAAAGAGCGAGACGCACTGACAATCCGTTCTAGAAAGCACATATCCAGGGCTCATGTCTACGCCGAAGCTCCAGAGCTGGGACCTTCCAAGTCCCCCAGCTTCGACGGAGTTCAACGAAAGCTGGCGCATGGCTGGATACCATCCTCTCAGTCCCCAGGAGGCCCAGCCCATGGCAGTCCCATCGCCATACAGAGACCCAAACTCCGAAGGTTTTACATCGTCCGTCATGGCAGAATCCACTATGCATGTGCAGAACGCACCGACACACCCATGGTCCCCGCAGATGCAGTATTCCTCCTTTGCACACACACCAGTCCAGGAATGCGCATACCTACCGTCGCCAGTGTCGGTTTCGACGTCCCCCTACAGTCCACAAGAGTTCAAATCATCTTCACCGGCGGATCGTGTGCCTGTTTTTCAACCACGACCGACCAACCACTACATTCACTCGACTCTTGCTTCCAATGACTGGAATCAGCCGCCGCGTCAGCTGCATTGCAACCCCTATGCCGGGTTCCTGTCACCTCATCTTTCACTCTCCTCCTCATCTTCACGCAGCAGCTCTTCGCTGTCGTCTGCGGCATCTTCCCACTATCCTAGCAATCGCCTGTCGGTTGCCAGTACGCCGCCTTCGTGCGCAAAGGCTCCACTGGAATCTGCGCGTGCATCGGAATCACCAGAAGCGAGCAGCGGCAGGCCGGATGACCGAATCGATGACGATAGTGACGGTTATCAGAACGACAGGTCTTCCCCTGCCGTCCCGGCTCACCACATTGAGGATAGTTCGAAGCAGCCACCGTACGCCATCATCATCTACGAGGCCCTGATGAGCATTCCCGACAGAAGGATGGTTCTAGCAGATATCTACAATTACTTCAGGTGGCGAATGCCCGCCCGTGCTGCACGTGATGGGGGTTGGAAGAATTCCATTCGGCACAACCTTTCCATGAATGGGGTGGGTCGACTTTTTCCCTTTTTCTTTATACCCTCGTTCTTTGCTAACTTCATCCCCGGACATTCAGGCTTTCATCAAAGAGGCTCGGCATTCCAATGACAATGTCAAGCGGTACATCTGGGTTCTGTCAAAAGAAGCACAGCAGAACGGTGTGCGCTCGACCACACGATACCGAAGAACGGCACCGCGGGCTACCAAGCGTTTGCAGAATGCACGCAGAAAGGTGGCCACGAGGAGTATGGTGAAGAAACAGGCCGGATCGGTCCCAATGTCACCCCCGCCCTTGAGGAACGCAGGCATCGAGTGGCCCGCCACATCGCCACCGTTAACTCCAACGGCTGTCGAACACCCCAGGGAGTATGAAAACGCCGCCAGAGGGAACAGCAGCAGAGGCAGCAATCCGTACTCTCCGAGCCCCCACATGAACACCCCGCCACCCGAGCTGGAACTTGACCAGTCATCCCCTTCGCCGAGGCTCTCTCCGATCAATACCACCGGCCTGGGTGTGGGTTACACAGCACTGCACGTCAAGGAAGAACTGACATCTCCTATCTTGTACACCCTGGGAGACGAGCCTACTCCCGAAGCCTTTAAAGATACGGTGTTTACAGACAATGCGGTGCTTGTCTGTGCTGGGGGTGAATGGCACGAGGTACCATGGCCGGATTCCCCAGCTACATCGCTTTTCGAGGAGGAGTACAATCTCATCCGAGAGAGCTCCTGCAACTACAGCGAATGCGGGCTAGCATGAGTGGCACCTCGAACCACAACGAAACCTCTTCTACATGCGCAGGTAGCCGGTTGCCTCTTATCATCTTCCCTTACCATATAACTCTCTTTTCTTTTTCCTTCACTTTTTCTGTCGGTTTATTTTGTTTTCATGTTCAGCGGTGCTACGATTCGCTAGGCTAGGTAGCTAGGCGGGTGGACGGGTGGGGGGAGTGTGTTTGATCGATCGATGTGTGGCTTTTCCTTTCCTTTCCTCCTTTCCTTCGGGCTTCTATGTATAGAAAATACCTTGTGGCGTTCGGTTTTCGTTTCTTCTTTTCATTTTACCACTATATTTCCTGCACCTAGTACACTTGTATCTCTGCGTATCTCACCGCATATCAGACTTCCTTCTTATATATGCTTCCGTTTATAAGGTGGTTTCTTTTTTATCGAATTCATATGTATCTGAGTACTTAGTTTATGTACCTCTACACACGAAGAGCATACCTAGTCCCAGTATCCACCTACCTAGCTTAATGGTGGCGAACGGAACGGAACGGAAGGGGAGGGGAGTGGAGGGGGTGAGGATTGTGCCCTTCGCTTGATTCCCGCTCCTCGCGCCCCTCTCCTCAGGACCTCAGCTGAACATTTCGGGCCCGAGAACCGTACCCGTAAGGCGGGCGGGAGTATGTGCGTACGAAGAAGCCAATCCTTCAGCCCAGCCAGCTCACAAAAAAAAGTGTCTATCCTGGGGATGGGATGAAACACCCGCCGGTCTCCCGGTTCCCAACCAGTCAACTCAACGCTACCCCTCATAGAGTGGAGTTGCACGTCTTTGTTTTGCGAGAGAGCGAGAGTGAAATCGATCTCCGAGAGATCCTTCCTGCCAGCCATTCCCCTCCCCCGAGGACAGCCGTGTGTATCGATCCAGCGCGTCGGCGAGTTCAGCCTGCTTGCTGCCTGCATTTAACTAGCCGGCCACGTTCACGATCCACTAATCTACATACATACTCCCGCGGCCCAACTACACCCAACTACATACATGCCCTACATAGGCCCCCAGGCCCACCCATAAACGGCAGTGTTCTGGAATTCTGCAGGGCCATACCGCGGGTTATAACTAGGCAACTAAGTAACTAACCTCCCAGGATCCTCTCCCCTCACCTTAAGTCGTCGTTCGTAAGTCCCGATCCCAGATCCTGGGCTTGGAGCGGGGGTGGGGCGGGAGGGGGCGGGGGGTGGGAACGGCGAGTGGGAACTTGGGGGTTTGGGGGTCAGCTCGACTCGACAGACAGACAGACAGACAGACAGACAGACAGCACTTTTGTCCCGGCCGGCCACCGGGGCTTCTTTCTTTTCTTTTTCTGGCTTCTTGCTGCATGGTAAAGGTATGGAGGATTTCGTCAGTTCGTCTTTTTGTAACACGCTACAGGTAACAGGTAACAGGTAACAGGTAACAGGTAATAGGTAACAGAAAACATGTGTATGTGTATGTGTATGTGTAGGTATGGGGTTACCGGTAGCGCGGGAGACATATCGTATCGCATCGTGACAGATATACAGATACGTTCCCCTTTTCCCACCGGCCAGCTGACACTGGACAGACAGACGTACGGCGACAGGCTTCTGGAAGTGCATGGAAGCCCGCCCCGCCCTTCCCTGCCCCCCGTGGTTATGGTTACATGAGTTATGGTTATAAGTTATGGTTATGCATGGCGACATGGCAGTCCCGTGCAGACTCTCATGTGTGCTATGATGATCAGGCGGGGTGGGTTATCATGACGGTGGGTTTAAATACCGATTGTCTGGGCGAGAACTAATCTCGCAGAGGACGAGGAGGAGGGATTGGGGTGATTGGGAGGGAGGAGGATAAGCACTAGTCGGAGGTATCTCGCTGCGAGTCCAATGCAAACGGCATTCGATGAGTTCCGATGCGGCAACTACGGGAAGAGGAGACATGGTACGGTAGCGAAGTGGAGAAGTGGAGAAGTGGAGAAGTTGGGTGGCCGCTATGTACTCGGGCTGAGAGACTGTGGGGGACTTGCGATACAACTGCCTACTGGTAAACGTGTGAAGATAAACTGCGTTAGTTATGTAATCCCTCCCATGCACTGTGCAGACGTTTAATTAAGCGGATTTGACACCGGTCGGCCCGTTCCATCGCTCCGTACCTAAACCCGGCCACAGTCCCAATCGTGGAGCCGGTCGATCTGAATTGGCCCAGCAACGCACCCACCCACCACCTCCCACCACGGCATGTTCCGGCCTATGTATGTGCAACACCACACCCGCGAATTGTTGTTGTTGTTGGATGGATGGACGGGTGAATGGGTGGATGGCACGTCAAAAGGGCCGCATAAAATTCGCACCGGTAGATACTGAGATAGATCTGCTGGGTGGTGGGTGCTGGGTGGTGGGTGGCCGGCGGTGGTCGGTGTTGAAAATTTCCAGGACAGGAAGGGGCGAGGGCGGCGTTATTCTCCGGCGGCCAGCCAGAGCTGCCGAGTATGTATGTAGTATGTACGAGTACTCCACTTCCTATCTCTGCCAACCAGCCATGCAGTTGCAGTTGCAGTTGCAGTTGCAAGCCATCCAGCCATCCTTCAGCCATCCAGCCATCCATCCTGCCAGCACACCCACCTACCCACCACCACCACCACCACCACCACCACCACATACCCGCATCACCCGCTCTACCTCCCTAGTCCCAATCTGCGGAAAACCGCCAAGAAATCCCGCTCCTCTCGAACGTGCTTCACCGGGGGGAGGGAGTGTCGAGTGTCGGGTGTGCATTGCAGCATGCAGAGCGAGTTCTCTCGGCTAACGTTATTCTACGATTTGACAGGAATGGTGGTGGTGGTGTGTGTCCGTGTGTGCGTGTGGTGTGTGTGAGGTTGTTGGGGAGCAGGCAGGCGGGCGGGTTATTGCGCGCCCATGCCATACCTATGCCATATGCCATGCTGACCCGGGTGTTGTTGGTGCTACGGCCAGGCCAGGCCAGGCCGGGACGAGTTTGCTGTGGATAGGTAGCCTCTGCCGCCGCCGGAAATGCTTCCTTTTCCTTTTCCTTTCCCTTTCCTTTCCCTTCCTTTGCTTTGCGTTTCCTTCTATTTGCCCTTTTTTTTTTTTGTGCTTTTGCTTTTTGCTTTGCCTTTCCTTTTCCATGCTCCTCCCCTCTTTTCTCCGCAATGGTGGTGGTTGATCGTGCTGGCCAATGTTACAGGTCGCATTATGCGGTTGATCGAATTATGTACATACCGTATGGGACTCGGCGAGCGAAACTCTCCGGAAGGCGAAGTGCGGAGTGCGGAGAGTGGAATGCGGAGAGTGGAATGCGGAGAGAGCCAGTCAGGCGAAGAAGAAGGTCTCGACTGTCTCGACTGGAAGCGGCCGCTACTATATTTCCACTTGACCGCTCCTTTGGCCCTAACTAACTAACTAACTAACTAACGAGCAAGTTACTCTAAGTAACAATCTCCCGCTTCGACGCTTCGCGGAACCCGAGGATCCCACAGAAAAAGCGGAGGCGGGAAGGAAGAAGCAAAGCAAAACAAAAGGCAAAGGAGCACCCTCCTCCCCAACTGTCACGTCACATGTTCACTGGTGTTGGCTTGCAAGGGGTACATAGTACAATACGTCTTCCCGGAGCAAGAAAGATGCACCTCACCTCGCCTCACGCACATGCCGCAGTAAGACAGCGTCAGGTGCCCAAGTAGAGCGTGTAAACTACTGGGTTGCATCTCATCTGAGCCTACCCCAACCCACGGGATCCTCTAACATCACTTCGCCCTTCATCCTTCACCCTTCACTCTTCACCTTTCACCCTTCCCCAGCCAGCCCACCGGGACCGCCGGAAGCAGCAGCAGCACGATTCGAGAGTGAAAAAGCGGCATCGATCGTCCTCCGTCCATCCATCCGTCCCAGCCATTCATTCACTTGTAGCCGGAATGCCGGAAGGCCAGAAGGAAGTCGGGAAGTCAGGCAGGAAGTAGGGAGGGTGGAAACCACGAACAAGAGGATAACTACCGGTACATAAGAAATGAATGAATGCATGCTATGCAGGTATGAGGTAGGTATGCACGCAGCACGCACGCAAAGAATACAGTTGTACACCGGGCCAAAAGCTCTCAATTCAAATCCAAACCACTGTGATGCATATCTCAATCCCCTCGCTCCAAAAATTGGCCCCTTCTCCACACCCGTATGTATGCACCCCCCGTTCGTCACGCCGAATAAAAACACTCCGCCCCGCCCCGCCGCCCCGTCGCACGGCCGCTACCCGGTCGCGAACCCGGAAATGACTCTTCCCATGAACTGGACGGACGTATGTATGTGCGTGTATGCGTGCGTGTGAGCGTGCGTGTGTGTGTGTCGTGCGGGAGGGAGGCGTGTGGGCTCGGCCATGATTGGCGCCTCGGCGGGGACAAGTAGAGTACGTAACTAGTATCGGCCAGCACCACCAGCACCACCGCCGCCGCGAGGAGGCCTTATCTGCAGCCTCCTTCCCAGGCCGCGGCGCGGACAGTCGTTGTAGGGCCCGCACCAGGAGTTCTCCAGAACGTATGGAGTCTCGCGAGAGCGGCTGTACCCGCAGTCGGAGATCCCGGCGGCTTGCGCTACCGCGCACCGCTCGATGGTGTTGCCCTTCAGGCAGTTGCATTGGTGGAATATCGCACGTCTGTTGCACATTTCGTATCCGGTTTTGGGGAAAGGGTGTTGGAAGGGGGGGCAGGGAAGGAGAGGGGGAGGGGGAGGGGGAGCAGAAGGAAATGCGGAGGGAAGCGCTGTGTGCTGGGGCTCTTGTTGAAAGACGAGGGATATGTACTCGAGATGGTGGTGATGTTCGAGAAGTAGTGATGGGCTGGGAGGTGTAGATGGCAGATATGGAGAAGCTCGAATTCGGTACGGGCTTCGACCGCGTTATATCCTAATTCCCATTCCAGCTGCCATAGAAATGGTATGGCAATGAGCAATGAGGAAATGAATGTGAGCGCCGCATCTTCGGTGGCATGCGTATATACATTTCTATGCTTCTTCTATTCTCTGGTGATGATATTGAATTGGGGGGAGAGATCTGTCCCTCGAGAGAGAGAGAGAGAGAGAGAGAGAGAGAGAGAGAGGTATCGCAAGCCTGTGAGCGCTGGCCGCCGGCCAGGTTGATTGGACGAAAGTATGGCCTGTCCTCGGTTTTCGGTGGTAATTGGGACACATAGAACGTGCAGTGCAGGCAGTTTCGCCCCTTCGCCCCCAGACGCGTCGATTCATCCCATCTTTTGTCCTCTTCGCTCGCCTATGTACCTATGTCAAGTCCAACGGAAAGAACCATACACCAACTGTGCAGGCCATCCCCCCGCCTCAGTGGATTCTGATTCTGGCCGGGAGTGTCTTATGAAAAAAGAGGTAATTCACCAAGAAATCTGCTGCAATAAGCCGATGCTGGCTGGCTAGCTGCAGGCGCGTGAGTCGGTAAAAGGAGTGGGTGCATCGATTGCCCGGAGAATTCGGGGACGATGACGGTGACTGTGAACCGAATGGATAGAATATCACGTATAGCAGGATCATCATATGCAGCTCCCGACTAGAATATTTGTGATGTGTAAGTAGAGCCAATGGTCGGATGATACTGATGCAGCCATATTCCCTTCGGACTAAATCCATGCCAACGCTTCCACTCCGTGCATACTATTCAAAACTTGCGCTTCTTCTTGGGCGGCGCCTTCTTCTTGGCCTCCAGCTCCTTCTGTAGTTCAAGCCGTTTCCTATCTGCCTTCTCATCCTCGTCTTCAGGCACTGGTGGTGGCGATTTTACCTTGGAGACCGCGGGGAGCGAGGACTGGAAAACGAACGAACGAACGCGGGTGAGTTTTAATCCTAGTTGGTGCGTCCAAAAAAGCACAGGCGTTACTTACGATAAACGATGTCGCCGCTGCGGCCACTGAATTCTCTGCACCATCACCCAGCCCAACTTCCAGTTTGGCTTTCGGCTTCCCTCCTATCCTGCCGATAGACTTCCTGACGCCGCCTCCAACACCTGCCGCTGGTGGTGCAGCAGGAAGACTGCCTGGCTGTCGCAGTGACTGTTTGTCAACACCACCACCGGGCGTCATCGCAGACAACCCAGGTGCAGGGGGAGGAGAAGGCTGTGGTATACGACTACCAATCTGACCTGTGACCCCTTTCGTCACCGGTGGATTTTCTTTGGGCGCCGGTGCGTCAGCCAACCAGGATCATGAATCGTTGAGAGACAACAACAGCGGTTAGCCTTCTCACCTTCTACGGCTCCTTTCATTGATGCCGCTGGTGGTGATGGCGGTGGCCTCCGTCGCACTCCAGCGTCGAGGTCGTCTTCGCTATCCGTCGTCTCTTCGCCTGCATCCGCCATGGTCACCTCTGGCGGCGTCTCGTGCATCACCAGATGTGCGGGTGGTGTTGCATGAGGCTCAGGAGCAGGGGATTTCGCCCTCCGTTTGTCACCAACCTCACCAATGACCTTCTTTGAGAACATTTGTGGGGGTGGACGGGGTGGGGGAAGTTCATCATCTGACTTTAGGGAAGAATCAGCACATCTTGTTCTCGGGTTCAGACATCGGGAGGACTCAGGAGACCAACGTCGCTCTCAATTTTTTTCTTTGAATGGCTCCCACGAGCGGCTGGAGGTGGCGGTGTCTTGAGAGGCTGTATACATTTGAATGATGAGCTGCGAGACGAGAACCCTGATTGGACGGGGGGAAACACGTATGGTCACTCACCTCAAATCCATCGTCTTCACTCTCCGTCTCAGACCACATTTGCGGGCCCGGCTCCGGCTCTCCCTCTTTCTTTCCGAGAATGTTTCTGGGCTCTTCCTTTACCGGAACAGCTGGAGCTGCTGACGATTCCCGTTTTGCGATCATAGCAGCCGATGTTCCACCGACGCCTTCACCATCACCACCACCACCATCGTCCTCGCCATCCGTTTCATCGTCGAAGATACCTCTCCACCACTCAGCAGCCTGTTGTTTAAAAGCCTGGACAGGCGTACCCTCCCCGCACTCCCCAGAGGTGTAAACCGACCGCACAACCTCCGCACCGCTCTGCTCACCATCGTACCTCAAATTCCTATCCCACGCCACCTCGTCAAACGGCGCGAGTACCTTCCTTCTCCTCGGGCCAACAATGACGTCGACCCTAACCTTATTATCCTCTAGCGCGTCCTTCATCTTATCGATAACATGATCCTTATCCTTGATAACCGTCTTCAGACTCTCGATCTGCGCCGCCTGCAGCCCCGCCAACGAAACTAACGGCATCACGAACACGTTCGTGAAATCCATCTGCGTTCCCAGGCGCAGCGTGAACGTCCACTCCAACTCCGGCAGCGGTGGCGGCAGATCTACCGCTAGTCGCAGCTTCAGATCCCCAACACCATCACCATCGCTGCCGCCTCGTCGGGGTATACACGACAAAACCAACTCCGATTGGTCGCTGCCACCGCCTAGCCCGCCCTCGATCTTCTCGAGCAGCAGCGACAGCTGCGACGCATCCTCTGCGGGGTCGATGGTGGTCGAGGCCTTCGCCGCGCGCGAGAGGATCCCGCTGCGATCGAGACCCTCGCTCCAGACTTGGACGAGGTCGGTGATGTGTACGGTGTATGAGCTGCTCGTGAAGCTGGTCTTGACGAGAAGTGAGGGCGCGGAGCGGATACTGGTCGTCAGAAGGAGTGGGTGCCATGATGAGGACTTTTTCGTTGGAGCGGACATAGTGCAGTTGTGGTTGTCGGGCAAGATATGGTAAGGTGAAGATACAGCTGGGTATCTTTCATCTGGGGAAGGTTACGTGATGGGTGTGGATGACTCGCGAGACGCGATAGAGGTCGCGTTCAAGGATCATCATCACGTGGGTGCTTAAGGCCGCAATCGTGATAGCCCCCGGGCATTTATGGTTGATCCGCCCCCGCGTTGCTCGAGTTTTGCTGACGATTACTACCACGCTTCTAAAGACGCAAATCGACCAGAGTGTGATAGCTCCAGGCTCAGGCCAAGGCTAAAACAAGGCTCCCGAGAAAATGCTGCAAACAGGAGTGCAATTCTCCGTCTTGATGCTTCAACACTTCGCGCAAAGTTTAATCAGAGCAGATACATCGTCAATTTTATCTCACCGACCCCTAAATCCCCGGATTCCTCTAGATCCCAAGATGTTCACGCAGAGCAAACATAAAACTACTCCTCAATCCCACTTCACTGACCTTCAACTCTCAGGATTCCTCCAGATCTCAAGATGTTCACGCAGAGCAAACCTAAAGAAACCCTCATGATAACAGTGATGACATCCAGGGAACACAATACATGTCTCGCCCTCGGCTGCGAGAGCTTAACATCCCTTATTCCGCCGATGGTGAGGCTAGCAAGCACGAATGAATGCAGTTGACCACACACGAGGTTCGGTCGAATCACCGTTAAAACTACATCTTGGCATTATCTAGAAATCACAGAATAGCACTCGACTGCCTCATCCTTTTCTCTCCTTGGGCATCCGCGTTCCATCGAACCGGGGTTACTCCTGCTGTTCCTCTCCACGCCCTCCTCCATGGCATCTTCTGATAAAGAGGGAAGTGGCGAGGTGGACTGAGGAATGGTCCTTCTTTCCTCCCCTAGATTTATTTCCTTGGTGCGCTCTACATGTGTCTATGTGAAAGGCCAGGGGGAGGAGTAGGGGAAGCCACAGTAAACTGCCTGACGAGAGTTAGACTGGATAGCGGATGGGAAATGGAGCGTGTATATTGCCGTGAGCTAGATAGGTCGCATGTAGTTGGTGATTAAACAAAAGAATAATCTGCGTTCCATCTCAGACGGCGGAGGCAGCCAGACATTCACGGAAATCATCGACCAGGACGAGGTGAGGGCCAGGTCATGAAGGAAAAGAGAAGGAACTTGGAAGGAATGGGCGTGGAGGGAATAAACAAGGACAGATCGGACCGGGCTTAAGGACGGACGGGGCGGACGGAGGAGGGCTGCGGAAGCAAAGGACACACTATCTTTCTCCTTCCTCTTTCTCTTTCTCTTCCTTTCTACATGATCACGCGAATAACTCAACACATAGAATTAGGTACATCTTGATAACCGACCGTCCTTCCCCGGCCGACTATGCAGGTAGATACCGGTACTCGGAAGCCAGTGCTAGCTCCCCAGAAGATAAAACTAACAAAGCCAAATACCTGTTTACCCTCAAAAGCCACAACCTGCGAACGTCTGCCACGCGTCCGCGGATCCGAAAAGCCAATTCGGAGGCCGGGAGGGTAAAAATTCCGACGCCAATTGCCGCTCGTGAGAAAACCAGAATGTATCAAGATCCAACGATAGAGAAACGCAACCCCAAAAGAATCTGGTTTCTTCGGTAGTTCTTTCCCCAGGATTCCATATGAGGTCATTGAGTTTTTCGAGTGATAGCCAATGGAACAAACGACAGTATTTTTAGACAATGGCATTTATAATTGGCCGGCGATTGATAACTGTCCCTGAACGGCAATACCGGTATTCCATGACTCCCTACCTCATACCTCAAACATTGGTTGGCTGTTGGCCATTCTGCATGCGGATGGCCTAAGATTTTCTCTTTAGAGGCTCCGCCGCCGTTGGTTTTTCCCGCACTCCGAACATCACCACCTTTTACCCCGCCAATCCACTCCGCCCCGCTGCGCCGCCCGCTACGAACGCACACTATTCCGCCGTTAGGCCACCTATTTCTGCCCTTTCCAACTAACTAAGCCAAAAACGTGGGAAGGAAAAGAGGCAATAATGTCATCATCGTCCGGGTTTCGTTTCCCCCTCCATTTCCGCTCCCTGGTTTCCTTCTCGAAAAGAATATCATCTCCTCCTTGCCGGCCTACAGTTTGTGCTTACACCCTCTTTGTTCCGAAAACCTACAGAAACGAAATGTCTTCCATTCCTAAGCCCGTACGTCGCCTTTGCGAATCCAATTGAGGTTGAGGGGAGCTGATTGCTGATGATTGTGATGGCAGGTCCGCACTCACGATGCCTGCCCTCGTAAGAACTCCACAGGGATAGTAGTTACTCCAGTTACATTCTGACCACACTCGCCGCCTACAGCCGCAGGCCCCTATGTACGATCCCCAGACCCCCACATCACCGCTTGCCTAGGTATTGATAGGCCCTTAGTCCCAGGCGATCAAGGCCAACGGCCTCGTCTTCGTGTCGGGCCAGATTCCCGCCGACAAGACCGGCGCGATCATCAGCGGCACGATCGAGGAGCAGACCGAAGCCGTCTTCGCGAACCTCTCCGCGGTGCTCAAGGCCTCTAACAGCTCGTTCAACAAGGTCGTCAAGGTCAACGTTTTCCTGTCCGACATGGCAAACTTTGCCCGCATGAACAGCGTGTACGCAAAGTACTTTTCCGGCCACAAGCCCGCGCGCAGCTGCGTCGCCGTTAGGGAGCTCCCCTTGAAGGTCGATGTTGAGATCGAGTGCATTGCCCTGGAGGATAACACTCCGGGCAAGAGGTCCGCGGTCGCGGCTCAGTATGTGCTCATTTCCTCTGGGGTGGGGAGATTGTAGGGGATGGGAGAGTGGGAATCTTGTGCTGACGACTTTTGGACGGTATAGGGCCGAGAGGGAGAACGAGGATGACGACTAGAGGGAATGCAAATGCAAGTGTTGGAAATGAAGGGATTAAGTTTATAGCCATGAGAAGTTCAAATGAAGGACCCTAAAGAATGGTTGTGATTGCCGAGCTCATGAAGAAGCGGAGAGTTGCACGGCGCAACTCGGGAACTATGGATGATTGCATCGCTGAGTGACCATCGCTGAGTGACCATTTTCTAAGCATTACTCCATATCACTTCAAGTACGGTAACAATCGAAACAGCGCATCGTAATGTCCAGTAATCCTTTATACACGTTCGCTAAATACCAGAGTCTCCCAGCTAGAACATTAGGAAGCCTCAATTCTATCCCATATTCTCCCAGAATCATGCATCCCATTCGAAAGTAGTGGCCACAGTAGTTGGTGACATTATTCGTGGGCGGCCAATCAAATCGGTATCTCAATTGCGTTCCACGTCGTCGACCCCATAATCACGAGACATCCTCTCCCTTGCCGGGCGCATCTGCGATCGGCTCGTCTTCATCACCACCGTTTTTGTCCGTCCTCTCAATGCCTGGAGAACGACTTCTAGGCCTTCCTCCAGCACGGTCTGCACCACCCCGCCCTCCTCTGCCACCCCGCCCACCACGCGAACCTGCACCCATTCCTCCTGGCGGCGGTCGTACAAACGCGAAGTCGCAAGAGATGGTCTGGTCGAGGAGCTTGGTGCCGTTGGCCTGGGCGATAGCTTCGCGAGCCTCGGGGAGCGTCGAGTATTCTATCAGCGCGTAACCCTACAAGTAAAGCCCAGTCAGGTTAATCGTCAAAACAAGAGCCACCGTAGCACATGGGTGTAGAAAAAAGGTAGCCCGTGAGGGCGAGTAGATGATGAGCGCACCTTAACGTATCCCGTCCGCCGGTCCAAGTTCAAATGCATATTCTGGATGTCGCCGTACTCTGCAAATCGCTCCTGCAGGTCCTCTTCGCTCGCCTCCTCGTGAACATTGGTGACCAGGACGATCCATCCCTCGATGGAACGTACCGCGAACGCGCCGCCGGCAGTCTTAGGCTCGGTGCTGCCGCCCTTCGTTTCGAGCTCCTCTGCCGGGGGCACGTCGTCGATCTCCATGTCGGCCATAGCTGTGGGGGTGGCTGGTTTGTGTGGATATGGGATTGACTTGTGGAGAGGGGTGATTGAAAGTAGGAGGTCGTTGGAGTCGCGGGTATAGGTGTGGTGACGGCGGTGTGTGGGGAAAGTTGGCGTTTCGTTTCGTTCGCGCGCGATAGTTGTCTCGTTTATTACCCGGCGATTTTATGTGGGGGCGACAAGTGTGAATATGTAGCGACCTCAGCTCATCACTCTGACAACCCTCTAGTGATATTACACACCAAAGACTCGAGCATCTAGCATCACTCGCGTGTACTAATAATCGGAGTGGAGCATATTGCTCGCTTTTCTCTGCTGCCTCAGCCGTATCTACTGTATACCGAACGCGCAATCTTTAACGGAACGAAGCACGGCCATTTTAGGCGGACCTGCAGTTGCGTCTATAACGACTTAGGTGGGATGGTCCTTCGCCCGATCGGGCACGGTACCGTCTATAGCGTCTGTGGCCTCAGCTTCGATCGTCCTCCTTGACCCGAGACTTGTAAGCTGCATTTTGTTTCCTCCATTGCACTCTTGCCCACTTTCTCATTCTCCTTTCACCTTCTTCCCTTCTATCCCAGGTACCACCTCACCTTCCTCGCCAACTACCTCCTTTGTTTGGGTTTTCCTTTCTCCAAATAGTCACCTCATCTTCTCGCAGATACACAATTTCTGCTTCAACATAATCAATTGACCTTCATACACCGCAATCAGCATGTCAGGCAACACGGATTCCTGGTGGGATGACGGGAATGATATTTGGAAATCACGCTGGGCTCCTCCCAAACCCCGGGTCTCCTCGAAGGCCAAGGTCATCATCGCTCCAGAACAGAAGAACCCCAGCACGGCTGCCACCCTCGCTACCGAGACGTCCCAGAGCTTAAATAAATTTAGCTTGACGAATGGCCTTGACGCGTCCTGCTGGGCAACTTCGAGCTCCGTTCCTCCGAGGCTTAGAGAGCGCGGATCTGGACACGCTGCTCGCCGGGGTGATCGTGGTGGTGGTGGTGGTGGTGGGAACATTAATGGCCAGTCGCTGAGCGTCCATACCGGTCCTCCGGCCAAAGGAGCAAAGTTTCAATATGATGACACTAGGGACGTCGTCATGGGCGAGAACACTCCCACTACATCGCCGATTGAGTATGAATTACACCTCTTCCTAGTTCTGAGGGGAACAGCACTGACTAAAGTGGTTGTTGCAGTGTCCAGTTCCCTTCAACCACACTAAAGACGGATGCAGATGGTGATATCATCATGGACGATCTAGACGATGTTGCCGCTGCGTCTCAAATCAATCAGGCTCTGAGTGATCAGCGCGTCGGTCCGCTTCAATCTCAAAAAGAGATCAAGGATGTGAGATGTCCCTTTACCAAATGACGTGGACCAGCTGTGTTGATATTGACTGTGTATAGTCTTCTCTCGATCCGGGGATGAGGGCTTCGGTGGTTAAATGGGTGTTGGTGGTTGACACCAGTTTCATTCTGTCCCATCTTCATTTGGTCGACAACTTGGTGGACGCATACCACCGCTGGGGAAACGTCGTTATGCTTCCATGGGCCACCATCATGGAGCTTGATGGCCTGAAGAAGAGCAATTCGAACATCCGTGTCAAAAACGCCAAAGGCATCGAAGAAACCGTGAGTCTCGGTATGCTCGCCCGCCGTGCCAATCACTGGTGCTACGAAACCATGGCAAAGAGGAAGAGCGGTCTGTGGGGACAGATGAAAGAAGAGGTCATTGATCCTATGGCTGTAAAGGGGGACGCTGCGATTCTCGATTGTTGCCGGTAAGCATTCTCTCTTGTAGTTATGAGTGCGGACCGCTTGATAACCGACTTTGTGTTTAGCTTTGTGAAGCAGAAAAAGAGTGTCCACACCGCGATCCTCTCCAACGATAAGAACCTTTGCTACAGAGCCCTGGTATACAGTAGGTCCACATCTTCACTACGAAACTGGCTTGACACTAACCCCAGGTCAGATGTCTCTGCCGTCTCATTCGCTGGCACTCCTTTGACTGCCGATGGAGTCATGAAGACCCTTGAATCCAATAAGAAAGATACATCCTCATCCCGTCCACCCGGTATCTGGTCCTCGGTCGAAGATTTCGATAAACCCGTCCCCAAGTTGCCGGAAAACCCTCCTTCCTTTCCTAAAACACCCCCACGGGTCGAAATTACCGGAAAGGGTCTCTACGACTCGCTGTATACCGGGTCATCTTGTGGAGCGGTTGCGCCGTCTGATGGTAACCGGAGCGGGCATGGGCATGGAAACTTCAATAATTTGCCTAAGGTTCAGGCCGATGTGGGATTGCTCTTGCTCAGGATCGAAGATGATCTCCTAACCAACATTGTTCCATTACTGCATGCGCTCTGGACCTCCTCCAACCTTATTTCTCGGGGTATTCAGGATCCTTCCGGGGCACGGAACCTCGAGAATATTGAAATTTCCCTCTGGCATTGTGTTCAGCCTTTGTTCGATCAGCTGTACCCCGGAAAAACGGAAATTCGTGGACAGGTTAGCAGCAGTGAGCTCTCACGCATCTGGAACGCCTGGGGTTCCTGGTCGGCTCCAGATTTGCAACGTCTACCGTCCGTCAAGCCAACACCTCAAGGTCTCACTCGTTTCATCGAGAGTTGGGAAGTTCTTTGGCGTGGCTTGATTCATTTCGCCCAGGAACCTGAAGATACCAACCGTCGTCTTCTGCTTACTGTTGAGACATGGAAGGCGTTGATTTCGGGGCTTGCTCATAGTTTGGCTGCTTTTAAGTAACCGACTAATCATAGCCAGATTTCCTGTGGCTCACTCAGCTTCCCCTGTTATTCATGCTGTTACAATTCCTCTCTTCCCCTGTGAGATTTCCCCAATATCGATACCCAGTCCCGAATCCAGAATCAACTTACCGTCATGGTCTTGAGTGCCCCGACGTTGTACAAGTTGTTTCTCCCTTCATTCATCTATTATATTTTCCCCTTCCTACTATTTTCTCTAGTGCTTTGCCTTTTTGGTATACCTGTTTTCACCCCCTTCTTTTTTATGAGGTTATCCCTCGTTACTTCCCCTTGACGTATCACTTGCGTGTTCGAGTTTATCGCAAGACGGTGTTTGTTTATGTATTTATGCGTGTTTCTTTTTCTTTTCTTGCTAGGTTTCTCATTGGATTGGGAACATATGGTGGGCGGTGGCGCTTGTTTGTCTTTGCGTCGAAGTGGAGGAAATTGATTTTCTTTGCTTTGGTGATGCTTGCACTTCTGCGTTTGTTGATTTATTTATGTGTATGATGACGAGGCCGGAGGCGGGAGGCGAATTAAGTATGTTTTTATATTGATATGGGCTCCACGAATGAACCGTTTTGCGGATCGTCAGGTCGCTTTCGGACATCTCATGGCGAGCAGTACTGAATTATCAATCAATCAATTGCTTTCCCCATAGGCTTCTTTTTCGCTTATCGGGATAGTTTGTAGGAGTGGTTTTGTGTGGGATTTCTCAATGCGGCTCTGCAGGGCTTGCCCTGTTGTGACTAGTATTTCCTCATGTGAACTAGCTTTTAGCACTCCACACACAACAATTAGGGACTCCCGCCGCAAATCATACTATCGGAAATTGACGAAGACGACCGACCGACCCCCCGACGACCGACGCTCAACGACCCCACGACAAATCCACGAACCTTCGATCGGCGAGAGCACCCGCAGTAAACAATGGCCGACACTAGACTTACTTACGTGAGTGTTTTCCCGATATGAGGGGAGAATTTTGGGAAGTGGGAAGAGTTGGATGCTGACAGTATACCTATTTTGTAGAGGCGGAGGAACCCGTATGCAATCCCACCTACAAACGATGTCGAGCGAACTGGCAACGGGGGGAATGGGAGGGCTGACTGAGGATCGATCGCAGGTACAACACCCGGTCCAACAAGGTCCGCGTTGTCAAGACCCCCGGTGGAAAGCTTCGGTACCTCCACATCAAGAAGAAGGGTAGCCCGGTGAAGTGCGGTGACTGTGGCATCAAGCTTCCTGGTGTAAGTTTCACCTATCGGTATCGAACGCGATTGGGGACTTGTTTCTGATGGGTGGATTTCGACATACAGATCCCCGCCCTCCGCCCCCGCGAGTACGCCCAGATCTCGAAGCCCAACAAGACCGTCCAGCGTGCCTACGGTGGATCCCGCTGCGCCAACTGTGTCAAGGACCGCGTTGTTCGCGCGTTCTTGATCGAGGAGCAAAAGATCGTCAAGAAGGTCCGCCTCTACATCCCAGGCGTGTCTCGCGGTCGAGACGAAGTGCTGACCATTTTGCGTGAACAGGTCCTCAAGGACTCCGCCAAGAAGCGTTAAACGCTTTCTTTACTTCCTTCTTGTGCGTTTTTTTGTCAACATAACTGGGAATAAAAGCGGGTTTTCTTGTTCTTGTGGTGTTGGCCGGGCTGGGAATTGTACAATCGCGCAGGTCGACGGACACGGGTACCGGAATACGAAGCGAATCTTCAGTCAATCTCGTACACGGCAATGGCGTTGTGCTATAGGGTGGTTTAATGTCTAGACGATGGTGACGAAGATACTCGGTGTTGTCTGCATATGCGTCGTTGCCTTCCAAATCTTTGTGCGTCTAAGGGTGTGAACGCGTTCCGATTATGTCCGCGAGGGATGACAAAATCTTTGGCCATAAGAATTGCACGTTACGTCTGCCTTGTATTCTCAGCAGATTTGAGGACTGAACGCCAAATTCGACTGCCATAATCACCTTGCGCAAAGCTACTTTTCATGTGTAACTTGTTTTCTCTAGCTGTCCCCTGCGCATCCTCCACCAACGCGCAACCACAACTCATCCACTTCTCTCCTCCAGTTCCATGTAAGCCGAATTCTGACCGGCCCGATATTGCCGTTTGTTGCGCGCCCGGAGCTGCCGGAATCACTGCCCTGCATGCACTGAGCCATCCGCTAACCTCCGGAATCTGAAGCTACGATTAGCTCAAGTCGGCCTTGCGCTATGGTTGGTGAAACGCCGAAATGCCGCCCCAGCGCCGGCCGGCACCGGCGGAATGATGATGAGGCGGGATCATGGTCGTGTTCATGTGTATTATTGATTCTCGGCGGCCGGGGAACTCGACAGCGCTTCTCGTTTTTGTAATCATTACACAGCTGCTTGGACAGCCGCCAGCGCTTCTCCGCTGGCTACGACGCTGGTCCGTGATCTTCAAGCGAGTGATATATCGTGCGCTATCTAGGTACTCCCATGACCTGTACCCTCACGCCGAAAACCTCCCCGCTCCTCCTCCTCCTCCTCCTGGTCTGTTCCCACCTACAACAGGCGAGCTCCAGATCCTACATAACCTTCCCTACCTCCCTCGCTCCCTCCCGCGAGACGATCACGGACAGATGAGTGTGAATCGCTGTCGGCAGCCGCTCGCTGATCACAACCAGGTACAACCACGTAAGGAGTTCGACAAGCGGGGTGAAAAAAGCGTTCTATGCAAGGGGGGGTGGGAAACGGGATATTCAAGACTCAAGTCGATGCAAACCCCGCCGTTCCGTTTCAAAAAACCTTTTGCGCGCGAAAATGGATGGGTGTGCTGTTGGTTATTTGGCGGGACGTTCTGTGCTGCCAAGTTGCTGTGTGTGTACGGACTCCCTTGCTGGTCCTGTCACTGTGCTACGGGCTCAGAGTCGGGATTCTTTGGCGTTCCTGGGAATGGCGGGGCTCGGTGATGGATCAGGGCGGTGAGGTATTTCGGGCTTTGGGAAAGACGGCTGGGTGGTTGAGACCACTTGGATAACTAAAAACAAGAGCGTACTCGACACACCGAGGGACAAATGATTCGATGGCTCGATGGTTCGACAATACAGATGCGTACAAATGCGAAGGTGATGAAGCACCCGAAGCCAATGGGTACCCCAGAAGAACCCGTGTTGAAATTTGAAGGCAATAGGTAGAGTAGAGCAATGAATGGACTTTCTCCCCCTCCATTCTGCACTGGTGACTGGTGAAAGCTATTAACCCAACGGTTCCAACCAGGCTTGCTCTTTTTTGCCATGTCAACTTTCAAGCATGGCGGTGAAGGCAGATGCAACCAACGTTATATGTACAGTGTACTGCACCAAGCTCAGCGGCCATAGCGGGTATGTTGGCAGGCAGGGGAAAACAACGGACTGCCAGTGGCGGTCTGATTGCTTCCGGCAGATGTCTTTCCCTATATAGTACAGCTTGGTGATGGGACATCGCATACCTATGATATCTGCACCCGAAGAAGAGCTCGGGATTCATATCCTTGTATGTAGGAGTGAACTTCGACTACATAGCATCCGGCATGGGTAAGGAAATTGCCGCACTCGCACACTTCTGAGATGTAGGTAGCTTGCGTACTGCAGGTGGTCTTCAGAGTTTACTGGTGACTTTAGTCGCTGTTAGTGGCCTCAGGATGGTGTGGAATGATACTCTTGGTGTCACGGCCTCTAGCTATTGCTCTTATTCTCCTGACCCCGAGAAGTCTCGGAGAAGCCATCATCAAGATGGCCTACGATGCTTGGCATATTCTAGACATACAGTTATCAATAATCAAAGCAGGCCCTGGCCGATAACGTCTATGGAAACAACTGACGCCAGCCCTAGTTTCCAGCTGCTCCTGGGGAACAACCGTCACCTTACATAGCTATGGGGCGGAATCTGTGGTGTGGACGTGAGGAATGAACACTGAACAGCAGCTTCATGCATACCGAAACGAAACGAAACATAGCGTTGGCCTATGGCGAGGCAATGCAGTTTGCCGTGGCTAGAATCCATTACGGGAGACCCCTTTGTTGTGGGAGCAAGAGGATTTGAATGGTGAGGGACGGTCAGTTATGGGCAGTTGGAATGGTTGGGTCGTGCGAATCGAGATGTGAAGATTGGATGCGGTGGCTTGGTCCGTGTGCCCAATCCGGTCCCCGAATCCCCGCATACCGTACTATACTTGTACCTACTGTCCTACGCCGGTATGTACGACGGTCTCCCGCCTACATACTTAGCAAGAGTGGATGGTACCTGGCATTTGACGATGGACCGAACTCGGAATAGGTGCAAGAAAGAAAAAAGCACTTTTGCTCTTTCCATCTGCTGGGCAGGGTCGGTATTTGGGAACCTGAGTAGAGCTCCGGTATCGAAGCGAATTGGCGCAGTATCGGTGCGGTGTTCTTTGGCCAAATACCAGTTTATGGCAGTATGTTTTCAGTGATGGGGGTTTTCTTTCATTCCCCTCATCCATTTGCCTAACGGTTGTAATACTAGTACCAAGTACTTCTTTTCATCATGTAGTGCAGTGCCCTATCATGCATAAATGCCAGTATTCTCCCAGGAGTTTCATTCTCCAGAGTCAAGACACCAACGGCAACCACCACAGCATCCGGCACATAACTTCACCACCTCAGCCCTTAGTTATGAGCAATATCTTTCTCCAGGCGTCGCTCTTCACTTTCCACGAGCGTCCCTTCAATCTAAGTTTCTACGCCCATTCTTTGCCATGACACCAGCAAATCGCCAATCACCGTCTCGAGAGTCGAGACCTATCAACAAAACCGTTATCTCCGCTCCCGTCAACGGGATATCGTATCAAGAACACCGCTTCCTGGACTTGTGCCACGTTTCATCCATTCATTCATTATACGGCCGCGCTGATGATTTCCAGTTGCGGTCAGTGCATGCCACCCCCATTTAAAGCATGTGCCCTTCGGCCAACGGAGGGGCCAATCTTTTATACCTATGGTAGTACCGTTCGCGGAGCCCAATAATTGGAATCGTGGCCATCAGGTTCTAGGTATCAGAAGTTGAAACAGTCGACGATGCTTGCCAATATTTCAACAGGAATGGAGCTGAGGGCCCAGAAATAGGTGTATGGTGTTCGTGAATCGTGTCTAGCAGTGGATGGGATGGGAGAGCTTGTGTACTTGGGGATAGGTAGGGCTCTATGTGTTGGCTTCTCCAATAATTTCGTGCGGGTTTGAAGTTTGAAGTTTGAAGCCAGCCTTTACAAGGTGGTTGAAGTGTAGGTACGTACTGTACTCTATCACCAGTGGTTTTGGCCGGGTTTCCCCGGTCGGCGGTCGCAGCACCACCACCACTTGTATCTACGCCACAATCGTGACCGTATCTATATTGGCAAGGACTAGCTGGCCAGGCCGGCGGTGAAGTACCTCAGATCTCTGGAAAGGTATTCGTAACCGAGTGAGATCGTATGTTTCACATACTGCCTGTAGGCTGTACGTGTATTCCACAGGCGCGAAACCACCCACCACCCATGCATATCTTATACGAGACTTCTCTCCTCTTCTCTGCAGAAGCCCCTTCCGTCCTCTACATACATCCTTCGAAGTTCGAAGTTCGCGGTCCGAGCTGAACAGGTTAAAATAGTAAAAAATAAGAGTGCCGTCCTGTCCTGTCCTGTCCGCTGCCGGTGGTACCTCTCCAATCCTTTCATAGGAAGTATGTGCCCCCTACAGCTGAATTCAACGAGCAAAAGGAGAACTCAGAAGAGTGAATGCCGTATGCAAGGGGGAAACGGTGCCGACGATTTGCATAGGTAAATACTTGGATATGTCGAGTACATACAGGAGCAGTGACCCAGTGGATCCTAATGCCGTCATAAAACCGACTTTAGACTTTAGACTTTGGAATGTTGGATGGATGGATGGAATCACGGACCGTGCTTTTTCGTTTTTTATCAACACCCTCTCTGTCCGCTGCGACCGCCGACAATACTCTGCTTGTCCCACCACCACCACCACCACCACCACCACCACAACAACCAGTATCGAAATCGTCAGAAATTTTCAGCAGGGTAGGGGGGTGAAATCATAAATGTGAGATGTGGCGGACTTTGGGTTGGATTATGTAGAGTAGGTAGCGTTGTGGGACAGAGGATTAGGCTGTTTGTATGTACTGTACATACCTACACTACGGTACGGTATGTACTCTACTGAGTGATGTCCCCCGGGCCCCAATCAGACGTGCCGTAGGCATGCAAAGTCTGCAGTGCTGTGGGACTTGAAACAGCTTCAGCGTTTCTGTAGATTGTGAGGTCTGCTTTGATTTCCAACCGCATGGACGCATGCATACCTAGGATCTACATACCCGGTTAGCTGTTAGTTACTTCAGACCTGAGTGCTTAGCTACGCCTTAAGTAGCCGGAAGAACTTCGACAAGAGGTTACATACCATAGGTTTTTCGTTTCGGGGGACAGAGCAGAAACGCTTTTCAGTATTATGAACACGGTGCTATGCAACCGATACAGACGGTGGTGCTGGATGGTCATCGGTGTTGGCTGTAATCGCCTTGGCCAAGGTGTGATGACGTTGGGGCCGGCGGATACAGAAGAAACACCGATCCATGCCGCCCGTGCAACCACTCAGTTTCCTAGGTATTCCTCTACATACATTCAACACGAAACATTTGTTCTCCATGTTCACGTCCAATAACTCGACGTTCATGATGATTAGAATAGGTAGTAGCGGTGGACTACCGAATACCGTAGTAGGAATGCTGAGTCGCAGCGGCTGAAGGCTGAACTCACGGCATCGAGGTAGGTAAGAGGTGTGTATTATGTACCTCCAAGGCTGAGCCCTTTACCGTACTCATGCTGACGACTTTCCAGAAGCTCGAAGGAAGCCCAGACGTCAGACGTCTACTTACATACCCCCCTTGACTGGTAGTTAAGCCGCGATACCCGAGCTGAGAAGGTAGAGGAGGAGGAGGCCCCACTGTGGGGGTTTTGGGGCAAAGCCTGATCTAACAGTTAACTACCGACAGTCGAACTTGGAGGCCGCATGGCATGGTGGACATCGTCAGACGCGACTATCGACATATAGTTAAACGCAGCGTAAGAAACTCGACAACACATTGCGCCGAGGTTGTAATACCTCTGAAGTTCCCCTTGAAACTGTCGTCCCCATCAAGGTTCTACTCCGGGAGTTGGACTGTGGCTGCAGCGTCTATGTACTCTGTGGACGGGACCATGAGCAAACGCATTTCTGCAGTAATGAGGTGCTTGTGGAGATGGAGGTGCAGGTCGATCTGCTAAAATCGGACAAGGTGGTGAAGAACAGACAGATTATCGAATCCGATGGCCGTAGGGAAATGACGGAAGGCTTGCCGGGTGGTTTCTTGCAATGTACATTGTAAAGCCGACTGTTGTGCTGTTTCTTCAGTGAGAACTTGTCCACCTTATGGGACCTGGCAGTATAGTATCTTGGTCCAGGCCGCATCGATATCAGCGTAGACCAGATCTTGCACGATCATTATCGAAGCTTCGATTTTGCGGGATTGGTATCACGGCTGTTGGGTGGGCATATATTTCGAACAAGGTAGATATTGAAGTTCAAGGGAGCGGCCTCATACTGGGACCGTTACACTGTAGAGTACGCTTGCAGTGGGTTAACCTCATACCACTTGTTCACATGCAGGTATTGATCGGAAGCGGCGCTATTCCTGGAAACCAAGCACTTCCCTCTCATCCAGCTTGGGGGGGTCTAAGGTACCTACAGCGATCAGCGCCGACCTCTCCGTATACGCAATTCCGCAGAGGAGAACACTCTATAACCGGCCGAAGATCCGTGAGGACTGGACGAAGACTCCTATCACACGCACCCCTGAGCGGTCGGCAGTAACTAGTTCTCTATGGTATTCGTATGCACAGTGGAATTCAGGAGGGGTTGGAACAAGCACACTCCCCTTCCCTGCCCTGTGGCCGAGGAGACGGGCAACTGCGACTGGGGTGTCACGAAATCGAGCTCGCTGACTTGACGGACCGCCTCCTGCCCTCCACTCCCTGTGGCGGAACCATATTATTTGATCTCTCTCTGCTCACGCACGCCCTCTGCTGTCAGCCGAGACCCTCTTGCATACATACAGAACCCTTCTCATATCCAACTTGACGTTTGTATTTCCGACCCGCCTTGATTCTTCATATCTATCGCCACCACCACCACTACCACCATCATCACCATCACCACCGCCACCACCGTGTCGCCGGAAGTTCACGACCATAAGAAACAACAGATCACAAGGGGCGCTCCTCTCCATTCAGATATAATCTCTCAGCAAACTACTCTTCCGCTATATACCATCACCACCTCCACCATCTATAGGAGCCCACGATCTCAAGCTCTATGCCAACATGACCTTATCCGACTCTCCCATTCGACGGAAACCCGTCGCTCCTCCGTCGCCGACAGGAGCCGACAATAAGGAAGAGCCGACTTGGGACGCCAACTACAACGAGAAGCCAATAGTACTGAATCGCAAGGGGAAGGGAAAAGAGAAAGCAACAGTTTCGGCGTTTGATCGGTTGCCTCGGGAGATAATTCAAGAGTATGTTTTAGCGCGCGCGCTCGCGCAAAGTTGCCTGAAGGTGCCGGACTGACTGACGGAAAAAACAGGATTCTTTACACGGCAGATCCGAATACCTTCGATTCGCTGACGCTGATCAACTCGAAGTGGCATCACGCTTCGCGGAATGTGCTGCTCTACACGCACCAGCTAGCGCGATGTGGGATCACGAACGTGCCCGAAGCTAAAGGCAAAGGTGGTGACGACGATAGCAACGACGAGACTCTTCAGAACTTGATCCGTCTCTTCAACGAGGTCGGCCGGCGCGAGCTGTTCGAGACGGTGTTGCGCCCTAGCGTAACCGAAATTCAGCTCATCTACTCGGCATCGTCATCAGCCGCGGCATGTCCTGGGGGTGAAGCGTTCCGTTTCGAGTTTTCGCCGAAGGGAACGCAGCTACTTGCGCTGCTTTCGAGTCGTATCTTCGTTGTCGATCTGTCGCAGCGGGAGATTAAGGTCGGTCGCGAACTTAAAATATCCAGGAGGCCTGTGTCAGCTGCGATCTTGGATGACGGGAGTATCCTTGCTGTGCTGAGCTCGAATCAAAACGTCACCCTGTACGACCTCACCAAGCCAACCGCAAAGATCATCAAGAGCTTCCCGCTGGATAACGAGCCAAGGACGATCGCGTTGTCGCCGGGCGCGGAGGTGCTGGGCGCGGCGTTTGCGGGTGGGATCGAGGTGTACTCGCTGCACCCCGATGCGGGTCCTAACGATCGTCGGGCGGTGAACTGTGACACCGTTGACACGCTGGCATTCTCGCCGGATGGCACGATATTGCTCGGTACTACGTTGAACCCGAAGAATCCGACGACTGTTATTGTGTCTGCGCAACACTTTTCGACGGATATGCCGGTGGAAGGGTTGGCGCAGCTGTGGACCACGCAGGTTCTCTTCCCACGCAGCTCGAGGGATAGTTCGCATGCGAGTTTGTTGCCGGGCGATGAGGACGAAGAGGGCGCCACTTGGACTTTCACCTACGACCGCGTGTACGAGACGTTCCGCGCGGTCAGGGTAGACGACTTGAGGAACGGTCATTCGTACTTTGCTGGGCCGAATAATGCTAACCGGAGTGTCATACCCCCGGCGACATTGCCTTCTTCGACAAAGGATGGAAGTTTGGTTGCAGCTGGTTTCGAAGGCGGGCGGGTCTGGGTCTTTGGTATTCCGGAAAAACTTGATCTCCCTGCCGACTACATGTACAACGACTTCAACGGTGGAAGCGCAGTCAGCACTCCGGAGAGGAGCAACAGCACTGCGAGTAGGAGCGGTACCAGGGAACGAGTGCGTTCCATCGTCGTGCCGCAGTGGCAAGTGCTCTGCGACAAGATGCGGAACGTGTTTATCCGCGGACGCGAGGTTGGACAGGTCAACGGGTTATCGGGTGTCAAGTTCGTCATGAGCGTCGACGGGTCCGAGCGATTGGTTGCTGTCGCAGGTGGAGGAGTGGACGATGCGATGGGAGAGTGCAGTGAGGAGGAGTTCTTCGCTATTGGGGGTGGCAGGGTCACAGTCTACGATTTCACTCGGGGTCCCAGAGTCGGCTCGAAGGTGGTGATTCCCATCGAGGTTGGAGATGGTGTGCAGGGTCCGGTCGAAACATTGGTGGAGGAGCAAAGGGATCTCGAGGTGGAAGTCGACATCGTCCGGAGACGTACCGTTGCCAACCGAAGGAATGCAGCGTCGAGGCAGAATTCGTTCCCAACAGACGCACCCCCTGTTCCGACGACGAGGAGGCAAGCTCCGGGCTCAAGTGGAGGTACCAGTACGAGGACCAGGCCCGTCAGCCCACTTGCCCGCGCCTCCGTAGCTGCAGATGATACCGATGAGGCTATCGATGTTCCATACGTTCAGGGTGCTCCGCGATCCAGGAATGTGCTGCAGCGTGCTGCCACCGTCGCCCGCAGAACACCACAAACTGCAGACGACAGCAGGTACGCGCGTGCGGTAGGCCCTGACGGCCGGCCAAGTCCAGTTGTCCGTCAGCGCGCCCCACCAGACGAGAGATGGGATCCCCCGCCACCACCTTACACTCCCAGGAACCACAACCCGGCCCCGCTACCTCCGCAGCTGCTTTGGAGTCTTCAAGGCCCACCACGACACCCAGAAGTTCACATGCCTGCGCCGCCGGAGTCGCCACCACAGCAGCAAGGCGCTTTCCCGTTGGTTCCGCCGCAGGCGGAAGGACTCGAGAGAGCTAGGACTACCATTGGGGGTATCGTGCGGCGCGGCAGTCTCTTCAGGCTTGCAACTGGTAGCAGCAGCAACATCTTAGCTTCCCATTCTGCGCCCGTTTCTCCAGCCGTCGAAGGAATGCCAGCCCCGAACCTTCCGCAGCAGCACCACCACAACCTACCATTTCTCGGTATTCCAGGAAACCAAGGTCCCCAACCGCCTCGACAGCACCGTAGCGTCTCGGACCAGCGCACCACACGGTACGACATCCCACCGGTCCCCATGATTCCACAAGAACACTACGCACCCAGCCATCCTGCCGTGCCCCACACTCCCTGGGCCCACTATTCCCCGCAGCAAGCTGTAGAGCACTACGCGCCGGCCTCCCACGGGCCACCACGGCGACCCTCCTCCCCTCCCGGCTCCATCCGTTCCCAGCACTTCCCGCAGCAACCGCAACAACCGCAACAACCGCAACAATACCACCAACCGCCGCCACCACAAGAATACCTGCACGCCCCCGCCGCGCCGTCCAACCACCGCAGCACGAGCCCCCGCCGCAACCGGAGCACGCGTCGCGGCACAACCCTGCGCGAAACCTACGCCACGCCCGAGCAACAAGCGTCGCAGCTCGTTCCGCCGCCAATCCCGAGTCCCCGCACCGTTTCCCCCGGGAACGCAAATAACAGCGTCATCGTCAGTCGCAGCGGCAGCGTGAGCGTCATGCGGAGGCCCAGCCGCGCAAGCAGGAGTGCGCAGGTCAATGTGCGCGAGGCCAAGAGGAAGCGCGAGGAGAAGAAGAATAAAAATGGAGCGGGTGGCGGGAAGGGCGCTGGCGGGGGAAAGGATAAGGGTGCTTGTGTTATCATGTAGTTGATCTTGATTAATGTTTTCGTTTTTGGTTTTTTGGTTTTTTGGTTTTGTGGTTTTGGTTTTGAATTTTGGTTTTTGGTTTTGGTTTTGTTTATCTACACGGGAGTTCGGGATTTGGGTGGCTTGGATGGGATATACCTAGGACGTTCGCTTTCGGAATTTAGTTGGTACTACCGTACTGGGACGTGGATTACGAGATTTGAATTTGGAATTTGGAATTGGTTTGGAATTCGGTCACGTTTGTGTTTGTGTTTGCGTTTGTGTCTTATTGGATACCGTTGATACCGTTGGATTTGATACCATGTATTCATGTATTACGTTTAGTTGGGGTTTCGTTTGAATTACTGGATTGGTAGTACTCTAGAGAATGATCTATGTGGTAGCAGGAGTGGCAGGAGTGATAAAAATCTGGGAAAGATACATCATACAGTCTCATGTTCATGGTTCCATCTGATTGTATGTAGGTGAATGACTTTTCGTGGGTTCTGCAATTTCGATAGAAGCTGGGATGAGCTGGGTGTGGTCAGCGTGGCCATGGGTGATGGTGAACGGGCTCAGAGCCTTGGAAGGGGATGATGGAGGGGGATTGTGGAGAGTGGGCATAATCGCTCACTCGCTCACTCGGCGTTTATTAACGTCTTGAGTTGGGTGGAGGGAGGGTAGGCCGGCGAGGGGCAATGGGGAGTGAAAGGGTTATACTAGTACAGCAAAATACTAGAATACCCAGAACGGAGCTGGAGTTTGGGCGCGCGGGTTTACTATGTGTCTGCGGTCTCACGGCGGCGACGGGCTGGCGGATCGCAGGGTTATACTTCCGTTGGCAGCACAACACATCTAGTTTCAATTCAGGACCTGACAAGACAATAGCGAGTACCACCTAGCAAGGTGAAGCATACACAGTGCACACAGTCCTCATTCTCACCCTCTCAACAGCAAGGAAACGGAGGCTATGTGTAACAAGTATGGGGTAGAAGTAGAAGTAGAAGTAGATCAAGTAGGTAGCAGATAAAAAGACAGACAGACGAATAGGCAGGTAGACAGACAAGTTGACAAAGTACAAAGAAATTAATGCGTTGGGCACAGGCTACAGCTCAGTAATACATCCACGACCCCAAACTCAAACTCCAACCTCAACGCCACCCACCCCCCTCATTCCTACCCTCAGGCTGAGGCTCAATCGTAATCCTCGGCGGTATTGTACTGCGAGTCATCGTAGTCGGCGTACTCAACCGGCCACGGGTTCTCACCCGGCGCAAGCAGCCCATTCTGCCTGGGCTGCACGGTCTCCTCGCTTCCGGCATCACTGGACGGCGAGTCGACCTCGACACTGACTCTGCCTCTGCTGCCGCCGTAATTCTCGAGGTCGGTCGGATCCATCTCCGAGTCGTCGTCATCGAGGAGGTCATCGTCCTCATCGTGGTCGCCGGCAGCGGAGTCAGACGAGGAGTCGTGCTCGAGGTGATGATGGTCGTCGTCGTCGGCGTGGGATTTAGTGTAGACCTCCTCGCCCCAGTCGCCGACGCCAGTCAGGCCCTCGAGCCCGCCGCGCCACGGACGACACCGCTTCACGAGCCCGCCGCAGCGCAGACATGTCCAGCCCTCGCCCTCCTCGAGCTCGATCTTGCCCGCGAGACAGACGTAGCAGTACACGTGGCCGCACTCGACGGCCTCATAGGGGTTGGTGATGTCGGTTGCGCGCGCGCCGGCCGCCGCGCCCGCCGTCTCCGCGTCCGTCTCCTTGTAGCATATTGCGCACGTGCGCTCGGGCAGGAAGGCGAGCTCGCCGGTGGTTTCGCCGGTGGCGCCGCCTTCCGAGCGGATGCGGCGCAGGAACCGCGCCCACCAGCGCCGCCAACGGCCGATTCGGAGCAGTGGCAGGATGAATAGGAGGAATTCGGTGAAGGCGTGCCACACTAGTTGTCGGTTGAGGTATTCGAAGGAGACTTCACGTGCGACGGCGCGCGTGGGTGTGACGAGGCGCATGCGTAGGACCCGATCGAGGAGTGTACGGTAATGGCCGGTTACGAGGAAGGCGGTAAAGGAGACCAGTGTCAGTGCTGAATGTGCGGATCCGACTGTGTCGATGAAGCGGGATAGCTTGCTGGTGAACGATGACGCCTGCAACCCCGCCATGTATCAGTAAGTGGAAAGAATACGTTGGGATAGTGGTTGTATTTACTTCGGAGGAACCCGATCGCTGCAGTAAAAAGAGATTTAATCTATGGTGGAGATATCTTCCGCCGACGGTGATGAGTCCATACAGTGACTTTTGCCCCTTCGACGGCGGATGGTCAATAAACCCTGACCTCCGCGCATCGGTATATCTCAAATTTTGCAAAGCAGCGCCGTACGAAGCATTATGGTCCCATATTGTAAGTTTAAACAGCGCCGCTCTCAAAAGGAGCAGCAGTTCTGGCTCGTAGGTCTCCTTGATCGACGGCTATGTATCGAAATCATCACATGTTAGCTAGCTTCATTCCACCTCCCTCCCTCCCCTTTGATTCTACCCCCCTCAACAAACGAAACGCGTAATAAGAGACCGACAACTCACCCTAAAGTATTTCAGTCCGCCCCACAGCTGTCCCTTCAGCAGATCCAGCAGTTCTTCATCCAGCAGTTCTGTATCGAGCTGGCCGACTCTAAACGCCGGACGCGACTCGACGGTGGACGAGAACAAGCTGCGAAGCCGAGAGATGCCGGTAGCGTTTGACGACGTAGCTTCCTGTGCGCGTTGTTGCTGAAGCTGGATTATTCGCTCTTGCGCGCGATTGTTAGCGAGCGTCCAGTCGGTCGACGTGGCGGTGGTGGTCGCTAATCCGGTGGTAGTCGTTGTGGATGCCATTGACGACGACGGGGCATTGGCGACGGGTCAAGATGGGGGTTCGGTGTTGGTGCGAAGGTATCTAAGGCGGTGGATGCCTCGTCGTGGCTGGCCCTGGCATGCCTCCCTCCTCGCCTGTGCGAGCCGAGGTCAGAGGCTCAAGGGTCACTCGTGTTTGCCGCCCGGAGCCTGTGGCCATGCAAAACACGTTGCTTTCAGGAACGGGTTCAAGAGTATTTGATTCGTTTTCTTTTTCGCCGATGAGAAAGAAGTCCAACAACTACATACAACAGCTTCATACAACAGCTCCATCTTTCTTCGATGATCTACCCTCCCGCTCCTCGGTTCCATTACCGGTCTTCTGTCCTCGCAGCAAACTACAAAGCTAAATGCACGTGAGTCGGATGAATTGAAGACTAATTAAGCAAGCCGACCATGCAATTTAGCTGATCCTACACACCCCCAAGAAGCCAAAGCATGATCACGCGGGCGTACGTACGACGGGTGTACGACGGGTGATGTTTATTCGATCCGGAGTGGTGGTTTGCACGAGTCATCACTCGCGAGTTTATTCGGCAGCATAGAAGCAATCTGACGTGCTCTATTCACGCGCTGTTTCTCCTCACACTCTCCTTCATGGAACCTGAGGCGGAGTGGGAGCGAACCTTCTTTCTTTTCCAAGCTTTATTTCCTCGGTTCTCTACGTGTATCTTTGGGAAACGCCGATACACAGTTAAACAACCCATGATTTAGACAGGTCTGATACACAAAAACAAACCAGCTCCATTCACACCCAGCCCCGATATTTACATCCCAGGACTCATAACCTCACACCGTCTTCCTAATCCCATTTAGGACGTATCCCACGACGACACCCCATGCCATCGCCATCGCCAATGCTCTTACGCCCTATTCCATTCCATTCCATCCGACGCGATGCTAACTACTCCTAAACAAGCCCTGTTTACTCTTCGACCCCGGGGGTATATATACATACACAACTCCTCGAACCCAAACCTACTATATAGTACAATGACCCACAACGCCCATCATCATGCAAAACTTCCACGTTGAATTCAATCCTCTTTTACTACTGATTCTTCTTCTCATCTGACGTCTTCTCATCTGACGTCTTCTCATCCGACGCCTTCGCAACCGGCACCGGAACCAAAAAGTCGAGCGCCCACCACAGCGCGAGAATCGACGTCCACAACACGGCGATGACGTTGACGACATGCACGGTCCACCAGACGTGCTGGATCCCGAGCGCGCAGGCGACGTATTCGAATTTCCACTCTGATAGCGTCCCCGTTAGTATGTCTCGCGAGCGAAGCTGGAGAGAGGAGTCAGAGGCATACCATTTAAATCATAATCGAACCAAGCACTAAACAGCCCCGCGTTCCCACCAAACTCGCCCATCATACTCCTGACCGTGATTTCTCGTACAGTCTTTGGCTCGCCCTTCTTCTTCTCCTCCTCGCGGCGCCCATCAATCCACTTTTTATACGTCATCACATTCCACGCGTTCTTCTCCTTCTCCCAAAAATGCACGCTCTGGCAGCCCTCATGGTCATGTCCCGTGAGGATAACGCCCTCGCTGCCACCGCCCCCCTGCGCCTCCTCGTCCGTCGGCGATCCAAATATCATCTCCTTGAGCTTGTCGCTAACATCCTCGGAAACGAAGTTCTGGCTTTTGATGCCGCCGCCATAGTGCGGCGGAAAGTACTTCATCTCCGGGCCGTCAACACAGATGCGCTCGGGCTTGTGCAGCGGGAGGTGCGTGAGCAGCACTGTGGCCTGCGTTTTCCCGCCGTCCTTCCGCCTTGTATTCTGCAGCGCCTCCAGGAAGTCGTACGTCTCGTCCGCGAGCGACTGATCCCATATGGGAGTGTCGAGGGTGAGCGAGTTGAGCACTGCAATCCTCAGCTCGGGCTCCTCGCCGGCGACGGCGGCGGTGAGACTCCCATTCCCATTCCCATCCTCCTTTGGCGGCGGTCGGAACGCCAGCACGTAGTTGTACGGGCCGAACGCCTTCTCGTAGCGCACCAGCCTGGGCCTCGATATGTCGCCCGCATAGCCCACATCGTGGTTCCCAGGCAGCAGCATCAGCGCCTCGCCCCAGCCGTCGCCGAGCGCGCTCCCCCCCGCCACCTCCTCCGCCGACACCTGTCTCACGCCCCCAAAAATCCTCCAAAACCTCTTCGCGCGCCGCCAAAACTCGTCGTCAGTGATCCACTGGCTGCCGAGGAGATCTCCTAGCACCGTGGTGTGCGTGGGGAACGTGTGTCGTCGCATGGTGTGGTATATATGCGAGAGGTAGAGGTCGTTCCCCCAGAGATCCAGCATCTTACCGTACTTCCTGATTAGGGTGCCGGCGCGCGCGGGAGAGAACCGCGTGTTCGGTGGCAGGTCGTATTTTCGCAGCGTGGTGTCGCCCTCGATTTGTGGGTCGGCCAGCGTCAGCAGCCGGAAGGGCGCGGGCACAGACGCCGAGGGCCGCGGAAACGCGCAGGCGTATAATACCGGGTAGAAGTATAGGTAGATGTTGAGGATTACCGCGGCCGGCAAAAGCAGGTCCACCAGGATCATCGTCGCGAACCCCTTGATCGTCATGATGGCTGCTGGTGGTGGGCGGGACTATGGATGGCGGGAATGTTGCTAGATGTAAGGGTTCGCGATGCCGCCGGCGATGAGGCGGGCCGGTGCATAAGTAAGGAGCAGGAGGGAAAGGGTGGATGGATATGGAGGGATGCTGGCATATGTAGACGGAAGGCGAGATGGTGCGGCGGATCGAACTAGCCAGTCGGTGAGTCGGGATTGGACTGGGACTACAGGGCGGCTCGAGCTTATGCTACAGGGATTACTCCGCCTCCATAGAGCAGAATCACACAAAGGCGACTCGCCTCTAACCGCCGCGGCTGTTTCATAGAATAAAACAGATCAAGTCCTTTGAAGGGTAGGTAGTTCAATCCAGCACACGCACGATATGATTCAATGGAACTGGTTCCTGGAGGTTTTGCATCTGTCTACATTGCACAACTCGCATACCACTCTAGTCCAAGCCACGATGCCGGTGAAGACGGAGCGGGGCCAAGCCGAGCGGGCTCGATGATGCGGAGCTAGACTTTGATGATCTGCAACAAGTGGCAACATATTGGAGATCGGGAGTATTTGTAGCCCGCGGTGACGAACATCAAAAATATAGCGGGCCACCGGCATCGGTCCATTCTTCAAGCCGCCGTCCGTCCTTCACGTCGGGCATCACGGTGATCACGGTATCATTGGATGCTAGACAATATTGCGGGTTGTTTCAATTATCATTTGCAAGAAAAACACCACAAGTTGGGAGGCCCCCCACGAAAGAAAAGAACAAAGATTTTTTACATCACGACGCCGGAGTTCGAGGCGATACGCTATGCAGCCGTCAGCAAGCCTGTCCATTAGTATTTGTAGCGGGAAACCGGGGGTACTGACTGGCCACAGGTCAGCCGCCTCCTTTCCGACGGGACCGGTGATGGCAGATCCCTTCATTTCACCCTTGGGGTTGACGATCTACCGGCGGATTAGCCTTTGCCCTCCCTCTTCATCGCTTCCGTAAGACCGGGCAACACATACCACACCAGCGTTATCCTCGAAGTAGAGGTAAGCACCGTCGGGTCGCTTCCAGGGCTTGCTCTGTCGCACGACAACAGCGGGCATGACCTTCTTCCTCAGCTCGGGCTTTCCCTTCTTGACGGTCGCCATGACCATGTCACCGACACCAGCGGCGGGCAGACGGTTGAGGCGGGCTCCGATACCGGTGACCGAGATGATGTAGAGGTTACGGGCGCCGGAGTTGTCGCAGCAGTTCATCACCGCTCCACTATCATCGAATCCCCCATCAGCCCCAGTTCCTCCAAGCACATCCGCTCCAACCCATCGCAATCCACGTATCCAGTCGAGCCGAGTCGAAGTCCACCGGTTCCGCAGAGAGAAGGAGAGGGGGGTAGGAAAGGTGCAACGTACACGGGCAGACCGAGGGTCATCTTCAGCTTGTTGCCGGCGGCACCACCACGTCTATTCACAGCACCGTCTTATCAGCATTCTCCTCTCATCCTTTCCTTTCCTCCCATCCTTTCCCGCCAATTCCTCCAGCGTGGGGCGTGGCGTGACATACCCTCTCTTAGACATCTTGAGCTATTCTTTTCGTTAATCGGGGGGAAGGGTGTGTGTGGGCGTCGGTCGTTTCGTCGGTCGTCGGTCGTCGTCGTCGTCGTCGTCGGCTCTAGATTGGGGAATTGCGACAAGCTTCTGGGATCGTTGTGTGTGGGTTTTTTTGTGTGGGGGCTTGGCGTGGGGTGAGCAGTCACCGGGCGGTAGCGTGTACCACCAGTGCTTAATGTGGGTAGGTCACGTGGTTAGACGTCTTTCCGAGCCCCACCTTTGGGCTTGAGTGACTTCGCGAGCAAGCAATTTATCATGATTGTCTAAGGGACCGAGACCAATTTATCATGATTGTCTAAAGGGACCGAGACCAATTACTCTAGAGTAGAAGCCGTGAGGTAGTAAGGATGGCTCTGTAGTCTTGCGTATGAAGTCTGCCAGAATTGGGCAGGACGCACTTGGTACGGCATTGACGCGCCCATCTTCAAAGTTGTAGACAGGAGGAGGCCAGATTCATCAACGAAATATGTCCACAGTACAGTTGGCAAACAACACCATTTTGAACCAGCAGATAACTATCCGCGGGAGCTGCCCTCACAATACGAGACGACCGCTGACCAATGACCACAAGCTCGACACTCTTCATACGTAGTAACGATTGCATTCTTTCCATGGATTCTTTCTAAATAAACATTAAGATTATATCTACTCTGCTTTGCTACTTCCAAGTTCCAAATTCCAACCTCCCGTCCAGTGTCTAGAGCTTTTGAAGCCGAATATCCAGCAGCAACCAGTCTGGAGTACTCTAGGTATTTCGGCCCAAGCTTTGCATCTACACCTGCACCGCCTTGACCTCACCAGTCGTCTCCTTATCCAACGACTTGAGCCCCACATTCCCCTTCTCCTTCACCTCCTCCTTCACCTCCTCCACCTCCCCCTCCTCTCTAGGAGGACAAGCCGGCGCCTCAAACGTGGGCACATCCTGTCCACCCGAGCAATCAATGTAGCAGCCGCCGTAGCTCACACCCTGCGTGTCCCCATTGTCAGCCCCCAATCTTCATCTCCAATCCACAGTCTATTATCTGTAATCAAGGAACCATACACAATCATTCATAAACGTAACACACTCCGTTGTGCAAACCTGGGTGGTGGTAAACTTCGCGTAGGCAATGGTCGCGGTCGGGGTGGGCACGATGTCCTCCATCTCCTCCGCGCCCTCCATCGGCTCCATCCCCTTGACCATCTCCATCCCCTCCATCCCCTTGATCACAGGAATCAAGTCCAGTGTGGAGGTGGGGGAGGGGGTGAGGGAAGGGACCATGCTCTGGGGAAAAGCGGTGGTCAGGGAGAAGAAGAGAAATGCGAGGAGGGGTTGCGTGAACATGTTGGGCGGATTGGGATTGGGCGGATTGGGTGGATGAGGGAGAGGGATGAGGGATGAGAAATGAGGGAGAGACTGGGAGAGACTGGTTGAACTGGGGAGCTGGCTGGGCTATCGTCGAGGGCTCTCTTTATACACCATCGCGGAGGTGGAGGGATAGGCAATGCTTGACTTGAAAGTTGACCGTAAGGTCGAGGAGGTGGGTACGCATACGCAGCATCGTCGCAATCCATCATCCTCAGATGCCGCGTCTTGTCGACGGATTGGAGATTCACGTGTAATGGTCTATGGATGGTCTCGCAACCCAGCTCCGCTCCTTCAGAAGATGTGAGCATCAGCTCCACCTAGATCCTCTAGGCTCGAACAGAGTCCGTTCAGGGCGTTGCAACTCGCGGCTTGCGATGTTAAGCTTAACGGAGAGGGTTTGCTTGCGTCCGAGTAGATACGCCTAAGCTTGAAGTTGGGTTCAAATGCCATGCCTATTCGCAAGGTTGAAGAGGCATGTCGACGTGAGGTGAGGTCCAACACAGGAGAATGAGTGGTCGCGCTGTGAATTCGTGTACTGACTCGTATTACCTGCGTAAGTATATCAGCTTAAGCTCAAGGCAAAAGTGTACGCGTACTCTACCGTACTTGGGTAACTATCTCTGGACCGTCTAGTGCTGGACATACCTATGATGGTATCAAGATAGAAGCACCCACCAGAAGGCATGTAAGTACAATACAAATTCCAGATCCCAGGATTTATGTAGAAGGCATGTAGTGATGGATCATGGTTCCCATTTCCCGCTTACATAAACTGGGGCTCGCCGTTCCATCGGTTACGGGTTCTGCAGGCATGATTCATACTCAAAAGACTCGGACAAAGCAAGTTATGGTTATGCTCGAGCGGCACTTACATAGGGCGTAGATACATAGAGTATCCAGGATGCTGTGCGTATGTCTGTGCGTTTGCGTCTGCAGCTGCAATCCATGACCAGTCCATGGGCAGCCCACCGATACATCTTTCTTCGCCGATCACGATGCGAACAGTGGACATGCCACCTCCGATTCCTTCCTTCTTGCCGACAATTCTCGGCTTCGGCAAATCTGTACAGTATGTAGGCCTGAGCTGAGCAGTGAGCGGGGGGGCCGTTGTATAATTGTTGCTCCCTGATCCTAACCCCGTGCATGCCGATATCAGCGCCTGCTATGGTACGGGGTTGTTAACGAGCGAGCAGGCAACTCGGTGGATTCCAAATTGTATTGTATTGTATCGTACATAGAGGAGAGGAGGGTGCACGGGTTGTGTTGGTGCTTGTAGTATTTCAGGGAAGCTCAGCTTTGAGTGGTGGACGAATAGATAGACTCCCTAGGATGGATACATGTGTGGATAGGAAGAGGGTAGGTGGACTTGAGATTAGCCGTTCGTGTGTTCGTGTGGGAACTTGGAAGCATGCAGTTCTAAGGGGCTGTAAAGTGGTGCAAGTACAATACATAGGATAGACACCGATACTCTACACGTGCTCGGCGGGGGTACCTATCGGGCTGCGGTCTCTATGGTAACACGGCGTCGTGGTATCTATCGATCATGCTTCCACCTCCGGCCCTCCAGGCATCGCCGAAAACCTCACCACTGCCATCCTTCATCCATCCGTCCATTCATCCTCTACCATTCTATCTCGACCAGCGCGGTTTACTTGCGGAAGGCGCGACAGTCGTCTGTAGAGTCTGAGCATGAAAATTTCGTTCAGCCCACATTCCCGGGGAGGTTGTGGTCGGCCAGTAACTGAAGCCTTCCGTTCTGCAAAACCATCACGGCGGTTCGAACCCGAATTCGCCAATCAACCACTCGGACGCAGTCAGGAGGTTGGGAGATGACGCAACCGCCCCGCAGGTGCGGCTCTGGATAGGCCGCTTCTCCTCCTCCGCAGACTCCTCCGCAGACTCCTCCGCAGACTCCGCAGAGTTAAAATCCGGGGCGGTCAACTCTCCTGTCCCCCACTCCCGCCGTAGGTACTAATGCAGATTCGATAGATACTTCCTTGCTCGTTGACTGGTACATAGAGTACCTAAGCAAGTCAACTTTCCGCAACCCATCCTTCTCAACATGCAGGTAAAAAAAATTCTTCACGGAGCAGAAATGCAAAGACAAAGGCACAGCACTCTCGGATTCTCCTCGGATTCGACGGCCTGTGGTGCGGGCTGAGATGGATGTGGACTCACAGATAGATGGAGGGAAGGATGATGTGCAGCACTTGGCCAAAAATGCGCCCGCCCCACCACCACCGGTGCACCCCTACCCCACGCCACTGCCGACGATACTGCGGGGTTCCCTCCCTCCCTCCCTCCCTTAACTCCTAACTAGTAGCGCTAACCATCGAGAATCGCGCGCGCGCTCTAGGGGTGTTTATCCCGGCAAGGCTCCCTTAAAGTTGGTTCGCGATTCGCTGCTCGGTGCTTGGAGATACAAAGGATTCGCTGGAGGGACAGGTACCCATCAAATTCTCCAGCTTATGTACCAGAGTACCTAGGGGGTACTTGGCTACATACATACCGCTCCAGAGTAGGTAACGGAAGGGAAAGGGCCTGAAGAACCTGTACGTAGATAAAGTGGATCGCTGTACAGGACCATATCTACCACCTCTATACTGTGTACTCACAACATTCTCACTCTGCCTGCCGGCCCCCGTGCGTGCATCTGCTGTGTCTGTGAAGGGTGCTTGCCTTTGCCCTGCCTTGCCTGTCTGTACTGTACTCTAGGTACTCTGTGGATCCGGACCGATGCTGCTCTACAGGTTAGTTGAGTGGTGTGGCCATGGTGGGAACAGGCATGTCTGTAGAGTACTTAAAGCATGTATGTAAGACTGCGGAGGGTTGCTCCCGAGAAAGGAGCATAATTCACCCACTGCGGTAAGTTCCTTTTCGGAAAGCGAAGCAATTGTCGGGTGGGCCGTGTAGCCTTCGATTGGAGCTCGGCGGCGTAGGTGGCAGTGTCCTATTCTACAGTTGCGTAGAGTAGGTTATGTAGGCAGTCGTGGTTGATGGCTGTGATCGCACGTATCGTGACCGAACCGCTGCTCACCTCACTCACTCAACCCCATCACATCAACCTTCTTTCGCCCCACCCCCCCCCTCCTCCACCCGCCTACTCTTACTCTACATACAAGTTTCTCTACCTACCTCATACCTCCGATCCGAGATTACGCAGCCGTTACTTCTAGTTACGACACACGTCGGTAAGAAACACCCGTCAGCCTGCGGAAAAGACAAAGCACAAGCACAAGCACAAGACGCATCTCTTTCGTGGTCTACCTACCCTTCTCATCCCACCTATTCCATTCCGGACGACCTATTTGGCGCCAATAGAGCTTGCAAAAGAAAAAGAGAGAGACAGACTCAGCCAAAGGACGTCTTCTTATTCGAGCACTCTACGTATCTCTCTATCTCCATCTCTATCGCGGCCTATCTCTTCGGCTCAAACAACCCAATCCTTCCCGTGCGAATCACTCCGTAACTACGCTTCGCCGCCGCCGCCGCCGCAGCAGCCCTGCCTCCTCGGTAAAGCAGCAAGCAAGCAAGCACACAGACTCAAGCAAAGCAGACTCAAGCACACGCAAGGGGAATACCGAGAGACAGAACACAGAGGCGAGGGAGACACATAGAAAAAGAGGTGAAAAGGACTAGGTAGGTTGGAAAGACCACAGCACGCAAAACAATCACGCATTTCCCAGCCTGCATCCGACGAATAGCATCACCGGGCGGTGCACCCATCCCCACGCCCACGCCCATCCGCTGGCTGATCAACCAACGGGGTCCACAACCACCTCCACCACCACTATCACCCACTGAGCAGCAGCAGAAGAAACCTGCAACCAAACAGATGGCGAACACGTCGACCAGCATACCATCGACTCCGACAACAACCGCCGCTTCTACCGCCGCCGCCGCTTCTTCTTCCTCCTCTTCTTCTTCTCGCTCACTGAACACTCCTCCGCCCCCATCCGACGACGACGAGGAAGTAACACAACTACTTTTCTCCAGCAACAACAGTAACACCGGCGAAGATCACGATCATATCGATCCACGCTCAAACACCCCCATCCCCGCCGCCGCCGCCATGGGGAGCACAGATGGAAACGGTTGTGCGAAAGAAGTCGCGAACAACAATACTCCCGATCACAACACCAACAGCAACGGAAACGTCATCTACACACCCGCCTCGACAGTCTCTTCTTCGAAAGCGGATTCGACCTACGGCGGAGAAGAGAATGCGTCCGAGTCGGCGGGAGGAAATAGTTCGTGGGGCGAGTGGTGGAAAGCTGAGGGCATCGCGGCACAGGTGGGCAGCTTGAGCAAAGAGCTCACCGAGCTAAAGGATGCCATCGCAAATAAGAATCTGGATGGCGAAACAAACGTGAGTTTTTTTTTCTTCCTCCATTCGGATCGGTTCCGGTCCTCCGATCGTGCTGTGACGCAAGAGGGCTGACTCGATTTCTCTTTTTGTTCGCGCTCAATAGGACATGTCTCGTCTCAAAGCGAATCATCGTTCGTCGCTAGCATCGCTTGCCGAATTCCATCGATCGGAAATGGCTGGGCTCAACGCCTCCCACATCGAAGCGATGAAGAAGATGGAGTTGCAACACATGGAAGAACTGCGGAGTGCTAGAAGGGTCAACGGTCACGATCGCGAGCTGGTCCAGGGCTTACATCATAGCTACAGCAAACAGATAGAGAGCCTCGTGTTGGATCTCAGCGAAGCAAGACGGGAAGTGAAGGAGTTGAAGTTGAAGCAGCCATCATCGGCCTCGAGCGCATCAACTTCCGTAGCGACAGATCCGGCGCTAGATAAGGTCTCGGGCCGGACATTGGTGATGAACCTCACTTTCGAGAACTTGGACGCCCCTCTAGACACTGCCTCGCTCCCGATACCTCATCCAGGTCGCTCTTTCGATTCTCTGCTGAGGATCCTCTCCTTCAGTGTCAAGAACCATCTACAGACTCTCAATAACACTGCGAGTTTCTTTATGCGTCGACCTAGTGAGGAACATGCCGAGGCAGCCTTGAAGATCAAACATTGGTACGAAGCTGCTCTCCAAGAGAGAGTACATTTCTCCTTCACATCGAGTGCCGATGCAGAGGGTAGAACTATGCACGAGCGGTGGGAGAATGGATACTGGAAGAATGACGAATTCGTCCTGGGGGTGTTGTGCACCGCTGAAGGATGGGAGAGCAATGCCAGCACTCCGTATCCACCGGAAACAGTGGATGAGGAGGACGACATTGAAGACTACATTCATGACTCGGTGCTCTCGCCTCTTGGTCGCAGATCGCCGGTCGAACGATTGGTCTCGATTGAGAGTTCGATAAGCGAACGGTTTGATCCCGCTGCTGAACTGGAGCGGATAAACCGCGAGATTGGTAATTTACAGCTTCACCAGCATCTTCAGGAGCAGGTAGACCGCGAGTTGCGGAAGCGGGGATCTAAGGAGAATTGCGAACCAGCGCTGCCATTGAGGATGAAGGCTCGCAAGGCTACGGTCGAGTCCGTTAAGGACGAGGATGATGTGCCATTGCCATCCAAGCCAACTCCTCCGACGAAGAATGTCCCTATCGTGAATCCTCCCAAACCTCACCAGCAGCCAGTGGAGACTTCAGCTTCGTCTACTGCTCCTTTCGTCTTGGAAGACAGCCAGACTGAACCGACGAACCGTACTCTGAACGCTTCGCTGGAGGAGGGCCTGAAGGAATACCTGGAGAAGGACATCGAGAGAGCTCAGCTCAAGGGCAAGACGGCTGGATCGGGAGAGTCCTGGTTGTTCGACGACCTGTTTTCGACTCCCACCGATCAGGGCAAGGATAAGGATGATGGGTCGGATGACGGTCGGTTCTTCTCGGTAATTGATATGCGACCGGAAGCTCACTGCCGCTTAGATTCTACTCACTCTACAGACGCTGCCGGAGGCACAGCCAACAGGGGAGTACCGCTGCGTTCTGGTCCCTCGAATAGCAAGATTGGAGAGGCCGCCCGTCGGGGCAGTGGCACTGGTGTACGTTCCGGGTTCGGATGGAGATGGCTGTCGGAAGGTGGAACCAAGTCTCCTCCGCTGTTTTCAGTAAAGGACCGCCATCCTACTCCCAAGCCGACGAAGCAGGGCTTCACGCCACCTGCGAGGGAGACTTATATGGGGAACGTAACCAGCGACAGCGATGGTAACGATCAGGATGACTCGGACTACTATCACGATCAGGGTGGGGATTCGCGAGCATACTTTTCGGGCCGTCCATTGTTTGGTTTCGCAGACGCACGATTGTCCCCAGCTCCTCCTCCGGCTCCACCCGCGCCTGAAGGAACTACCCGTGACTCCCCTACGGTGCCAGACTACGCACAGACCGATATTGGAACGTCTCACGACCAGGGAGGGTCTGCGCATGGAAACGATGATCAGGCGGAGGCAACTGATGCTACTCCAGGGATGGGCAAGGCCCAGAGTGTTGTCTCTTCGACACCTCTTCTCGGTAGCGATGCGACTGGCCACAGGTCTGTTCGCTTTGGAGGCAAGAAGCGGCCTTACCCGAATGACGAGGCAGGGCTGCGCATGCCAGCACCGCCGTTTCCTCCTTCGAGTGGCGGCGGCCCTAGGGGTGGAGACTCCCCACGATCCTCCAAATACTCGGAATCACAATACCTCAAGAGTCAGGGATATTTCCGCAGCGGAAGCAATAACGAGACTTCGCAGGCTCCCGGTGGATGGGGTGGCTCTCAATACACTACGAATAGCGATTATGAGCATGAGTCTTTGCAGGGAGAGAAGGGGTATGGATACGGGCAAGGTCACGAGGCGTACACCTGGAGACATCACCAAGAGCAGCAGGCAGAGGAGGCGGAAGACGAGGATGAGGATGATGAGGACGACGAGGAGGGTGGATATCGACCAGGTTCGGTGTCACCGCCGCTTTCGAGGTCGTCCATGACTACAACCGACAGGCGAACCGAATACGTCCCCAACCCGTACAACCAGCCGCCTCCTGGTGGCAACCTCGCGCCGCCTTTCAGGTACGGCTTTGGTGGAATGCGTCCGATGGCGATGGGTCCGTTGGGGCCTCGAAATGGAATGCCCGCTTTCTCGAACCCGCAGCATTTGGACATGATCTTCCAGCAGCAGATGCGCAGCCAGATGGAGGAGCTCTTGGCCGGTAACTTTGGCCCACCACCTCGGTCTAGCACTGCACCGGCGTTCTCTAGTGGCCCCGTATTCGCCCCCAACCCGCCTCACTCGGTAGCAGCTAGAAGCGGTGGCGGAGGCGTCCCGGTCAACACCTCGCAGTACGCCTCTAACCAGGGCAACAACGGTTCTGCCGTTTCGGGCTCTGCCGTCAACGTCAACGGCATCACGCGCTACCCGTTCGACACCTGGCCCATCAGCCCGCCGAACATGTCCCTGCACATGCCGCACCTACACCACCATCACCACCTCTTCAACAGCAATGGAGAGCCACGCCGCAGCTTCTCAACCGACTCCATCAGCCCCCTCCTCTGTCAACAGGGCCAGGGCCACTCTCCGTCCAACTCGAATAATCCGGGGATCTGGCAGCAGCACCAGCAGCAGCACCAACATCAGCAGCAGCAGCAAGCCGGAACCCCAGTTTCGATGTCGCAGCAGCAGCAACAGCAGTGGTTCCAGCAACAGCAGCAACAGCAGCAGCAGCAACAGGGGATCCCGCCGCCGTTCGAGGTCAACTGGGATGGGAGCCCGGTGAATGTTTCCATGCGCATGCCGGGACCGTGGGCGGGTTATGCAGCTTAACTAGGGGGTGAAGAAGGGGGTGCCACGATTACAGTTCAGTTACGAGTGTGCGTTTAGTTGCTTGTGATTCTTGTTTCTTGTTGCTTCTAAAGCGTGTTTAACTACTAGGTGTTTCGGGCTTGCTTTATGTCTTTCTGTTTGTGCTTTGCTTTACTTTTTGCGTTTGCATGGGGACGACGATGATGATGATTGCGATGCGATGACACGATTGTCGGATGGGATGGGATGGGAAAAGGAGCTTGGTTTGATTGGCTTTTGCTTTTTCTTTGGTTTTTTCTGTAGGCTGGGGTGGGGGAGGGGAAATGCGTGGTGTTGCGTGGTGTTTGTACCTAGGTTGGGCGGGCGTGGTTGCGCGGGCGGGCGTGGAAATGCGGTGATTTCTACTAAAAACTGGTTCGTTTTGATTTTTTTTTGTGCTTGTGTTTGGCGGATTGGCGGATTGGCTGATTGACTTGACTATCGATGATATCCTTATGCTTATGCGTTTTTTTGAATTTCTGTTTCTGTTGCTGTTCTGTTTCTGTTCTGTTTTGCTTCTTCGATGATGTTGCTCTTGATGGGTTCTTTTTACGACGGCGGGATTGATGGCACTTTTATGACTGACTGACCGGCTACGTAGGTAAATGGCTGGTTGAATGCCCCTGGTTGAAGGTTCGGGAATCGGGGTGGGTGGATGGAAGGATGGATGGAATGTGTTCTTTTACGGCTGCTGGACGAATAGCTGCTGGATGGGCATGGGCATGGAGTTAGGAAGTTCAAAAGCTCGGAAACTTGCTACTTGCTACTTATGGAGGAGAAGGTTGTGGATCGGTAGGAAGGGGGGGCTACTTACCTTTCTGTAGGTACTCGGATGGAGTAAGATGGAATGAAACATTATAAGTGATGTATGTGGTCACAATTGTTCTCTTGCTCGAGATAGAGAGTGGTGTACCTACATATTGCTGTTCATATCCACACAACGAGGAATTTGTGGGTCCAGCTGGCTGCGTGTAAAGTTGATGCAGCACACGAAGTCCTCGAATCTGGGACCGAGTAGAGCACGGTATCTAGGGGCAACGAGTGATACCAAGGGCATTCCAAGCAAACCCAACGATAATGACAGCGACAACGACAACGATAATCGCAAGTACCAAGGGCAAGCACCAAGCACCAACCGCGCCCACCAAGCGCGCGCACAGCGAGCGAGAGGAGGCAGTCGTTATCACCGATTGGACGTCGCGTTACTAGTATCTAGGTGGATACACCGAACATCCGAGCCGGGCAATCCGGGGTAGTTACCTTGATACGATCTCCGGCTTCGGCTTCGGCTTTGGCCGGATGATCGTGATCTGATCGTGATCGTGATCGTAGTCGTGATGGGGTCTGGTGACATGGGGTGGATGAGTGGATACCGCTGTAACTTGTCGTCGTGGGGATGGAGGTCGAAAAGAGACTGGAAACAGGAGACAGGAGACAGGAATGTCGCAAAGTCAAATATGTACTCATCATATGTTCTTAGTCCGGAGGCGCGCCTCTGGTATGTATGTATGTAATCTAGGCTCAAGTTCCAGAATATGTATCTAGAGTAGGCATGCTCGGAGATTTACCCCCTCTCCATACCACTACCACTACCATACCTAGTAAATCACGTGCGTAGCCGTCTGTCGTTCACCTGCCTCTCCCGCCCGACGCCCGACGCCCGTCCGCCGTCCACCGCCAGCCAGCTCGCGTTCGCTTGCCCAATTTCCCAATTCCACGCCCTGCAAGTCGCACTGGATACATATTTCCGCATATCTTCCCCCAACAACAAAGTTTGGTTGGGGTGGGCGCACTGCACTGCACCGCACTCAATCCGTGCAATCCGTGCCTTAACTTACCAACTACTCTAACTACTCCTTTACTCTAACTCCATACTCTAACTAACTCGGCACACTGTGGGCGAGCGAGCGATTGGACTGTATCTACTGCAACTACTGGACTGCACTGCATTCACGTGTCAACAACAACGCATCAACACCGACAGCGACAGCGACGACAGCGACAGATAGCGACTTCGACATCGGCCGGTCAACGGAAATGCCGAGTGTCTTCTTGGGGCACTGAGTCTTTGCCTGCTCGACTGACTGACTGACTGACTGACCGTCGACCGACAAACCCACCGACGACCGACCGACAAACCATCGCCACGATACGATACCGGTAGATACATAGCCGATCTCTTGCCCCCTACATACCACATCACCATCACCATCACCATCACCATCACCACCACTACTACACAGACACACACACACACGCACACGGAAAGAGCACTCAATGACCATGGACGACGAACCCCCCACCGCCATGTCCCTCCAAGCGCGGCGCCTCAGCCTGCGGAACTCCCGAATCTCTCCTCTCGCCTTCACGACCACGACCTCCGCCACGTCTGCCCCTCCCCCTGCCGACGAAACCGAATGGGAGTCAGAAGCGGAGTCTTTATACCGGCCCTCGCCGCGTCGGGCACGCACGCTCGAGCCCTCGTACCTATGCGCGCCCGTGTCGCAGCACCATCACAAGCGGGGGCGGTCCAGCGACGGGTCTGCGAAGTACATCGAGTATCTTGAGCGGCAGACAGCGGAGCTAACTGCGCAAGTAGCTGGCGCGGGGGTAGCCGCGAAGGGGCGCAAAGCTGTTGTTTCCGAGAACCGGAATCTGCGGCTTGAGCTGGCGGAGTGGGAAGAAAGGTTTGAGGTCCGGGTGAAGGATGAGACGGACAGGAGGAGGAAGATCGATGAGGCGCTTAGAGGCGCCGTCGAGGAGCTGCTGGGAAAGCTCGAGGAGTGCGAGGCGCAGCTGAGAGCGGCCCAGGCGGAGGTACTCAGAGCGAGGAATAGGGAGAAGGAGTTGAATGGTGTTGAGGAGGAGAATAGGAGGCTTTGTGGGAGGATCGAGACACTCACGGAGTTGTTGGCTGATTCGACTGGGAGTCAGGGCAGGAGGAGTACGGTCGGCTCGCCGATGGCGAGGAGGGCTAGGAGGGTTAGTAGTCTTTCGGGCTTGAAGGATATGGCAGCGCAGGAGGTGGCGATGGATTCGGAGAGCAGGAGGGTCAGCAAAGAGAGCGGGTCGTTTCAGGGCGCTGAGGACTATGGTATTACGGACATGGACGCGCCAATGTCCCCAGAAGGCTCCACAACCTCATCTGTGGGCTACCGACGCCTCTCCTTCGGGGGATCGCCGCCCACCTCTCCCAGCCCGCGAACACGCCGAATGCGTCGCTTCCCCTCGGGCTCGATAGCGCCGAAGACTCTAATCCTGCCGTCGGCAGTGGTTGTGGACTCGCCCACCTTCTCCCCCTCCCGCGAGCTCTTCCGCCCCTCGTCCGCACACTCCAGAAACCGTCCCAGTGTCGATCTGTCCGGCCGCAGCTTCTCTCACCCGAATCCCCACCGTAACAGTCTTTTCGCCGAGCTCGCTGCCGCAGACACTGACTCTGAGGAAGAAGAGTCAGAGGCGGAGAACGAATCGGAATCCGGGGCGCCACCGACCACCACAGCAACAGCACCCAGCAGCACCACCGAAGTGTCTCTGTCCGTGCCAGACCCCTCCCCAGATCCCGAGCCAGCGGTATACTTCGAAACGCCCACTGCCCCCAGCTCCCCCGTCCTCTCGCCAGAAGACTACGCCTTCTCCCTCGTCGCCGACGAAATCCGGTACCCCACCCCACTATTCGCCAAGGTGCTAAACCACGTCCCATCGCCAACCTCCACCTTCGTCTCCGCAAAGCGAAAAGCGATCGACATGATGCTCGGCAACTCCGCGCGGGCGATCACACCCGCGCCGATCACGCGGCGGTCGGCGCAGCTGCTCCCGCCACTCTCCCTCCAGCGCACGCGGCGCACGCCCTCGACCTCTCGCAAAATCCCATTCATACCTGCGCCCTCCTGCTGCCACGAATGCGGCGCTCCGCGCGGCGGCGGCGCCGGCCGCCGCAAGGGCGCCGTCGGCGGAATGCGGAAGCGCTCTGGCTCTGTCGTCCAGCCCACTGGCGAGGACGGCATGGACGTCGTCTGGCTCTGGGTCAGGTTCATCATTGCTGTCGTTGTGGCGCTGGGCGTCGCCGTGAAGGATGGGAGCTCACACCCGCTGCCGCCACCGAGGAAGGGGGGGCTGGTGGGCGTGGGCGACGACGAGGAGGGGATCGATCATGTCCGTGAGGAGGAGAGGAGTAGAGCGCTGAAGAGGTTGGAGGGGAAACGGTGACGGTGACGGCGAAGGGGTAATATTGGGGTTGTGGATGTGGATGTGGTTGTGGATGTAATCGCGGGGATGGGGAGGGGGGAGGCGGACGCTCTTTAAAGTTTCATTTGTTCCGCATTTGTGTTTGTTTTGGTCTTCCTTCTCGCACATCCCGCACCCCGCATCAAGTATCCTGCAAGCAATATCGGCACTCACTTCTCACTTCTTCTCACTTCACTTCTTCTACCTACACTCTACACTCTACACTACACTCTACACTACACTCTACACATCACATCAGCGGGACTTCCGTCTTTTCCTTCCTTTTCATTTCCTCTCTTTCTATTTCCTGGCCTTCTAACTCGCGTTTTACTGCCTGCGTTTTACTGCTTGCGTCTACTTGCGTGTGTCTGTCCGTCTGCTTTACTGGAGTTCTCCGTTTGTTCATTTTCCCACTTTTTCACTTAGGTATGTGTCTGATTTCGAGGGAGGGGGGATTGCGAGGGATTGCGAGGGAGTGAGGGATTGCGAGGGAGGGATTGCGCGGGATTGCGAGGGATTGGGAGCGGAGGGAAGGGAGGGAGGGGCATTTCGAGATCTTAATACTCTATCTACATATACAAGACAAGACAAGAAAACGAAACTGGATTGTACAGGACTGGTATGGACAGACTGGTATCTGGTATCTAAAAATCGAGCTGTAGAAACACCATGTTTAGTTCAGTGTTTTATTCGGGGTATTCCACCGTATCCAAGTTCCAACCGTGTCCATCCGGTCATGACAGTCTTGATTAGAGTACACAAAGTCCGTCTCCCATTTCCCTCCCATCGATCTGGTTCAAACTTCAGGGCATTAATCTAGGTACATAGCCTACGTAAGGAACTGTTCTCGCGAAGAAATGTGTGATGTGTGATGATTCCCGCCCCCGACACCTCAACACCCTCCCTCAACTACACAATCATCCGTCCATCCATCGATCCATTGGTCCGATCCAGCTCTTCCTCATCTATCTACTTACAGCCAAACCTCAGAACACCACAATACAAGGCAACGAAAAAATACGAAAAACGAACACGAAAAATAAGACACAAACTCCACATCGTAGATGCAAATGCTCCCCCGCGTCCCCTCCCCTCCCCCTCTTTCCTCCTCCGCCCCTTCCCCCCTTCCCCCCTTCCCCCCTTCCCCCCTTCCCCCCTTCCCCATCTCTCTCTCATCTCGTCATTACGAACTACACCAACCCCAGCTTCGCAAACTCGCTGAGCACGTCACGGTCGACATTGACGACCCAGGTATCGCTGAACGCCTGGGGGCCTCCGTTCTCGTTCTGCACTTTTTCTAGGTGGTGTTTGATGAGTTCCGAGGCGTCGACCGAGTGCACGGGGTCGGATTCTGTTAGCTGGTCCGGGTTAGCATGGGCATATCAACAGACAGACAGAAGGATGTGGGATGTGGGTATGTAGGTACCTGATTCCGTCTCGTCCGCTCAGGAGTCTCCGGGTCCGCGCTGACGTCTTCGGCTGATTTCCAGACGAGGGTGCTGTACGCCACGTCGGTCAGTCGACATCGTTCCCGTACACAAGCTGGGTGGTGAAACTCACTCATTGGTACCATGCTCGTCCCTCAGCTCCACGACGACATCGGTCCATACAATCATCAGATCCTGCAATCTCTCCAATATCCACGGCTGATTCGTTTCGAGTAGCATAGTGAGGCCGAAGCAATTGAGCTTCCGCTGGCTAGGATGTCCCATATTCGCAAACTGCCCGTAACGCGCATTAGTATTCACACAACCCTCGCCATACCTTGAGAGTGCACGTACATGACCGAACCACTCGGCGAGCAGCCACTTCATGAAGTCTGGTACGCTCTGCTGCGTGGTCCTCTCGGCGACCATGCGGACGACCTCTAGGAAGCAGCCGGCGTTCGCGATCACGATGCGCGCCAGCAGCGAGAGGTAGTCCGAGATCTGCATTGCGGTCGGGGGGTGCCGCTTGTTGGGGCCGGTGGTCTGGTTGGCCTCGTAGCTCTCCCTGAGGCCCTCAAAGATGTTGACGAGGAAGCGGCTCTCGACCAGCTCGACGCACACCGTGCCCAGCGCCGCGTCCCCGCCAATCTGCTTCGCCACGCGGATCAGAACTTCGACAATCCTAGTGACGGTTCCTTGCCCCTCCGGCTTCAGCTGCCCGAGGAGGTTCGCGAACGACACGAACAGCTGCCCCCGGTACGTCTCGATGATCTCGCGCGGCGCGAGGAGGACGTAGCTGTCGACGATGTCGAGGACCTTGCGCAGGGCGATCGACGCGAGCTCCATGCACGCGATTAGGTACGAGAACAGGTCGAGCAGTTCTTGCGATGCCGGCGCTGGCGTGGCCCGGACGGTTGCTTCCCACAGGTCCAGCGCATCTTCAAGGAGATATACTTGCATACCCTACGCATGTTAGCAGAGCAACCGAGCGGTGGAGGGGGGGGCGCAGTAGATTCACCGATCCTGGTTCCACCGAGTACCTAATCAACGGGATGACCATGTGGTGGTATTGCACGCTCTTATCCTTCATGGCGCCGATGAGTTTAGTCAGAATCGCCAGAATCGCCTGCTTGAACAAATGCTCGTCGCCAGTCTGCTCCCACAGCGGCGGCAATATCTGCACGATCTGCTCGGCATACGGCGCAACCCTGTGCTCGAGCCTGTCGACGATCATGCCTATCACATCGAGCAGTCCCATTCTCGTCTCCGTCTGTTCGGACTCGCTGATCAGTCCCATTAGCTTGTGGAAGATGTCGTCCACAAAAGGCAGGAAAGCTTCCAGTCTGAAGTCCCATTCATCAACGCAACGCTTCAGGTTGTGCGCCGCCGTCAGGCGGACCACGAGATCATTGAGAGGATCCTCACGGTTCAATAGATGTTGCATGATTTTATACAATGTCGGCCGCGTCTCTACTGATATCTTAACGGAAACCCACTGCCCAATCAAGATTGCCACCCTTCTCCGGATGATATTGTAACCCGGTTGCGCTATCTGGACCTCGTTCGCTAGAGTCTTGTTGATGAACTGATCAAAGTTGAGGTTCTGGTGCAGCACACTCGCCGCGAGACCGACGGCCGTGTAGATAGCGTCCCGCATCAGGATGTCGTCTTTCGCGATCGACTCTATCGATCCAAAGACGGTCATCAACGGCTGCGCCAAAACATCCTTATAGTTGACCACCAGATCGTTAAAGAGCTTCTCAGCGCAGGGCCGGATCAGAAACTCGTAACTCTCCACTGCATTCTCCCACTGCTCGTTCCAGCCCTCGGGATCATCCGCCCATCCTTCCAGATCCGACGGCCTCAGGATGAAGTATTTAGTAACCAGCACTTCCATGCAATGCGTGACGGTCTGGGGCGAAAAGAGCTGTTCCTTGAACAGGACGGTTGCCGACTTGATCTCGTCTTTCTCGACTTTATGACGGTCTTTCCCGCCACCACGGGAGTTAGTTTTGTGCCCAGTGGCTCCGGAGGCTTTGGACCTACACTTAAAAGTAGCCGTCGGACTGTGGATCATCTTGACGGCCCCGCGGAACAAGAGCATGCCCTGCAGCGCCACCTTCTCGCTGAACTTCCGTTGCACGCGCTCGGCCTCGTCCTCGGCCGCGCCGTTGTTGCTGCCGATCGACGCGCCATTGATGCTGTGGACGGTGGTCTTACTCTGCGCCGCCAGAGTCTCGCCGTGCGCGACGACCACCTCCCAGTATCGTCCCAGCAACTCCAGTGTTCCAGGAAGCAGTGCGAATGCCGCCGGGTGATGCGCGATCACATCCAAAAACACCTTGCCGATGTTGACAACGTGCTTCCGCAGCAAGCCATTGATCTCGACGCTGGCAGCGGCCACCTCGCTGTCGGCGTTGAAGAAGACCCACACATGGTCCCGCAGAAGGCTCCACGCCTGGTTGACCTCCGGTGCTCTATTCGGGAACTCGTAGCCGGCCACGATCAGACGCCGCATGATCTTGAGGGCGGACAGAGAAATGGTCATCATCTGCTGGGTCCTCTCTGCGGGCGCGGCGGGCTGACCCAGGAGATTCTGCCAGACCTGCACATGCCTTATGTACACGTCTCCCAGTACCTTGAGGATCTCGGGGGTGACGGACTGCAAGCTGGACTTGGTTCTGCTGAGGCGGCCAGTAGCGAGCTCCTTCACCACGTGCAGCAGGATCGATAGGGATCTCGTCAGCCGCAGCGACGCCTGCTCGTCCGTCCGGCCGTTGCTGGTGGCGTCCGAAGCTTGCCGGATGATCGCCGTGATGTCGGTAAACACCTTTGGCCACTCAAGCGGATACTCGAGGCGGACGACTTTCCCGACGATGACGGCATTCTGGACAGCTAGCTGCGACTGCGTCTCGTCGATCGAACTAGACAGTAAGCGAGCACGGATGCTGCGTTTCTCCTCTTTCGAGATAGCACTGTTTTTTTTTCGCGCGGTTTTATGTCAGCACCTCCGGTCAGGTCAGGATGATGAATGGGATTGCGGCTCTGCGGCGGCGGGGGACGGGTTCGGGGCTTTTTTACTTTTGAGATGTCTTCCGCCAGTATTTGTCGACGCCTTGCTTCAACGTGATGATGGCGATCCAACGTAGCTCGACGGGTAGCGATCGATCGAGAAAGGCGTCCTATGAAATCATTGCCAAAGATGCGTGAGCCAAGAACCGGTCTTCATTCAGAATTTGTCTGCGGGGGAGGGATGGGATGGGGACAAGCAAGATGCTCAACTCAAAGAGTAGTAGAACCGACCTGTAGCAACGTCCAATAGCCCGCCTGCTTCTCCCATTCCTTCAGCTGGGCCGAAGCTTGCTGCACGAGTTCCTGGGACTGGGAGCTGGCTGCATGCAGGGCCTCGAGTAGGTACTGGTGGTTGAGAGGGATTCGCTGGTGGGGCGTAGTCATCACTGTGGCGCTTTGTCGAGGTGTTGGGGGTTCGTTTGAGGTCGTGGAGTCGTGATGGAAGAGTCGTAGGAGGGGTGCTGGGCAGAGGGCGGAACGAGGACGCGGCAAGGGTAGAGTAGACGGAGGAGGGGTGGAGTTTGCTGGCGTTGAACGATGTCGGGAGGGAGCTGTTGCTCTTGACGAGGAAAGTTCTCACAAGACGGGAGAGAGTAGGAGAGAGGATTGTTGTTGTGTGTGACGGGGGACGGGAACGCTAGTTAACGTATTGTATCGTATGTGTATCTCAGATAAAGTGAGCAACATCCATATGCGGCGGGGGTGGGGGTGGAGGTGGAGGTGGAGGGGTTGATGTTTCGGCCAAAAACGGCGGGTCACTCCACTTCCTCTAGTCACTTCTAGCATGATAGGCGCGATTCTATCACCAACGAAACACCGCCTCTTGCGCGCAGCGCGTCAGTTGCTCCGTTGGGCTTGCTCGCGTCGCAGCTGCTCGGCATGGCCCCTCGGTCATGGTCGGCCTTTTCCCGTGAGTGGCCGATGTTTGCTATCTCCATGTGTGAGATCAAGTGAGACATTTCGCGTCCGACAATTCGCGCCCGACACCTTGTGCAGACACTCCATTTCTATCGTCAAAACGGCTGTGAACACAATCCTATCAACCCACATATATGAAGCGGCAGAGCTACCTTTCCCCTCCATTCCATTCCATCCTCGTGAAGTACTCCAACACGGAGCATCATAACTATCACTCGCATAAAGTGAAAAGCGACACACTTGCACCGCGTTAGCAACCATCACACCATTGCTCAGGCCACAGAGAGATTCACGTTAATACCACCAATCCGGTCACTTATATACGTTCGGGAAGGGGGAGGAGACACCAGAAGGATATGGCTGTTTCGGGCCCACGAGAGCACTCATGGTGCTGAAAGCAAACTGATCGATCCAGATGAAGGAAGAATCCACCATGAGGAGCCCATTCCGTCCTGACAGCCGAGTTCGAAGCTCAATGCGTGCGAGCAGTTTATCGGGCTTGTTGGGGGTGATGACGAAACGAAGGACACGGATCACCATCATCTCCAAAGGCCGTACGTTCGAGGCTTTCAATTGACATACCTACTACGCTGCGTACCAATCGACCGTGTCTTTCTGTAAGTCTTCACTCTCTTTCTCGTCGCGTTTCTGGAGAGGGACTTGTTCCAGAGGTGGGCTTATTCATAGTTCCGAGGGACGAAGTCATCCGGTGACAGCTGTCGCGAACACACATGGCTGGTGCATCGTCTTCGCCATTACTGATGGCTGGTTCAAGGAATTATCCTTTAGAGTCCCTCCGCAATGCGGAGTCTGTTCCACCACTTCAGTGCGGCTGCGCGATATACCGGGAGCTGGCCGAAGTGGCGAACCAAAGAGGTGGATCATGGGAGCACCGGCAGGGACGTAGAGGTATGCTAGAAGTCGTAAAGAAGCCGTGGAGGTATAATCTGATTCGTGGGTATTATGAGATGCATCTGCAAGGTCGATTGCGGGTGCGGGAGGGGATCGGTAAGGTACCAGTCGGGGGATAGGTACGAACTGGAAGATACTTGTCGACGATGTGAAGCAGCTTGGTCTGAGCCACCGGTTAGTGAGGTACTCTGCCTCTTGGAAATGACATCCCTTCCGGCAGATTGGGAATTGTGGATGACCGAACTCCACCATCCGAATGGTGAGAACGCCTTCCCGCCAAAGGACAAAGGCCAAACCCTAAATCCCGTCTACCCGGGGCAAGCCACCCGATCGCGATCCGCTCCCGATGTGATCGACCCGTCTGTTCGGCTTCTTTTTTGTTTTTTGTTTTAAAGGCCGGACAGTTCTGGTCGCACTTCTTCGATATCGGTTTCCGAAGATTGCTGCAGGGTATCACTTGAGCTGGCCGATCCGAAGCCGCTTAGCCGGTTGTCGACCCCACACCGAAATGTCAGCGGTTAGCCTCAGTTCTGTCCGCGTGCCTACTTCTTTTACGAGCACCGTCCTTTGAAGTTTGGAGTCCCAGGTCGTCTGATATAAGCACAGTATAGAGTTGTGCATTGTTCATCGTTCGCTCCAAGCCTCCAACGCTCCCCCTCACCTCGTGACGTCGGTTATTTCCGGCTCTCCACGTTTCGTTCAGGTCGCTCTATGCAGGGTCCTCATATGATGCAATGGAGAGCGCCGAGCCGGACCTGTGCATGTGCCCTGATTTTGGGCGAATAAGGTACCCAAGTAAGAGAGCACTTTGCAGTAAAGTACCACAGAGAAAATATGTTTGAAGACCCACACGCGCGCACAGCCCCTCCCCTCCCCCCTCCCCCTCCTCACCGCGACCACTAGCCGACTCGAGACCGCTCAGCCCTTGGCGGCCTGCATGACCCGACGATGCGGCGGCGGCAGCGGCGGCAAGCAGAACTGGCAGATGCTCGCATGTATGTATAGTAGCTGAGATTCGCCGGTCACGATGAAAGAAAGGATGGCTGAAGAGGAGTGCGTAAGCAAGCAGCTATGTACACACAGGTCGGCAACTCGTCCCCGTGCATGCGTTGGAGCTTCTGAGACCCTTCCTCGTCATGACGCGGGCGGCTGACAGGCTCCCGTTCCCCAGATTTCCACTCGGGAGCCATCTCCAGCCTAGACCAGTCACTAGCACCGAGGGACCTGCTCATTTCACCGTAGCGCGCCCAGCAGGGGGGGGGGAGGGCCCGGAGGGGGTGTCCAGCTATTTTGGAACACCAAGAAGCTGCTGCCCTGGTGCTGTGTCCAACTGATCAACGCCTACGCACGCATCAATGTCCACCGACAAGACGCTACGAACGCTATACTATATAGTATATGTGCCCCCTCCCCCCCTTCCCCACCCGCACGAGAACACTGGTCTGAGCTGGTCTCAAGCACACTGCGACGATGATGCCCCGCCTTTCCCACCTCCTCTGCGCGCTCACAGCAGCACTCCCTCTTTCCGGCGCGTCCCCGGCTCCCCGCGATGTCCTGGCCGACTACAAGGCCGCGGCGCACACGATGCAGACGCGGTTCTTCGACTTCGAGACGGGCAGCTGGCCCAAGGCGATAGACTGGACGTCGGCGGTGTTGGGGACGCATCTGGCGGCGGCCAGTGCTACACTCACCACTACCGATCCCGCGCTCGCCGATAGCTACCTTAGCGAGCTACTGGCGTTCTACTACGGCCAGGCCAGCGAGAGCCTGAAGTTGCAGGCCTACGATGATATCCTGTGGGGTGAGTGGTGCGGAATGCGGGAGCGAACTGGGAGACTGACGGCGGCCCGCAGTGGTGCTGAACTGGCTCGAGGCCGTGCAAACGATTGACCACCGAGTTGCCGTGTTGCCCAAAGGCTCGTGGACGGGAGCGGAATGGCGAAGGACCTTTGCAGCTCGATCGTACGATTTCTACCAGATTGCGCACAATGGCTGGGACAACGATTTATGCGATGGGGGGATGATCTGGTCTCCGGTATGCTCCCATAGCTCAATTGCAGCTCGGAGAGGGCGGCTGATACTAACTCCCCGCAGTGGCTAGAACCTTACAAGAATGCAATTACGAACGAGCTGTATATATCCGCGTCCATCGGCATGTTCCTGCATCACCCGTACCCGGCGCGGAATGAAACGTACCTTTGGAATGCGATCCGCGCGCACGAGTGGCTGACGAGCTCGAACATGACGGATGCGGGCGGGCTGTATACCGACGGCTTCCACGTGTCGAACCTCCGGGCCGGCGGGAAGCAGTGCGACAAGCGCGACGAGATGGTGTACACCTACAACCAGGGCGTGTTGCTCAGTGCGCTCAGGGGGCTAGCCGAGGCGACAAACGACGAGAAATACATCGTCGAGGGGCTGCAGCTGATCGATGCCGTGCTGAAATCAGAGGGCTCCGTCGGCGAACTCGTCTTCGACGGGATCCTGACGGAAAAATGCGATCCGGGCGGGTACTGCTCGCAGAACGGGTTCGTTTTGTGCACCCCCTCTCCCTCCCCCACGAACAACACCCAAGTAACATCTCGACTGCAGCCAAACCTTCAAGGGCATCTTCATGCACCACCTAACGACCTTCTGCAAGCCGCTCACGCACGCCTCGCGCCTCGCGCCCGCCACAAAACGTAGCCACCGCCTCTCCTGCGCGCGGTACCAAACGTTCATCCGGCGCGCCGCCCACACCGCGCTGATAACGCGCAACGAGCACGGAGTAATGGGCAGCTGGTGGGGGATCCCGGCGGGGCTCCTCACCTCGACACACTCCACACACGACACCCGGCCGCCCGGCACCAGCGACTTCGAGAACATGTGCGTCTCCTCTTTGCAGGCACACGCGTGCGAAGCCGCGCAGCGCCCCTCCGGCACCCGCTGGGGAGATCTGAATGATCGCGGCCGAGGCCGCACTGTGGAAAGCCACTCCGGCGGACTGGCCGCATTGAGAGCTCTCCTCGTGCTGAATGCGCAGACAAATGTAAAGACTAGGAGTATGCGCGCTGCGGAGATGTGGCGCGATATTGGGAAGAGCAGGTGGGCGGCTGCTCTAGAGGTGATGGTCGTAGCGGCGGCAGCGCTGTGGATGGTGACTATCGTTTGTTGGTCTGCGAAGGCGGGGGAGAAGGCGGGGGAGAAGGGGATGGGCAAGGGCAAGGGCAAGGGCAAGGAGAAGGAGCAACAGGTGGAAGTGGAAGAGGTGGATGAGGTGGGGAAAGGCGCTTATGGAACTTTCTAGGGATGGCCCAGGGGAGGTGATTATGATGCTACGAATTCTTATGTACTTGCCTACCTTTCCGATTTGATTTGTTGGCGCGCGGGAGTTGTCTGTCTGTTGGAATTTGGAAGTTGCGGCTTATATCGTAATTTTCTTGAGCTTGAGCGGCTGGCGGGGGGCGCGATGGTAACGATGTGTGCATACCGGTGCTCTGCTTAGAGGCTTCTACTAGCAGTTGCTAGATGGCTTAGTTATACGCATGTGAGGCTATATACGTAGAGGAGTGAATTGATTGGAGTGTTTGTTGGAACTTGGAAGTTGGGAGTTGGGAGCTAGATTGTCTCTCGTGAATGGTGCCCGCAATCGCATGGGTGAATGATTTCCGCGAGAAGGACGGTGGTTATCTGCAGATGGACAGCAGGTATGGGTATTGATAGTTGGTGAGTGAATGAGTGAGTGAGTGAGTGGTTCCTGTCAGGATTTAGGGTAGGTAGATTGCCGCCAGACTCCAGACTCCAGACACCAGAGAGTGGACACTGTATGTACACTGTATGTACACTGTATGATCCCTGCTTGAGACTCTGAGTTAATGAGATAATGGGCCAAGAGAGTGAATGGGCCAAGAGAGTCAATGGTCCTTGCCTGTGTGAATAGGCTTACGAATAAGGAGAGTGAATGAGCCTACGAGAGTAGATGGGCCTGCGAGACTGAATGGGCCACGAGAATTAATGGGCCAAGAGAGTGAATGGTCCCTGCCTGAGTGAATGGGCCAAGAGAGTGAATGGGACAAGAGAGTGAATGGGACAAGAGAGTGAATGGGACAAGAGAGTGAATGGGACAAGAGAGTGAATGGGACAAGAGAGTGAAATGTAGTTAGCTACGAATGAATGAATGAATGGTGGTTGCGGGTACAAATACCTAGTGTGGTGTCTACCAACGAGAGCGGGGGAAGGTGAATGGAGCCTGCATAGGTGAATGGAGCCTGCAGAGGTGAATGGAGCCCGCAGATGTGAATGGAGCCCGCAGATGTGAATGGAGCCCGCAGAGGTGAATGGAGCCCGCAGAGGTGAATGGGTCTGCGAGAGTGGATGGTCCCTGCCTGAGAGAATGGGACCTACGAGAGTGAGATTGAAATGTACGGTAGCTATGAATGAATGGTGGCTGCGGGGTAAAATACTACAAATAGTGCTCACGAGAGCGGATGTGGTGTTTACCAACAAGAGGGGGTGGAAGATGAATGGTGCCCGCAATCATACGAGGAGGATTGAATTGATTGGAGTATTTGGTGGGAGCTGGATTGACCCTCGCACATGAAAGTAAATGGTGCCCGCATGGGTGAATGGGGCCTACGAGAGTGAAATGTGTTAGCAGGACTCGTGGAGGTGAATAACTAAAGCGATGGAGATTGAGGGAAGTGAAGCGGTACGTTCGTGCGTAGGAGCTACCGGTACAAGAGAGGGAGAGAAAGAGAAAGAAAACTAACCTTGGACCCACTACCGCACCGAATATTCCAAGCGTCCACCAGTCCTCCGAACGGCTAGTGGATTACCTACCGGAAACACACCCGTTCCCATACCTGAGACTCTGAGAGAATAGGCCCTACGAGGGTGAAATGTAGTTACATGCGAATGAATGGTGGCTGCGAGTACAACAATGCTCACGAGAGCGGATGTGGTGTCTACCAACGACTCGACGAGAGCGGGCGGGTAAAGATGAATGGACCACGGTGCCCGCATGGGCGAATGGTGCCCACGAGAAGGACGGTGTCGGCGGATGAACAACGCGTAGGATCATCGATAGTGGGTGGTTCTTATCAGCCTGAGGATACCATAGATGGCCTCCAGAGAGTGGATGGTCCCTGCCTGGGACTCTGGGAGAATGGGGCCTACGAGAGTGAATGGGATTACGAGAGTTAAATGTGGCTACGACCGAACAAATGAACGAATGGAGGCTGCGGGGGCACAAATAGTACTCACGACTCACGAAAGCGGATGTGGTGTCTACCAGCGACTCAACGAGAGAGGGCGGGTGAAGATGAATGGATCATGGTGCCCGCAATCGCATCGGTGAATGATGTCCGAGAGAAGGACGGTGTTGGCGGATGAACAGCAAGTATAATCATTGATGGTGAGTGGCTACTGTCAAGATAGATTGCCTCTAGAGAGTGCATGGCCCGTCCCTACAGGAGAGAATGGGGCCTATGACTCTACGGGAGAGAAATGTACGGTAGCAACGAATGAATTGTGAGAATGGGCCTACGAGCGTGAAGTGTAGCTACGAGTAAATGGTGAGAATGGGCCTACGAGGGTAAAGTGTAGCTACGAATGAATGGTCGCTGCGAGGTACAATACTACAATTACCTAGTGCACACGGGAGCGCATGTGCTCTGGTGTCTACTGTACCAACGAGAGCGGGTGGAAGATGAAGATGAATGGAGCCCGCATGAGTGAATGAATGATGTCCACCAGAAGGACGATGTCTGCGGGTGAGCAACGCGTATGATCATTGATAGTGAGTGGTTCCTATCAGGATAGGTGGATTGCCTCCATGCGGGAGCGAGTGTGTTTCCGGCGAGTAATCCACTATGTAGCCGTTCAGAGAACCGGTGGTGGGTGCTCGGAATATTCGATGCGGTAGCGGGTCCAAGTTTGGTTTTCTATCTCTCTCTCTCTCTCTCTCTCTCTCTCTCTCTCTCTCTCTCTCTCTCTCTCTCCCTATCTCTCTCTCTCCCTCCGCGAGTCCTTCAAACACTCCAGACTCCAGACAGTGAATGGTTCCTGTCTGACACTCTGGGAGAATGGGGTCTGCGAGAGTCAATGGTCACTGCCTGAGTGTATGGGTCTGCGAGAGTGAAATGTAGCTACGAAAGAGTGAGTGGTGGCTGCGGGGTACAAATAGTGCTCACGAGAGCGGATGTTGTGGTGTCTACCAACAAGGGCGGGCGAGCTTGAATAGGTAGGAGAGGGATTATGTGGTGGCCACCAGCATGTCCGAGAGTGAATAGGCGGTGAATGTCACCAAGTTAAGAGTGACAGATCATGATGCAAATCATCGAACGAGGCTCAATAGGTACCGGTAGTTAGCAGTGAGGGTCATGTTGGGCACCACGAAGCCATGCCTTCCAGACCATTATCGCAGTCCGTAACTCCTCGACAGTAGTCCACGGGTGTGTTGTCTGTCACCACCACGAGAGGCGTACATGTAGGATGGGTAGATGGGGGATCTGATTAGATAGGAAGAGGAGGAGAGGCTACTTTCGTCGGATCGGTGTACTCTATGTATATATCCGAATGGTGGTGTCAGCCGGACTAGCCGGATCGAGTGACACCGAACGTTGTAGGCAGCGGGGGAGAGCCAAAGTAGAGTAGACGGCTCTTCGAAGTTCAATACAACCTCAACTCCTTCTTCATCTTTCATTTTCGCCGTCTTCTTTCCAGGATTACGTCAGTATCACGAAACCATGCCTTCCAGACCATTAGAGCAATCTGCCATCCTCGACAGTAGCCCACGGGTAGTCCAATCATTCGGCACAATCATACACCACGCAGTCGCAGTGGCGCCAGCTCGAGCCTCGCAGAGTTGCAGACTCGCAGACTCCCAGTGGCCAACAACCGGCCGCAACAGCGACCAGCACCAGCACCAGCACCAGCCCACCACGTGTGGATGACAGCGAGCGGCGGACTATTCCACAGGAGGCTGTCGATTTGCGGCAAGATCAACCATCCCAGGCTCGGTGCGGGTATCGCTATGGGGAGGGAGAGATCGTCAGACAGGCACCATCGTAAGCCACTGGTGCGCTTGCGACCACGCTCCATTCCAACGTTGGCGAGATGTGATGGAGTGACAGAACGGTTTATCGCCCCCCCCCTCCTCCCCCCTCCTGCCGCTCGCGCAGTAAAAACAACAGTGATTTGATATCTCGCGCGGCGCTGACGTCGTGGGCGAAAGGTGAGCGGCTGTTAATGTGTACAACCTACTCTACTCTGGATAGGATTGTGGCTCGTCACGTCAGCAAATGCTTAATCCTGTGCCGCACGACATCCGGCAGGAGCAGCCGACCGGAGAGTTTATCCTGGTTGTGATACCTATTGCATCTTATCTATCCGATCTGCTTCCGCCTATATACAATGAGTGTATGGCCGCTGCCGCCCGACCGCCGACCGCCGGGCTACATCACGTTGGGTCAATTAGGATTATCAATGTCCGCGCTGGCTTCTCACGGACTCGGGGTGCACCTACTCTATGGAATGCCATAAGAAAAAAATTGGGTTGTCCCGCGGGCAATTGCGAATCAGTTACAAACTGGAAGCACAAAGAATCGGATCGACATCTCGATGGCATCAACTCTAGAGTCTACTACCGTACTCTACACACGTCCAGCAGCTTCCTTCCCTCCTCTCCCCCTTCCAGCAAGGACGCATCCATCATCACCGCCACCACCGCTACCACCACCACCGCCGCCAAGCAAACGCATCCGATCCGGCCTTTGCACGCGAGCCAGCCAGCGTGCTGCGTGCGCAGACGAGCACCATTTCGTTCTGGCTGGCAGCTGCTGCCCGTTCCGTTTGCACCGAGAAGCCGCTATCCGGCAGTTCCAGCTCGTGCTCTACCGTACATAACTCCTCGCACTACCGTACGAGCTGCTTGAGGGAGCTGCCTCGATCCTGCACGCCATCTCGCTGGGCACTGAGCCCTCGCTACCAACAACAACCACTTCCCGATCTCCGGCAGCCCGCATGCATGCAGAGAGGGACGGGGGGCAGAGAACCGGATACTGTCCGGTGCAAACAATTGCTCCCAGCTATGGTAGGTGGCCATCACTCCCACTCCCGCTCCCCTTCCTCCACCCACCACCCACCCACCCAATTCCTACTACCTAACCACTACAACTCCACCTCCAACTCCAACTCCAACTCCAACTCCAACTCCAACTCCACTGCGTACGACTGCAACTCCAACCCACGGATCCTCACCTTCTTCGCCTCACTGTGCGCCCAACAACAATAACAACACTCTCGGCGGAAAGAAAGACGAAAAAAAAGCAAACCCCACCCGCTGCAAACGAACGCACACACACATCTGCTGGCCATCTCATCTCGTTCAATTTGCCATCGTCCCTCTGAGGAAAAGAAAAAGAAAAATCAGAGGAGAGAAGGAAAAAAAAAGATCACCCTCCTTCCCGAGGCTCGGAGCAGAAGGGAAAGGGGGAAGAAAAAACGGGAAGAAAAAAAAACAACAACGATGCCATTGCAAACAGAAATTGAAAGGGTAGAAATACATATCCCCACTGCCGCCGCCAGCACACAGGACAGCACAGTAAAGCAAAGCACAGGACGGCTCTTTCTTATACTGTCTTCCCTTCTCATCCTTCCACCACCGAGAAACGATACCCACAAATGCACGGGAGCAAGAAAACCTCCGAACCAGATCGATCGAGGCTGAAAAGAGCCAGACAAATTTACCCCCGTCGACCAGCCACTGAGCAACCAATAAAACCGGGTATCATCACCCAAAACGGCCAAGAAGGTGCAAGACTAAGGAAAAAATAGGGCAATTGAAAATTACAGACAGAACAGAAATCAATGACGGCTTCCGAAGAAAAAAAACACACACACTCATACATCGCGCCGCCGCGGCCGGTATATCGTCACCCAGAACGAAACGGAAAAGAGAAACAGAAAGAACACCCACAGCCTTTATAAAATAAAAAAAATAAAAAAACTTCCATAGGAAAAAAGATTTCTCAAACGCCGCTCCAATCCCATCCAACCCAATCCAATCCCCCCTCCCCGCGCGCGCAAAACCCAAACAGATTAAGGTATGCCAGTTGCAAAAAAAAGAATTCACGATCCGGAAACATATAACCACAAAACAAAACAAGAGAAAGAGAACATATAAGAGACATGAAAGTGTCGTCAGCCTCTCAGCCTTCAAAAAAATCTTTGCATGTTCCCGGGGAACGACATCACGACACGGAGGATAACCAGCTTCGTCCGATTTCGGCTTTCCAACCAAGAAAATAAATATTCCGCCGCCGCCGTCATCGCTTTTCGGAAGGTCCAGGGAACAAGGAGGGGTGGGGACCATGAAACCAGAAATGTGATATCGCCCAGATATCCGTGGCGATAATCCGGCGGGTATTGCAGCAGCAGCGCACGGTACACACATCACTACTGTGGTGATGGCTCATGTTCGGTATCTGAGATCTCCCGGGCCTTCTCCCTGCATGCTGCCGGCGAGAACCCGCTTCCAACTTTGGCAGCAATCAATCGCCACCGATCTTGCTCGTACTCCGAGATTGCGGTACGCAATCGCTGTACCTGCTTAGGGCCCCGGATGTCAGCAAAAGAACATGAAGGCAACAATCAACCCATCGCACCCGATGATCTCAATGGTATGCTTGATCCCGACAGTGGGAAAATTTCCCGAGCCCAGCAGGGGGTCGCAACCCGGGAGATGGCGCTCATGCGGTTGGAGAAAGTGAAGAAACAGAGCCAGGTTGCTGGGAAGTAATAACGGGACTTCACTCCAACTGCCGCACCGGGGCTACACAAGATGTACCATGGGGTGCCCGCGCCGGTTCGACCAACCAACCCAGTCCAACCCGCACGACCAACATTTGGAAGTCCAACCGGGGCAACGCAAAGCGTGAGAAGTTGGGGAAAGTCGGGGAGTTGGGGAGTTGGGGGGAGTTGGGAATATTCCTTACCGTTTCATCTGTCCACTGTGTCGTCTTGGCCTTCAGTTTTGTGCAGTACCGGACCTGCAGAGTTCCAGACGAACGCCCCGGAAAGAACTCTGCGATTTGCTTCCACGTCAATGATTTGTTCTCCTTCAGATCGACTAGCAGCGTGTCATCCTCGGGTGTGAACTTCAGTTTGGGACCTCTAGGTCTTGGAGCGGGTGACGGCATCGTCATCGGGTGGGATGATGCGCTTGCCACAGCTGTGGAAGGGCCTGGCATGCCAATTGCCGGGCTTACACCTCCACCTCCACCTCCAATACTACCACCACCACCACCACCTCCACCTCCACCACCCAATCCGGCACTTGTTCTTGCCATTTTCGCTGGCGGTGGATGGTCGGATAGGTGGTGGTGATGGTGATGAAGCTGTTGATGTTGCTGAGTGAGCTGGGCATGCTGCTGATGTTGATGCTGCTGATGCGCCCGGCGGTGGTGCGTGTGTTGCGGCGGCGGTGGGAGATGATGGTAGTGCGGTTCGACGTCTTGATCCTCCTCGTCTTCTCGGAGTCCAAGGTCCAGCTCTAACTCTTCGTGGGTGCGAGCTCGTGGCTTCGACGACGTGTGCCCGTACAGGTGCGTGCTTCCTCCGCCCAGATGCGATGGCGGCCGTTGGTGAGCCATTTGTTGGACGTGGAGTAGCGGTTCGTTCAAGTCGTCGAGCGAATCGAGCCCGCGGGGTTCTTGCTGTTGGGCCTGGGGGTAGTTGGCGGTGGTGGTGTACTCCTGTTGCTGTTGCTGTTGTTGCTGTTGCTGCTGCTGCTGCTGCTGGGAGTAGTGCCGTTGCTGCTGCTGCTGTTGATAACTGACGCTGCCGCCGTGGGGTTCAGTTGTGGCCTGCTGGCTCTGGTGAAGGTGATGCTGCTGTGGCGGCCGGCGGGAGTAACTCGGTCCAGTGAGCTGGTGGTAATACGGAGCAGCCACTGTGGTGGATGATGTCGTGGGGGAGAACCGAGTCTCCAGCCACTTGTGGATTACGGTGGTAATGGTAGTGGCGGCGGCTGGGTGGTGGGCGGTGGTGGGCGGTCGAGGAATATCGTCGAGTGTTGTTTGGCTTTGCTATTCCTTTCGCGGCCGAATGGGTACGTATAGCGCGGCGGCGGGAGAGGTAGGTGTATATGATGAAGGTCTTAACTCTTGTCGCAAGGGGATCTGACGCGCAGCGTGCACTTTGAACGGCGCAGGGAGGCCGGTGGGTTATGGCCGACGACTCAGGGTGGGCGACGTGGCTTGGGGGTGAGGGAGGGATGGAGGAAGATCCAGGCGCTGGTGAAATTTTCGAGAGGCAGGCACCGCTGACGAAATAACGTTTTTTACAAGGGAGGCGGTATAAGACAGGCCCTATAGCTCTGGCAGGAAGGAAACGAGGGAAGGGATATGTGGGGAGGGGGGGTGGGAAGGGTTATGGGAAGGGGGCGGAAGGGAAGGTGTGCTGATGGAGGGCAGTCAATCCCAAATAAAAAGAAAACCGGTCGTCTGCTGGGATGCGGGGGGGGAGGTTGATGCTCCAGTTATCGATCTCACACTTGTGATATTCTCGCTTTAATCATGCCCGTCGGGGTCGTGGTCGTCGGTGTCGACAATCCGGGGGTGGGGGATTTCTTTAAATCCCCCAACTTAGCCGTTTAATCTGGCGCTCCCCCGCAGCCGCAGCTTTGTTTTTCGCTAAAGTGCAATGTTGTCAATCGCTCAGAGACGACGACGGGGGACGAGGGGACGATCCGGAACCGAAACGCGTTTGCTGACGACTGACGACTGACGACACTGGGGGGACGCGGATAATGCGAATAGTAGGTAGGTATGGCTTGACGATGGCTATGTATGATGTAGGTATGCTATGCTATGCTGACAGACACTGGGGTTCGGGTGGCGCTGGGACGCGGTGCTGCTGCTGCTGCTGCTGGCAGGTGGTGGTCTTGGGTGGTGGTGGTCTTGGGTGGTGGTGGTGGTGGTGGTGCTGCTGGTGGTGGTGGTGGTAGTGCTGGTGCTGGTAGGTGGGTGCTAGTTCTGGTGCTGGTGCTTGTGGGGTAGTGGTAGTGGCAGTGGCAGTGGTGGAAAAAGAAGAGGATGCTGCTGCTGCTGTCTGAGAGTCGATTGCATGACAAGCTGGTGGTGCATGGTTCAAAACAACAAAAAAACTAACTACGGCGATTTGAGAAAGACGAGACTCATTCGTTCGTTCGTGGGTTGCGACGACGTCTCGAGACTCGAGAGAGAGAAGCTGACCAAGAATGAGGGATCGGGGATTGGAGGGGGAGGGGTGGGGGTGGATGGAGAGCCGGGAGGAGCAGGAGGAGGATCAGGAGCAGGATGATGAGCAGGAGCAGGAGAAGGAAGCGGCCGTTTTGCAGGAGATCGCCAGCGATGGATGGATGAGATAGAGCTACTACTATAGTAGGAAGAGCTAGGAACGGCGGCGCGTGAGTGATTGATCACGCTCCCGGGCTGGGCCGTGCGGCAATGATAGGCAGGCAGACAGACAGCGGCGACTATGCACAGATGGAGCGCACAGGTGGTGGTGGGAAAAGGGGGGGAGGGTCAAATACCTAGGTGGGTAAGGAAGCGGGTATCGGACCGAAACGCGAGACTGGCTGGCCCGTGGTACAGGCCTTCTCGAAGCGGCCAACGAGGACGTGTGAGGATTTTGATTGTTGGGGCCGGATCGGAAGGGAAGGGATTGGGGTGGAGTGAGTGAGTGGGTACGGGCAGGCCAGGGCAGTGGCAGAGGAGAAGGAAGGATGTCTGATGTTGCGGCCAATCTGGAGCAGAGACCACTCGAGACGACAAGCTGGTCTCTGACTCTCTGCCGTGGGTAAGTGCCTGCTGTTCTCTTCAAATCCTCCCCTCGTCCTCCTCATCCTCCTATTCTTCCCGGACATACGACCAAAGAGAAGGTAGGGCCCCCGGCTTTCTCGGGAACATCCTGGGGAGGGAAATCATCGAAGAAGGAAAAACTCCTCGGGATTGGGTGAGAGACGTGGGTAGGTATTAGAAAAGCAGAACAACGACAGCGCTGACACTTGCTACGTGAAGAGACAGACCACGTCCACGCACGAGTTGCACGTAAGAACGGCAGAAGGTATGTGAGGTAGGTACCAGGTAGGTATAACAGGTGTATGTAGTAGGACTGACTGACTGGTCCAGGACAGGACGGGAGGAGCAGTGTGTGCACGATTACGGCAGCAGCAGCAGCACGGCTATAGTTAGGCTGCACCTTCTATGGATTCCTTCCCTTCCCTTCCCTACCTAGAACGGTAAAAAAAGCCATACGTGAGTAGTAGTTAACTGAACCAGCTTGTGACGGCAGAAAACCCGAAGAAAGAAAGAAAAGAAAGAAGAACGACACAGATGACGGATGACGGATGACAGAGAAGTGAACTGGCAAAAAAGACAATCCGTGCAATGAACCGATTGGATAGCTGGCGTCAAGGAGCAAGCACACTTTGCTCTCGAGTCCTTTCCTTGTCGGCCTGGGTTCGCGCGTCTGTTAGTTGGTTGGTTGGTAGATACATACGTATCAATAGGCTTCGTGCATCGTCCTCCGGAGAAGTGCCCATCCCCATCCCCATCCCCCATCACCATCCCCCATCACCATCACCATCACCGATACTGGTGGTGATGGTGATGCTAGTGATGGTGATGCTAGTGATGGTGATGCTAGTGGTGGTGATGGTGATGGTGTATCTGTGTATCTGGAAACCGGCACAGGACAGACGGAGACGGGCGGGACTAGTTACTACGTGCTTGCTTGCATGAAGGGGCAGTGGATTCCATTTCGAAGAGACTCGAGAGTGTGAAGGTTAGACACCTCAATAGTTGATGAGAGGATCCGCGACTAACCACATATCAGGGATGCTGCTACCCAACTCCAAGCTGGTCCGCGAAGAAAAAAAATTAGTTAAGGGAGAGGCTTGCCTGCCCGCCTGCTTGCTTTGAGACGCAAGGCGCTTGCTTTGCTTGACACAGTTTTTGACAGCTCGCTCGCTGCTCTGCACTGCAACTGCACTGCAGCCACCACTGCACTGGTTAACTAAACTAACTATAGAGTAGTAGAGTAGCTAGGCCTCAGTTGGGATCGACATCCACATTTTTTTCTTTCTTAGCGGCGTTACATACCATTGGCCGGCGGAGGCTGCGGTGGCTGCGGAGGCTGCGCGGAGCACACCCATCTGCTGATCAAGTGACCGCTCGGGCAGCTGAAGCGAAGCAGGCCAACTGCAGTTGTGTGGAAAAAGCAAGGTTTGAGCGAGGAGGGTGTGCTGTGCGGCGCGGCGGCATTGGTGGGTTGGGGTTAGTGGAAGTGGTGGTGGTGGTGGTGGTGGTGGAGGAGGATGAGAAGGTGGTGGAAGTGCTGGCCATGACCACCCTGGTGGGGACGTCGTGGGGAGGTCCGATGGTGATAGTGATGGTGGTGATGATGCTGATGCTGATGGTGATGGTGATGGTGGTGATGATGAGGGTGAGGGTGAGGAGTCCAAAGTCGCTCGCCCGCAGTACCAACGACCAATCTAAGCTGCTTTGGGGCTAGTCGGTGAGGCCAAATCGTACCTAAAGTAGAGTACCTGCCTGCGAGTATCTACATACAAAGCATTTACTATTAATGTGGGTAGTCGTCCATGTAGCGGTAGTTATCTAGAGTACATAGAGATGAGTACATATCAATCCATCTCCTCTGGCTTCCTCCTCGGAGTCGGTATGATACTCTACTCCATGGTGAAGACATCGCGCATGGGCTAACTAACCGACTAGCCGTGGAGGGGAGCGGACACGGACAGAGAGGACTCGCTGGACTGGACTTGCACGGAGATGGCCACGATGGCCACGATGGCCGGCCGCCAGCGAAGGCCACGGAAATGAGAAGGGTGTGGCGAGTACCATACATACGACGACGACAACGAAGGCCTGCTCTGACTGCCCCACCCGCCACACACCACACCACCTCCACCATCCACCTCCACCAACGACCACCTACTGCACTCCGCATCCCTGAGGCATCTCGCCTGCGTAATAACAAGGCGCAGCAAAAGCACGGGGGTGGGGGGAGGTGGTTTTTTTCTCTTCATCTGCTCTACCAAATCCGTCTACAAATGATGATACATATCTCGTCTTCGGCGCTAGTGGGCGTTGACCCTAACTACCCTAACCACCCTAGACTCTAGAGATCCCCACCCGGGCCACCCGTTAACTAGCATAGTGAGCTAGCTAGCCTAGCTAGCATAGTTAGTTAGCTGGAGGATCGCCGTTCGCTGATGGTGCATAACGGAGCCAGCGGACTGCATATCGCCAGGGCAGGAGGGGCAGGAACGACCAGAAGGAGGAACTGCTTCTCGTTTTGGGCCGTCGCCTTCGTTTCAAACCTCCACGCACTTTCCCGCATGCGTTTATGGTCCGCCTGCGGGTTCTCTGTGTTTTTTTCCTTTGCTTTCTTTCTTTCTGGCGTTCTCCCGCCCCTCGCCCTCGCTCGCACTTGCCCCTCGCGCCTCCACCCCCCCCTCTCTCTCCCCTCCCCTTTCCTCCTCTCCCCTCTCCTCCTCTCGGCGGGCTGCCGTGCTGGCTGGCTAGCAACGCTTAGTGTAGGTAGGGCACGTATGTATCACGCACTCTCGCCGAACTCGGCGCCCCTCGCAGTACTCTGGTGAGTTGTTGTTGTTGTTGTTATGTGTTTGCCCTGTCCCGGTGCAGTCGGCCGCAACCACCTTTTCAGCGACGAGTTGGGATGAACTGTGGAGAAACATGTGGAGTGGATATCGCGTATCTAGCCGACGAATGAGAAATTCGCTGGGAAGGGCGTACATAGGCGAGTAAGCCACCACAACCACCACCACCACCTCAACCACCAAACAGGCTAGTCCGCTTTCGGCTCCGCTCTCGGTACTTGGAGCACTTGGAGCACTTGGAGCAGCTCGGAACACTTGGGACAACTTGGAACACTTGGAAACCTCGACTCCTGGTGCAAGCACCTCCTCGCGTTCGCCAGAGCTGTGGAGAGAAAGTCTCAAACATACCCTCGCCCGCTGTCTGTCGGTTACTACATAACTACTACTAGTTAATGCGTTTCGGAAACATGGCCTGCGCGGAATCCGGGCGGTGGATAAGTAAATAAACCAGCCACTGCACTATTTATCTAACAAACTACTGGATATGTGCTCCGCAAGCTCGGACAAACACTGGCTTCAAACTCGAGAGAAAGAAAGAAAGGAACATGCCGTGTCTACATGTCTGTGTATGTTTCATCGTGATGGACTCTACATGCTCTGTAATTGCAGCATCAAATTCACGGTTTCACCTTATCCTCCTCCTCCTCCTCCTGCTCTTGTCCGTTCGGTGTCGTCGGCGTCGTCGACTTGTCGGGCTCGTTCCCTAAATCTCCGCCAAGCTCGTATATTTGTCGTCAAATCACCCTCCGTCAAAGTGCCCGAGCCCCTGTACCCGGTAGGTCCGGAGAGTTGGAAACGTCGACTTCAATTGAGTCTGGACGTCTCTCTCTCAGAGTGTCAGAGTCTCAGATTCTCAGTATGTGTGTTGCACACTGCTACGGCTGCGTGCCCTCTCTCTCTATGTGAAACCGTCACGTACCTGGGTATTATACTTTCCAGCGGTTTGGTGACTGCCGCGGATGCTCTGAACCTGCGTGGGGCTTGAGGATGTATGATATGTATGCAGATATCTATGTGATGTAGAATGTGTACCTGCAGAGGCGGTCGCCGGTGCGGCCCAGCTACATACTACGGTAGATGTGTACCATACTCTACCTAGTGTAGAGTACTAGTTAGTCCCCCCCCCCTCCTCCGCCCCCACCCCCGCTGTTACTCTAGTTACCACTGGTTCCTTCATCTGATCTCCGACAGGGCCCTCAGCTCAGCTCAGCTCAGCTCCGCTCCGGCTTGGTTTGGTTTTGGTTTGTGTACTCTACTCTACTCCACATATGTGTCCTGTAGGCAGTTTCGGATTTGCGCACGGAGCATACACTCAGCAGCAGCAACAGTACCGGTATCATCCGCCGAGCGGCCTGGCAGGTAGACTGGCTGGCTGGTAGCTCCATCGCCAAATCTTTGTGTACTCCACATAGCGAGCAAGCACCACAGGCCGGCAAGAACCGCAGGTCCGCAGCTTTTGAGTCTGGATTCGTCTTGCGGGTACATCCATAATTCCAAAAGCTTACCGGCGGCGGCGTTTCATCCTCGCTTTTGCCCCATTGCATTGAACGTTCCTGGGTATGCTTATGCACTCCAGGTACGGTATGTTATAATGTCATGTACCTGCGTGTATATGTAAGTGCGCTTGAAGAATCTCGCGTTTCGGAGCTAGGTAGGTAAGTCGCACACACCGGCCGGAGTCGGTAGGTACAAGTCGGGTTCGAGAGTCGAGAGGTAGAGTGCATGGTTGACCCACCTGTGGTGAGGTGAAGTGAGGTGAGGTGAGGTGTGAGTACGTACCTACCTCCGTCACGGCGTCACGCATGATACGAGCGAAGCGCCGCCGGCCTCCGGCGTTCGGGGTCTGGAGTCTAGATAGGTACGTCTTTACCGAAAAGTGACAACGATACTACCTATACTATAACACATAAATACACTTATAAATTCGCGAACGAACCAGGAACTTGACAGGAAATGCATGATGCATCGGCCAAGACTCAAGAGATGGGTTCCTTGCTCGCCGGCTAGGTATAGTACCTACATACATATGCAACGTTTTGGTTGAGGTTGAGAAAGGGTATGAGAAAGGGTGGTAGTTACTAGTAGTTACGTTAGTCTGCGCTTGCTGGCTCCTGGCACCGAAAGAGGCGGCAAAGCCCGGTAGATACGGCCGATCCTGGGCGGTAACTACATACAGATCGGGCGCGGAAGCTATCATGTATGGTACGTACGTAGCGGTGCGCTCTGTAACCTGTAACCAGTACTGTAACCTCTCGCTCTGTTGCGCCATCGACTGATAGAGTAGTATGTGTCCGTTCCCATCCACCGAGATCGAGTCCGAGTACTCCGATAGGCGCCCAACCCTGCGTGGATTACCGTACTCACACTCCCCCCACACTCTGACTTCAAACTTTTCCGGTGTCATTCGCTCGTCTACCTACTTAGACTACCTACCTAGCTACATAACGAAGTACATACTACCTACCATAGTTGGCCATGCCGGCCGATGGCCGATGGCCGAAGGAGAGCTAAATATCTCTGGATGGGAAGGAATGGGATGAGAAGGGCCAGGATGAGGGACTTGACACGACGTGCGGCCTGGGCACTGGACAGTGGGTCTCGATCCTTATCGGTTTACCTAGGTTCTAGCTATGTAGTTATTTAGTGTAGGTAACTACATGGTAAGTTAGTGGCCGGCAACGGCAACTAATCGTGGGTAGCCGGCGTGTATGTATGCTATGATATCTACTACCGTATAGTGACCCTGGGGGGCCGAGCCTCCGTGATGTTGAACACGAATAAAGCAGGCGAACCAAAGGCATTCTCCGTTTGTTGCTTATGTAGGTACATACAGAGGTACATACCATCTCCATAGCACCCGATCTCCAACCTCCGACGAGGCCGGCGTGCTGGGATGATAGATGATGGATCAGGATAGGATGGCGGAGCTTCTTCTTCTTCTTCCTCCTCCGACGTACTGGGATCATGATTCTCATCCTCCTCCTCCTCCTCCTCCTGTTCCCATGGGACAGTAGCGAGTGTATTCGTGTACATATCATACACATCACATATATCATACATACCGTATTACAACCTCACACGCCGACTCGTCGGTCCGTCGGTCGGACGTCTATTACTATACCGTACTCTACTACGTACTCTACTACCAGGTAGTAAACATCTGCTCTTCACGAACCACGTGTTTCAAGTTTGAGCCTTGCGTCTGAAACTCCATGCATGTACCCTGAACGCCCTGAGCACCCTGAGGGACACATCACCGCCCTGACACCGACTCCGGCGTGTCGGACAATAGGTAGTGGGCGATGGTCGAAGTGACAGCGAGCGAGAAGAGAAACCTCCCATCCTGGGCTGTGGCCGTGTCGTCGCTGGTCCGAACTATAGTACGGCACATACCTTTTTTCTTTTCTTTTCCGGCTCAGTTGATGTGGCCGTTGTGGTGATGCTGGTGGTGGTGGGACTGGGATTGGGACTGTTGGGATTACCAACCACTCGCCATCGCAGCGTGCGCAAAACCGAAAACCAATGCCATCTCGAGCGAGCGAGCGAGAGCGACGTATCTGCACCATCTCCGGGGACCGGAGGGGTTAAAGCCACTCAGGACTGCCACGGAATGGGATTGCGGCTTGGGATATCTGACTGGGGCTGTCTGGCTGGACTGGACATCCCTCCCCCCCGGCCCACTGTCATCTCGACCTGCTCGCTGGCGGTTAGGGTACTATGTAGGTAGTACACTTCATCAAGTGACTTGAGCACTACCGATTGCAAGGCTATCCCCTGCATCCCGTGGAGACGTTTTTTTCGACGTGTGGTCCCTGGTGACGGTAGGTTCCAAGTGGACGGCTGTTTGTCATTGGTCGGTGACGGCGGGAGGGGCCACACCTGGTTGCCGGAATGTAAGCCGCGCGGATTTAGAGCTCCACTGCCGCTGCGGCTCTAATATGTATCGGTACTGCTGGAGCGGATGCGGGCCGGTGATAGACGATGGCCTTCAGGGGCCAGGTGGGGAGGTGTGGCTCAATCGTCAACGTCGTAGGTGTGAATGTAACGGTCGTCACTACTAACTACTACTGACTACTACTATTACTATATTACTACTACTAACTACTACTACCACCACTACTACTACTACTACTACTACTACTACTACTACTACTACTACTACTACTACTACTACTACTACTACTACTACTACTACTACTACTACTACTACTACTACTACTACTACTACTACTACTACTACTACTATTATTATTACTACTATTACTACTATTACTACTATTACTACTATAGTACTACTGCTACTGCTACTACTACTATTTACTACTAGTCTACTGACTACCTTGGTTACACTGCAATCCCAGCATTCCACGCCTACTTATATATCAGTGTTACCGTCCCTCGACCGGGGGATGGCATGCCAGGACGACGACGACGACAACGACAACGACAACGACAACGACGAGCCCTCAATAAAAGCCATTACCGCGTCCGCTGCTGACTACGCGACACGACAACCCACATGCGGGAGAGCCCAACACGGCTAACGTGTGGGGGTATATGGTTGTTGGCATCCAGTACCTACATAAGTACACACCTACATACATGCACCGCTGCGATCTCCTTTCCCATCGATATCTCATATCAAACTGCAGATATAACTTATGCGCGCATCAGCCGACAGGAGCATACGGCTAGTCCCCAATCAGCTACAGCAAAGGAGTGTCATCTTAACCATTTTCCATGATCCATCTCGTGCGTCCCCCATCAGATTCAGCCATCAGATTCAGCCATCAGCCTCCTGAAATTGATAGATGCGTACCGCGAAAAAGAAAAGAAAAAAACAGTCGTGCAGGATCAACCCGTACCTAGGTCACTGCATACCTCCTTCCCCACTCTCATTGGCTCCGGACGTATCATCCTTCCTAGGTATATCGACGGTACTTGCCGGCAGGGACCAACACTCGCAGGCAAGTCCGATGATGAAAGCCTCAAAAAAATCAAACTTGCGCACCAGCCAGGTACCTAGGTACCTAGATTGGCAATTCACATCGGATTCGGATTCGGATTCGGATTTGGATCGCCGCTCCGAATGCTGCTGAGGCGTTCCTGGTTGGCTCCTCCTTCTGCCTTTGCTCCCCCTTTCACGTGAAAAAAGCAAAGGTATCCACAACAATCTCCGTTTTTTTCGCGAGATCCATCTCCGTTCTATGTAGGTACCAAATCCGGTGGGCACTGCGGAGACTCGAGAGAGGTTGGCCATGCTACTATCCGTAGGGTTGACGCCACTTGCGCAGCCAAGCGATTAGCGATCTGCCGCTGCGCGCTTGCTAGAGTAGTGTGTATATATCCCCATCGGCTCTGTACTTTACTACACGCTTCCCCGTCCAATCACACGCTCGTGCTTCCGCTGTTGGCGCTTCAATCTATCTATCGAGTGCGACAGATCGACCGGCGTACGTACCCCCCATTTATACTCGCAATCAATCCTACGAGGAGCCAGGTTACTACTATGTTTTGCGACATGTCATCCCGGCGCCAGGAAGGAGTGGCTTACCCCCCTCCCAAGGCCCTTGGAGAATTAGAAACGCGGCAGAATATCGACCGTACGGTAAGCGCCACATGGCATCCGTTTCGCATCTCGGGTCCGAGAAAAAGGTAAGTATTTAGATACTTTGTATCGCTTAGATCGTGGACGTGTATTTGTTAGAATGGGTCGTATTATGTGCATCATATGTACACGCATCGGATAATATTGCGTGGTAGTCGCGGAGTTGAATCGCAAACGTTGACACTTCAGCCTGTTCCCGGCCATGGATCTTGGTTTATATCTAATACAGGAGTCTGGAGGCGAACCAGTCATCCTCGGACGCCAGATCTGGCAACGGCAATTAGAGTAGTTTCCCACCACCCCCCCCGGAATGCGTGCCGTTTCCCCATGACATACCTACCTCCTACCTAACTATACCTGTGGGCCAGCTACAAGCTTCCCGTACGTGCTAGGTACGCGCAAATACGGTATACCTAGCTGGTCTGTCTGCGATGGCTACTAGGTAGATACGGTACCTGCTCTAGTCTTCAACCGACAGCTGGTTCCGAATCATATGTGCATACGGTATACCTCAAGCGTGGTTACGGGGTTATGTAGTTATTGAGCCCATCCGCCCGATGAAAGGGGCTCTCACCCTCTCCCTCTCTCTCTCGTTCTCTCTCGTTCCTGCGACGCCTCGGTTCCTATCCATTCGATGCAGGTCCACACTCACTCGTATAGTCGTAGTTACCCAGGCCCCAGGGTTCCCCACGGAAACAACCCTCGTTTCTTCCGGCCCCGAGGCACCGTACATACGCAACCTTCATAGGTATAGTATGTACAGGGCTTTGGGTGATTGCTACATATTTTTCGCCGAAAGGATCCCCCGGCCAATTGTTTCTTACTCTACATATTACCCGACACATCCATAACTAACTTGGTAGGCTCCCGATCAATTTTGCTCACGATATGCGACAGCGGGATTCTCATTTCCATCTCGGACGCTGTGTTCGGTGGTTGGTTGGTTGGCTGGAAAACCCCTTCCAGTATACAGTATACAGTATACGTACATACCTGCTTCTTTCCCATCCTTCCCACGAGTCACCGCGGTGATGGCGGAATCAGTTACCGGACCGGAGGCTTAACGTAAGCACACACATACTAGATGCTATGTAGATGGCCAATATATCCGGTACGAGTTGGATTACATACGTATGTGTCTGTCTGCTCGGATGCTGGCTTCTCCGGCCAGAAGGCGAAAGTTGAAACCTATATAGTACTAGGTAGTACACGAACCACAAACTCCCAGGTCGCACTCGAGTCGCGATGTGATATCTCATGATGCGCGGTTCCAGCCCGGCCCAAACTGCGGATCCACCACGTTCTTGGCCTCGCCGTGCCTCGCCCCACCGATTCTCGATCGCGTATCGATTGCAACGATGGCTTGGCTAAGGGCTTCTTGCTCGCATCGCGGTCGCGATCGCGGTGTTTTGCGCTCGCGAAGTCATGTGAGCTTTTTTCCTCGGCACCCACCGCCGAATAACCTTTGTTTCTGTTTCTGTTTTTGTTTTTGTTTTTTTAAAGTGGCCCGCCACCTTTCAGGCCTTCCTTTCCTTTCCTTTCGTATCAATCCCCTCGACGCACACGACCGACGGACGCGACTCCCACACCCCCCTAGGTATTCCCATCGTACCGATTCATCTCGTTTCCAATCAATAACTCAATCAATCAATCGAAACGTCCTTCTGCTCACCCCCCCCCCCCTTCCCAAACACTCGCTTTGTTCCTAGAACCTAGGTAGTCGAGCGAACGAGCGCTGCGATTGGTTGATTGGTGGCTCAAAACTTAAACTTTGCAATGCGACGTGCTGCACAGTGTCAAGTGACTTACTTACGGGCTCATATCGAGTTATGTATATGTGACCATTGACCAGTCGAGGGGAGAGGGGAGGTTTCGGTTGGGCGGAGATGAGATGAAATCGAGGTGGAAGCTCGAGTCCGGAGGAGAGGAGGAGGAGAGGAGGAGGAGAGAGGAGGAGGGCGCGGGGGGGGGGGGGGGGGGGGGGGTACTTCGCGTGTCATAGGAATAGAGTACAGTATCAAAGCACTCTATGCAGTGCACGGAGTATGAATACACACATGTATTGATTGGCCTTGTATTGATTGGCCAGGGGGGGAGGAGTCGCTGGCGGTGGAATGCGGGGAAATACACCCCCCTCACCCCTCCCCTCCCCCTCCATATCATCCCCCATATCAACCGGTCCCGGCGGGATTGATTGCTTGATTGATTGAGCTACCATATTTATGCACATATGCACATTTCACATTGCACATGAATTGCGGGGTGTGAAGAATACCCACTACCCATCAACCCATACCCTATGCACAAAGCACACGCGCAACAGCACTCGACGGCGCAAACCGTGAATAATTCAAACTGCCCCTCCCCGTTTGTTGTTCGGTTTTGCTTTTTTTCGGTTTGCTTCTGTCGTTCGCTCGTTTCGCCCTCCGGAAGGAAATGCTACGGAAAAACTGCGCGGGGAGGCGGGGGGAGGGAAGAAAAGAAAAGAAAATGTATTTCTGCTTGTTTCCCTCGTCCCCGCTCCCTAGTGTATTGTATGTTGTACTGGTATGTACTCATTTGGGCAAGTAAGTACCTACTACCTACTGGTTGGTAGAGGAACATAGGTGAAGAAGTATGTAAGCCAAAGCCCACGTTCGTCCTGGTGCTGGTACTAGGAGGGACCAGAACATCCGCCCTGGCTGCGCGAGAGGGAGAGAGAGCATCAATCTATGTACCGTCGCCTACGGCCTGCAGGCTGCAGGCTGCATATCCCGCTGGCCAAGGCCGTGGCCGTAGTGATTGCCCGTGAAGCTGCAAGCCTCCCCCCCCCCCGCGCCCCGGCGCGCACAGTAGCAGTAACAACAGTAGCACTATGCCCCACTAGTTCTGTTCGGATTGTTCAATTTTTTCGGAGGACTGTTCTGACTGTTCTATTCCGCTCGGACTGTTCGGACTATTCGGACTGTTTGGAGGATTATTCGGTTCGGACTGTCCGGAGAACCAGGTATTCGGTTCGGACTGTTCAGAGGACTATTTGGTCTGAACTGTTCGCATGACTGTTTGGACTGTATGTACTCACCTAAAACCTACCTACAACATATTTGCTCTACATACCTACGTGCAGATAGACGTACGTACTGTGTGTGCGTGTGGTCACATAATCGTCATCATCACCACCATCACCACCATCACCACCTCCACCTCCACCTCCACCACTAGCATCATCGTCATCATCATCAGTAAACAGCACCTTCACCGCACGTGCAAATACTACGAATGCCCCGCAATCGCACCGCAAATGCCCCTTGAGTCGTCGCCGGACCTCGCATTACATTGTACAATGAACCTAGCCTGCACCGTGGTCCGTTGAGATACCTAACACATGTGCGACATAGCACGCGCAGCACTTATTTCTCGACCGACTTACATACTGACAGTCTGATGTACGCTTGAGACCGGAAACGAAAATTGAGGCATAAAGGTCCTCCGTTTCCGTCCTCCGTTTCCGTCTTCAAGGTGGAGGATTCCCCGGTCATGGAGTCACGACATCGACGATGGAGAGATCTGAGAGATGGAAGAAGAAGAAAAAAACTTCGAAACGTTCAAAGTTCGAACTAGCCCAAGCCCAGCATGTGTTTTTGTTCTCTCCGTACAACAATGTCGTAAAAATAGAAACGGAAATGAAAATGGAAATGGAAATGGAAAAGAAAAAAAGCATGCGGAAAAGAATACCGTAGAGAGCAATCAAGCAAGCCAAACGTAAACGAGCGCCAAAAACCCAAACCAAACCAAACAAACCATACAAACCAAACCAAACTGAAACCAACCTGAAAACCAAACCGAAAACCAAACCGAAAACCAAACCAAACACAGTACGCCAGATCCTTCCATAAGTAAAAGTATGTGAGTAAGTAAGGAAGTGTAATGAAGGATATAAGTACCTGGAAAGCGGCCCTCCCCCCAATATCCCCGAAGCCGGAAGCAGAGCAAAGAAAGAGGGGAGAAAAAAAGATCAATAAAAAGAATGCTCCTATCGTATCAGGCTCTCGGGTCAAGAGTTGTCTGCTGTTGACCCGTTTCCCTCCTCTTCCTCCTCCTCCTCTTCCTCCTCCTCCTCCTTCTCCCACCCTCCCCGTCCTCCCATTCCCTCACTCTCCGATCCACCCGAGAGCGAGACCAAACAAAAACGAAATGCCCTAAGTATCCAGGATCTCTCCAAAAACGAACGGTAAGCTCCCTACCGATGCCGGATAGGTGATGTGACGACTTTTTTCTGCTTCGGGACATCAAACTCCCCCCCTCCCCCCAACCCTCAACCCCCCAGCCGGTAACGCAGACGAAAGGAAACGACGAAGGGCAAGAAATCCGCACTACTGGTTTGGGTGACAATATGGCCGGCCGCACGGACGAACGCTGGTTCTGAGCCGGGGACGGTCATTTGCCCGCAAAGTGCTCTTTGGCGTATTGTTCGCAGGCCTGGTAATACTCGTCAGTAATCAAGTTCAATCCTTAGCCCCAGCCAATGACCGAGTGATGATGGACGAATGGGTGGATGTGTCGACTCTTGTTGTTGTTGATGACGAGTCGATGGGAACGGGAGAGGGGAAGAAGAAGGGGAAGAAGAAGGGGAGGAAGTCTCACTTTTGCCGGCTTGCCCACTTTCTGGCCAATCACCTTCCATTTGTTGGTGTCGTATTCTCTGATAGCCGCGAGAAGGGCGGCACTCTGCGGGGTGTGGTCAGTATCGGCCTCGTTTACAATGGACATCGGACAGCATGGCACTTTGGCTGGTGCTGGTAGCCCTTGTATAATACGTACTTCGTCTTCTCCAAATTCAGCATAGTGCATATCCTATGGATGAGAGTCAGCCCACAACGGCCCGCCGTTAGTTAGCGACTTAGCCCAAGCGTGCTTTTTTTTTCCTTTCCCCGCCATCGATCATCATCATCACCATCATCGTGCGTGATGTGATTTGTGGCGCGGCAACGGAATGAGCATCGCAGGGGGGAGAAACCGGTGGGGTTATGACGTACCTTGTACCAATGCTTCTTGACACTTCCCTCGGTCCTCGTCGGGAACGTCTTCGCGATCTCGCTCCAGGAGTTTCCCGCGTCCCGCATGGCCTTAAGCCGTTGCTCTTCGGCCGCCGTCCACGGTGTGTTGGTTCGCGGTCTCTTCGCCGGTGCCAGGGCGCCGCTAGCACCCCCCCCGCCGCCTCCGCCGCCGCCGGCATTACCACCGCCCGCGGCCGACGACTGTGCCGCCTTCCGCTTCTTGTTGGTCGTCGGTGTCTGCGGGCTCAGGAGGTCATCGTCGTCCACGCCGCCGCCGAGATCCATCCCCACGCCCATATCAACCTTCTTGTCGACGATGTGGGGATCGGTGATGGTGGCGGGGATGATGGGCTGCTCGGTAGCGGGCTTGATGGGCCGTCTCGACATGCTCTGCTGGCTAGTGAACGGAGCCTGGCTTTGGAGTAATGAGAGGAGCTCTTCGGAATATTCTGTGTCGAAGTGGTGGAGTTCCGGTGACCTGGCGGGGTGTACTGTTTGTCGTTCTCTCGAATGAGGTTTAGACCGGGGGGTGGGGGTATGTATTTCGATGGAGTGGGGCAAGAACTCACGACATGTAAAGAGTATTTTTCTCGGGTCGAGAAACTTCCCTGGCGGTACTGTACTTTGTTGTTTGCTGGTGATGACTCGACCTGTCTAGGCGACGGGATTCTCGGGATAAAATCTAGAACCAGGTATGTGGGGATGTGGGTGAGGCAGGCAAAGCAGGCAGGCAGGCAGGCGGGCAAGTCAGGTAGGTAGCAGGTCAGGTAAGTAGGTAGGTAGGTTAGGTAGGTAGGTAGGTAAGTAAATAGGTAGGCAAGCAAGTAGGTAGGTAAATGGTAAATGCGAACGGTGAATATGACGGTATGTAGTGGTGTGAAGATGTTTTTGACTACGGGGTGGAGTGAGTTTGGGAAACGCACAGGCGGCCTTGCTTTCCTGACTGTGATGGTGGCTTTTTTTCTTTTCTTCTTCTTCTTTTGCTTTGCCTGGGTTGGGGCTGGCTGGCTAGATTGATTGATTGTCTGCTTCCGCTGGGGCTTCTGTTTCTGGTTTTTTTTGTTCTGGCTGGTTTGCTGCCGGGCTATGGCAAATTCGGATTTTTTTTCCTTTTCTTTCTTTCCGAGAAATGCCCAAAGAGATAAGAGGGAGAGGATGAGAGTTTTCGGGGGCGGGAGTCGATCAGTAACTGACTACCGTGATCGCCACAAGCAACGTGCTGCAGTTAACCCGCTAGTTGGGGAGGACAAACGCCTGTACCAGCACCGGTACCATTGTACTCACTATATACTCCAGACTGAGGGCAGCAGCCGGATCAGGAGTAGAGGCAGGAGCACGAGCAGCAAGGCGGGAGAAACAACTTGGGGGCGGTGGGGGGAGGGGTGAGGGAGGAGAGGTGGGGAGGGGTGGTGGTGGGTTCGGGATTTGCAGCAGCAGCAGCTCGGGGTACGAGGGGAGGCAAGAGGCAAGAGGCAAGAGCAATAGGCAGAGGCAGGAAGCTGTATGTACAAGGGCTGGGCCGTATGTTACGTTACGTCGGTGCTTTTCAATTCTCTGCCCTCTCGTTCGTTGGTGCATTCGGTCGAGTCTCGCCCAGCAGAAACGAATTATGTACTTCTAGTGCGGGGTAGCTAGGTGGATACGGGGATCATGAGATGGATGGCTGGCTGAATGGCTGGAGAGGCTGCAGAGTGAATGAGCTCCATGGGCGTGTATTGGATGGCTTGTTTATTACGGAGGTGGTACTTTAGTTTTATGTATGCCTTGATTTAGTGGACGAAGAAGGCATAGGGTGGGCATGGTGGTGGTGGAGGTGGATGTGGTAGTGGTGGATGTGGTCGTGGTGGAGGCGGTGGTGGAGGAGAGGAGTATGTGGAAGAGGTAGTGGTGGTGGAGGAGGTAGTGGTGGTGGTGGCCATAGTGGGTGGTGGTGGAGGAGGCCATGGTAGTGGTGGTGGAGATGGTTGGGCAGGGGAGGGGCTAGACAAGTGTGGTGGAGAAGCGCAAGTATTCCGGCATGTGCCTATGGGCGGTGTGAGTGGCACCGAGAAGCCATCGTCGGCCATTCTCGAGCCCTTTCGCTCCGGACTTGGCCATGGCCACTTGTTTATTTGTTTACTTTGTTTACTCTGTTTACTTTGTTTCCCTGGTCCGATTCCCAGTCGGGAAAGTATCATCATCCGTCTACAAACAACTGCCTGCAGCGTACTCAAGGTATGTACATGTCATGTCATGCCACAACCACGTACCTAATGTATATACAGCCATGCGTAGACTCTAGAGTACCTCTGACTACATACATCTTACATATCACCGCCACCATTACCTGCAACCGATTGCAAGCGGCGAGAGGAGGAAGGAAGGAGAGAGACGGAGAGAGAGAAAGAGTGCGGAGAAAAGCAAACATCGAGAGGACGAAGCGAAACAGTATCGCAAGTGCAAGTCGCGGAATTCTCGTTCGCACTATCCACCCACCAGATATCCCGTGGTCGAGCAGGTGTCTGAACTTAATCGATCGAACCGAACGAGCGAGCGAGCGAACCGAATAACAAGCGGAGGATCTCCGCACCAACCCTCGCCCCGCCCCACCTGCCCCTTCCTCCAACCCAACCTTGGGGCCCCAGCCGAACCGACGTCACGCGCATCCGCTGTTTCTTTGCTCGCGGGGAGGGGGCATCGTTCGAGCACCACTTGGGTACTTTTTTATGTAGATTACTTACTGCTGGATGGTGCAGCGCTGCACTTTGGCTTCTCGTCCACCGCCGAATCGACTCAACGCGCAACCCATCGTTCCCCAGAGTACTCCTCTCCCCTCGTGTTTCCCCCTCCATCTGGTGGGCAACCGGGAACCCCCCGATCCCACCAAAGATCGAGAGCGCCTAGCCGCCTCCCTCATGTACTCATGTATGTACTCTCGTTAGTTACTCGCTCCAAGCAAGCAAGTACTCCACATACATTCTTCCTTTGGCAGCTACCTCTGCGACGACCGGAAAACCAAACAAAAACAAAGAAAAAACAAAGAAAAAACAAAAACAAAATATGACATGCAGAAAAAAAATCGTCGTCATCGTCCGTCAGCAAAAAAAAACGGAAAGTAAACATGTATGATATGTAGAGTACGTACCTCTTACTTACTCGCGAGATCGAGAATCCGGTGCTGGCCTATGGGCTTTACCGATCCCAGACATTTCCATTCCATGCCCTCTCTCCGCCTTGTATGTGGAGTACAGTATCCCTTGTTCGGAGGATGTAGTTACATGGATGCGGGGGAGGGGCAACTGGAATAGAGTAGAGTAAAGAGTAAAGTCCGCAGAGTACCCTATGTAAGAAATATGTACCTATGAACAAGGAATACATGCTCCAGTGTCCAGTGTCCAGTATCCACCAGGAACAAACCGTCTGGTGTCCAAGTAGAGTACCCTACCCGGCCAGACTGACTCCGCGAACTGCCGCCGCCACCTGCGAGCGTGCGTGCGTGAGATGTGAAGTTTTCTCCGTGAGGGGGCGCCCCCGGCGAGTCGGCGGGGATTTTTCGTTCGAACTATCTAACCATCCATCCATCTGCTCTGTCTATCTATCCACTACTATACGTAGATAACTAACCACCTCACATGTTTCCGCTTTCGGCCTTTACGCGAAACGAGCCCGCTCTTAGTCACCGATTATCACTAGAATCTATTTCTTCCCCCCTCCCCCCCCCCACAAACCCGTGATCGCGAGGGGCACAAACATCCCCCCGCCGATAGAAACACGTCAGATTTTGTTTGTCCGGAGGAGGGGGGCGTCTTTGGCCACAACCGTCCACAGTCCATCCCATCAACTCCGCAGCTCCGCTCGGAGGTCTGCCTGCCTCAGACCGGCCTGCTGGCGGCACATGCATAACTCGTATTTTTCTTTCTTTCTTCGGAGACGCGAGGATGGACGGTATGTACCAGAGCAAGTTATCCGCGGGCAGGCTTATCCTCGAGTGTCGATTGGCTTTGGGAGGGAAGCACTTGCTTACTACCTAGCAAAGTACACTCTGCACTCTGCAGTGCCCCCCCTTTGGGGTTGTTTCTCCTCGTTTGTTTGGTTGTTTTGTTTGTGTGGTTATTTGTGAGGGCTGGCTGGGGCTGAAAGTTGAAACAGCAGCATTCGATCGAATCCCGGTAAACTAATTGTTTCGTTTCGGTTGGGTTGGGAATCCGTGATTGTGATTGAATCAATCGCCAGTAGATAATGTTTCTCCACCACCACCAGCACAACCACCTGCTCCTCCGCCTGAGCGAGCCCTTTGCGGTGGGAATAAATTATTCACCATAGATTGCGCACCCGCGTGAGGGCGTCGCTGATTGATGCGTTTGGCCAGCCCCGCGGACTCTGGAGCTGTGTTTCCTTTCGCCTTCCCCTTTGTTAAGGCAATCCACTCCGCTTGACTGTATGTACCGTACTCCGGTCAGCCACCACCACCAGCACTTATCATCACCGTCGACTACCTACCCACCAATGTATTCACGAAGCTGAGAGATGTAGAAGTACATAGAATCCTAGATCGCTACATCTTCCCAGGCTTCCCAGGCTTCCCACTGCTCCTGCGGTGCGACTACCCGTCACACAGGGATGCGTGAGGCCCACCTGCCCACCCAATTCGCTGGATCTCTTCATGGGGGCCGACTATGTTTGAGACGATCCCACTGGCTTGGGACAATGGGATTATGGGTGGGCATCCATGATCATCGTGTGCCAGTGTATGCCTGCCTGCCTGCCTGCCAGGAGGTGTGACGGTGTGATGGTGTAAAGTGTGTGTGTGTTTCGTGTTTCGTGTGTGCGACACCCGTCCAGCAACCCTTCCAGCGACACCCGTCCAGCGTCCAGCCCAAGCGACAGCCGAGAGAGAAGAGAAAGAACTGCACTTGTTGATAGTTCACTTGTGTGATGGGGATGGGATGATGAGGAATCGGATGGGGATGAGGATGCACATTGCACATTGCACGCACGCAAAACCGGGTGACGGCGTATGCACTGTAGATTATTCTAAAAGTTGCAGATTTGCAGTGTGTGTACCAGTGTACCACCAGTGACCAGTGACGCTGATGTGATGTGTGCGTCCTGGGCCCGGGTGGGTGTGTGTAGTGTGTAGTGTGGGGCTTGGAAGTTGGAGTTGGTGGTGGGTTGGTGGGCGTTTGTTTCCCTGCTATTGCTGTGTTGCCGATGATCTGGACATGGAGTATCACTCGCGAATGGATCTGGGACTGAGGTTTTTTTTTGTTTCTTTTATTTCTTGGTTTCTTGCTTGGTTGTTCGAGACGGTTGAATGATGTAACAGACGGACTTGGCTGCAACGGTGTGCAATTTACGTCAACCGTTGAAGAATCGACTTCATATCGGCGGTGGATGGCGGTGTCGGATTGATGGATGTTTGTATCATATGTACATCATGTATGTACCCACTATTGACAGTGGAGGGAGCAGAGCTTTGAGTTTAGAGCGTTGAGACACAGAGTATGTAGAAAGAAAAACAAACAAACAGGAGGCCATATAGAGTATTTTGACTTTGCGTTGGTAATTTGGCTGGCCACCGTAGCTGAGAAACAAAGTAGGTACAAAGTACTCTACCTGTGTATGTACGAGTACCGAGTAGAAATTAAAGCGCCGTCTCGTGATGGCCAACCCAACCTCCAAGCTGCTGTGCGTTGGCCATATAGGTAGGCCAATATCGAGGTATCGAGGGGTACATACCTCCTACGTGTGTCCTCTCTTCCTTTCTCTCTCTCACTTTCGTGGGTGTCTGCTTTCCTCGACTTTCGATTTTAACTACATATCTATCGTGCTCTCTCTACGAAACAGCTTCAGCAGCAGCCGCAGCAGTGCAGTGCGATGTGTCCTGCGACGTTCCGACTCCCTCTCATTGCCGCCGTCTCAGTGCAGTTTAGTCCCTCCCGTTGGTTAGCGAGAAATGTCCACACACGAACAAAAGCTCGCCCACCCATAACCCAACCGGGCCAACCCAACCCAACCCACCCATATTATTGGATTTTGGGTGGGCTTCCCGCCCCGCGCCGCCGCCGCCTGCCGCCTGCCGCCTGCCGCTTAACGCCCATCTGCCGGCATTCGCCTCCAACGAACGTTAACTAACGAGCGAATGGATATCGACGAAGATATTTCTTGGCTTGTTGGAGGAGGGGGGGGGGAAGAACAGCTTCGAGATGTTCGAACGGCGTGTGTCCCCGCTCAAGTTACATACTCTTTCGCCGCCACCGCATCGTCGTCGTCCTGCTCCCCCACCCGCGTGCAGCAAACAGGCAACTCGGGCAGGCGCTTGTCCATGCGCACATCTGTGAGCCGGGGAAGTTAGAACAAGTCTATCGGTCTGTCGGTCAGTCAATCGGTCGGGACGGGCATGTAGGCTGTCGATGATAATGATGATTATGGGAGGGGAAACCCGACGCAGAGCGACGGAGGAACGACGACGTCGTCGACTGGGTTTGCCCGGGATGGTTAACTACTCTAGGTAAATATTTAGTTAGGGCCCACCGTGCACACGCGGATGGTTTCCCAAGGGCCCTGGGCCGCCCGCACATCAACAACAACACATCACGATTCCCATCAACCGATGATCAACGGCTATCCGAAAAAAGATTATTCACGCGCGTGGAATTGACTTCTCTGTCCTGAGGTACCGTATTA